GCGTACAATTGGAGTCGATACAATCTTACCTATGCCACTTTGTCGGCAATTGGCACACGAGGGAGCCTGGTCATCACACTGCAGCATCTCGTTAGTCGAATACAGGTCACTTGGAGCGATATATGTCTTCCCCTCAGCTTCCTCTCCTGGCAGTTTGTACAGGCGACCAGTGTCCTGTTGCCAGTGCGCAAGCGTTGGGAAGCGCCTCGCGGTGGTCGACTATTTGGGAGCTCTGGCATACTGGAGGAACTACATCGAATCAATCAAGCAATAATAAGGACTGTCAGCAAGAAGTTGATCTGATCTGATCATTCATTACAATACATGTTCCGTACTGGCTTGAGTCGAATACGCACAGCCTCGACTTGATGGCGCCTGAGCGGGGTTTGGCTTCGTAGCCGATGCCTCCCGCGTTAACCCGGCCTGCATTGGGTGACCATTCTTACCTTGCTGATGATTGACTCGAGCTCTGTCTACGCAGCGGAGAGATCAGAGCAGCAGTATATAACAGCAGACACAATATGTTGCGTGTCAACAAAGCAAATGAGGCTCCGCAAAAGGACATCAAGCTTGGATCTGGGGCCGAGTGGAGCGCCACCTCTTACTGAGAGAGAACATGCCAATTACGAGATCATTCTCAAGCAGTACAATGGAAAGCCGCTAATGTGGATGGTTATAGCAAAGATTGGCTAACAATGTTGCCGTTGCGGACGTTTCTATAGCATGCCTTGTTCGGATGTGCTGCAAGCTGCAGTGCGACCCTCCCATCCAGCAGCCGAGACGCTACCAAGGCATGGCAGGTTGACTCTGACTATATTGGCCAATTGAGTCGTCAGTGTTTCTCTTGCTCTTCAAGATATCGAGACTTGGCAAATGCCGGCCAACTCGACAGCCACAGCCTCAGGGCCAGAAGTCGGCACACCGGCATCTCCATCTCCAAGCAACTCCCCACGCGGACAGTTCCCTGTATCCTGGGTCGTAAGGCTAGGCAATCAACCAGTAATCGCATTGTCGATCCAGAGACTGCATGGATTCCCAGCGTTACCCCGCCAAAGCATAGGTTGCTACTCAAATGTCCATCGTGATCGGATTGTTGATCTCACAGGTCTGGGCTTTGATCGATGGTCAATAAGGCAGTCTAGCAAGCAGCCATGACGAACGAATCGCCTCTAGCGCGCACAAACAGGATTGACTTTGGCAAGAACTGGGGTGGTTGTGCCACGGTCAGTCGCCGCCGCATTTTGGGGTGGTGGTGCTTCTAGGTGTCCGGATTCGTAAGGAAGCCGGAGAGGCCGTCTGGAAACCCCCGCCAAAAATCAAGGAGCCGGACAGTACACATCAAGACAGCCGCGCAAGATGTCTTACCGACCAAATCTAGAGCCACAATCCAGCAAGTACTAGGCAGGAGGGCCTACAGCTCGCAAACTAGGTCCTTGGGTGCGTTAGCTTCAGCTTCGTAGGTCCTGGAGCGAACTACGCAGTAGCGTATGGACTGCACGCCGAGGTGAATTGAGGTGAAGTGGGACGATAACGCCAGATGCCGCCATTGGGATGCCCGGGATGTTTCTGAAACAGCGGAGCCACTGCTTTCCAACGGGCACTTTATGATGTTATGCAAGGATCGTTGAGTGCTTTGACCAGCACTTGATCAGTTCATACCTGCGGCTCCAGCGGTCCCCTGAGCCGGATAGAAGTTCTGTCCTAACCAGCCTCCCTCTTTTCATTCCAGTCCGTCAGTATGGTGGCATGGGTTTCTCAAGTATGTGCCGGAAGTTGCTGTAAGCTTTGATCTGTTCGTCTCCGCGAGACACTCTTGTAAGTCTTTGGTTCTACATGCATATGCTTCATAGACATTTTTTAAGTAGCTATTTTTCTTTAGTTACTACTTCACTATATTTTTTTATAATTGAAACGAATATTGTCGACAAAGAAGAAAGATCTCCCAACTGAGCTAAACCCGCTGCTGTTGAAAACACATACATATTTGTATTTATGACTGTTAATCGAGATACTTTCACCCTCTGATGCACTTTGTAGTACACTTCACTTTCCATCATTTGCATTTTGCAAGCTAAGCAGAACAATAGATGCCGACCAAATCATATCGTTTACCTCCACTTTGGCAATCATGATTACTTTCCTTGGCAATCACTTTGGGCTATCTTTATATGGAGAACGTGGAGCAAACTTGTACAACATCTACCACCTCTTCGCAAAGGCAAGATAGGCAGATTTCTGCCGATTCTGCAGGGGGGAGCTCGAGCGTAACTTAGCCCACAGCCACTGCTATATGTGCTCCCATAGAGCTGTATCAATGGTGTTGCTATCAAACCTGGTCATCTTGTATAGCATTGTTTATAGTGTACAGTATATATTGTGATGTACAATGCTTCGGAAAACATGACCGGCGCAGTCAAAGCATCGTGGCCTCATGACTTGAATTCTAACCTGGGGTAGACTCGGGTTCCATTCTATTCTCGGCAAGCTCTGTTCATGCCGGACGCCAAACATGCCCCAATATGGGAGCCAGCGAGGATTGGGGTTTGCAGACTGAGCTTTCAACATCGCTTATCAGAGCTGAAGGAGCGGAATGCAGCTCGAAGGGCACCAGAGTGGGAGGATATATTGGGCATATGCAGACGAGGCACGGCTGCATCATGGCTGAAATCCTACCGACTTACAGACGTTTTGCCGCACCGAACGGTACCTACCTTGTCAGCGATTGGAAGAGGCGGGATGCCGGGAGAGCACATGGGCGGCCGAGCTCACATCTTATCACCATCATCATTTTATCCTTGATACGCCGCATAACCTTCTTCTGTCTGTCCGGTGACTGCCCATCTGCGGGCGCAGACTAAATTCTTGACCACGGTGACATATGGGGTTTTACAAACTTGTCCTTGTATGTCTATGAAGCGCTCGCTGGCATCTGAAAGAGTCTCGTTTATACCATCTACCTTGGTCTATTCATTGCTCGATTTGAAGTCGATGGTGTTGGTTGTGTCCGATATATGATCAAGAGCAGCAAGCGACCCAACCTCCCTACCTGCCGTACCTTACCCACTTTGCATGCAGAGCAGACTCGTTTCTCTCCGTTCTGGCCTTCGTATCCAGCCAAGTCGGTAGCTCATCAAGCAGGGAACCCAAGAGAACCTGAATGGTGCTGCCTGTTTGAAAGCCAGCTTGTTACGACTCTTACGAGCCCCTCCTGTCTTCTTGCGCCTCTCCCACCACGCAAGCACGGAGCCTCGGCCGTTTCATGAATCTAAAGATCTCCAAGCGTGGGGTCACAAAGACGCAACCATCCGAGTATATAGGGCCACAACACAACAGTTCAGTTCACATGCGATGCAATAGAATACAGTTAATCACATACTAGTCAGTCAGTGCAACGACCCAGATCAGAGGCAGGATTGGTAAGGTGACCGACCGAAAGCAAGATAGACCAAGCCATTGCTAACTCCGTCGCCATGCAGAGCAGAGCAGACCAGAGCAGACAACCGTTTCGCGCCAACGCTTGTCCAAACCTAAAACGCAAATGGGATCACTGTAAATGGTGCGCTAGAGCGTCATCCCCATCCACCCAGGGATCCCGACCAACCTTAGGCTTAGGTTGAACAGACAAAACGAAGGTGTATACACCCTCCCGACTAGTCGCTACCTTATGTCATTCTTCGAGGTAGGTACCTTAGGTATTGTTAGTACTGTCTAAGTCTAAGTCTAAGTCTAAGAGCCGATTGCGCTACTCGCAGGCCACCCACTTACCCTGGGTACTCACTCACCACCACCTTACCTACATACTTAGGTACATTAGGCCTTACATGCGCTAACTTGGGCCCGCTCCGTCCGTCGCGCGCAAGAGCTGTTCGGGCCTTGGTTTTTTTCTCGTGTTGGTCTGGTCTCTGTGTCAAGGGATCGCTGCGCATCTGATCTTCTAGATATCTTTTCGTCTCGAATTGCGATAGCGCACTGAGGGTTTTATTTATCCGAACATACCAGCCAACCCGCGAGATCCCGCTCCAGTTCCAGGGCTCTCTGGTTTACTTGGTGCATAGAGTACTGTAAAGTGGTGGGATCAGCTGCACTGCACTTCCGCTTTCGATTCCGAGATCTGCGAGCAAATTTGTGTGGTACTGCGTGTGCGCGCGCTGTTGAAGAGCGACGAGCGTAGGCTAGGTACCTCCGCCGCCAACGAGACCCCTGCACTCGCTACCCTGGGCGCTGCTGTTCCTTCTGGTCCAGGTACTCCGCGCACCCCGACCAACAGTCCAGCACCCACGCCTACCTTACCAATCTGCCTACCACCTACCTTGCCTTGTCTTGCTTGGCTCACCTCACCCCCAAACTTCTCCTTGTCTGTGCCACTTCAACATTCGTTTCGTTTCTTCTTCTTGATCAATTCTCCTCTCCAGCGACCAGCGACCAGCGACCTGCCATCTGCGCCTGCGCCGCCGACGCCGTGCCACCATCGAGACTGACCAGCACGGCCGCCCACGGCAAGAGCCCTTGGAATGCAGAGGCGGTCCTCGGGATCCGACGACGGTGACGACTCTTCAAATGGTCTGCCAGTCATTCCGGATGCTACGAGGACCCCAGGTCAGTCCACCAACTCCAAGAAAAGTCTAGACAGCCAGAGACGTACCAGCGCCGACCTGCGACCCTCCTCCGCTAGAAGCCGCCGCTCCAGCAACTTCAATTGGAGGCCCTCGAGCTCCCAGAATGGATCAATAGACAAGGCGCCTCTGCTCTCTTCCGCTGAATCCCCGCCGGCGACCCCCATTTCCACGAGCACCCCCGCCAGAGACGACGACGACTTGGACGATATAATGGACAAGATGTCAGACCCGGGATCTCAAGGGCGCAGGCCGCGAGCCCGTAGCCCCTGGTTGATTAGCATCCTCACTTGCATCGTTTCCCTGGTAGGAATCGCCTTTCTCGCATTGATCCTCGATTCTGTCGCTACACGGTGTCGCGACGAAAAAGGCTGCCGAATGTCATACATGCGCCCGTCTTATGTGGAGCTGAAAGACTTTGACACCGAACACACCCGATTCGCGAGTAAATACTCTCTCCATCTCTACCGAGAACAAGGAATAGACAATGACTTCAAGGTATGGGCATGACATGACCGTCGACGAGCAGTGCTGACGATGCTGGGTAGCTCCGGGGCATCCCGATCCTCTTCATCCCAGGCAACGCTGGTAGCTATAAACAAGTCCGACCAATTGCCGCAGAAACCGCCAACTACTTTCATGATGTGCTACAACAGGATGCGGCGGCCATCAAAGCAGGAGTGCGCAGTCTTGACTTCTTCACTGTCGACTTCAACGAGGACTTCACGGCTTTCCATGGCCAGACTCTCTTGGACCAGGCAGAATACCTGAACGAGGCCATACGATATATTCTATCGCTCTACCTCGATCCGCGCATGTCCGGACGAGACCCCGATCTTCCCGATCCCACATCCGTTATCATCTTGGGCCACTCAATGGGCGGAGTCGTTGCACGGACTATGCTTATTCTACCGAATTATCAGTCGAACTCGATTAACACCATCGTTACGATGTCTGCGCCGCACTCGCGACCACCGGTCACATTTGATAGCGAAATAGTGAGGATATACGATGATATCAACGATTACTGGAGACAAGCATACTCTCAGCAATGGGCCAACAATAACCCTCTATGGCATGTTACCCTGGTTTCGATTGCCGGGGGTGGTTTGGATACCGTTGTTCCATCTGATTATGCTAGCTTGGAGTCGATTGTCCCAGATACTCACGGCTTTACTGTCTTCACTTCCACTATCCCGACAGTGTGGACAAGCATGGATCATCAAGCTATCCTCTGGTGTGATCAGTTCCGCAAGGTTGTGGCGAAAGCCTTGTACGATATTGTGGATGTCAGTCGACCGAGCCAGACAAAACCTCGAGCAGAGCGTATGCGAGTATTCAAGAAGTATTTCCTTACGGGCATGGAGGATATTACTGAGAAGACGCTGCCGTTCAAGGACCCTAGTACCCTGCTCACCCTGGAAGATAACTCCCATGCAATCATCCCGCAAGGAGAGCGTTTGGTCCTGCGAAATTTGGGACAGGATGGAAAGCCAAGGGCGCATCTTCTCCCGATTCCGCCACCTGGCTCGCCAGAGATGAAGCGTTTCACTTTGTTGACAGACCAGAAGCTTGACAATCCTGGGGATGCGGGGAAATTTGAAGTGCTGTTCTGCAGTGTATATCCTCTCCAACCAGGCCAGGCTGGGGTATTGTTACCGATGAAGATGGATCTCTCAGGAGACAGTACTGGATCTACTCGTCTGGCTTGCAAGAATGCTGCTTCAGATGTGGTACAGCTGCCAGCATCGACTCGGACCACAAAGCATCCCTTCTTTCCTCCTAACGGAAAGGAAATACCCCCATTTTCCTATCTGCAATACGACATTGAAGAAATTGTCGACCATCAATTTGTGGCCGTTGTTGACAAAGGCGCCTCATCAACTCAAGGTTTTGTGATTGCTGAGTTTAGCGACCACGCCGACTATCATAGGACGCGCCATATAAGTCTACGCCGCCTGCTTGCTTTCGGCATGAGCTTCCGCCTACCTTCGAAGAGACCCATGGTTACAGAAATCAAGATCCCTTCCCTTCAATCCAGCCTACTTGCATACAAGCTCGAGGTCGGCACTCAATCATGTGGCGATGGAAGAGAACTCTTTACGCCCTTAGTCAGGCAATACTTGACGGAGCCATACGAGTCCAAATTCTTTGTCAATGCAAGGCACGAAAGCGTCAGTCTTCACGGCATTGCACCATATCTACCGCCTCCTCTGAAAAGAAAAGCTACAGAAGATGGCCTTGGCTTTCAGTTCTGGACAGATCCAACATGCGATTCTAGCATCTCTGTTCAATTGCAAGTGGACGTTTTAGGAAGCCTGGGCAAGCTGTACATGCGCTATCGAACCGCCTTCGCAGCTTTTCCCCTCCTCGTTGTTGCGTTGGTCATAAGAAAACAATTCCGGATCTATGACAGTCAAGGCATTTTCATCTCGTTCTTTGAGAGTCTCGATATGTGCCTGAGGCAGTCAATACCATTACTGCTTCTATCCTTGACACTACTGTCATTATCTATAGGCACTTCAGGCCCCCAAGGCAATGCTAGTTTTTGGCATTGGAGAAACGCAACAGGAGCTGCTGTCGACTTCAACCAGAACGACCTGCTTGTTGGAACTCAAGATCCGTTTTTCTGGTTCTTGATTCCCCTGATTGGGACAATTTGCATTGGCGCTTGCGCAGGTGTCAATTATCTGGCACTGGCGCTCACTCAGCTGTTTAGCATGCTCTATGGATGGATCAGTGTGCGGCCATTTTGGGCTCGCCAGGATGACCGACGTCGCGCACCCACGGCAGTGTTTATCCAGACTTCGCCGCGGAGGCGACTCATCACCACTGCCGTGCTGCTTACATTGGTTGCCACATTCATACCGTATCAGTTCGCGTATCTAGTGGCTGTCCTTGTACAGCTATCGACGTCGGTGCGAGCGCACCGAGTGGCGTCCGACATGCCATCGAACGCGAATCGCAACTTCTACAATTATGTCCACTCCATCTTCATACTCATGCTCTGGGTACTCCCCATCAATCTACCAATACTTATTGTCTGGATTCGCAATCTCGCCGTCCATTGGTTGACGCCTTTCTCTTCCCACCACAATGTCATCTCGATCATGCCGTTCATCGTTCTAGTCGAGACTTTGACAACGGGAAAGATGGTCCCTAAAGTCAGCAGCCGACTGAGACACCTGACAAGCGTTATGCTGTTTGGTGTGGCGATATATGCCGCTGTCTATGGCGTCTCGTTCGCGTACATGCTGCATTACCTTGTAAATTTGGTTGCCGTATGGCTGGTCATCGTACATTCAACAAACGACTCCTGGTCCCTGACCGGGTTTAGCACGTTATTTGAAGGAAACCCTGAGGATCGCAAGGGCGGCAAAGCACCATAAACATGACTACAGCTTCGTTGATGAGCTGTTGGTATTTGACGCGGAACTCAGCCACCTTACTATCGAAACAAGATAACCCGACTCTTCACCTTGAACTATATCAACTTCTCCCTTTCCTTAAATCAGCCATATCATTTTTTTGCATTGTCGGGGTCGTGGTTTGATTACACTGATGGTATTAACAAAGTGGACGAGCTATTGAAGACTCCATCCCACACCATCTTATCATCTAGCATGGAGAGGAGGGTTGTACCTTTATTCTCTCGTCACAGGAATACCCAACGTCTTCGCCTATTTCCTATTCTTCATCTTCTGATGGGTATACACTTTTTCTTGGAGTTTGCAAAGGACGGCGCAAAGGGGATGGCATGAGGCCCGGGGCGTGCTGCTCTTGACCTTCCTTGTTTCTCGATCTTTTGATCTTCTTTTCTTGCAAATTGGCTTCCAGGCAATCGGCCATTTTCCAAATTCCTGGTTTACGATTCCTAATCTGGTACCTGCACGAGGGCACCAGTCTAATGTCTTATACCCTAGTGTGTGTGTGTGTGTGTGTTGGAGGGTAACAACAACGAAGATGACAACCAAATTTGCACTGGTTGGTGGTACGGGACACATGGATGGTCGGAAACATCATCTAGGAGGGCATGATCTTTGATCCCCAAGTCGCTTTTTCGACGAGTTTCAGCATCGCACATAGAAGATGGCTAGCGCGGCAAAGAGGCCGCGGCCAGTGATTGGGAAATCAGCAAGGTGGACAGGAGAGAGAGGCCCAAGATTTACTCTCAGGGCGGGCATGCGTGAGGAGCGCTCTCTTGACGCCGGAGCCGGCATGTGCGCCGCGCAAGTAAATACATTGCTGAGTGTAGATAAAGCAGGAGAGCTTGTGTGCTCTGCACCTGTAGATCGAGAAATGAATCAATTAATTTCAGTGACCACTGCAGCAACTCTGTGTATACTGTACTCGTTTGCGATCATGCCCAAGTGTTGGGTGTATTCACCCAACCAATGAATGTCGATATCCTTTGGCTTCAATATGAATCATGAACTTATCAGAGCACAACTTGTATAAGATTTGTATCTATTTGCTGCGTGTCATATCTTGTGTCATCCACAGCGTCGTTCATCCCGGTATTTGGCATCCTATCCACCCTCAGATGCAACAAACCCAATCTAATGGTATCCAGAACGCCCATGAGATCTAATAAAACGCCTGCTCAAAATGCCTCTAGGGGTAATCGCACAACAGTCCTCGTCGAACTGGTTGCGATTTCCGGCGGGAAAAAAAAGGAAACAGACAGAAAAAAACTAAACCTTCTGCCTCACGCTCTCAGCACTAGTCTTATGGAACTCGCACATCACCATTCGCGGACGTCTACTGCTCTACTCCGGGACGAGGATCTTGGCCTCTCGCATCCGCACTAAATGCTGATGGCGGATCGTCCATAGGGTTACGAGCAGGCCGAGCCCGCACGCCCCGAGGGTGACGAAGTAAGCGGACCGGTAGCAGTCCAGGCCATCCAGGCACGAGCGCTCGCCGCCTGGCCCGACGACACTGTGGCGGTCGAAGACGAGGCCGTAGAAGACGTTGAAGATGTTGCCGGAGACGACGGGCGAGAGCGTCATGAGGCCCCAGTTCTGGCTGAGGCCGTGGATGCCGAAGGTCTCGGCGACGATGGACGGAAAGACTCCAAAGAGAAAGCCGTAGCCCAGCCCAGAGAGCCCGGAGACGAAGCCGAGCAGGTGTGGGTTGGTGACGTTCAGCGCGCATATTTGCGCTACGCAGAAGATGAGGCTGGCGATGATGAGGCACCATACACGGCTTGCGTGTAGTACCTTGACTAGAAAGTCGGACCCTACGCCTGTAGAAGAGGTCAGCCGACTGAAAGTTGCCGATATTTTCTGGTGGTGGGTGACCAACCGCTTGATAATCTGCCTGCAAAACTGCAGATAGATAAGATAGAGACATGGATTTGCTGGCGGTAAATCAGGAATTCCTCGCTAACAGTGTCATCGTACTTCTTCCAAAGAGCATTGACATCGTGCCCAATGTTGCTGTTGCGCCGGGTTAGCAAGCAAGAAGACAGTATATCAAAGTACCGGGAGCTCACTTGATTGTCATAAGGCCAATGCCGGCGAGAATGCCCATAATGAGGAACTGCTGCCAGAAGTCGACATTCCGCAATAGGTTCCAACCACGAATATCTATACGATGAGAACGATCCAGATCAACACTGTTCGATACCAACACGTCTCCCGGTAGGGAGGATGATTTGGACATGAGGGATGACGTCTCGTCGCTGTCCTGGTCGTCGAGCGTAGGCGACGTGGCCGTTATAGACGACTCGACGTCCTGCTGCTCTCGGGCCGCTGCCTCGTCGACCTCTTGTCTATGTGTCGAAGAGGTCGTTGGGTTTGTGTAATTAGTGTTAGGCGACGTACCAGGTTCAACAAAGACGGAGGCGGCGCTCTTCCCGACGCGGCGCACCTTTGCCTCTTCGGAGGACGTCCTGCGCAGTTGTTGGGAGTCGGAAAGCCCACGCCCATCTTCTACCGATGACACGGCATGGTACGAATGGTGAGGGTACACTCGCAGGAAAAAGAAACCAATAAACGTTATTCCAGATGTGCCGGCCGCCAGGAGCGTTAAGAAAGCGCTTGTATTTCCACTGAAGGCCAAACCACCAATTAGCGAGAAGAAGAAGGCACTCAAGCCAAAGGCTGCCAAGGGGAAAGCAGTAGCCGTTCCTCGATGATGCGGCCAGTTAAGCGCAGAGGTTTTTATAGCGGCGGCGAATGCCATGCAACCTCCAAGGCCCGTCAGATACGAGAAGAAGCACATGAGTCCAACTGAGCCCTCTCCGCGATCAAACGCAGCGTGTATGGGGAAGTAGCCGAGGCCTAACAGGAGGGCGCCGGCAATGACTGCAGGTCGAGGGCCTCTGTGATCTATAAATAGGCCGATTGGGACACCCATCGAATACATTCCCAGGTTGCCCGCAAGGCCGACGAGATTGGCTTGTGTTGCCGTGTAATGAAGCTTGTCTGCGAACTGAGGCGCCCATGCTGAATAGACGTACTGGCGAGGGCTCACGTTAGTCCGATGTGATCAGTGATGGGGATATGCTTGAACCATAGAGCGTACGCACATTTGTTCCACAGGCCAAGGATATCGTAGTAGCCGCGACGCTCGATATCATTCGAGCTCGCCTGAGCTGCTTTTCCCGCATCCTGGGCAAAGCGTAGGGATGATATTCGATATCGGAAGTCGAGTCAGTCCTGGAGGGTTCAACTAAGCATATTTACAAAGGAAATTCGATGAATTTGCACAGGAGAGGATGCGTGAAGAGAGAAACGGTACGTGGGTAACAGAGACCTCAGGTTGAGGTGAAGCGACGCCGTTGTAGCAGTGAAGTTTAGGTATGATGGAGGTTGGTTGTTTCGATTGTTATCTATGATGTCCCCATTGATAGCTGGTGCTACGGGAATTAAGGTACCGCGCAGCACGTAATTCGGCACAAGGCCGGTGCCGCGAGCCACGAATTGGTTTCGAATTAGACTAAGGAAGCCGCTGATTGGCGCTGTCGGCACCGACGGCCACGAACATCACAGACTGGAGACTCCGATAGACGGCGATTATGGAGGATCACCCCTGACCTGCTCTCTTGGGATAAGGCGGGAGTCAAGTCCTGTACTGTATTACAAAGGAGTTGCAGAGTCAAGGGCTATCTGACCTTGAATCTTGGGCTCGTGGTAAAGAATCTATTAACCCTCTTCACTCTGGACGGTTAATAGATCCCTAGGCTATGCGGATGCCTGAAGCTCCCCTTAGTTCACCTTAAGATGATGCCTTAGTCAAGAAATTGAATGAAATGTTTACTTTGGTAAGATACCTACACTACCTAGGTAGTCGACTGATGGTTCTGTCCCTTGAATGCTGGTGGCTCTGCCTGTGGCTTGCCCCCTACACCTCGATGGTATTACGTAAGGCGGTTACGTGTGGGCCATAGTCAACAGCCGCCCGCTCGCCATCCATCTAACCTGACATCACCAACATCGTCGCTGTCGCAACGAGCATCACCCTACAAACCACTCACATCTATGGTATAGCTGGCTTCACACCTAGATCACTGTTTGTCTACCACAGCTAGTTCTCGTTTACGTCTGAAAGATCTACGCTAGAGATGGGCGCCCTTCTCTCCATCCCGTTGCTGGCAGTGCCAAGCATGACCACGGTAGGCCAGGCTCCCTCCGGCACGGCACCCCTCACGATCTATGAGAGACTAACAGCGCTTTGCTATCACAGGTCATTTCCTTTGCTGCCAGCTGCTGTGGTGCTGCAACATGCTCGATGGTTTGCAGCGCCTGCGGGAAGTGCGGCAACAGTGTCGCAACCCGTATCGCATACGCCCTCATCCTCCTCGTCAACTCGATATTGTCCTGGATCATGCTTACACCATGGGCCATCGAGAAATTACAACATCTCACGCTGGACTATGTGAAGATAAATTGCCCGACCGGCCAATGCCATGGCTGGTTTGCGGTCCATAGGATCAACTTCGCTCTCGGTCTATTCCACCTTGTGTTCGCAGGATTGCTTGTTGGGGTCACCTCGTCCAAGAGCCCTCGAGCTGCAATTCAAAATGGCTTCTGGGGTCCCAAAATCATCACTTGGTTGGCGCTGATTGTCTTGTCGTTCCTCATTCCGGACGGCTTCTTCATGTTCTGGGGCAACTATATCTCTCTGTTCGCCGCGATGCTTTTCCTCATACTCGGTCTCATCCTGCTCGTCGATCTCGCTCATACCTGGGCGGAGTATTGTCTCGAACAAATCGAGAACACTGACTCCCGTGTATGGAGGTCCGTCTTGATTGGGTCCACTTTGGGCATGTATTTGGGGTCTCTCGCCATGACGATTGTCCAGTACTTTTTCTTCGCCTCAAGCGGCTGCTCTATGAACCAGGCCGTCATCACGATCAACCTTCTCTTGTGGCTAGGTGTCTCGGCTGTCTCGGTGCACCCGATGGTTCAGGAGTACAATCCGAAGGCAGGTCTCGCGCAAGCCGCCATGGTAGCAATTTACTGCACCTACTTGACCATGTCTGCTGTCTCCATGGAGCCTGATGATGGACATTGCAACCCTATGGCATTTTCTGCGGGTACACGAACCACAACGATTGTTCTCGGCGCTATCGTCACAATGCTCACCGTTGCATACACCACGACTAGGGCTGCGACGCAGAGCCTTGGACTGGGGAACAACAGAGGGGGTATCCGTCTTCCTGACGAGGATGAGCACGATCTTGTCACCACACAACCGAGCACAACGCGCCAGATGCGGGCTGAGGCCCTCCGCAGGGCTGTCGAAGAAGGAAGTCTGCCAGCGGATGCCCTGCTTTCCGATGACGAGGACGAGGAGTCTGGCGGCAACGCTGCGCATGACGATGAGCGCACGAGCACACAATACAATTACGCGATGTTCCACATTATATTCTTCCTAGCTACTGCATGGATAGCTACATTACTGACACAAGGCTACGAGGATTCGAAGCGTGATGGCGACTTTGCCACTGTTGGGCGGACATATTGGGCCAGCTGGGTGAAGATCGTCAGCTCCTGGTTCTGCTACCTCATGTATGTGTGGACGTTGATTGCACCAGTCGTGCTGCCGGACCGATTTGATTTCTCCTGAGCGCATTACAATTTAGGATCGCTCGCCTTTTCTTTTGTTTGATGTATCGACCTGCATTGGGGTATGGTGTTCAGTTCGGGATTAGCATAGTGCTGTTTCGTGTACTCTAGAAAAATACAAGATCATTCCCAGCATGCCGTTTGAGTTGTGTTCTCTCCGCAGGACAACTGCATTCGCTTGCCTTGGCTCTCTGCTCTCCCTCCTGCACCGAGCCGCTTGTGATGATGTAGATGGCCGGATATATACTCGGTCGCGGGCAGAGGCAGCAGCTTGGCAGCTATCAACAGAGTGCGTGTAACTTCACTCCGCTGGGTACTGTATCCGTGAGCATGGTAATGTTCACCGAGTCCTCCCCGTTTGCAAACGGTATGATTGAATTTGACCCATTCCTGTGCCTTTTAAGGCTCGGTCAGCGTTCACGCCTATCTGTGTCTCAAGATTAGCGCCATGTCTGTTAGCCTCCTGCTTCTCGAAGTTTGGGACGAAACAAATCGGTGTTGGGTGGTGCCGGATGACATATGGAGGGAGGTCCGGGCCCTTCCCTCTCGCGGAACTGGGATGCCGACTGGATCATCGCTGAGATGTATCGAAGTATACGTGTCTGTCAATTATTTGAAGATGAGGTTGAGTTTGGCCACATGGTCCTCACCCTACGCATCTCTGCGCCTCGCTTATTGATATGAAGTCGTTGCAAATCTACCCTGTCATTAAAATTGGGCTTGGAGGCACCACCTGTCAAATGAACAAGAGCACATGCGATGCAACAGCAGGACTTGTAGGACAGCAGGTATATTTTCTCTCGAATCTACGAAATGGAGGAGGATGGACTGGAGTGCTTAGAAGAGGATGGTTGATCACATCCTCAACTCGAGTCCGCCAGACGCGGTAATTAATCGTTTCCCACTCCCACAAGACCAATAACTGTACCGTAGTGTCGCAAAGGAAACGGCTACTTGCAGACTTGTTCCGTGGCTCTTGGTAAGTATTGTGTGCGTCCTCCTACTTGTGCAGACACAAAGTCCGGAGAGCATATTATAGGCAGCCAACAAAGGTGGCCGTGCCGTACGACATATCAGTACACTTCCTTTCATGGTGTGAGCGGATCAAGGTCAATTGAGATCACAGAGGTGAGACGGGAGTCTTGTCGATGTCTGGTACTTCCTGCCTTCCCTTTCTTTCACGAGGCAGCTCTGAGGTGGCTGATCCACTCTCTGACTTGATGACAAGGACGAAGACACAGAGATAAAAGATATCAATGTAGGACCCAATGTATGAAGGTCGAAGAGAGAAATCATGAGCCTCACAGACAACCTCTTTCTTATAGCGCTGTTCAAGTCTCAGAAAGATTAAGGGGTAACTTGACAAACAACGGAGGGAAGCATGATCATTTGGGCAGGCAGGCTCTTCATGGCCGTAAATCTAAGCCTGTGCTACAGTCTAGACGTAAATTTCTCGTGATTGGCGTGCAGTACACACCCATATAATGTGTGAAGAGTTTCGAAGAGATAATGCCATGGAGCAGGCCAGGAGCGTCCTCCGAGAAACGCTGGTCCAGAGCACACATCCTCGACTGGCCTTCGCCCAAGCCGAGTGAATAGTTACACCGAGGTAGGGGAATCTTTGTTTAAAGCAGTCACCGAGCATAAAGAAAAGACCTGTCAAATTTTCGCATTGAAGATATCTCCAGCTGCAGATGCGACTGGACTAACAACGACCATTTGTCGCACCGCTTGCGGATAGGTGCTTGCATTAGGTAGTTGGGCTTGACCGCTGACTTTCTCTTGAACTGCACCATACGATCATATAGGCGCCAAATGCGGTCACTTTTGCCAAAGAGCGAGAGCTAAGACTCTGTTTGCATTGCTGCGCTAGTATGCCCATTACGACGAGATCGAATTCCCATCGGTCTGTGCTGGGACTCGAAGTCACAAGCACTTCTATAAAAGGGGAGGTGGTCGTCTCACCGCGATATAACATGAGAGTTCTAACTGTAAGGATCAATAAGTGTGTTTTGTTTTGCTTCCCTTGTTTCCAGGGTCGAGCTCGGAACGAAATCAGAGTATATTGAAGCTTCAAGAGCAACCCTGACATCCTAAGACAATCTCAACCTTAACAGCAACTACCTTACAGCAATGGCTAATGATTCTAAAGAGAAAACAGTGGAGAAAGAGTGTGTCTCCCTGTTTCATCCGCTCTTAGCCACTTGAGTTGCATGTGCTGAACTGCCAGTAAGGCTAGCTGAGCAAGGCTCTGCGCTAGGCTCTGCGCCTGGTTCGCCAGATCGGAAGACTGTCAAGATCCCCTCAACTCCGTCCTTCATGACTACCACGTATCTCACTGGAGACCGCCGCGAGGATATGCCGTTGAGTGAGTGGATGGAGAAGAAATCTCAGGAGGAGCGCCAGTGAGTGAATGATCTGCGCATGGTAGTTGTGACTGATGATTGATTTTTTGGATAGGTCGCGAACTTGACTGGGAACTGAAATACGTCGCTTCGTGCGACATGTAGATGATAAGACAACGCATAGACTTCGCAGCACAAGTCTATCCAGTATCGTACTTCTTAATTATTCAATTTCGAATTGATTTTATGTCCTTTTCCCTATATGATCATACGCCGAGAACACAATGAGCCATACCCACGCCGCAAAATGAATACCTAACGCCATCATCCAGTCTTGATAAGATACAAATCTTGAGATGAGTTTTTATGTAGATGTGGATCCTGAGCTCTCGCCGTTGGGGACGGGTTGCGCAGGGTTGTTGGCATGGAAGCCATCGATTGTAAGGGTCACGGCGCCAGCTTGTACAAGCTAAGGAATTGTAAGTTATTGATATAGAGTCTCACGATTGGGAAAATAGCTTACTGCGCGGGAGAGATCATCGATCAAATCCTCTACATCCTCAATACCAATGCAAAGCCGGATGATATCCTCAGGCATCTGCCGCTCCTTCCGAGTCTTCGGATCGATGCTTGCGTGGCTCATTCGGCATGGCATACTGATCAGACTGTTAACGCAGCCGAAGCTGACACTAATGCCGAACAGTTTGGCAGCTTCGACGATCCTCTCAGATAGGCCGATGTCGCCTGTTTCGAAAGAGAGGACGGCACCCGCGCCGCGGGCCATTGACCAATGAAGATCGTATTGTGGGTGTGACTTAAGGCCGGGATACCGAACCCGGAAACCATGAGACTCGAGAAATTCAGCAATGGCCTGCGCATTCGCTTGTTGCTTCTCCATACGAATCGCTAGAGTCTTCACTCCCCTCATGAGCAAGGAGGCATCATCAGGTGATAGTCCGCAGCCAGTAGAGTTGATCATGAAATACATCTTGTCTCCGAGACTAGCGTCGTTGGTAGCAATGACTCCTGCCATAATGTCGTGATGCCCTGACAAGTATTTAGTTCCGGATTCGTAGACGATATCGGCGCCAAGCTCGAGGGGGTTGCAGAGCATGGGGGAGAGCATGGTGTTGTCGCAAATGACCAGAGCCTTTCCATTCAGGTCATGTGTCAACTTCGCAATGGCTGGAATATCAACAATCTTAATTAAAGGATTGGTGGGCGTCTCCAAGAGGACCATGGCCGTCTTGCTTGACAGAACGGCCTTGACCCTGTCGACGTTGGTTGTGTCGACGTGGTGGACGATAATACCCTGATTCGTCGAGAGATATGTGAGTAGCCGATTCGTTCCGCCATAAAGATCGTCACCTGTGATAACCTCGTCGCCCGGCCTGAGGAGTCGGGTGATCACGTCCAAAGCCCCCATACCGGATCCCACGGCTAGTGTTCTGGTAGCATTCATAATCTTGGCTAGGTGACGCTCGAGATGCGTCCGGGTGGGATTTCCGGAGCGCGTGTAGTCGTATTCGCCTGAGCCATTGGCTCCTGTCTGCTTAAACGTCGCAGAACGGTATACCGGAAAGCTTGAGGCGCCATATTGATCTTTGTTGTCCGTGTAGACAAGCTCTGTCGCCAGGGCATAGCGTCTGCGGCCATTGGCGGGACTCGAGGGGGCTGGCGATGGAGGTAGATTATGACCATCCAAGTCCACTCGGGACAGTGCCTTGGCCGCCTTTGCCGTAGCTGCGTTTGCCGGCGGTGTGGCCATGATGCTGTGTCGCGGTGACTCAAACGAAAGGGTTTATCGAGTCGTCTAAGGTGGCGGGATGGAGGGGTACGTTAATGTCGAATTGGAGGGGCCACGAGGTATTTCCGGCGGTTAGCTAAGAGTTGAAAGTGCTGCACTCGAGGCTCTCGAGGGTCACTGTCTTGTCAGGATGTTGGCAATAGGAACAAACTAGCAATTGAATCTTCTATGAAATGGTCTGAGGCGAGAAATAGTTGGAGCTCGACTTTCGGCATCTTCAGGTACCAGTACCTTGACGATGTATGACTGGTCTTGCATGGTCCCCACATGTCGGGTCCCTTGCAGAGGAGGTGCGGAGGAATTCGCGCTAGTGAAGTACATCAACTTACATTGCGTTTGACAGAGAGATAAGGTAGCTCATTGACAGCGCCATCGGACCCTACCGATCACGACATCGCACGTGAGGCAAAAGCAAAAGAGCGGTGATGTAGCACGACATCTTCAATCGTTCTGGCGGAAGGTCTCCTATGTGCATACAGTAATGGCACATAGGTAAACTGCAGTGTCTATTTTCCCAGAACTCATTAGCCGATCAGGCTATATCCTTAAGGACCTGGATTTTCCGCATGCATTTGTGCCGATGAATAGTATCTGCTATAGATTTTGTAATGAAAGCCAATGTACCAAACATGATGGCAGACCGCTCTACCACCGCTGTGAATAGGCTCGTTCCCTCATACGATTGTATACAACTATGTGTCTACAGTTGATGGTGATCATACATTACTCTGCTGTATATTCCGAATGGCGGAGCCCTCTTCTTTAGCCAACAGATAGCCCGCTCTCCTAACGCCGTGCCGAGTGCTGAGAACCATCAAATTCCCATCTGATGTGCCACTAGACGAAGCACCGATGCATTATCAAAGGCCTTCTTTTGTACAGGTTTTTCCGTTCAGGTGAGAAGTGTAAGTGTCTTTAGTCCGGAAGCTCAGTGATTTGCTCCTCAACGTCCTCGTATTCCTCACTGGAGGTCTTGGACGTCTTTTTCTTTGTCTCGGCCAGTCTGCGAGCATGATTTTCCATCAGAATCTGCCCGCCGCCCTTGCGACCAAAGAAGTCCGCTGTTTGGAGTCCACGGACACGTTCAGGGTTGACACTCGACATTGCCTGGCCTGAAGCTCGATGTTCTCGGATATATTCCCTCATAGGAACCATTGCAGCATCTCTGCAAGCCTCTTTGATGTCGCTGCCAGACATGCCAGCCGTAACCTTAGCTATGTACTCCATATCAAATTCGGAGTCCCTCTTGGTGTCCTGGAGAACAAGTTGCAGAATTCGGCGCCGTTGGTCCTTCCCTGGTAGGGGAACTGGAAACTTCTTTGGCATTCTGCGTAGGATAGCCTCGTCAATGTCGTGCATCCTATTGGTGGCGCCAAGGACAACTATTCTCGCAGGAATACCAGAAGCATTGTTCGATGTTAACCCATCCCAGAGAGTCATGAATTCGGCCTTTACCATTCCACTAGCCTCGTGCTCTCCGCTTCGTCGAGTACCCAAAACAGCGTCAATCTCATCGATGAAGATAATTGCCGGTTGAAGCTTGTGCGCTAAAGAGAAAACGGCGCGAACCAGCTTATTAGAATCGCCATACCATTTTTCCGTAAGAGTCGATATATGCAGGTTGATGAATGAAGCGCCGCTCTCATGTGCAACCGCCTTGGCTAGCATAGTCTTTCCACAGCCCGGTGGCCCGTAGAGCAACACTCCTGATGGTGCGGAAAGAAGAGGAGCAGCGTGCGAGTATAGCTGCGGCATAGTCAGGGGATAGATGACTGATTCCTTGAGCTCCTCAATAATTTCTTCCAGTCCACCAATATCGTCGAAGCCCACGGAAATATCCTCTGGCGCCACAACCTCCAATGCTATTAGGTTCTCATACTCGTTCAGAACGAGCTCTTCCACTCGTGGTCCCCTTCGTGAGCTGCTCCCGTCCGTCCCATCTTCGCCTTCCTCGTCGTTGCGTTTACTTCGTTGTAGACGTTGCAAATTCGCCCGTGCTCTTAATCTAGCTTGCTCATGCTTTTCTTTATCCGGATCCAAAGTACTCGCGAACGAGGATAGGAGGTTGCGCACGAGGAAGTATGCTGTGACGGCCTGGAAGCTGGTTAGTTGAAAGTCGTTTGGCAGCAGTCTGGGGGAAATCCACCATCCCCGCCGTAAGAACAATATTGACGACCGCATCGGTCGTCCGTCTTCGGTCGCTCATCGCGATATATCGATTGAACGGCCCCAGCATTAAGCCTGTGTACTCACTGGCTCATGCAGGGCTAGATGCGGACAAGATGTTGACCGAATTTTGAAAGGTGGAATCTCGCAGGCTCGCTTTGGGGACTCACATGCATCCGGTAAGGTTGGCCCAAGGTCGGCGCTGTGGCTGAAAGACACGCAAGCCACTGTTTGTCGCCACGCTATCGGATCATAATGGGACTAAGCCTATCGTAGCCTTTGTTTACTCCAGCAAGCCATCACAACACCTAATTGGACGGCCATTTTACCAATTCTGCCAGCTACCTATCCAGCGCCGACATAATACTTATACATCCCACCTTTTGAAAACCAACGCGAATGCCTCCTTACGCATCTGCTACTCGAACATAAAATTGCCCAGCTTCTTGACTAGTCGCATTATCAGATATCAATTGATCAGGGCCTGATATCGACAGATGTCGAAAGCTAAACAACAAGCGGCATTGCTTGGCTTGGTGGACTCGGATTCCGACGACGGAGTGATTATACGTGCCGCAAAGATGCCTGCTGCAAAGAGACCCAGAGGCCGTCCGGCTGCGAGCAAGGTCACGAAGCCTGCGCCGAAATCTACGCGCCGTGCCAGTGGAAGACTCGCGGACGCAGTCGACACAGAAGCAGGTCGAGCGGCACTTGCGGAGAAATCTACGAATCAACAGCCGGTCGTCGCAAAGAGAGGGCGCAAACCAGCAGCCAAAGATGCTGTCATTCCAGAAGATGGCGGACTCGCAACTCCGCCAAATGAGAATCCGAGTAAGACAAAAGGACGCGGGCGCCCGAGAAATGTGAAGCCTGCCGAACAAGAAATGGCCAAGGAAGTTCCAGACTCGGTGCAACCAAAGGCAGCTCCAGCAGCGAGGCGTGGCCGGAAGCCGGCTGAGAAAATGGAGGAGGAGGAGCCAGAAGACACCGAAATACCAGAAACCCAGCAAGCCGACGCAATGGATATTGATCTAGAGGGGGACTCAGAACAAGTGGAAGACCTACCAGTGTTCCCACGTGCTGTCACGGCATCTGCACAGCGCATCTCATCCCAGGCGCCTCCTAGCGCTCTCAGACGACCATTGAGTGCTTCTGACAACGACAGTGATCCGTCTATACGGCGACGATTGGGTGATATGACGAAGAAATATGAAAGTTTGGAGATGAAGTATCGAGACCTACGTGACGTTGCGGTTAGGGAAGCGGAGCGAAACTTCGACAGACTAAAGAAGCAGGGTGAAGAGAGAGCACAGAGTAAGTCGGTTCAGCAGAAATCACGGCTTCATACTAATCGGTTCGTAGCCGCAAATCAGTTGATAGCCAATCTGAAAAGCGAGGTTACGGCTCAGAAAGAACTCGCTAAAGAGGGTGCCAGCTTCAAAAAGCAGTTCGAGGCCAGCGAAGCCAAGATTGACAATCTACAAGCCAGGATAACCGAGCTCACGACTGCGCTATCCGAATCAAAGAATGAGATGAAAACGCTCTCAGCCAAGCTCTCGGCTGCAAGAGCAACTGAGGCTGCTAATGCGAAGGTTCCTGGCAGTGCCATGAAGAATGGAACTGGAGGATCACGCGCAGCTGCAAGTTCAGAGACGGTACATTCCACACAACTAGCGCAGCTGAAGGAGGATCTCTATGGTGACTTGACTGGCCTGATTGTGCGAGGCGTCAAGCGCGATGGTCCAGAGGACACCTTCGATTGCATTCAGACAGGCAGGGGAAGAAGTAAGTTCTCCAACCCATTGGCCGTTCATCTTGAGAACCGTACTGACAAGCTGTAGCACTTCACTTCAAACTTGCCATAGCCAACGAGAATTCTTCTGAGGGCTATGATGACGCCCAGTTCATGTACATGCCTCAGCTCGATCCGAAGCGTGATGAGGATTTGATCGAGATGCTTCCGGATTATTTGGTGGAGGAGATCAGTTTTCCACGACTGCACGCTGCCAAATTCTACTCGCGTGTACAGAAAGCCCTCACGGAACGCTTGGACTGAGTGACTATATCTATTCGACGGCCACCTTAGATCTGGAAGGTCGGAAGCCACCATTGAGAAATTGTGGGGGCATAGCATCCGATGATGTTGGTGTAATGAAATGTACGTTATACAGGAGTTACGAGATATCACTATGGCGTAGAGTATCTGCATGTTGCCAATTTGTACATACAAGCGGTCATCTATATGAAGTGCGACTCTTCTTACACCTAAGGAAGTATTGATAGGTATTGTTAGCATTGAAGTGGGCCGTGCTGACTGATGACGGTAAGTCTTCCCGACAAGCGCATTTTTGTGGCGGCGGGACGGATCCCTGCAAGGTGGACGCGGTGCCGCAAAGTGGACAACGTGTGCCTGAAATCGCGTTTGGATAGGACTCTTAGTAGCTGGGGAAATTTCCATCTGTCTGTCCCGTTTGAACATTTCGAATCTGATCTCTCCCCACCAAACAAATGCGCACCTGTGCGGCCAAATGGCAAGGGAGTGTTAGAAGGTCGGACTGGTTTCTCGTCGGGCTTCTTCTCTTTCGTTCATTCATTTGAAAGACTTTGAGGTCACGGATGAGGCCGTCTTGAACCCATTCCAGATCCCTTTGTCCAGTCGCATTGTCATTTGTAAACTACCCATTTCTAATTGAATCAAGGCGCAAACATGGCTCGGTTTCCCCGGGTTCGATTCATGGCTATCGCCATGATATTTCACTTGGTCTATATCTATTCTATCTTTGATATTTACTTCGTGAGCCCCATTGTTTCTGGCATGCGCCTCTTTGGAGTTGAAAGGTCAGGAACTATGCGGGCTCCTGCCGATCGCTTGGTCCTGTTCGTAGGTACGTTGTCGCATGGCATTGCTTCTTTTCTATGACAGGCTACTGACTCCAGGGCTTATAGGTGACGGATTGCGTGCAGACAAAACTTTCCAGTCCTGGCCGGAGCCGTATCCCGAAAGTGAGGAAGATCTCAAACCTCGACCTCTAGCTCCCTTTCTACGATCGCGTGTGCTTGAGCATGGCACCTTTGGCGTCTCGCACACGCGAGTTCCGACTGAGTCACGACCAGGGCATGTCGCTCTTATCGCGGGGCTATACGAGGATGTCTCGGCTGTCACAACTGGATGGAAGCTGAATCCTGTCGACTTCGACAGCGTGTTCAACAGAAGTAGACATACATGGAGCTGGGGAAGTCCAGATATTCTACCAATGTTTGAACAAGGCGCCGTACCCGGGCGAGTTGATGCATTTATGTACAGCGCCGAGTTGGAGGATTTTTCTCACGATGCTCTACAACTAGACTATTGGGTATTTGACCATGTTAAAGAGCTGTTTGAGGAGGCCCAGAAAAATCAGACTCTCAACAATGCCCTTCGACAAGACAAGGTGGTGTTCTTCCTCCATCTCCTCGGTCTTGATACGAGTGGTCATTCCTATCGTCCCTACTCGAAAGAATATTTGAACAACATCAAAGTTGTCGATCAGGGAGTCAAAGAGATCACGGAGTTGATCAACAAATTCTATGCTGATGACAGGACCGCATTTGTCTTTACCGCAGACCATGGCATGAGTGATTGGGGCAGTCATGGTGATGGTCATCCAGATAATACCCGTACTCCTCTTATATCGTGGGGCTCGGGTGTTGCCAAGCCGGAAATCAACAAAGATACTGTTGCTCCAGGTCACAGTGATTATTCATCTGACTGGGGTCTTGATCATGTCCGAAGACATGATGTCAGCCAGGCCGATGTAGCAGCGCTGATGGCGTATCTTGTTGGCATCGACTTTCCCGCCAACTCCGTGGGAAAGCTACCGCTATCATACCTCTCAGCTGATATCAAGGAGAAAGCTGAGGCATTCCTCGTCAACGCTCAGGGAATCCTAGAGATATACCGAGTAAAGGAAGAGCAGAAGAAGGCGTCAGAACTGAGATTTCGCCCCTATTCGCCATTTAGCGTCGAAACCCCCGAACAACGAGCAGCCGATATTCAACAACTCATCCAAGCTGGTCATTTCGAGGAGGCTATCGAGGAAACAGACGCCCTCATTCAATTCGGTCTACAGGGTTTACGGTACCTCCAGACTTATGACTGGCTATTCCTACGGGCCCTCATCACTATTGGCTACCTTGGATGGATGGCATTCGCCATAAGCACGGTCGTCAACTTACATGTTCTGCATGGCAAGGTCGAGCCGTCAAGGTCTTTAGCCGGTTTGGCAATCTTCTCCTCGATTTTTGTGCTCCTTTCGGCATCATTTATTGCTTCCAAGTCACCCGTGACATACTATGCTTATGCTTTTTTCCCCGTCTTCTTCTGGGAGGAAGTGTATGCTCGTCGAGAAAGCCTAATTCAGGGTAGCAAGATTCTCTTCGGGCACGTGCAATCAGGGGGTTCCTTCATGACTCTCTTCGTCAATGGCGCGCTATACATTGCCACTATTGAGTCTCTTGCCCTAGGCTACATTCACCGGCAGATTTTGACAGTTCTGTTCATCCTCGGCGCGTTCTGGCCCGTCCTTTGCGGTCCTTCTTTCATCAAAGAGCATGTGGCACTGAGCGCAACGTGGTTTGTTTCCTGCGTCAGTATGAGCGTTTTCACTCTCCTGGATGCCAATAAGGTGGAAAGTGTCAACCTCGTTATGATCGGCGGCGCCCTTATGGTTACCGTTGGCCTTGTGTATCTCATCTATGAAGATCGCATTCTTGCCGGCTTCTCTCCTGTATCGAAGTATCAAAAGTCTGGGCTACCGATGTCACGAATACTTGTCGGGGTGCAGGTTGGCCTCATCATCTTGGCGATGCTCGTAACGCGGTCCAGCGCACTTTCTTTGCAGGCAAAACAAGGCCTGCCTCGGGGCAACCAAGCGGTGGGATGGATTGTTCTAGGTAGGGGTTCAAGTCTTTACTCTGCATGTGTGCAATACTGACGTGTCACAGTTGTCTCACTACTCATGCCTCTGGCGTACCGGTTTCAACCGAACAGCCACTATCTTCATAGGTTAATGGTCATCTTCTTGACATGTGCGCCAACATTTGTCATCTTGACGATCTCGTACGAAGGCTTATTTTATGTTGCATTCTGTTCTACCCTTGTCACATGGGTAAGGCTAGAACACGACGTCTACGTCTATAACAAACCCCGGACTGGTCCCCCACAAGGATCCAACGGATCTGCGGCGGAGGTGCATAAGTCTACGGAGACCTTCCGACCCCTGACGCTGCAGGATGCCCGGATAGCCCTATTTTTCTTCGTGCTGCTCCAGGCTGCCTTCTTCAGCACGGGCAATGTGGCATCCATCTCATCCTTCAGTTTGGAAAGCGTCTGCCGACTACTCCCGATATTTGACCCCTTCTCGCAGGGAGCTTTGTTGGTGCTCAAGCTGATGATTCCGTTTGCCCTAGTCTCGGCGAACCTAGGAATACTAAACAAGAGGCTAGGCGTGGCGCCCTCAGCCCTGTTCATGGTTGTCATGGCTATCAGCGACATCCTGACGTTGTACTTCTTCTGGGTCGTGAAGGACGAAGGGTCCTGGCTGGAGATTGGCTCAACCATCACCCATTTCGCTATTGCAAGTCTGTTGAGTGTGTTCGTTGCAGCACTCGAAGGCGTTAGTGCAATGTTCATCTCTGGTGTTGACGTTGACAGCCCGCTTGGGAAGCTGATCACCAATGGCGACGCTGCGGAGAAGAAAAACCCAACACCGGAAGCCAACGGGTTGGGCTCAACCAACTAGATACAACACATCTGTTATGCATATACAGAAGCGTACATCACGATTGAGCACGAATTGAATACAAATACTTCATAGATGTAGGACCATCTTGACTCGTGACATGTTTTAGGGGCAGCATAGAACTGAGATATGATAGGCAAGCTAGGCAAGGCGGTGTCTAACGTCTTTTGAGAGTTACCTCGGCATCTTTTTAGTTTCTCTTGGAGCTTGTGCTGGCTTGGCCGTTCAGCTTGACGAGGCCCATTTTGCGGGCTAGTCTAGGCTCGGGGCTGACTAGATCTCTGGTACAATGCGTGATAAGCTTGGTGATGGTCGCACCCATTGCAGATCCAGCGAACGTTAACCATCAGATCGGTACCTGGCAGTCTATTACTGCCGGATGCATGGGGGTATCGTGGAGTGCGTAGTTGAAGTCACACAAGATGACACAGGAGATTTCAACTAAAGCATATACAGATGTCTAGCTGGATATCTACGGGAACGAGCCTAAAATTGGCAGTCTTTTTACTGGTTCATTCTCTGGCAATGTGAAGAGCGTAAGTCTCGACTTGCTCTCGTCCCACAACCTCACCACTCCAGCATGTCGGGAGCTTTCCGAGCAGCTTCTCGAATCCTTCGGGTGTGTCCTGTATCGGATGCGGTACGAGTACATAGCCTCGAGCATAGTCTTGACACGCTACCATCATGTAACATTCTCAGGGTGGTGGAGTGCCCCAGATTACGGAGTTGAGGGGTCAGTGATGGAGAACGGAGAAGGCCCCAAGCCAGGGATAGGAGGATATGCATCATTAGAAATTGAGAGCGCCTCCTGACCGTTGGGCTCCCCAAAACCAGACAATCACAGTCGTTCTGGTGGACGTGGCGTCGAAATAGTGTCCCCGACTGCCGCGCTTGTGGCTGCTCTTCCCCTCATGCTGCTCATGGCGTACGTGCGGAGAGTATCCCGATCAGCTCAGTTGCTTGCGTACGTAGTGTCATTGCAGAAGCAGCCCAGAAGCCCGTCTGACAGCAGAGTATTATTCGATCGCACCCTGTCGGAAATAGAAGAAAGAAGACCAGGGGGCACTGGGCGGAGGAGAGTTGGAAACGGACAAGTTTGCGAGCGCCCGCAAGACTCGGCAAATAGACAACCCTCGTCGTATTCGAGTCCAGCCTGGGCAGCAGCCCTAGCCAGATGCTGCACAGTACGTCACCCGCATTACTCCATTCGCTCATGAAGGTATTCGGGCGCTGGTAGATCGAACGCCTATTATGACCAGACCTGGGTATGTTGGCTCTGGACCTGTCTTTACACCACACACTAACTGCCTACGTGTATTGCGCAACTGCACTACGATATTTTAGCACTTTGAGGGGTGCAGACGGCCCTGTCCGGCCCCCCATGATTCGTATCCTTGGCTCTTCTTGGCTTGCGCGGAGAAAACAGGAGGAATCTCGAGTGAGAACTCTACTCGCACAGCTTTATCGACATCGACCAGTGAAGTAGCTGAAAGTGTCAGCATACTGCGTAGTAAGGGGGACTGGGGCGGGTCCCCTGTCCACTTCAGAGTAGAGGAGGGCCGCCTGCTACCTACCTACTTTTTTTCTCTTGTAGAACACGCACAGATCTCTGACATGTGAAAGTCTTGGGTGCGCTGCGCCGCTGCCAGCGATTGGAACACTCCTGACAAGTATCTACAGAAATAATGAGGAAAACTCGCGCTTTTGGATCTAAGCTAGCATCTTGCTCTATAAGCAGAGAAAAATCTGCAAAGATGGAAAGGGCGATTAAGTCTGAGTGGGCAGGTTGTCGGGTGTCATTGCGAAAACTCTGGAAGGTGGAAGGTGGAAGGTGCCGTTCGCAGCCCACCAACCCAGCTTCCGGGTTCCTCTGCGCAATAAGGTACCTACCTAAGGCGTGTGCTGATCAGGGAGGAGGGTCAGGGTCAGGGAAAGAGCTAGGAGGGGGAGGGACCGGGAGTGACTGCAGTATGAGATCAAGAGGGAGCGGCAGCGGCTGCGACGGATTAGGCAAGCCCACTCCACTTGCTTGCGGTCCCGCGCACCTGCCCTTCAGGTTATTCGCAGGCGCCCGCCACCTGTACTGTATAGTACTGGACGGTACTGAAGGTGAAGTGTCCATGTACGTACCACAACCCGCGAACCCTTCGCCTCGACACGAGCAATAGCACGGCATTCTGAAACCCTCGATTCAATTTTTTCCCGCAGCAGTTTGTATAGCAATTGTGCGATTATCCTGGTGACACAACGGAATTCTCAGTCAGAAAAGCGCAGAAGCGAGCGCCATCATTGGCTTGTGACATCTACGCAACACCCCAAGCCACATCTCGTTCCAAGTCCCACGGAGGGCTCGGCGAACATCCAGGCTCAGCAGCGCCAGCAGCACGAGCGGCAGGCGTCCAGGCGGGAGCACGCGGACTGGCTCGCAGGCGATCATCCAGCAGTCGCCGCATGCTTCCAGGTTGTTGATCCTCTGTTGTCCCCCGTCCGTCCTCTCTGAAGTACCGGTCCAGTTCGCAATACCGACCTACCTTTCAATTGTGCCCCACGAACCACACATCGTCCAGACACTTCACCTGCCCGCGACGCCAGATCGATATTAAACTCTCCGTCTCGTTCGATGCGCCGGGCTTCGGCCGCCTAATCAAATGGATATGGATGTCGACAATTCATCCAGCGAGTCGCCGGCGCGGCAGCAGGCCTCCAACTCGCCCTCGCAACAGTCGGCGTCCGCTGCTGCTGCTGCTGCTGCCGCCGCCGCTGCACATATGAGCTTCAGAAGGTTTGGGAACTCCCTGCGCGCACATTTGGGGATTCATCGCTGACGTAGCAATTCGCAAAAAGACAACGAGCATCCCGGGCATGCGAGGTAAGTGTACTTTTTAATCGTTCGGCAACTGCTACGGTCCAAGTACCGTAGACTGCAGCCCTGGTGGGCTGCTTTGCGCGAGTGATCTCCTCGTGCCGAGGCAAACGTCCACTTTGTCTCATTCCCCTGGGTCCTAGCTAACATCTCGGCTTCCAAAAGACATGTCACGCACGCAAGGTCCGCTGCGATGCGGCGAGCCTCGGAGTGCCGTGTACCAATTGTGTGGCCTTTCAAATCGAATGCCGCATTCCGACTCCAAAGCGAAAGAAGCCCCAGACCTCCACATCCAAGGACTCTGACAGGTAAGGATCGGGCCGCCGCCCTCTTGTCAGCCTGCCCCTGCATACCGAGACTGACTGCTGCAAGCGAGCGAGGAGATGCCCCGTCTGAGGAACGCTCCCCTCGAGCCTCAAGTAGTGCGGGCACCTTTGCGACCAGACCCCCCGCCGTCTATCATACATCCGAGGGAACGCCGTCAACCACCCAGACCGAAGCCCAGGCAAGGAAAGAAGAGCTGGATAGCAGTACCTATCTCAATATGGTTATGAAGCCCAAGTTCACCCGAGCACCTATCACTGATGCTGGTCGTGTCGCATACCTGGGCGAGTCGTCTAACCTGACACTGTTGGTCCACGATCGTCAAGGTTCTGCGGATGTCGTCCACTATCCCCTCCCAGAGAATGTGCGGGGTTCTAGGGCTCGACTAACTGAGCTGGACAACGTCGAGATTGATATCCTCCACCAGCGAGGAGCATTTTTACTGCCACCAAGGTCTCTATGTGACGAGCTCATCGAGGCATACTTCAAATGGGTCCATCCCATTGTGCCCATCATCAACCGAACCAGATTCATGAGGCAGTACCGCGATCCCAAGAATCCTCCTTCTCTACTGTTGTTGCAGGCGATATTGCTGGCTGGCTCTCGGGTCTGCACGAATCCCCAATTAATGGACGCCAATGGCTCGACGACACCAGCTGCACTGACGTTCTATAAGAGAGCCAAGGCCCTATATGATGCCAATTACGAGGACGACAGAGTGACTATTGTACAATCACTATTACTTATGGGGTGGTATTGGGAAGGCCCCGAGGATGTGACGAAGAATGTCTTCTACTGGAGCCGCGTTGCTACGATCGTTGCTCAGGGTTCTGGCATGCATCGAAGTGTCGAAGGTTCGCAACTGAGTAGAACTGATAAGAGACTCTGGAAGAGGATATGGTGGACCTTGTTCACTCGAGACAGATCAGTTGCTGTTGCTCTTGGACGCCCAGTTCACATCAACCTCGATGACTCAGATGTCGAGATGCTTACGGAGGATGACTTCATCGAAGACGAAACGGATCATGCCAGCGAGTACCCACCCGATCCCATCCATGTTCAGTTCTTCTTGCAGTATGTGAAGCTTTGCGAGATTATGGGCTTGGTTTTGTCGCAGCAATATTCCGTGGCATCAAAAGGACGAGTACGAAATCCAATCGATCTAACCCACAGCGACATGGCTTTAGCAGATTGGCTACAGAACTGTCCGAAGATCGTTTACTGGGAAATGCCTCGGCATCATTTCTGGTCGGCGCTGCTTCACTCCAACTATTATACCACTTTATGCTTACTGCATCGGGCGCACATGCCTCCTGGGGGCGGATCTTCCCGATTCCCCGAGGACGCTGCCTACCCCTCAAGAAACATTGCATTTCAAGCTGCAGCAATGATCACATCTATCATTGAGAATCTCTCCGCGCATGGAGAACTTCGGTACTGCCCGGCGTTTGTGGTCTACAGTCTCTTTTCCGCTCTCATTATGCATGTGTATCAAATGAGATCACCCGTCCCTTCTATCCAGCAGGTTACCCAGGACAGAATGCGGACTTGTATGGCAGCTTTAAAGGATGTGAGTCGGGTATGGCTGGTCGGCAAAATGGTGTATACACTATTTGAGTCGATTCTTGGCAATAAGGTTCTTGAGGAGAGATTACAAAGAGCTGCTGGTAAAAGACACCACAAGGTGCAGAAGTCGCTGGCCCAACTTGAACAGCACGCCCAAAATCAACAAGCACGATCAGCGCCAGATGCTACGAAGCGCAAGTACGATGACATGGCTATTGATTTCGGAGTGCCTACGCCTACGCCGCAGGAGTCGTACGAACGGTCACGGCCACAAACACCGAGTCACACCAAGCAGAACGACAATGGGATGCAAGCACACGCCATGCCACCCCCTGTCACTTCGCCAAATGTCCGTCCAAACGTCGGTGACACATTCATGGGAGGAACTGCCTCTCGTCCACATACGAGACCAGCGACCCCATTCAACCCTTCATTCTCCGTACCAACGACACCGCCAGATCTATATCTCGTAACCAGAAACTCGCCCAACCTGTCGCAAGCCGTGTGGGAGAACTTCCAGCCGGACCAGCTGTTCCCAGAAAGCGCAAGCATGCCCCTATTCCCTCATCTCTCGCCCACTCAAAATCAACAAGGTCTTGACCCCAACATGATGGCCCAGATGCAGGCTCGGGGAATGCAGCCACAAGCGCCGGCACAGCCATCTGGACAACAATTCGGTCAACAAATGGGTAATAAGCCTGGAATGGGCGCGAGTCCACCTTTGCCAAACAATAGTAACAATACTTATCTTCAACCGGGAATGCCAAGCTTCCAAGGTCAGCATAATGCAATGTGGCAGACCGGATTCGACGGCATGCCTGATGGGCAGAGTCCGAGTGACAGCTGGAGCACAGGTTCTGCACAAGGTCAGCCTGTGCCTTCTACGCTCAACGTTGAGGATTGGTAAGTTTACGATTTGGCTAACATGGATGAATGTTACTAATATGTATGCTCTAGGTTCCAATTCTTCGGCATCAATAATGGGGATGTCGCCAATCTAAATCTTGACCTACCTCTCGGCTAGGCAGAATCGCAATGATTACACTTCGGTCGCAGTAAGTAAGATATGCCTTGTGCAACGGCTACGGAGTGGTCGGGGACAGGATTTGTTTCGGGTCTATGGGAGGCGCTGGAGTCTAGCAATGGGAATTTGAATTCTTGGCCCTTACCATGGATGGTGATGGGGTTAGGTCTCGCGGCATGGTGCTGGTTGGGGACGCTTATATCACAGGCGACTTAGGGGAGTGCAATACCTTGAAGTCGACGCTAGCCATATCTCTGCATGAGCCAGGTCATCTTTGAACAATTACAAGTAATACGATGCTCACATAAAATTATACCAGTACTGGGTTGCAACATGTGATCAGGCTTATGAAAATGTTGGAGTAGTTGGGTGACTTATCAATACCTGGTTTAGCTTGTGCCCTTACACCTACCTCACTAGGTCACTGTACCCCTGGGCCCATCATCCCGGCAAACCCGGCCAGCTGCGATACAGAGATAGGGGAAGCTTCCCCCGCACCCACTAAAACTTCCCGTGGTGCGTCAAAGGTCAGACCGACGGTTCGAATTGAGCCGCATTTCCAACGACCTCAACAATCCCCAATTCATCAATGACGGATCACAACCCGCCAAGATGTTGTCGTTCATATTAATACAAAACCGCCAGTGAGTATCCCCTCTCTTTCTTCCTCGTTTTAAGGCTCGCACCTCTAGCCTCAAAGAGTCACATTGGGATGTTTACTAATTTCTTCTCTTTCTAGGGGCAAGACCCGGCTGGCGAAGTGGTACGCGCCGTACAGCGACGACGAGAAGATCAAGCTCAAGGGCGAGGTGCACCGACTGGTGGCGCCGCGCGACCAGAAGTACCAGTCGAACTTTGTCGAGTTCCGCAACAACAAGATCGTGTACCGCCGCTACGCGGGGCTTTTCTTCTGCGCATGTGTGGACACCAACGACAACGAGCTGGCATATCTCGAGGCGATTCACTTCTTCGTGGAGGTTCTGGACGCCTTCTTTGGCAACGTCTGCGAGCTTGATCTTGTCTTCAACTTCTACAAGGTCTACGCCATTCTCGACGAGGTCTTCCTGGCTGGCGAGATCGAGGAGACGAGCAAGCAGGTCGTGCTTACGAGGCTCGAGCACTTGGACAAATTAGAATGAGCCGGAGGAAGAAACTACCAAGAGAGGATAGGGCCGGATTTGACGGGCATACATGGTAGACCCCGGTGTCCTGTCACATTGCAAGGCGCATGGTGCATTGGCGTTTGGAACAGCAGATCTGTGAATAACCTGACATTTGATTTTGAGCACCTTTCCCTCAACCTTACAGATTCAGTATTGATGAATCCATGGTGGCCACGAGGCAAGTTATCTAAGAGAACATAGAAATCTCAATGACCTAGGTACAATGTGTCCTAACCTGGACTGCGGATAATGCGTTTCCTACCCTCAGTGCATCGGGAACACAATTCCCTGAATGGTCCTATTATCTTCTTTATACAGTACAGTGGAAGACGGTGGAGCTATTTCTTCCATCCCAACGTATCTACTCGTCGTCGATCTTGATGTCCTCAACCTTGGTGAGATCGTCGCTAATCGCTATTAGTTATTGTCCTAGCATCGGGAGGAAGTATCTTACTCGTTTGCTCCCTACTGCAGCTTCTTCGCGTTGATCTCGTCGATCATCTGGATAGCAGTCTTGCGCTCCACCGGCTTGTTGACATAGATGTTGTCGCGGTTCTTGAACAGATCCTTCACGGCAGGGTCGTAGTCTTTGCCCTTGCTCACAAGCGGCTTGATTGTCTTGCCAACGTTGATGTTCTCCGAGACATCCTCGACCTCCACCCCCGCAGTGTCCTTCTCATCGTCGGAGATCAAAGCTCGGTCGTCCCCGGCAATCGGGTAAACCTGAGGAAGAGGTCCGTAGGTTGGCTTGGGCGCAATCTGAGGAGGCTGCGCGGACTGGTACATGGGAGCTGGAGTCAAAGGACTAATAATGTATGGTCGCATATGCGCTGGCAGTGGCTTATACGTCTTAGGCTTGCTTTGGAGTTCGTTGCCCAGATCCTCAAGGCAGCTGTCCGTGTCGAAGGAACCCACCTCCTGCACCCGCTGAGAATCAGGCTGCTTGGTTGAAGCTCCTCCCTGAACAGCGCTGCCCTGCTTGTTGAGATGTTTCCTACTACCACCTTGATTGTGAGCGTTCTTCTCGTCTTTGCCGTTCTTAGCGACGAACTGCTCCCACTCGTTGGCCTCCGCACCGCGCTTCTTGTTCCCGTCAGCTGAGTCCATAGTGATGCGTCTGAGCGGCGAGTTCAGTTGGCGAACAGGTGTATCCAGTCCTCCGTTTTCATATCGGGGCGAGATCGCTCTGGCGCGGCCTGTTGTGTTTCGAAAGTGAGGCGGCTCGAAGTATTCGTTGGTAGCGTGGGGAGACTGGTTTGAGGGACTGTGTTGAGCGATCAAAGCACGGCGGTCTGGATGCATAAACGAGTCCTTCGAGTCTTCCATTTGCCCACGTGCTGGATGAGAGTCGTGGGCAATGGGAAGCGCCGAATGCTTCTTACCCAGATTGTCATTCGGCAGCGGTTTTCCTGATGCTCTTTGTGCTGGTCCTTCCCAGGGACGAAGACATTGCTCCCTCTTGCTAGCTTTCACCCTGCTGGGACTGGCTATTTCTCATGATTAGATCTTCACTCTCACATGATGTTACTTGTGGAGGCAGGGAACCATGCCAATACCTTCTTGGTCGATACGTCTGTGCATATCTTTCATCTTGTTCCTTCCGAGTGAAGCTTAATGATCATAAGATAGTATGTGATGTCGGGCGGCCGGGAAGATGGGATGGACACAGGGGTTGATGTGAGAAGGACCTGGGGAAGTTTGGTGAAAACAATCGGCAAAACAAAACACAACTTACTATCTTCAGAAGCACATCACTGCATATTTGCGACATTGGCACAGATTCCCTTTCAGGTAGGATCACATATAAAATTTCCTAAGGCAATATGTACAGCCTTGTATATTATGATTGAGCACTTGATAACAAATATATTCCATAGCACCCTGAACTCCCCCTGCTTTCAAGTATCCGAACAAGCTACAATGACATGATCTCTTCCTTTATCCTGAAGTAGTTCCACGACTTCCATAACTCTCCTCTGCTAGACACTTTACCTCTTTAGAGCAGCAAACCGCTTTGCTAATTCATTAACATCTGGTATGCCATTCGATATATCGTCATCTTTCTTTTCTGCCGCAGGTTTCTTCGCAATGCCTGCATCTTGCATCTTCTTATTTGGCTTCAGTTCCATCGAGTTGAGAGTCACTTTTGGATGGATATTGTCTGTAGACGGGCTTGGAGGGTTGACTTGTAGCGGACCGCCAGGGCCAAACGTCCGAGGGGGAGTGGCCTTGTTCAACTCCTCTGTAACCTCAGCCTTCTTACTTTCTGCAACGAGAGGCTCCTCTAGGTTTTTCTGGGCTTGCCCACCGCTCGGGTTATCGTCGTCGTCTCCGTCCAGGAAGTCTGGTGGTGCCTCTCCCAGAGGTTCTCGCTTCGGCCAGTTGACACCATACGCTTTTGCTATCTCCTCCAAGTAACCGACCACAAGCTCTTCTTTCGGCGGCGTAACGCTCAGCTTCTTGACAACCTTCTCGTTGACCATGCCATCCGAGTTCTCCATAGCCGCCAGCACAAAGTCCTTCCCATACTTCTCCGCCAGTAACGTCCTGACCACATGGAGCTCCTTGATCTCCGTCTTCGGCGCCGCGTATATGATGCTCTTGATGGCCTCCTCCAAGCCCGGGTCGCAGGTGTGGCCCTCCAGCAGCCCGGCTCTCGCCAGCAGAAGCTCGCAGTACAGCTCCAGGATCTCGTGCAGCTCGGTCGTGATGTCGGAGCGGATGATGTTCTCGACCCGGATGCGCGCGGAGTCGATCTTGCCGACGTCTAGCAGCTGCGCCATCGCTCGCCTCTGTGTCTTTGAGAGGGCCTCATCGCGTTTCTGGACCATGCGCAGCCTGGCGATTGCGAGCTTGAGCTGCACCTTGATCTTGGTCTGTCGCATCACAGGTTAGGGCCGTTCTGATGGCGACGTCATGGCTTGGATCTCTTGTGCGGTACTTACAACTATGTTCCCCTGAGGCGCCATCTTCGGGATGCAGCTTCGATATGGTATCTGTACGGCTATTCACGCCTTGAGAATGAAAAACGAAGGTGGAAAGTTTATGGGAGAGTTCAGGCTACAAGGAAAGCTGGCGCACTTGGATATGTCCACCTGATTGACGTTGGATGGCGGGGCTGATAGGAACACCACCAGGAGAGCCCTGCGGGGTAGCTCTCTCGAGTGCGATAGGCGTTATTTAGTGCCACTGCGCAGTTGATCATCTCAGAACACAAAACGAATCATTTGATGTTCAGAGAATGACCTATTCTATGAAGTGTTTTTAGACTAGATCTAGACTCACAAAAGTCTCTATGAGGCAATTCATGCCCTTTCGATGGATGGTGGCAATTATCACGATACCGGTCAAACGCCGATAAAAGCAACCCTGTATGGTATCACAACCAGAAAATAGAACCTCGATATGCCTAACGCCATAAACCTGCAACCTGCCCTTAATTTCTAAGCCAGCCGCCACCATGTGTTGTAGAGTTTGTCCTGACCATCTCGTCTGATGAGCAGTTTTGAAATAGAATACGCCGTTTCCAGCAAAGTCGTCAAAACTGTCCACGGTCAGTTTCAGTTGCCACGGGGAGCAGGGTTTACGTACAAGCCTCAGGTTACTGTGCTGTTGTGTTCTGGTTCCGTTGAGCATGGCGCGGGACTTCTTCGGGCGTGCCTGAAGTCTGCGGAATGCCTCCTGGATATGGCGGGGCTCTACCGGGGTTCTACCCTCGGAGGGCGGATCGAACAGGCCCTGGGCCAGCTTGCGCTTTTTGTTGCCGGTGTTCTCGCCGCCGGTCCTTTCCTTCCATAGATCCTCCTGTTCTTTGATCTTCAGCGCCTCCTCCGTCAACGTCTGCACCATCTCGAAGGTCAAGAAGCCGAGAATATCGACTATATCGTCGGACGGTTTGCTGTCGGTCACGATGCCGAATCCTGCCCACTCTCTGAAGCGCTTGCCCTTGCGGTACGTGAAGGATGCTTGGCGGTACTCAGACCATGTGACATATTCCTCCCTAGTCATGACTTTGGTCCGCTCGTCGGCCTTGCGCAGTCTCTGCAGAGTGATGTAGTTCATCTCTTCCTCCTCGTCGTCTTCCTCATCATCGCGCTCAGGTACCTCCTGATTGAAGTAGGATGACGGTTCCCAAGGAAGTCCAACCTTGGCTTTCTTGTTCTTCTTCGTTGTGTCCTCGACTGGCCCACCAGGCACTGCTCCGCCAACGGGGTCGTCTCCAGCAGCAAGATCAGCGTCAGCACCCTTGTCATCAGAGTCTCGGACATTCTTGCGGACATCCTTCCAAGACAAGAAGGTGCGAAGACGTGACACTTTCGGAGCATCATCGCGGATTTGGAAGATGAGATCATTGATCGTAATAGCGCGAACACCGCGACGAGAGGCGAGCTCTGTGCAACTTCGAAGCTTCAATAACGTTAAAACTGTCCACGTTATTGAGTCTCTGGGCACTTACAATCTCGATGACTTGTTGACGAACAATCTCCTCGATGATACCCGTGGTCTCTACTGAAGGCTCGCCTGTCTCGCCAGAGACGTACATCATCTGCGGAATCGTGTCAGTTCTGAAGCGCTCTCTAAAGGTCTCCATCGACTCTCCATCATAATCATATGGAGCTCTGTAAGGCGGAGGAGGGAAGAGGTCTAGTTTCAGCAAGCCCTTGACACAGGGTAGGAACTTTCCAATGGCCCTGGCACCAGACAGTCCGAGCGCGGTATTGAAGTGAGTGATGAAGATAGAAGCGCCCTCAGGAGTGACAACCCCCAGCGCATTGCTAGTCGCAGGATTGCGAGGCCGCAAGTCCACTGAGTGATGGCCCAGGTTGCCGAAAGGGGAAAAGTTGAAATGAAGGCTGCCGTTGGATGTCACGTAATCCACCGGGATATCGGAAATTTCAGGTTTCTCCCAGGCTGTTTTCAATCCCGAGGTGGAGCGAGAAGATGATATCAACTTGACCGGCCTGTGGCGCGGTACCGCTGAGCGACGTCGCTGATCCTGAGGGAATGACATTTTAAAAAATCATGCGATTGTGAGAGCATGCGGCCGAGGTCGTGGGTGATCGCATCTAGCAAAATCCTGTCCTTGAGCTTGAGCGCGGAGAAATTTGGCGATACTCTGGATAGATGCGGAGCTCTCGAGTGAGAATTCCCTGGGTGCGATGGAAATTCTCGAATCTTAGGTGATGGTGTATTGGTTCTGGCGCGTCGATGTCCCAACAGCAAGGCAGTTAAATATGAAAACGGATGCCGTATATAGCACCTTGCCGTTTAGAGCTCAATATCAGGTACTTCCGAATCGCAAAAACCGATCCTCACAACAGCATGTGCGACTTATCGACGTGTGCATTTCGCGTGATCACCAGTGATTCCTTTGGGAAATAGTCGCCTTTCAAAGCGTGATGATTCCTAAACACAATGCCTTCATATCGCCATAACGAGCTGCCAAGGCCTTGCCAACTTTGGCTGGGTGCGCGGAACTGCTGAAAGACCTTCCCCCCAGATGACCAGATGACGGGCATAAGGAAATGCGACTGACCTGCTGTATCTCCTGGCGATACTTGTACTGCTTACTGTCCTTCTCCGCCATCTTGAATGTAGTCTCTCGAGTTCAATCAGTATGAATTACAGGATGCAAGTGATGAAACGTGAAAGTGAGAGAATTTGGAAGCAGTGCGCTTCGAGGGATAGCCCAGGCTGAGCAAAGGTTGTTGAAGCTTGATGAGGTGAACAAAGTTCCAGTTGCGGCTCAACCCCCAAGTCGTGGCTGTGCACGAGCCACCGGAAATAGGTGCACTAGTCTACCCGGTGTGTATACCTAGCGATCATTGATTTCAGGTAACAGTGACAATTGAGTACGAACACCTTTTATTGTTTCTGCACTTGAAGCCACGGTACTTTTAACTTTTAATTTGATTAATACAATTTTGTATCAACCTACATTGTAGCCACAGAGAAAAACCCTCAATAAATATCATCTAACAATTTTAGAGACACTTCGCAGCAGATTAATTTCTTTATCCATTTCCGCCATTTTTTCTTTCTCGACATTACCTTTCCAAGTAAGATCTTGGATTATCTTGATATCATACTCTTTGGGTACGGTGTTCTTGAGATCGTGTAGGAAATGGCGCTCGATTACCTACTTCAATACGTTCGCAATGTAGTTCTCGCGGTCAATCTGACGGCGTGTAAGGCGTCAGCTAAACTCAAAAAACGGTTCCCATGATATTTCGGCGGAAACCTAGGAGGAGCGGTTGGTACCTCCGCTTGAACCTCGGACGAGATCTGATCAAGACAGTTGGACAAGGAAGATTCGACGGTCAATAAAATAGGATTCTATTTTCGTATCCCCATAGCTAGCATGATTTATATCTTCTTTTCAATTCTGCCAACCTTAAAATTCCGATATCTTGGTGTTCAATGATATATCAAAGCCTCAGACACGGTAGTCGCTCCATGCTGTTGCCTCCGCGAGCCTAAAAATACATTCATAATAATAAAGGCCCGTGTAACCGTATCGTATGTCTCAGTGAGCAGTGCGGTGATTATCTGATGTTACATTCTGCAGTGGTTGTTGATGAGTTGAAGGGTATTCTTATTTTGTTTAGCGGCTAAGCCTGTAATAGTTAACGGTCTGCTCACTCTAGCAACCTTGACAGTATCCCGTCGATTCTCGTCAACTCAACCAACCGTCGAAGCCTGTCCCTCTCCAGCCCCACGCCACGATGTAATGGCCAGCCAGTAACTTCCACTCCTCGACTTCATCGAGGCCCTCTAGGCTATCGACTCTCTCCTTCTCCTCCTCCGATACCCAGGTCTCCCAAATGTGGTCTACTGACAGCTGCCTGACTTGCTCAAAACCTGCGTCCCTCAACCTAGTCTCCTGGTCCTGGGGCTCCTTGTATACTTCCAGTGTCGGCATTCTGATCCTCCTTGCTGCCAGGTTCGACACCATCATCTTGCCAAACGGGTCTTCAGGCTTGGTGGGCTCGTAAAGAACAATGCCAATATCTGGGATCTTATCTGTGAACCACTTGATGACCTTCCTTGCCTGTGTGGTCTCGAGGTAGCATAAGCAGCACTCTGACACCAGCAATGTCGGGACGTCGGTTCTCAAACCCGCCAGGGTCGTCTCCTCGTCATCACGAGCAAGCTGCCGCAGGTCCAGGCCATGGCACCAGTACTGGCAGTTCTCAGCTGGCGCACTGCGCCAGGATGTCTCCCCCTCTCTTGTTGGCTGGGTAAGGACACGTCCCAGGACGGGCGTGGCCTGCACGATGTGATATTTCCGCGAGCTGATGGCCGGGAAGTCCACCTCATGGTAAATCAGCTTTCTGCTTGTCGGCTGCGAGAAAAGACGGAAGCATCGCGTATCGGTGCCTGCCCCAAGAGAGACGATCTGCTTCTCCTGGCTCGCATCCCCGGAGGACAGAAACGCGGCGATGAGCCGGTCCAGCGCCGTTGTTCTGGTGTACGTTCCTCGGTTGATGATGGGCAGCCGCCTGCTGGCCGGCTCGGCCGAGTTCTGCACAAAGTACTGAGCGTAGGTGTCCTCCAGATAGCCGACCTCGACGGCGCTCAGCCGCGATACGGCGGCGTCGGTGTCTGTGCCCTGGATGGTGGCGTCGTGCCCCTGGCTCCCCGACACCGAGGGGGGTCCTCCTCCTCCTCCGCGCCCGCGACCCCGGCCCCGACCGCCCCGTGACGCCCCGCGTAACGAGAGGAGGTTTGGTATGGAGGGTGCCGACATTGATGGATGTTGGGACATGGGAGCCCGTTACGCCATTTTCTGATTTGCAGGGTCTCTTCTCAGGGGGAAGGCGGGACGGGGAGTCGGTAGAAAGCGTGTTAGCGCTGGCCGAGGATGCAGACCCAGACCTGACGTAACGTGGTGTGGTGTGGTGCCCCCCGACCTGCTGGGGGAGGCGGCGTTGACAGGCGCAGTCTATTTTGGGGCGGGCCTGGAACCCCGCTAAAGGACGGCGTTTGGCAGTGGGGCGCGCCTCAATTGCGGACTGCAGATCGAATCCAAGTTGACCAAAGAACTTCGATGGCAAAAGAAGATCTGAGGAACTCGTCATGAGGATTGGTCTTTTCCCCCCGGCGAATATGCGTTATATGTATGAATTAGCTAGCTATTATTAAGAACAAGCTGTGCAAGCTGTTGGGCCAAATTCAAGTGCTGAGCCGCCGGCTAGGCTTATTAGCTGGCAGGGTATGGGATGTTGTGCAAGACAGTGGCGATAGAAGCCGGACCAACACTCGTGTTCATCGAATTCCAGACGGTCGGCTCCTGAACAGGAACCAGCTATTCTGGAGGGGCCAGCCATGGATTATCACAGTTCTATCCGAATACAGTCCTCGACCTAGTCACCTAGTCTAGGAGTCACCCATGGGGCATGCTGGCTGCAGTGAGAGACAGCTCAGAGCCTCAGAGCCTCATTGCATGCCAAGCCTTGATCTTGATCTTGGTGCCACTCGACCAAAAGCCGACGACACAATACCGGTATGGTATGAAGAGCTGTGACAGCAGTGTGCAGCATACCATGTACTATGTATCAGGAGACGCGCTGGATGGCCTGATGAGGAATCTCTTGCATTCAGAAAGCTCGTACTCCGTACCGCAGCCCGAAAGTGGCCAAGGAGGCGTTTTCGTGCCAATAGTCTTGTCGCCGTCGATTGGCTGACGACGTTGAAAGTGAGGAGCATCCTGGCATGTTGCAGCCCCTTGGAAGGTTTCTACTGCCCTAATGTATTAAGGTTAGGCTTTCAGGAGTTCCCTTGCAGGGCCTGATACACACCCGACCCAGCCGTTTTACCACCACCATCTGGGCAGACCTACCTAGCTCGCCTAGGACCTCATGTACTGCGTAACTGCAAAGAGTCGCGGCGCGTCCATTGGCTGCAGGGCCCGTCGGGCAAAAAGCATTGGCCGTCCGTCAGCACCGTGTTGGAGTTGGCTGAGAAGCTGTCAGGTTTGTCAGGATGTTATTGCCATGCCATGCGGGACAGGGGCACAGCTCGAGACGGGCGAGACGGGCTCTAGGAGTGTGGCGGTGCCTCCTGCTGCAGTGCTGCTGCCTTGTGCCCCTCGTCCCCTCCCCGCTAAAATGCCCACTAGACACTCACTAGGTAGTTGACATTAACACTTACGAGGTCCCTGCACCACTGAAGAGATGTGTGTGTGCATGTGTGTGTGTGGGATCATCGGATCCTTTAAGAGCCCGCCTCTTCCTTTCAGCGCCCGCCCCAGCCCAGCCTGACCTCTCCTTGTATTCTCTCTTCTTGCTTCTTGATCTCGGTTTGACGCCGTATTTCAACCCATTTCATCTCTGAATCAATCAATCCATTCTCTTTTCTGACTTCTTTTTCTTTTTTTGGATTTAAAAAATAAACAACTCGCTGAAGCTGCCAATATGATGGACACTGTGGCGTCAATGGGGGTCAGCCTCCTGAAGAGAGCCGTATACGAAGGCTTCCAGGAGGGCTCGCTCTTCAAGAGGGCCATGGACGGTGGAAACGACGACAATGCTCGCCAGCTGCCCAAGTGGGCTCCTCTGGTGCTCTTCGCCAACCTCATCGTCTTCTTCCCCGTCATTCTCTATGTAAGTTCTCTCCATTTACCATCTCATCATATACCCGGTACATCCGTGGTGAGTTGAGCCTCGTACTGACAAGATGTCTTACACACAAACAGATCGGCTATACCCTGAACCACATCTACCCGGTTCTGGCCATGGTTGAGGACACCAAGCCCCCGGCATACGAGCCCGTCTCTCTGAACGCCGATACCGACTCCCTGGCCGAGGACCAGATCCCCACCGGCGACCGGCCCATCAAGATTGACCAGCAGCCGGCACTCATCACCTCCTCCCTCCGCCGCACCAACCGCCTGCTCTACAGCACCGCCGGCTGGACCGCCAACTTCCGCGGCTTCATGTGTGCCATTGCCCTGAGCATCGCCATGGGCATCGCTGCTGTCGTCTTCTCGGCCATTCCCTTCGTCCCTGGCTTCGTCGGCACCCTGCTCGCGAGCCTCGTCACCGTCCAGATCAGCACCACCTGGACGCACACCGTCATCGCCGCCCCGACCTCCAAGCCCTGGTTCCGCCGCCTCCCGCCCCTGCGCCGCACCTTCGAGGCCACCTGCCTGCCCGTCTTCATCTACTGGGCCGCCACCACCATCGCACAGGTCGTCCCCATCGTGGTCGCCTCCGCCCTGGGCATGGACGTCTGGGACCCCAAGCGACCCATGGTCATGCCCGAGTACCACGGCAGCTCCGCGTGGAAGTCGCTGATCGTCGTGCTCCTCGCGCTCTTCATCTCCGTCTTCCTCACCATCCCCGCGCACGTCGTGCTCGTCCGCGTCCAGGCCAGCCTGCTGGCCCCGGAGGAGGACACCATCATCCCCTTTGACCGCTCCTTCGAGGGCGCCGTCGAGCCCGCCCTCGTCGGCGGCAAGGGCTACGTCTCCATCAAGGACGCCCTCAGGACCTTCACCCGCGACAGCTGGGTCCGCCTGTACAAGCTGTACATCAAGCTGTTCCTCGTCTCCCTCGCCTTCTACGCCGTCATGGCCGCCGTCATCATCCCCGAGGTCATCCTCATGCTGGCCAAGAGCGAGAAGGCCAAGGGCAACTAAGCTGGGGTTCTTTGATCGAGGTTATCAAACACCAACGATGGCGGTGATTATCCTCACCGGGGGGGATGCCTGAGACGATGACGATGACGAAGAAGAAGAAGAAGCAGATTGACTCGCTCCTCTGCTTTGTAAGGTTCACGCTCCGTGACGCTCGCAACTTTTGAAGTATTGCCCCAGAATAGGGAGGGAGAAAATTATGCTGCCACTGTAATTGGGTTTTTGGATTGTGACGGATAAGAGGAGTTTGGGTTTCCATTAAGCTTGTTATAAGTTCGGCGTGGCTTGGGCCGTTACCTTCAACGGCCCGGCTTCCAGAACAGAAATTCTGCCTACCTACCGTGGGAGAACTACTAGAAATCAACACCTTTCATTCCAACTATCACACAGAATTCAGACATTTGATGCACCAAGTAATCTATGTGTGCGTGTGTGTGTGTATCTATGCATTTCATTCAATACTCGTGACTACGAAATCGTGCAAAGAACCAAAGACAGTAATACTAGTACTCCTTTAGCCATGCATGCTGTCTGTTGCTACCAGATCTCCTCCAGCTCCGCCGCCCCCCATGCTCTTCCGTCCATCACCTCCAAGTGCGGCTAGCATCGATAAATAGCAGCGGAAGCAGCGGCGATTTCGTTCAAGATCCAAGCAGGCCTCCATGCAGACAGCCAGTCAGTCATTCAAACTCCTTTCCTCGTCTCTAATGCGCTCTTCTGCTATATGGAACAAAGGGGACAACATCATTGTGTGGGTGTGTGTGTGTCTGAGAGGGGTATATTTGGGGACGTGGGCATGCAAATCAAGCGGTCTGCGAAAAGGGGCGCCGGAGATCAAGCAAGCAATCTATCCTGACGGCTATTCCAAGGCCAAGGCGGCGGACGACGGGGCTCTTAGCTCTTCTGGAAGAACCAGCTCGAGCGCTTGTTCTCGCCGCCGCCCTGGAGGTTGGCAATAGCCGGGTTGGTGGCGGTGTTATCGCCGCCTCCTCCGCGCAGGGGCTTGGCGATGCGGCTGCCGGCGTTGGCGAAGTTGAAGCCTCCCAGGCCTGTGGGCGAGTTAAGACCACGGGTGCTGCCGGCTTTGGCTGCCTCCAGTCGCTCCTTAACGGCTGCAAGCTGGACCTCGAATCTAGAGTGGATGTTAGCATGAGAATGGTATAATAATTTGGGGATAAAGAGGTTTCATACTTGTGGTTGGCCTGCGCCATCTTCTCCTGACTATCCTGCAATAGGCTCTCCAGGCTCTGGATACGCTCGTTTCGGGCAATGAGCTTGCGCTCCGCAATGGCGACCTCCTTCTTGAGGCCCGAATTTTGCTCGACGAGCTGGCGCTGCACCTGGGTGAGCTGCTCGAGGTTGCGCTCGAGGAAGGCCATCTTCTTCTGTTGGGCGCGGTTGTTCGACGACCGCAGCACATTGTTGTACTGCTCGCGAGTCTCGTCAAGGGAGATCTCGAGCTCGACGACGCGCTCGCAACGGTTCTGGAGATCGCGCATCAGGCTCTTCTTCATGACGTCGAACTCAGCCATCTGCTGAGCAATGGTCTTGCCATTGGCCATCGGCGCGGCAGTGCCAGCCTTGACTTGGCGCTGGAGATCCTCAATGAGGACCTTCATGCGTTCATTCTCAGCAACCTTGCGGGTGATGTCTGCCCGTAGGTCGTCAACTAGCTCAACTTGCGTGTTCTGCCTATCGGCAAAGGCTTGCGCAAGGCGAGACTTGATCTCCTCGGCATCACCCTCACCAAGGTTACGAGTCAAGAGATCTTCGTATTCCTGCTGCAGGGCTTCAAGACGCGCCTCCAACTCGGCACGGCGGCGTGCTTCAGAATCACTTGACGCCCCGCTGTACAAGGAGAGCTCAGCTTGTCGTACAATACCCTGGGTTGCAACCAACTTCGCACGGAGCGCCTTCAAGTCATCTGGAGGAATTGGGTCGCCAGTAGAGCTCTGCTCATGTAGCGCATCTACTTGGTCAATAACCTCTGCGATCTGGCGCTCGTTGTCGCTGAAGACTTCGCCACCAAGATCGAATCCAGCCATCATCTTGGCCATCTTCTCTGCCTTCTTCCTCTCCTTCTCATCGAGAACTGCGCTCGTCTCCTTGGCGCTCATCTTGACATCTAGGAGCTGCTGCTTCACCTCATCCAGTTCAGCAGTGAGCTCCGAGTTCGCCTCCTTGAGAGCATCCATCGTAATCTGAGCCTCCTTGCCCTCGAACGTTAGCCGCTCTAGTTGCATCTTGACCTCGTTCACTTCACTGTTGAGCCTCTCATTGTCTTTGCCGACTCTGCTATCATGCTCCTTCAGCAAGTTCAATTCCTCTTTGGCTTCGCGTAAGTGCTTCTCTGCTGTTGTAGCGAGAGACTCCTTCTCGGATAATTGATCTTGTAGTTCGTTTTCACGACGCAAGAACTCCTCGCGCTCATCTTTATCTAATGGCAGAGAAGGCGTCCCCGCACGCTCTGAGATGGCCGGTGTCTCTGCACGACTCTCGGGAGCGAGCCTTGACGGTGTTGATGGCCTGGCCGGCTGGGACTTTGGCGCAGGGAGCGCATCTGCAGATAACGGTTGTACCCATCGATCCCTGGAGACAGACTCTCCAGCTCTCCATAGCTGAAGTTCACCCTCCAGGTTGACAATGTAATTCTCGAACGTGGTAATCTGAGTTTTGGCTTTGGCGAGAAGGGCCTTGAGTTCGGCAGGACTAAGCTCGGCATTGATCTTGGCTTTGTTCTTGATCGATTTGGCTCTCATACCAAAGCGGAGTGTGCTGAGGGTTTCGGCATCATTGTAGCTACTTGGCGAGCAGTTGATAATCAGCGTTGTCCTACTGTTACCACCTAGCGACTCTTGCAATATACGAGTCAACTTCGAGTCTCGATAGGGAATATGTGAAGATTTGCCGTCTGTGAGGGAGTTGATGACCATGCCCAGCGCACTTAAACTCTTGTTGATCTTCTTCGCCTCTTCGAGCGTCTGACCACTCGCACCGGTCTTGCCGACCTTTTCGCTACCAGCCAGATCAACCAGGTAGAGCTGTCCACTCTTCGCAGAACCTGTCTCCACGTTTTTCTGAGTGATAGTGATGACGAAGATAGAGTGCGAACGCGAGGATTCCTGGTTCATGTTGGTGGCAGCCACAGCTCTTGCATTTCCACCTCTCCTCATGACCTCAAACACTTCCTGAACACTTGACACATAAATCTCGAGCAGACCCTTAACATAGACACCACGATTCTTCTCCTCATGTACTGGTAAGTTGTCGTTTTGAGGTTGCAACAGATCTCGGATCCTCTCCATGTAAATCTCCATGTAGCTCACTCGTACGGTATATTCGATTGTCCCGGGACTCGACATGATGCTGTCAAAGATCTGTTCCACGATACGCGGGATAACACCACGGCCTTCATCGTCATCTATACTGGTTCCCATCATGGTGTAGGACTTGCCGGCACCGGTCTGTCCATAGGCAAACACAGTGCCATTGTAGCCGTTCAAGATATCCTCGACCGTGGACCTGATAGAGAAATCGAAAATGTCGGACTGCTTGCATGACATGTCAAAGACGCGGTCGAACGTGAACGAGCCTTGCGCCTCTCTGGACTGTGGCAGATCTGTTAGCTGTGGGCCCATCGGGCATCGCGGGAAGGCTTCTGAAACGCACATCTATGGTACAAGTATCCTCGCCATCGAATCTGACGATGGGCTGGCCGCCAGAGTCGAGCTCGATGCGGTTCTGCGGCCGGAACCGGGCCACGACCTTGATACTATTCGTAGTCGACATGATGACGGCGCGACGTAGCTTGGAGCGTACGAGGTGATCTCATAAGTGCGGCGGTGCCGCAGCAGGAATCAAAAGGGGGCCCGATAGGCGGCGAGCGATCCGCGCAGCCGTTGGAAGGGGACAAAACAAACAAAATGGCGAAGAAGGCGTCAGTCGCGATGCGACAAGTTGTCGGGGGTTGCGGGCGCTGATCGAGGTCGCAGAGATGACCAAAAGAGACGACGCTGTGACTGTAACTTCAACCGCAGCAGGTGGTGGAAAGAAACAAGGGGCCTTCTTCAGGGATAAACGCGACCAAGCGTCGCGTAGGCTCCTGCAGCTAATTTGTCCTTCGGCTGTGGTTTCATGCGGCGAGGTGGTGGGTGGGACGAAGGACAGACGCTAACACGTCCCCTCCGTCACCCTACGAAAGCCTGCTAATCTTAAGTGCTTCAGTGTCGCTTTCCTAACACTGGCCACCAATGCCGTCATATAACAAGAGCCAACTCAGCAGCTTTTGTAATTTAGCAAAGCCGTCTGTCAAGGTGCGCGAGACAACAAAGCAATATGGTCTCAAAATACAGTCATCAAAGAAGGAATAAATGGATAGTCATGTCCTTGCCAGAGCAAAAGTTGATAGGCATTCGGCTGTGTCTATGGTATAAAACTATCCACGCCTGCATAAATGCAATGACCGAGAACACCCCGCCCATAAAGTCCCCATGAGTATTACTGCAAATAGCCTGCAAAGGCAAATCACAACCAGAGCACACCTAGTCAACGCTCACTGCAGCAGAGGGAGGATGACCTGTCGAACGCCTGGCCGAACGGACTGATCCACAGAGGGACACATCAGTAAGAGGAGAATGCTGGTCCCAGAGCCAAACGCCAGTTTTCCACCCGTCGCAGACGTGGTATCATGCTGTTCCTGTCATTCTGTCCTCGACTGGTCTCAATTTCCGTAGTTCATCTTGGCCCCGTCTAGTCCACCTACGTAGGCTTTCTTCCATGTGTCCGCTTATGACCGCTATCAATCCTCCCAGCTCTTTTCTACAGTCTCGCGGACTCGCTTGGTATATTCTTTGCGATTATCTTTGTACAGGTTGGAAGCTTCGACGTTTGCGGGTGAGCCGGTATTGGGGTCGTTCAATAGACTGTCACAACCAAGTTTAGTATGTTATCATCAATAGTTGCAGCGGATGCCCGTGTCAAAACGAGGGGACGCGCTCACCTCTGAATACTCGTCAGCACCGCTGCAACGTCGTATGTGGGACTCCATCTATTTTGTAAGATATCCAGGCAGAGCTCGCCTGTGGCGTAGACGTTCGGGTGGAACATCTGGCTGATGAATTTGACGGATGGGGGCTTGTTGGGATACTGCTCCTCGAAGTGCATCACCAGGCGGAAAGTTCCATCCTCGAAAGGCGTATCGGCAGGGCCGATGATGACGGCGTTCCTGTTCGAGCACAAGTTAGTCCTGCAAGACGTCTTTTAAAGTGGCTGCGGAGGAGGTCCTACCAAGTCATGACATTATCGGGAACAGGGGAGGCAGAGACACCAGCAGGAGGGTCAGTCTGCATACGCTTCGGTGAAAGTTAGTATTCGAACTGCCTCTCATAATGTCCTCGAGCATGATGCTAACCTTGAAGTCACGCATCAACCGACGGCGGGCTGCGGTAGACATCTTGCAGTTCTAGGTGGCGTTCTTCTTGATGTGAGGTGGCCCGGGGAGCGAAAGACGCTGGACGATTTGCGATGATGAGGTGATGATGGTAAAGGGATGTGAGCGTCCTCGACCGTCGATGATCCTTCCTTGAAGTGGAAAGGGGATAGGAGGAGGGAGTCAAACAAAAGCAGTAATACCTACCTATCTTTCGGTATCGATAATGCACTGAGAGGGATCTCGCCTGGGGTGGCGTCAGTGGGACTTGAGCACGTGATGGCGTGAATCGTTAGGCCATTATTCAGCAGTGTTGGGCGCTGGCTGGACGAAAAACACGGATTGAGAGAGATTGACACTGGCTCCCGCATTATTACCTGGTTACTCGCAAGGCGACACGGTTATGATCTATCTGCTATCGTGAGAATTGGTAAGAGGAAGCGTTTCTACGGCAGACGTGCCAACTAGATGTCTTCGCCAGACTCTGTAATCAGGCGCTCAGCCTCCTCGACATGGCTTCCACGCTTATACCGTTCGTTGCAGGCATGGCGTCCTGATACTGCGAGACAGAACGTCTACACGAGGTCACAAGCTAGATTAGAAGGGGACTCAAGGCTCCCCCTTGAAAGGGTTTAAAAGGCCTTTCTCAAACCGGAGTACCGGTTGCTCATTGCTAGGTGAGTCGGGACACTGCGCCTTGTCGGTTTCGGAACGATTTCGGGGTTAGTGCTTCCCCGGACCATCTGGAGTGTCAGCGGGTATTGCAGGGTAACACGGCATTTTAAGCTACCCCAAGGCCCCGCCTTAAGCCGAGGAGTGACGGCTACCCATTCCCTCCTCCTCAAGCCAAATACAATGCTATTCCAGCTCTAATCCTCAATCTTCATTTTCTTTCTTGGTCTCTCTCGGTTCTTGCCAAGTCTCTTGACTGTCTGTATTCATAGTTGCAAAGAATGAGTGCCTCTCGACTGCGACCTGCCATTGGCAACGGCGTTGGTCTCGCTATCACATGCAGGAACGTGTCGGCTCGACGGTTTTCGACCAGGCCGGCTCTACAGCAAGAGATCCGGGATGCTTACATTCTAAGTGCCTCGAGAACGCCCACAGCTAAAGTGAGCCACTCTTGTTCGATAGCCTCAAATCTAACCCTTTTCTAACTTCATGACAAGTTCAATGGCTCCTTCACGACCGTACCGGCGCCGAAGCTCGGCGCCGTAGCAATCAAATCCGCCATCGAGAAATCCCGAGTACCCGTCGAGAAAATTACCGATGTTTATATGGGAAATGTCCTCCAAGGTTCCGTTGGACAGGCTCCGGCTCGGCAAGCAGCCGTTTTCGCCGGTCTGCCGACCTCCGTCGAGGCCATTACCATCAACAAGGTCTGCGCATCTGGACTCAAGGCCGTCGCATTCGCCGCCCAAAACATCCAGCTGGGCTTAGCTGAGGCACAAGTTGCGGGCGGTATGGAGAACATGACCCGTGTGCCCTACTATGTCCCGCGAGCCAGTAGCATGCCGCCATTCGGTCATATCAAGATGGAGGATGGTTTGATCAAGGACGGCCTCACGGACGTGTACGACCAATTTCACATGGGCAACTGCGCCGAGAACACTGCTAAGAAATACGAAGTCACGAGGGAGATGCAAGATCAATATGCGATTCAATCATATCAACGAGCGCAAGCGGCATGGAAAGAGAAGGCTTTTGCAGACGAGATTGCGCCGGTCACAGTACCGGGCAAAAAGGGTGACACGGTGATCGACACAGACGAGGGCTTCTTGGATGTTAAACTGGAGAAGGTGCCAACGCTGAAGCCGGCTTTCATTCGTGATGGTACCGGCACAGTTACTGCCGCCAATTCGTCAACCCTGAACGATGGCGCGAGTGCGCTTGTGCTTGGAAGCAAGGCGATCGCGCAGGAGTATGGATCTGGCTCAAGGGTTTTGGCGCGCATCTGTGGCTCTGCAGATGCTGCTGTCGACCCCATTGACTTCCCCATCGCGCCCGCAAAGGCCGTACCCATCGCTCTTGAGAGAGCCGGGATCACCAAAGATCAAGTCGCCATCTGGGAGTTCAACGAGGCCTTCGCTGCAGTTATCAAGGCCAACGAGAAGGTAACGCATTTCCTTGCACAGTCTTGAATGAGACTAACATGGTTTATAGATACTCGGCCTCGAGGGCGCAAAGGTCAATCCTCTTGGTGGTGCAATTTCTTTGGGCCACGCCCTTGGTAGCTCAGGCTCCAGAATTCTGGTCACATTGCTTCATCAGCTCAAGCCTGGTGAGTATGGTGTGGCAGCAATCTGCAACGGCGGTGGTGCGGCGTCTGCTATGGTGGTGCAAAGGATAGAGTCTGTATGATACATAGGTAGTTTGGATAGACGCACAAAAACCCACTGATATACATACTTAAGTTAAAGACACTATTGCCCAGGCTTGTAGTTACTCGGGATTAACAAACTTCATGATATGAATTCCAGTTATGCAAACTCCCATTTTCAAATTTTCCCAGTCTGTAATTGTATTTACGTCTACACTTGCTACTGCCAATTCAATTGATTATCCATGGAATGCTTGCGCTTCTTTGGTAACAATGGCTCAATTGACCCCACTACCTACCAAAAGCTACCTAGGTACCACCAAGTAACCGCACTAGCCTCAATCACACTTAAACAAAGTAAACTACATATCAAGGTCACACGCCCCCTAGAACAAGGCCTTTGGCCCTGCGATATTTGATTATAGCTGACCGTACAAAATCTGAACGAGTCTTTCCGGTACATTCTACGAGGCCTGGGTGGGCTAGCAGCCACCGTCTTGGATTGAGGGCTTCACGCGCCTCAAGATGGCCCTGGTTACTCAATTCTTGACGGGCATTAGGGGCTTCATCGTCAATCAAAATGGAGACGGCCTCTGCGATTGGCTTCAGGTGGACCCAGCTGGCCCTGATATGTACCACGGGCTCCGTGGGGAATTGAAACAGAGTTTCCCGGTCAAGAGCCAGGCACTCGAAAATCTCATTGAGAAATGCCTGCCAGAGGAGGACGATGTCCCTGAGGGACGAGGGTCGCCCTGGCCAGGCTTTGTATCGTTCATGAAGGAATATCTCCAGTATTGGAGGGACGCGAACTTCGATGACATGGTGGATGTTCACGAGAAGCTATGCGGACTACTGACGTGAGTGAAAGAAGGCCATATGCGACTTTCTCTCGATACTAATTAGCTTTAGATCCTGCGCGACTGCGCTCGCCAACCCTACATTTGGTGTGATTATGTTCAAGACTAGCATATCCTTGTCTGAAGCTCTATCAAAAGTCGTCATGATCCTGAATAGGAGGCCCGAGTTGACCAGTGGGCGGCGCAAGGTGGTCGGGGACGAGGATAGCAAATCTATCGTGGAAACCTCCGCAGACATCATCCAGAAGATATTCACTTCTTGTCTTACAGATAGAACGAGCACTAGATATGCTCCTCCCGCAGGAAAGAAGATCGGTGTCTATATATTCGCCAATCTCACGTTGAAGCTCCTTTTCACAGTAAGTGTCTGAATGCGTGCACAAGAGGCCTACCAGCTAATTGTTGTGATGACAGTGCGGCAAGTCAAGACTCGCCGTTCAGCTTCTCACAAATATATCCACCAGCGGACCGCCGCTATCTCTCTTTCCCGCCTCCCAGCGAGTCACTTTCTTGTATTACCTCGGGCGATTCAATTTCGACTCGGATAACTTTCTACGGGCTGCTGTTGCTCTACAAGAAGCGTACACTCAGACACCTCCCACATTTCAGAAGCACCGCCGCCTCATCCTAACCTACCTAATACCTTCCAATATTATGCTGGGACGCTTCCCCAGTGACTCGCTTCTCAGTCGCCCGGAGGCTCAAACGCTTGCTCCTGTTTTGCGGCCGATCATCGCCGCTGTTCGGAAAGGAGACTTTCTCGCTTTCCAGAATGCCTTGTCGACCCATGCCGATTGGCTTTACACAAAAGGTCTTCTCTTGACATTCACGTATCGCCTACGCTCACTGCTCTGGCGCTCATTTACTCGGAAGACATTCTTACTCACGTACAACCCACCCGCAGACCCAGGTTCGCGAGCGGCAGCAACACTTAATCTTGCCGACGTCGTCACGGCGGCGTCGTACGTCCAAAAACGCATGGAAGGCTACGTGCCCGCGAAACCAACGCCTCGTGGCCGACCGCCACACATCAATTCTCTCTTCATGAAGGCAGTAAGCAACAATGTTCCGGACGCAGACTCACTACTGGTGCCACCGCCGGGCGGGCCCAAGAAACTACGGCCGAGCGAGGGGCTGTTCTGGGGGAATCTGCCAGCGTCGATGAAGGAGGTCGAAGGCGTAGTAGCAAGCCTGATAGCACAAGGCCTCATGCACGGCTTTCTAGCTCACTCGAGCGGGCGTTTTGCGATTATGGGGGCGAAGCAAAAGGGGCCGCTAGTAGCAGGGTGGCCGAACGTCACACAAGTCATACTGGAGAGGATGCGGGAGGAAGGAGTGGACGTGGAAGATGTGCCAGCGTGGGTCAAAGAACAGCAATACTGACGCAACGGCTTCGTCGCTTCCTGAAAAAAACCATATATCAATACCCTGTACTACTACTTAGCTTCGAGAAACTGAGATGGAGCAACAACCAAGTATTTGGAAGTCCATACAACTTTGTCTGGTCAGGTTTTGTCACATAGCAGATGAGGCTGGTTGCCGAAAACGGGTTTTTTATTTTTCCTTTCAGCTTCGCAAGAGCCGACACGAGATCTTGACAGCTTGCTCTGCCCCGATACGTAAGTCATATATTGCATCTGTGTATATATCGTCCAGCATCATATCTGATAACACCAAGCTCACTCGTCCGTCTCTTCAAGAAACATCTGCCAACAATAATTCTCACCAAACCATCCATCTCCAACGAATAGAGTTTCCCCGGTACCCTCCGCCGGCATATACCCTTTTTACCATCCAGGGTCCCCAGCGTTGGGAGAACCTTTTCCCTCTTCTAGGCTGTGTCCTCGCAATGCAATTCCAAGGCCAAGACGAACCCCCCCAAAAAAATTCACTCGAGAAGACTGCTCCAAGTCTTGAAGAAGAAAAAAACGAGCTCCACTCCAAATGGGCATGGGTATAATGTCGAAAATGTCCAAAATGCGCGAAAGCCAAGCGGCAAAGGTGATATCCAAGAAGTCGAAAGCGGATCAGCCACGAAGTGCCGTTCCGTATAAACACTAAACACTACTGCCAATAGGGCAATAATCTAAGATGGTCGAATATGTATGTGAAGCCGAAAGACGAATGGTTCTAGGATCAAAGAAAGAACGTTATCGTCGGCATATAGTCAAAAAGTCACCAATAGGCCAAGATAAGGCAACTATGGTTGGAGATAGGTCGAAGAAGATTTGAAAAGGCCAGCAGCAATAGCGAAAAGGTGTTTGAAGAGGCTCCCGGCCAAAGCGTCTCGGCGTGAGGTCTGTCAAAGGACGACCGGCACCACGCTACCTGACCCTGACGCGAGCTCGGGAAGTATAGACATCAAAGAATTCGAAACATATGATGCTGCTGGGAAGAAGATGAAACGACTTGCTCTCCGACAACGGAGGTCAGTTTCAATACAGCCAAGCGGCTGCGACAAGAGCCACGACTAGGCCAGCAATGGCGGCGCCACCTTGATCGGGGTTCATGGCATCATTTTCAGATGCAGTTGTTGTTGGGACAGGAACATTCGTCGGCGAGCCAGTCGTAATGGTGGCTTGCGCTGTCACCGATCCGCCAGTGCTCAGAACTCCTGCAGTTGAGGTTCCATTTTCCCGGAAAATACCAGGCAACACACTGTAGACCTTGGACGTCGTTGCAGGCGTCGATGAAGACGATGCCTCGGTGCTACTGCTGCTGCTGCTACTACTACTACTACTACTGCTTGTAGTAGAAGTTGTCTCTTCGGAGGTAGTAGTTGGAACAGCGGATGAAGTCGTAGAAGTGGTGGTCGGCTGCGCCTGCGTGCTCGTGGTAGGCGCTTCCGCCTCTGATGAAGATGAGGTCTCTTCGCTGTCATCACCCGTCGAGCCATCAGTGTTGAAGACAACAATGTTGGCAGTTGAGCCGCTGGGCACGGTCACAACACAGAAAGAAGCACCGCCGGCTCCCACATCCGCGGAGGGGCTTTCAGTCACGCCAATATCTCCCTCGCCAATCGAGCATGGGAGTCCGTTGCAGCCACCATCGGGGCACTCAATCCTAAGCCCATAGCTGGGCTTCACACTCTTCCATTTCGAATCCATATAGATTGGGTTCATACCAATCTTGAGGAAAGTCGTGCCGCCCGCAACCGTGTTGGCACCTGCGACATAGGCAGCCCAGTTTCCCCAAGGCTTATCCTCCGAACCCCAAACACAGCAGTCATCAGTTGAAACTCCTGGAGGCCCAATATAAAAACTGAGAAGACTGTCAGCAACTTCTGTGCAATACTATTATGGAAACAATACATACTGCGATGCAGTAGCAGCCCAATAGTTGGGGCCGGGAACAGCGATGGTTACTGTTCCGTCCACTGCTGTGGGGATGACCATGGCTTCGTCTCCTGGCAAGGTAGTCTGACAAAAAGCAACAGTCTTCCCGGCCTTATTCACGGCCTGGACGGCACCCGTTCCCTCGACGCATAGAGGTCTATCTGGGAAGGGTTTTGTCGCGACACCTCCCTTGTCACAATACAGACCACCATTCTAACCTTTGTTAGTATATGCGTCCACACCGACATATTGTGTGGTGAGAGACGTACCATCGACTGCGGGTAGACATAATTCGAGCCCTTTTGCCACTGGTTCATCACCATGCCTGGCTTGCAAGCAATTGGGCAATAGTTTCCCACTGTGCAAGCCCGATCCGGCGGCATGGCCCATCCTTTATTCTTCAGATGCTGGGTAACTGGTACCACGTGTGGATCATCGAAAGGAAACGTGCATTCGAGGTCTCGGTCCTCGAGATCCCGACCGGCCACCGGGCTTGCCATCAACTCGTTATGCTCATGGCCGTGCGAATGTCTCTTGCCATAGTGGTTGTGCGCCCTTCGGTGAGAGTTGGATGCGCTTGCTGTGTGCGCAGATAATAATAACATGGCCGAGCCAAGTGCGGCCTGTAACGTTGCGATCTTCATGGTGCCGGATCTCGTGAAGAGTCTATCTTGGAGTTTACAAAGGTGAAGCTGTGCGACGAAGAGCCAGGGCCTTTTGTCTCAACAACAACAGCTGTCTCGCGGCAAAACAGAGCGAGTCTGATACTGTGCTTGCGGGGAAACGGTTGAGGGTTCGCCTTCAGTCCAGTATCATAGCATGACGCCAATGTCTCGGAATAGCGCGTTCCAGCGAGTTTCTTCAGCAACGCGCCACAGGAGCTAAGTAAGTATAGTCGGGTCGTAACGAGCGAGGTCCTGTGCAAAAGGAGCGTGATAGTCCAAATGGACAATAGAAAAAATGAAAGCAAACTGAATGAATGTGGTGTTCAACGAGTGACTGGGGAAGAGAGAGAGCAGGCGAGAGACGAGCAAGGAGAAGGAAAAAAGGAGCACAGCCAAGCGAGCGAGCGTTGCCAGAGGCTTGCAGAAAAGCCTCAACTGCAGAGCACCAGCAGCAGAACAGAATACACACAGATCCACTTCTGGGGGCATCGCAAGGTATGGGCTGGCTAGCCGCGGCCGTGCCTCGACCGCTTTGGTGGAGTGCCAGGCCTTTGAAGGCGTATTGGCGCATCGGAGCGACTGTTTTGCACGCTTCCCCGTTGAGGCAAAACGTCGTGGGTCAAGCAGCAGGAAATTGCTTGACATTGCGCGAATCGAGTTGGGCTCAATTCCCGTCATGCGACCACCAATGAGGGCCGTCTCCTGTCCGGCAGACATTTGTATTAGCCAGGGGATGCCGTTCAGGCACACCAATAGGAAGAGGCCGTAAATGAAACTAGACAGCAGGCGAGATGAACTGCAACGCTTCAACGCACCGGCACCATCTCGCCTCATTGACCGCGCTCGCCCCAGGGGAGATTTCCAACCCACGCCGTTGACCAGCCAGAGCACTGGAACGCTGATTCGACCGAGATCGTCGACCAGTGATCTAATCACCAATAGATTGACACCATTTTGCCAATATCGCGTGCACGCCATTCTGCACCAAGCAGACTAGCCGATCAAAACATCCATCATCAACAGGTTAATGCAAACAAACGATAGTCAATGTGAAGAGCCAGTCACAACCCAACCGCTCACACAACTCTTCATCTCGATGATGACGCATGGAAGCAGTGGTTCGGGATCCCGTTACTCCAGAGCGGTGCGAGATTACTGCCATGAGCATCAGGCCGATGAGCGGCACAGCACTTGCGATGCAATTCAAATGAATGAAATGAAACACCCACCAGTGTGTGCGCCAAGGCAGATGGCTCAGTTTCTTTGCTTCTCTTCGTGTTGCTCTTTGGCCTTTCTGATTGTGTCTCATTAAAACTCGTGAGAGGAGTTTTGTCCCCGAAGTCGCGAGGCAGCGGATGTATTAGTACTGACTGTATAGTCGTACTACCATCCGTCGCCAAGTGGTGGCGTCTAGCGTCGTGATTTGGTAACAACACACGACGCTTGACAATCTTGCGACGAGTATCAACCAGGGCATCTGAATGTTCTCTTCGAATAGGACATCGTCCAGAAAGCCTAGGCGAAACAAGACTTACGCAAGCCTCGTCGCCAAGTATTGTTCAATTAAGCTTTGTTCATCTGAAGGGAGTGGGACCAAGATCGGAGGATTGGCAAGTGCCGGTGGAAGATCCTTACACGAGATCAACATCCCTGGTTCCATGTGCAAGATGGCCATAAATCCGCCCAAAGGTTGAATCTGATGGAGTTACAAGCAAAGAAGTAGGCTCGATCCGAATGATGCTCAAAGGCTCGAGAGGCTCGCATGACTCGCTGCCATAATCTTGCTTTTCACGACATGGGAATCTCATTCTTCGCACTTGTCGGTCTTCATGACTTTGGAGGGGACAGCATCCAAGTGGAATGCCCCCAGAATCCATTGCACCAGAGGGAGGCGCCGCGTCGCCAAATGCGAAGCCTTCCACCGCCGTCACAGATGATTATCCTCAGCCGATTCACATCTTCGGCGGAATTTGGTCGAAGGCGCTGTAAGCTGTTTGGAGGTAGATAATGACAGTCTCGATCAAGTTCAAGGATGAATGTCAAGAAGAAACTCCCCAGGCTGACGAGAGAACAATATGCTGAGCACGAAAGGCGGAGCTCCGCATATTAGTTGATCTCGGACTTGACTAAGGTGCTGACTTCCCCGACAAGTCCGACGTCAGACTTGGCAGTGCAACCTCCTTGACGAACGCAGCATGGATCGCGAGTCCTACATTTGGATGAGATTTCACGTGATATGCTGGCGTCTTGGATGCTGGACCGGTGATGGAGGAGTCTCACTTGAGCTAATGGTTCTGTGGTTATTCCGGCCATTCCACTACTCTGGTTGAGATCCAGAGGCCTTGACTTTGGCGACTTCCTTAAGGCATTCTTCGGCGGCGCGAGTTCCCGAGGAAGGAAGACATCGAAAGAGTCATCAACAGAGCCAGGCAAGAGACTACGGACGGATCACAGACAAGCCGGTGGTAGAAAGGCTAGGCCTTGGCACTCAGCCTCGTTGAAGAGGAAAGCAATGACCAATTGTCTGGGGCGTCAGCGCTTATTGTTCTGAGAGCAGAAGTGTTGGCGGCCGAATGATTCACCAGATGGGGATTGGGCCACGCAATGCGGCAGCGGGACCATGGCGGCCGACATATGGGGAACATCTCAAGTGAGCGAAAGGCTATAATTGTTTCGTTTCAACTTGTCTAGTCTCGGAAAAGCCCCGGAAGACAAGGCTGTCCCGCCGACGGCCCCGGACTAAACTCTATCTCATTCTAAGTAATCTCTCACTCTGACCTGTGCGGCAAGCGGCGGGAAATTTCCAACTAACAATGAAGGGCGGGTGCTGATGGAAATGAGGGCTGTTGACGTGGAAGAAAGGCTTTTATTTTTAGGCGCGCTAAAAACAACCGCGTTGGCACAGCCCCGGAGTGACCGCCTGCACACAACCGCTGTCCAGTGAGCATCAGGCAAAAATCACGGGTCTAACAAACGGTCTGTCTTACTCGCCATTATTTTACGCCGCCCTTCTTTGAGTTACAAACCAACTCGCCAAATAGAAGCTGTGGCTTTGGGGTAGTGCTGACCTCCGGAACACCCTCCTCCCGACTTCCCACAGCCATCATGGCCAGCAAAGAGCCGGATGCATGCGGGGAGGCTGGCGCTCTCAGTTAGACTCCGCAGCAGCGCTACTGACAATTCTATTGTCATCTTCTGCGGAGAGGCGTCGACCCAAGCGGTCATGAGCAAGAGTCTAGGTAGGATTGCCTTTGTTGATGGAAAGTATAAGACTTGGTCTGATCCTCGATATCACATTGAGTTTCGATCATCATCACCAAGCAAACAAATAAAGCAATAACAAGCATTTCCTACATTTCTCTCTATTTTCTTTCTCATTTCCTAGGTCTTCATTTCCTTGAGTCCTTCACTCTTCACTTCCAGCATAATTTCTTTGGAACTTAATCTCAGAGTTATAATTCAATAACTATCAAAATGCGTTTCACTTCCACTACTGTTGCTATCCTGGCCCAGACCGCTGCAGTCTTCGCTGCTCCTGCTCCGGGTCAGCAGTCTGCCAGCGCGAGCACGACAACTGCTGCTGCTGCGGCCGCTACTACTTCTGCCGGCCTAAGCTTAACACAGCAACTCTTCATTGCTGATACGTGAGTCTTCTTACGACTAGATCATCCTCTTAACTACCATACTCATATCTCTCCCCAGTGCCGCCGACCGCTTCAAGCTTCTCCCTAAGGATGAGCAATTCGTCTTCGACTTCAACACGCCACAGGCCAACCCCGGCAAGGGTGGTGAGCTCGTGGCTGCCAACCGCAAGACATTCCCTGCTCTTGTCAGCACTGGAGCCGGCATGGCTGTTGGTCGCGTCAAGCCATGTGGCATGAACACTCTCCATGTGCACCCTCGGTCCGCGGAGCTACAGATTGTCGTCGAAGGCAAGCTGGTCACGGAGATGACCCCCGAAAACGGCGTACTCGATGCTGATGGCAAGCGCCGAGTTATCACGACCACCATCAACCCCTTCCAGATGACCCCCTTCTACCAGGGTTCGGTCCACACTCAGTTCAACCCCGACTGCAAGGATGCCGTCTTCGTCGCTGCCTTTGCTTCTGAGGACTTTGGTACCGGCCAGATTGCCGATGAGACCTTTGCCTTTACCGATGACGTCCTTCAGGCAACTTTCGGCCAGAGCATTGACGGAGCTGACATCGACAAGATCCGCTCTGCCATCCCCGCCAGCATCGCTCTAGGTGTTGAGGAGTGCCTGACAAAGTGCGGTATCCAGAAGCGATCCCTGTAAATGGTGGACGAGAAGTTTTTTAGAGTTACGCCACAACAAAAATTCATGATACCCCGGTCTAAAGGGTGGGAATCTCGGAGACGGGGAATGCACGGGATATTGGGTTACCGGTGGCTTCGCATTTTTGGATGGTTAGGCAACTTTGATTATAGCGCTGCATTGGTTCCGGAGTTATTTTTTTGCTAGACTTACTTCACGCCTTATGACATTCTAAACCTTCTCATGAGTCCACACTCCTTTGAGCCAGCGATGGCCATTCAATACAGAAAAGGCCCCCTTCTAAATGGGGATGAAATATCTGGTCGTCATACGAACGTGAAGTGACTTGATATCTTGAGCACCGTCCCTCGTCGACTTATTCAATACTCGAAATTTTCACCTACCAAATCTTCACTCAACTTCCACAGACGCTCCGCACTCTGGGGATCCGTGCTCCATGGCGCAAGCCAGAATGACTCGGTCACCAGCTCGCAGTCAGCAAGAAAGACGCCCTCCTGGCGTGGCAGATCGGGGTCAAGTGCTGCCCTCAGGGTGGTGGAGCAGCCTTGCTGCAGCGTCTTCCTCTGCGTCCTGGCGCTTGAATCGCCGAGGACAATGGCAGACGCCGCATCGGCGATGTCCTTGTCCAAATGCCTTTGTAAACCGGTTGCTACGCTCCCCGGATGCAGTGCGTAGGAGTGAACGCCTTTTCCCGCTAGCCGCTTGTTCAGGGCGACAGAGAACAGGATGTTGGCCGTCTTTGCCTGGCCGTAACCTTTGAGCGGTGTGTAGGAGCCTTCCACGGTGAAGTTGGGGTCCTCCCAATTGATACTGCCGAGTTTGTTCCCGCTGCTGGAGACGTTTACGATGCGGGAACCAGGGCCAGCGGCGAGGATCTTTGGCATCAGATAGTTGGTCAAGACGAAGTGACCGAGATGACCCGAGGCGAATTGTAGCTCGAAGCCGTCGACGGTCTTCTCATATGGACAGAACATGATCGCGGCATTGTTGATGATGACGTCAATGTGCTCGATTTCAGGGTCATCGAGGATCGACTGCGCTGCCTTTCGCACGCTTGCCAGGGACGCGAGGTCTGTCTCGACGAATTTTACCCGTATCGACGAGTTGATGGACTGGATTGTGCTAATCACAGGCTCTATTTTCTGAAGTGACCGGCCAAGTAAGATAAGAATTGCCGGTGCACCATGAGCAAGGGAGATGGCAGTCTCTGCTCCGATGCCATTCACACTAGGTCCAGTAATAAGAACTACAGGCGTCTTGTGTAAGATATCAGACAGCATTCCACTCAAAGAGTCTAGACTTACATGTTCGACCCCGGACCTGATCTGCAAATTGGCGAACGACCTCGATCCCCTCTGTTTCGAAGGCAAAATTCGTCATAATCAAAAATAAAATTTATTTATTAAAATAGAAGCAATCGCTTGTTATATCACTCTGGATTCCCTCACTGTGTTTGTGTTTCTATGGTCTTTCAAACCTCGACCGTTCGTTGAAAGATACTGCCAGTTGGGCTATGTGATGGCTATTAAAGAACATTAGCCATGCACATTATATATAAACTGAGCGTCATGGACACAGCCCGGCTCCATGATCGGGATCGTCGCGGACCAGAATGAAACGTGGAAATAGCCGGTCTTGCGGTAATAGCGTACGACTCCGGCCTGGCAGCGTCCTGTAAGAGTCTTGAGATCGACGGCCGCAACTTGCGCAGCGAGCGGCCTGGCGCCGCATCGCCACTTCGCGTTCGGCTTTGAGCATCAACGCCGGAGAAATTATTATCAAGGGCACCTTATATCCGGCGAGTTTCGATAATTTGGAAATAGGTCACGACCACGAATAGACCACCTTCTACAGATGAAAGACTGAGCAAAAATCAAACTTTGAAGAAACAGGAAGGACGGAAACCGTCAACCTAGTGACACTCCTTCATTGATAGCATTTATTGTGATAACTAAAGCATCATCGTAACATGCCGTCGACGTCAAACCCATTTTCTCTAACGAGATAGCTTGACATGGCAGTGAGCAAAAAGCTTTCGCAAGAAGTGTTTCCGCCGGGTATTCAGCCACACTCTGAAGCCACTGCCACTGCTGACTAAGGCAGCTAGTTAGTATGACCCAAGCCTATTTCGTTGGTTCCGCGAAAGACACGCTGCCTTGTTCGACGCATCAAACAAACGATAGTGGACTCGCAGCGTGAACACATATTTGTTGTTTGCATTAGAGCTTGTAATGGACTTACCGTGATGCCTATAAAGCAATTGAATACTTACAGAGAGCCATCATTGTGAGCTTTGGGCTCTTTGGTACCAAGAGGCTGGGGGTCGTTAGGCGGGAGGACTGGCCTCGCCAGGCTCACTCCATTTAGGAGAATTACACATCACAGCTTCAGTCCCGCAGGGCCAATGTCCCCTTGACGCCTCTTGACGGGCCAAATTTACGGATTTCACTTTGGAATTGAAAGTTCCAGAGATACACAGCCTTGCAGTCAGGTGTATCTGAGAGACTGCGGGTATCATTTTCATCCCTGGAAGCGACTTCGTTGTTCCCCGGATAAGGGCCTAATTCATAGGAAAGAGCCCACCGCAAGTCAAGCCGCATGCACAACATATGCGGCTGTGTGCCTCATCTTATCCTCTGAGCAGCAAAGAAGGGTATCTTGCTTTGTTTATCTTCCAAAACAAACCGCCAAACCGTTTCCTCTCTGCAGCGTCGACAACGCGTCGTCGGAGAGTCGGTTTTCGGGAAAACTACTGGTACTCTTCGCAAGGCTTGCGTCTCTCGCGGTAGTAATTTGCAGAGAGACTGAAAACCAAACGAACAATCCCGTCGTCTTAAACCGCAATTTCCCTGAGAACCTCGTCTCAGCCCGAATCTCACCATGGCGAGTGGCCAGAGAGAGTTCACTCGCGTGACCATCGGTCGCAGCGACGGAACTGTCTACAGCTCTGACGATCTCACAAGGTCCTCTCGTACTACGGTACGCTGGTCTGAGCCCCTTCCAGACGATGACCCGCGCGTTCTACGTTGGAAATTCACGATCGGGCGTGCTCTAGCCGCCGAGATGGGATGGCCCAAAGGTCAGTTGCTCACAATTCTCGAGCTTGCCATTTACCTTTGTTGCTAATCCTGAGATAGAGAAGGAGTATATCGTTGACTTCCCAGAGCACTATGTGCTAAGAACCAAGGATCAGAAGGCTAAACAGGGCTCCGGTAAGACGTTTTATGAGATACAGGAGAAATTTCACTGACCCCGTATTCAAGACAAGAAGCGCGAAGACCCATTCATGGTTGGGCACCCAGCTGGATGTGCGGATAAACACTGTTTTCGAAGCCCCGGAGAGTTCGTGTACCACCTGATCTGGTTGTTTAGCAACTCTACCGATCGCACACAATGCCCTTGCAAGGTCTGTGTGGAAGTGACGGACTCTGGTAAGAAGAAAGAACGTCCGATACCTCTGCCTTTCAAGACTGAGGATGCAACTCCCACTCCTGTTCCCCAAAAGGTTACCCCGGTGCCTATTCCCATCCCCGGAGGTACTCCTACATCCAGTCCAGCTCCGATCAAGCCAAGTCCAGCTATGGCTGCGACGAAAGCTTCACCCGTCACACCATCACCTGCGCCTGCGCCTGCGCCTGCACCTCCTCTCAGGGACGACACGATGTTTCGTCAAGGCGAGATGGTATGGTTCAAGGCTACAGCTTGGAGAATTGGCATCATTGCATTGCCCGGTAACAACAATCCCAGCGCCAACGGTTCAACTTCAGCCAGATACCTTCTAGCTCCTCTAGGACACTCAGGGCTGGCTCAGCAGAACGTTGTCAAGGGCGAGGAGGACATGCGCCCATTCTTGACTTTCAGCGTGCCTCAGATAGGCATCGAAGGCTTGGTGGGCAAGACTTACGGCGAGATTGACTGGCCGACCTTTGCAAAGGGCTTCACCGGGAATAAGGAGATCGTGGGTCTCGAAGCATCTAAGATGGCAGCGCTGACCATCGACGGCTCGTATTCCGTCTTTAACAAATTGCAATCAACAGATCCGACGAAGCAGTTCTATGGCGGCATCTTCCTCGGAGCTGAGAACATTCACATCGGTGACGCAGTCCGTCTCAAGCCTGTCTCTGGGGAGAGATTTGTTATGGAGATTGGCAAGATCTATATTGACGAAACCGGCCCAAAGTTCCAGGGCAATATCTACCGCCCTGTCACCGTTGCGCTCGCCGAACGAGCTAAGTTCCCTCCAGAGACCCAGCCTCAGGGCCCGACGTTCCAGCAGGAGATGGAGTTCCGCAACAGAGTTCAGGCCGTGCATAACATCGCATGGGTCTGGCAGCTGGTGGAGCAGGATGCCCTGCGCAAGGAGCTGGATGTGGCTGGCAGATTCTACGTCACGCCCAAGCTGATGAAGATCTTGGATCCTGCGCGATTTCATACCACTGTTGAGAGTCACGTTGTGGACGACGCCATGTCCTACTTGAACAACAGAATGCAGAGCGGAGGAATACGATACATTGGCAAACGGCCCAACAGAAGAACGACTGTTGGCCAGGCCGTCAGCACCACGCTTGCCATGGGCGAGGGCATATCTGAGGAGAACTACTGATGCTATGGTATGAACGATGCTTAGCAATCTCTGCTATACCGCTTCCAAGAGGCCGTGATCAATGCTATTATTACTTGTACTATTGAGGAATTCGAGACTAGCTTAGGCAAAAGCAAAAAGAAAAAAAAACACTTATTCCACGGTAGTTGTTTCAAACGCCGTAATAGCCAGTGAGGCCCGATGATCCTCTGCAATCTTGAGCATCAGCGCCTCCTCCAAGCGGGCGCTTAGTAGTAGATTCTCATTTTGGAAGGTGTCACGCCAAGAAGCAAGTATTCACCGCATGTCTGTCCGCCCCCAGCTCTCGGCCGAAGTAGTTTTGAGCTGAAAAAAGAAGAAAGGGCGAGGGTCAGTGCCATGCGGCCCGCTGTGTATCATTGCTGCATCGTCCCGATTGACATTGTACCCGGTGAGGGGGACACCCGTCCCCGTAGGCACGTAGCACAAGGAAGATAATGGGATCATCCATCACATTCCCCCAATTCCCGAACGTGCCTCGAGGAAATTTTCCCGGAGCAAAGCAACCACGCTGCCGGCGCCACCGCAGCCTGGGAGGGGAACAGGATGTGTTACACAAATGACATGCCGTGGATCTGGAACGCCTGTGACGCTCGATTCTCGTTCGTCCGGCTCCTGGGAAGGGGATTTGGGTGGCGCGACATGCCATAAGCAGATCGTCCCAGCTGGGCGGTACAGTCACACACACACGCACAAAATGATACAGAGGGGAAATTATGTTCCCTCCCAGAGGGCCGAAAAAAAAGGGTGACAAAGTGATTGGGGGTTCGTGTTGCACAGGAACACGAAATTTCGTGCGTGCGTTTTCCGAGACTTTGGATGTTTGTTCAAGGATGACCGATTCCGACCCGTCGGGCTGGGTTATGTCACCACTGCATGTCTTGGGATGACAGCGACTACGTACACACAAGACCGGACGGCAAGGGAGTCGGTCAGTCCCGCCTGCGAAGTAGGGCCGAGAAGCAGAAGCAAATGGCATGCAAACCCGCACGGCAAAGAGCGGTGGGCACACAAGCGGTGGTTCCATAGTACGGATTGTCATTCCGGGAGTGATGTGGCCTGGAAGCCGGGCTATGGAGAAGAGGGAATACTGGTTTCTGGAGGGGGAATACTAAGAAACAACCCAAAGCTGGATATCCCACAATCGTTCACTCCCGCCTTTTTCTACTGTGTCTCACACCGGTGCTCTGTCTCCTCGAAAGAAAAATAAACTCCTCTGTGCTGTGCTCCCCGAAATTATGCTGCTGCTGTTCCACCTCGTTGCTTGCTGGCTGTTCCCCCCTTTCGCTCCTCGCCTTGATACGCTCAACTCCGAATCTTCCTGCACGACCTGCCTGCTCGTAGAAAATGTATGCCCGATGAAATGCTGAATGCTAGCCCTCACAGCGTCCCCATCGTTGCGTCTCATCGGCAATAGGAAGGGGTCCAATCTAAGAATTTGATGCATACAGAACGTCGTCAAGAGGATCGTAGATAAATTGTATCGAGGCCGCCCATGCAGTCTCTCGTTGTTCGTGTCGTGTCAGATGATATGCGTAAGAAGGTCTTTCATGCTGGTCGTCGTTCCTCTTTCCCACGCTTGCCTGTGCCTAGACAAGAGGAGGGTTCGAGGCTGTGGTGTTGGTATGTAGTGAGTGAGTGATGATGATGCTGCGTTGCCGAAGGGGCCGTGAAACCAGAGAGTTCTTGAAAGACTAGCGATGTTGAAATCGGATGAAGTTCGTCCAAAAGGTTGCAAAAGCTCGCTCGTCATGACTGTCCAAAATAAAGAGATTCCCCAATTCTTTTCCCATCCTGAAACTATCCAAATTGTCAAACACATGGATCTGGCAATTTTGATCATTAGTGGTCATCATCTCAAGTCTAAGACGACGCCCGGGCGATGGGTCATGTTGCTTCAGTTTCCGGTTCCTTCTCTTTAGAAACCTTCAAGGCCTGAAGTTTGGCCTCTATACTCTTCAAAATATCAGGATCTGGCTCGGGTTCTATTCTCTGCGGTTTGAGCCGCTGCGTATCAGGTGTCTTCTCGGTGCCACATCTCTCGCATGCAGTCCCGTTTTCGGCGTCGGGAGGATACCTCTTCTTGCATTTGCTACATGCGTAAACTGGAATGGAATTTTTTCCAAATTCATCGCCAGGGTATCCGAAAGGATATTTGTCCTTCTTCGATCTATACAAGAGTTAGCACTGGAGCGGAGATACGAGTAAAGGTGGGTACTGACGGATCTCGAGGACAATCAGTACAGCGAGTGTGAGTGCATCCCGGGCATTGCTTGACTCCTCCCGTGAACAACTTCGAGCACTGGCAGCACGTTCGTCGGACTCGCTGTCGGGGTTTCTTATAAACCAGGTCTTGGCCACCTGCCTTGGCAGGCCTCCTGAGGACAACCTTCTCCGGCGAAGGATTGTAATCAACGGCGATGGGAGGGTTCTCGGCGCGCTCCTTGAGGATGGCCGCCCTTCTCTCGCGGCTCGCAATCTTCTCGGCTTCCGTCCGCTTGGCCGGGTAGCGCGTGCACTCCTTGCAGCGGATGTGCTTGCAATCAGGGTTGGGACACTCCCTCGACGTTCCGAAGGTGGAATTGCAGTTATGACAGATCCGGTGAACGCGCATGCGGATTGGCTTCTCAACTCGTAGAGCCTCGCCCTCGGTCGAATGCCATTCACTTGGCTTAATCTCTAGGCCGTACCTCTCGGCCAACTTTCTTGCCCTCTCCTCATGAATCTTGAGCCTAGGGATCTTCTTTCCCTCAAATGGTGGCTCCTCCGGCTTCTTCGAAGTCTCAGCAGCTGCCGGTTCGCTTCGGTCGAGTCAGTATATCAACTTCGACATGAACTTTACGCCCAGACGGCGAGGTAAAAGTGTGAAGATGGGAAAAGAGATTTCATAAATTTTACATGAGAAATGAGAAATCAGAGGCATACCTAGTTGCAGGAGCAGCAGTAGACGGACCAGCTTTCGAGCTGCCGAGAGTTGATAGCCGTTTCGATGGGTCGGCCCTCTTGAGAACAGTCTTGACCCTCGTCAGGAACTTGCCCACGCCCTTCTTCTTCTCCTCCTTCGGGACGGACGGTCCCGCCTGGGCTGGGGAACTCATGTTTGCTTAGTTTGTATCGCCTTGTAGTTGTCGGGTTTTGCTGACAGAGACCAGTGTCTCTAATCTGATACAGCCCGAGGCGACGGTTGGTTGTTGGGTGAAGCAAGTCAACACGACATTGGCTGCAATTGGGATCTGGACTGGAAAATTAATCCTTCTGGTTCAGTCCAAATTCGGCAATTCGTTCAATCGAGTGGTTGAGAAGGCCTGTGAGTTGTGGTCTGTCTGGCGAGGCGCGGGTATACGCAGGTGAAGTGCTGGAAACCCCAGGAATAACACACACACATCCAAGTCGCTGTCCCACCTCAATTCGCACCACACAATTTCTCTGGCTGCCAAGTTCCAAGCGCCTCGGCTGTGCCAATCGTGAAGAGATCCCAGACTCTTTCTTTTATTTTCCTGTTTCCCGGCTCTCGATGCTATCGGCGCAGATAGTCGGTCGTCTACCGGGACGTGACGACAAATAATGGGTATTATGGGCGAGGGGCGCCGTAGCGTGAGGAGGAGAAGGGGAAGAGAGGAAGAGTTGGATGGGGAGATAACAAGGAGAGGAGGTCTGGTGGTCTGCGGTGCGGGAGGAGACGGCGGCCCAGCCTGAGCAGGCTAGCGGAGACGGAGGCAAGCTAGCAGCAGAGGGAAGATGCAGCACAAGCGCTAGCAGTAGTTTCTTCGACGGGACGGGTAAGGTGGGAGAGTTGAGTTCTGCCTTAGTGTACTGTACTCTACAGGGAACTAATGTAGAGAGGGAGACAACAGAGACCCACGTACGCACGCCCGCCCGCAGAGGCAACCTGTTGGCACCGCAAGAACGAGCAAAGAGTTGCTCGTACTGTACTATTTTACTATTGCAAAGCCTGCACTGCACGGATTTCCAACTGATTGATGTGCAATGGAATTGTGTCCTCGCCCAGCTGGCTGGCTGGATGGCGAGGAGGCGAGACCTGTCTGTGAGCATGCAAAATGGGAAATGGACATGAGCCCACACGCCCAAGTAAGTACCCACTACAAAGGCTATCCATCAAAACCTTGCCTTGGACAACAGGAGACAAGCAAGACAGGCCCTGAGAGTGACTGAACAAGAAGGGATACGGAAGGCTTGCCAGCGACGGAGCGCGTGGAGACCGGAGCTATGAGACGTTTGGACGACAGAATTCCGGTAGGTGCAGGTACAGGTACAGGTACCAGGTCGAGAACCAGGACCAGGACCAGCAAGATTCCCAGCTCGTCCCAGTGAGAGTCAGTTGAATGCGGATACGGGGGCCGGGCCTGTCCCAAATGCATGGATGGAGCTTGCTGACTGGCGGTGGGCTCTCGCTCCCTCTCTCGACCGCGGCGTCCTCTGCCTCTCTCTTGCTATGCGCAGTAGTGCTGCAGACGACGAACCACCGCTGGTGGACTTGCAAAACAGCAGCAGGCGGCGAGCTGGGCACGCTGGGGTTCGATTTCGGGGTTGTCGCTTGCGAGGTTGGTGCCCTTGACCTTGTGGAGGTCCTCTGGAGACCATTGATGATTGGGGGCATGGGAGCATGGAATGCGTGCGGAATGGATGCGTGGGCGTGGGTGTGGGTGTGGGCTTGCTTTGGGACAATCCCCCGGGCTTGGGCATGTGGGTCCCCTGGTTGTGGGCCCTTGATCTGAGGTGGGAACTGCCCCGTGCTGGAGACCCACCTTTCCCCCCTTGTACGGCCGTCCATGGCCCCGGATGTAAGTACGCAGGTAGGCAAGTGTACATGTACTTTATTTATTACTATGCTCTACTTCTCTCACAAAAATGGCAGAAGCTCTTTCTTGATTTCTGACCTGCTGCACTTGCCGTACAGGGTGTTTGGCATGGTGGCTCTCCTACCTACTATACAGTTAATATCCTTTTACGCAGGAGATAGGGTCGGGAGGCGTTGAACATGGTCAATTTGAGTTCTGGTGCATGGCGACAAAGTCTCTCTACCCGACGGTGACGCCTTGCCTTCATCGGCTCATACTTGGCCTTGCCCAATGTACTTTCCTAGTGGCCGACCTGCTGCTTGTGATATATGACTATTTCTTCGTATCCTACGGACACCAACATTCTGTTCTCTGTTGCTCGAGTAATGCTTGAAAAGACGACTGATAGTCTCTGTGTGTGTCTCTCTCTCCGATTCTCTTCGGGGTTGTTCAAACCGACGCATCTTGTAACTCGAAGCTTCGCGCGCGGCAGCTAATACGCACCGCTTGCCTGATCCCGAAGCTTTGGGCTACGCCTTTTAGCTCCTTGGGCTTGGCTATATTACGGCCGTACAGTGCAAACGAGGTCAAGCGACACATGGCCACCGAACCCTACTAAGGTCGAGCACCTGAGGGCAGATGAAAGACCTCGCTGCTTAATAAATGAAGGTATTTTCTCGCATTTCCAATTGCTCTTCTCGAACAATGAAACACGTGTTGTGAGCTAAGTCCTCCTAGCGTAGGTACCACGTTACGAACACGGGGAAAGCTCTCTCAAAGTGAGTCCACCGGGTAGTTTAAGACAAGAAGAAACAGCGGACCTCCGACTTCATTCCATCATGAAGTCTTATTACTGTTATTGAGTTGCGCGAGTGAGCCAGAATCACCGAGGGCATCTCCTCATCCTGAGAATCACAGCGGTTGGTGCGGGGTTTTCTCACAAGCATACTCTATGGAGAATGTAGAGTACTTTTACTTGCTTGCGAAGCGTGGGCGCAGGTGCTTATCGTCGTCTCCAGCAGCCTATTCCAGCAAGCCATCCATCGACAAATGAGAGGAGCGATGCTACCTGCAGTTCATATGATGCATGAGTCCTGTGTCTGGGCAGCGCAACGATTGGGTAACAGCTGCACCGAGACACGACACGACACAAGCACAAAATTTGCCAGCCATGCCTCCTCATGCTACCACCGCGCGCCCGCGCTATCGGGGGGCCACCACACTTTGTATCATCCCATCCCAACAAGTCCCAGTCCCAGCGTGGCAGAAGGTTGCATTGTGCACTGTCCACGGGCTCATTGGTTCTGTGCGATGCCTGCGTCCCGAATATCCGGATTGGAAGAGGACCTCGTGGAGGCATCTGGGATTTTTCATTTTGCATTAATAATGAGTGCTTTGGTCGCCTTCTCCACCTGTCCTTTCTCCGTACGGACCGCACCCGAACTGAGGAGCATCCTTCGCTTCGAACGGTTTACTTGAACGAAGCGATTATTCTAGACTTTCTCAGTATTCGCAGGAATTGGACTGCGCCTACCGCCGCGCAAAAAAGCAGCCGAGCTTTTAGTGTCATCGCCTCCTGAAAAGACTATTCTTGCGGATGCCCCGCCTGCTCAAGCCCTGGCTTATTCCTGCAACTACGGATAGACTATTGCAGCCAGACGGGAATACGCAGTTCTCTCTGGACTCACAGACAAAGTCAAGATGGCTAGGAATTGTACACGCTTGTCTTTGAAATGGTGGCCTACTTGATCTTCCGTTTGACTCTCTTTGAATTGAGCCGAGGTACGCGGCGTTACTAACGTTACCTTGCCTCTTGCCATGCAGTACAGTCTTGTTATATGCTTGCTAGGTATCTCCACGTGTGTTGTCGAGCGTGAGATACTGCTGGTAATCCAGTCCTGGGCACAATCTCTGATGCAACTGTACATGTACAAGGCTCCGCAAATGGCGCCATTGTGCTGGCCTCTGCAGACACGCATCGCTGCTCTCAACTGCATTCTGTTGCACTGTTGCACCTGGTCCCATTTTGTCCCATACTACCATTGCACCACCGGACGCACGAGGGCTAATCCGGACAGATCCGGCTATGTGTTTGTGCATCAAGCCACGCTTTAAGTGATGCGTCACATCACCCATAGCCCAAAGCCCATAGGGGCTCAGCGGTCCTGTATCGTCGAAGCACTAGAGGCAGTCAGTTACCTGATGCGTTGACAATGCCTCGCCAGGCGATGCTCATCACTGTACGTGTGCTCTACAGTGCAGCTCAACTGTGTGAAACCGAAAAGAGTACGGGATCTGAGCAGCGCTGATCGAGACGGCACTGGGTTTGACAGCGCACATCAGGCACTCACAAAAAAGGGTCTTGTTGAACATCTGCCGGACAGGCATACCTTGTGCTCTTTGCACAACTATCGGCACTAGAAACAAGCAACTGTCTGAGACTCTTCAGAAATCTAGACCCCAAACATGCACCTGTAGCTTATTTGCCCCTCTATGTTAATGTCGGACAAGCTGCTTGATACAATACACGACTCGCCTGATATTAACCTTTTTTTCTCATTTTCGCGTGGTGACGTGGTTGTGGAAGTAATCCACCCAACGCATGAATTCACCGTCCCAAGGCTCTGTTCCTGTTATGCATTTCCGCCCCATAGTAAGTACATAACAAGGTACCTACCTAGGCACCTTGCTAGGCTTGCTAGGTATCTAAGCTAAGTAGTTTTGCCTCTCAGCACGCTATTCGGTGCCACTTTGCCAGCAACCAGCGGGATGGACCGCGAACATTCAAAAGTCTTTTCAAGCTGCTTCTAAGCCCGACCCCCTGGGACCAATTATTTCACCGCGCGCTGGAGGGCGAAACCCCTTATTGGCGGCGGCGCTCGAGATGCGACGTTGAGAAGGAAATCGCAGACTCTGGAAAGCCCGCAATTTACAAACGGCGAATTTTTGACAGCTCATTGTCGCCACAGGCGGTGCCAAATGGCTTCCAACTAGCACCTGTTCTAGTACCTGACGAGGCGGACTATTTCCGCCTTTGCATCTGCCACACATTGAGGTAAGTGAATGAGTGTATATTGTCAGTTAGTGTGCTCTGCCTCCGACGACCTTAAAAATTTTTGGCATCTCGCCTCCCAATTTTGGCGTCCCAGCGACGCGCGCGCCGTGCATCGATTGTCATTCGAATCCCGAGTCTTTGGGTCCGAACCTTTATGTGCAGCGGTTCAAGTCTCACCGCTTCGACTGTCAGATCCCCGTGCTGCTTACCAGAATCACTCACCTCTCGGCTCGCCGCTCTGATAGGTCGGGATACGGCGGCGTGTTGAACTGGTAGTTATTCCCGCCCCCTGCACCTGGTCTGTGTCAAACAAGGGATTGATTGACTTGAGGGATCGGAGCTGTTCCCTTGTCAAGAGGCCCTTGTTCCAGAGTGCCCAGTGAGCAGCGAAGTCATGATCACTACCACGATACAGCCATTGCCCATTGTCTAGGTGAGTCGACTTGCCATACATAGCAAGCCGTATGCCCAAACAAGGCTTGACTATGAAATGAAGCTTCACATTTTCCAATACTCCTGGCTCCCCATGGCCACGATGCTGCTACAAAACATGGCGCTGACGGCTCGTTGATGAATGCAGCCTTGTCAGGTCATGCACAACATCTCTCGCGGGAAGCCATATAATTGCGATCTTATTGCGTGTCGCCGTCATTGCCCAGGAAGCAGCAGTCATGTTGATGTCACCTCCCCAAACATCAAATGATACCGACAACAGTGTGTCTGCGTCGCAGCGCCCCCAATCCGAGCTTTAGTCGTCGCCGGTTGTTGCTTCTGCAAAACTGACAGCTCAACGGCGCTCGGTCGCAAGACACTGCCGGTGCCAGTGTCAGTGCCAGTGCCAGTGCCGGCCGGCGAGCCACTGGCTGGCCGCTGGGCTTGCGGTGCTTAGAAATGTCTTATGCCATCAGGACCCCGTCTCCAGTCTCATCACATCTCATGTCCACATTTCGTCACTGGCGATAAGCACTTGCCAGAAAGACTGTTGGCGTTCAATGCCTTTGCCCGCCCCGAGGGAGCGGCTTAGCCAAAACGGTTGTGATGCCCCACGACGGCCCGCTACTCTCGCGGATGCCTCCGTAGGACTTGGCCCTGCTCGGATAGAGTTCCCACAGTGCCGAAACGACGTAAAGCGTCCGATTCGCTCTCTGGGACCTGGGGGCCACCGGGTCCCATTTTCTTTATTCCTTCCTATCATCCTGTCATTCTTCTCCCGATTATTCCTCGAAGCTAGGGCTGATTTCTCGAACGACTGTGGAAGCAATAATCAAACAGAAAGCAGGAAAGCTCCCGCTACATCCGCAACTGCCAATGGGTCGGGCCAGTCCATCTACCTGCAGGCCGAACTTCCAGCAACGCAGCAGATTGGGCGCCAACTACGGGGAGCTAGATGCTCGGCGCGACAGGTCTGACGCAGTCTGCATGTCCAGTCTCCCAATCAGCACCCTTCCAGCAGATGTCTGGGAAGCACCGCATTGCTTCCCCGACCCTTGCGAACATGTCTGCCAGCGGGCCGAGAGGTGGACGCACGCCAACGCGGGGATGTCGAGCGCATGCTTCCACTTCCCGTTCTATGTCTTGCTACTGTAGGCAGTACTGTAGGTAGGTGATTCCAACGGAAACACCAGATCCCCGGCGCCGCCGCCGCCGCTGTTACTGCCCTGTTCAGCAATTTGCGCAGGTGCTTGTTCACTGACTATCAGACCCGACGGCCACGGAACACACTTGCAGCACCGTTGGAGGCCCATGTTGGTTCGTCGACTCCATCCGGAATGTGACTTTGTGCAGAGACCGGCTGCTTGGGCGCTCTCCCCCGAATGCGAGAGCTCATTGAGCCCTGCCTGCGCGTGCCAACACACGGTAACTATCTTCTTTTTCCTTATTTAGTGGTACGAAGCCCACCACAAACCTTGTGGGCCCACCACGGAGATCGTGAAGGCTCAACGGCTCTACCCGCACTCCATCGTTGCATCCCGGTTCGGTGCGAAACCTGTTTCTTCGTGGGATCGGGCTGTTGGAAACATCCGTTCTAGAAGCAGCCGAGGCTTTTCTGAGTCCGTGGAGTTGAACGTTTCCTCTCACTTCTGAGTAGATGTCGGTCTCGAAACAACGGGCGATATCGACAGAAGATGGACTCGATCACAGCCACACCGGTGAAACGAGCTCGATTATCCTCTCGGAGATGATGCCCTGTTCATGTCGATGTCCCGATACACGACACTACTCCCCTGATAAACAGGCTGCTCATCCTTCAAAGGCCCCCGTTACAGGGGCAGCCCAGTTGGAGTCGATCGATGAAAACACTTTCAATGTCTTCTCGAGCTATGGTTATGGCAAACCTGTCAAACATAGTTCGGTCCCTATCGGTGATACTTCAGATTTTAGCAGCCCGTTGAACATCAAATGTATTAAGCATCCTTCTTGAACGATGGCCGTTGCACTCTCCCTTGGGGTCAACACAAATTTGCTTCATGGCAGCCCAGAAATGAAAATGCTCACGCCATTCGTAAGGAGGTGGTGTAACGGCATCTTTTCGCATGTTTTGATTTCTCTCGTGGCCCGGACATACTTCTAGGTATACTCCAAGCCTTGATCGTCCACTGCAGACGAAAAAACCTGTGCCTTGTACGTGGTTTGACATCTTTAATCATTGAATTCAGATACAATCGCAGAATCCCATAGCTATGTCTCTGAATATCCGACGGTGCTTGCACATCGTTTTCAGCTTAACATTCCGCAATTATGTACACTGCGTGCTTGTCCTTTGCAAACCGTATCTATCTATGACTGCCACTGGTATAACTTACGATGAATCTGGGCTCGATGTAAAATATGATCGAAAAGCGATGTTGAGAATTGAATAGCATTTTCGCGGTGCCGACATGGCTCTGATAGCGGTATGGTGCAGCTTGATCGTACAGGTGGGTCTACTGCTGCGGCCAAACTTCGGATAAACCGCAATCCACGGCTCAACACCACGAAGACGCGAAAAAGCCTAAGATTACCGTCAGTACACGACAACGTCACACCTCAGTCAAAGGCAGCCCAACCCTCCCAACACACCATCGACAAGCAACTCTCGTACCATCGCGATCTTCTATAATCATTCTCGACTGTGCATATTGATTCCGCACAGTCTACGCCTCCTTCTCCCAAGCCTTTACCAAGTACTTTATGCAACAAGGGATTCCTGAGACTTCAGACACAGTATTCCAGACAAGCAACCCCGACCTCTCTACCTCATCCACCCAAGATGGCTTTCAGCATCGCGAACGGAGCTTTCCAGATGGAAACTCTCTTGTGCGGACCCGCAGCGCCTCGCCAAAGTCCGTCGCAGCCACCTCAGATAGGTCTGGCGATGGCATCAACGCGAATCAGCTCGACGAAAGACTACGCCGGTTGAGCAGTCACAGCCACCGTTCTGGTGGACGGCCCAAGGCTAGCCATCCGGGCCAACGTATTTCTGAATATGAGAAAGCTTTGACACCATCAACTCCGCGACAGGCGCTGGGCTTCAAGGTCATCAGGCGTCCTGACTCGCCATCTGATGGCGTTCAGTTGACAGACTTTCCAAACGGTCTGTCTTATCTCTCCTGAAGTTGAGGATTTACATGGCTGACCATAATACAGAGATATTGACACATATCCTGTCCCACCTGCATCCAGACTCCCATGCCTCCGTGGCTCTCGTCTCGAAGCGATTCTATGCCCTCGTCACCGAGCCACATGCATGGAGGATGGCGTTCTTGCGCTTCTTTCCCGGTCAGGAGGCTTTGGATCCTTCCTTCGGCAAGAATGTCCTTGATGCTTGGGATGCCGGCTCTTCGGATCTGGTGCGGTCCGAGTCTCGGTACTTCACTCGCTTGACACCGCTTGCGTCCTGGCGAAGCGAATATCTGCTGCGTACCCGCCTGTTGCGAAGCGTTGCACGCGGGAAACCGGGGACCAGCGCCGGGGGCATTGGTACATCGTCTCGCTCTAGCCAAGGAGGGAAGCGTGCTAGTGCTGTCTTGACGTATAACTCCAAGTTGCCTTGGGTTGTCAGTCACATCCACGCGGTCTTTTCGAATGGCAAAAAGGGCCCGAAGGTGATTCATGGCACTCGTGACATGTGTGTCTCTACCGTCAGCGATCCGACGATTGGCAAGGTCGAGAAATGGGGCCTTGATGACCCGTTCTCGTTTGCGCAGCTTGACGAGGTCTTTCCAAACCTCGAGCTGTATGGTCTCGGTGATGGCCCTGCAGCCATCCCGAATGTCATGGATGTTAGCCAGCCGTATGGAATGTTCGGAGGAGAAGGCTTTCCCGGAGGCAGGGTATACTTGCGTGCAACAGGCGAGCTGCGCGGGAGATATCTGGGTCAAGACAACAACGCCATCATTGATATGACGCCCGAGGTACCCAAGATACCTGAGCTGTCGGAGGCTATCTGTTCTGTGTGGATTGCCAAGTCCTCAGCCGTTCCTTCGGTGACCCAATCCATGGTAGGAATGATGGCAGGATCATCACTTGGTGTTGTGACAACTTATGCGCTGAAATATGATGCCACTGGTTCCAGTTATGCGACTGGCGAGATCACTGCGCGCTGGGTGCTCAGTCCCGGCGTCCCAATCATTGCAATCAAAGTTGATGATGGCTACAATATGAAGAGGAGGTCTCTCGGTCGCGTCTGGGCAGTCGTTTTGAACGCTCTAGGAGAGGTATTCTACCTGTCTCAAACTCCCACGCCACCAATGGACAGAAGCAGAGGTGATGATAGCATCAAGCATGCTTGGATGGCCGGCCGCTCGGTCTCCTGGGAGCTCATTGATTCCACCCGTCGCGAAGCACGCCCAGATGAATTCGACAAGAATGCTGTGCGTGGCGCATACTCGCCACGATCCCCTTCTGATGCCATGAATATGAGCAAGGAACAAGTCGTTGCCGAGGCTCGTGAGATAGAGAAGTTTCTGCGTTATAAGCCCGCCCATTTCCGCAAAGTCTGCAAAGGCTGGGACATGTGCCGGAAGCTCGAGGTTGATTTTGCGGGCGGCGAGGGTGACGCTGCAGGAGAAGCTATCTTTGCCATTTGCCCTGGAGGTGACGAAGAAGTGCCAGCAAAGGTTACTAGACATACGAGACGTCTCATTCATGGAGTTGACGAGAGCGTAAAAACAGCTCCTTCGCCTATCCCGCTTGTGGAGAAACAGCCTTCAATCTTCGGCGGCGAGCAGGTGGCGAAGACGCCTGCCACGCCTATCCTATCCGAAGTCTCCCGTTCACAGACACCACAAACCGTAGGATCACCCAATCTTTGGTCCAAGCTTGCTAGCGTGGAGCTGAGGGAAGACTGGCAAGCATCTGAATACTCTCTGAATGGTTCAACACATCTAGAGATCACAGCAAGCGGCATTGACATGTCGACATTCGCCTTGCTCTGCCATTTCGAAGATCCACTGAATGGACTTTCCGCTGCAAAAGATGCTGTGGCAACCCCTACCACAAAGCAAAGCACCGGTGAAATCCCAGGTAGACGATCTCGTCTTCTCGCAGTCGGCACTGACGATGGACGGATTCTAGCATGGAATACCCGTGACACTGCTACGACCAAGGTTGAACCTGTTCGTGTCGTCCAAACGGAATCACCGGAAATATCCTGTCTTGCCCTTTCCTCGCTTTATGTCGTACACGGCGGAAGCGATGGATTAGTTCAGGCTTGGGATCCGCTTGCTTCTTCGCTGGATCCAGTTCGAACCCTTAACTCACGATCTTCGGGCAGAGTCCCGAGGCACATCGTGAACGCTAATCCAGCATTGCGGGATGCCAACTACTCTGCTGTCGGTGCCATCTTCCTTGACCCGGACCCGACTGTGCTCCGCGGCGTTCTTGCCTTTGGCACGTTTCTTCGATACTGGACGTACAGCTCGACCGGTCAGTCCACCGGACGCAAGCGTCGTTTGCGCCATTCAGACGTTCACGGTCGCCTAGCAAGCCGTCGACATGGTGGCACTGTACAGGGTTACATTGCTGCCGAAGAAGCTGAGCTTCGTCATGAACAGGCACACCAGGCACGAGAGCAAGCCAGATTACGCAGTCGATTTGGCGTCGGGTTGGGCGACCTCACAGAGGAAGAAGCCATCAGATATGCACAGATGATATCTGAAGAGGCATTCCTGCTTGACGAGCAACGCCGGACTAGCGCCAGCGATACGGGCTCGGCTGCTGATATGGGTGAAACCACATCGTCATTTGGCAGTCTTGACACGGTGACCCCAGAGCCCAGTGTATCCGGTCTCAGTCCACCCAATGCTCATCCCGGCAATTCGGTTGGGCCCAGCAACACTGGAGCTGACGAAGAAGACGATTATGAGCAGCAGATCCAGCGTGCCATTCGCTTGTCTCTCATGGAGGGTGTCAATGACGTCGGCCAGTCGCCGCGCGGCAATAGCTCTCCTGACTTTGAATTCCAAGTCAAGTACAAGTCTAAGAAAGGAAAGCGGTCCGCCTCGAACTCACCGTCTTCCAGTCAGGTCCACACCCCTCTTGTGCAGTATCCCGCACCCATTCCCCAATCTGATACCCTAGCTGCAACTTCCAGCCATGATTATAACCCAGACGAAGACTTAGAACTTGCTTTGCGCTTAAGTCTTCAAGAAGAGGAAGAGAGACAGGCTCATGCTGTCGGTTTGGGCATCGAGGTGGAAGAAGAAGACTTTCCTGAGCTCGAGGTCAAGGGGAAGGGAAAGGGAGTGTACCGTGGTTAAGCAACTTAAAGAGTTCCGAGTGTTTCTGTTCGGTTTATCTGCAGTTCTTTCAGCCGAGCTGCTGTTGATATGACTTCTTGATCGTCTAAGGACGACTTTTATTTTGCTTTCTGCTTAGTCGCGCCACTTTAATCCAGCAAGTTAGCTTTATTCAATCAAGACTTAGTCCTTTCACCATTCTTGTTACCATTGAACCTCTTCTTCTGCCCAGTATCTGTGTGCTCTGGTCCCGATCCTTCAATTTGTCTTGCCGTCCATGTGCTTGGCCTCCGCTAACGGTGAAGACACTGAGCCCTCTAACAGCTCGAGATCTCTCTCTCCGTCTGCAGTATACCCAATTTGTTCAATACATTTTTCGAGGCAAATCTCTAGTCAACTCTTGCCAGAGCAGCCTTGGGCAAGCTGTGTAAGCACAAGGATTTGCGCTTGAAACATTGAAGTCTCTTGTTTAATAACATATTTGTTTGTTGGGACACTCCAGCATATCTCGGCAAAGACTAACAGAAACTTTGGAGCCTCATATGTCCCTGAACAATGTTCCATGAAGGCAAGACTCCCTTTGTCGTGCTCTTGTATCGAATTTGGTCATGATGGGACATGCAGCTGCCAACTCGTACAATGTCTCGAGCCAGGGGCTACCATCAGCAACTCCCGTGGGACGCTCCTCGTCCGCATCACGACTCGTCCATGACCTGCCCTAACTGTTTCTGCAAATTTACTTTCTTACAACTTCCGCAGTATTCACTTTATTTCCAATGAATCACAAGGAAGCTGCCTCTCACCTTCCACAGCTGGAGCTTTTTTCATATCCCAGCTATTTAGCATTGGCAAGCTATTCCCCAACCTCAGCACCACAGCTTCAGATTACCCCTTTCTAGGGCATTCACGAAACACTTCGTCCCGACGAGCTGAACTGTACCTGACGACGGTGTAATCATGGCGAATACCATCTGCCAAATGCCTGAGTTCCGGGCGTTCATCCTGGGTAAGTAAAGCTCTCATCGTCGTGGAAGTTCTTTCCTCCACTGTTGGCAGACGAGCAAGCTGACCACTCCTGCCACCTGAAGAGGTGGACAACGGCATCTTCACGTCCTCGACCAGAGTGTTCAGCCACTGGAATATTGCATCCATGAAGCTTGCAGACGTCGAGACACTCGAGACATACATGACCACGACTCTCGACCGTCTCAGCCTCACCAACGATACGAGACACGAGCTGCTGACCATCTTCCTCGAGGCTCTGCACGAGCGAGTCTGCATCATCGACTGGGTCGTCCTGAACGGCGACCAAGACACCGACGAAGACTTCGCGGAGGTGGCGCTCAGCGACACAGACCGCCGGCTCCTCGATTCTGTCGACAAGGACAACGACAACAGGGTCCTGGACGAGAAGACTCTTGCCATTATGATCGACCTCGCCCTGATGGCTGGCAGCAACGAGGAGGAGCCCGAGGAGCCCCACGAGGGCTGGGATGAGGATGATACAGAGAGCAGCATGGAGGACGACGAGTAGCCGGAAAGGGCCAAGGACCTCAAGCTCAATTGCCTTTTGGAAGCCGTTTATGTTGTTTCAGACATCCGCAAATCACGGGGGGGAAGTCACGGAGGGCTGAAGGAAAATTCAGGAAGGGAGAAGCTGTGAAGATCATGCGGTTTGCAGTGCTACTGTACAGAAAGACATAATGAGCTTTCGAGCTAAGACGCAAGACAGATCCAGTAGATATCTTGAACGATGCGAAGGTAGACCCAACCGTACACCCCAGCTCTGATTTTGAGGATGGCAAGCAAACTCAACATATCTGTGCTGGGCAGGGTGACTCGAAAGTCACCCAGCCTATGCAAGTGCTCCTACCCCTTGCTGTAGCATAACCGAATCTTCTAAAGTTGTAAGAAGCATTGTGAAGATCTACGTTCACGACGCCCAAAAGGCAAATTATATTGAACCAACTCAGCATTAGTCTCATCGTTTGGACTTGATCAGCATCATCAATGCAAGGACGCCGTAAGATATCCGTAGCTGGGTATTAAGTCAGACCTCACGTTTCCTTGCGTCTTACCGGGAGCAGGTTCGTTGGAAGTATTTGGATTCTGGGCAGTCCGGCTAACCGGTACTGCGAGCTCTCATATATATACAATCCCCAATAGGGTATGTCCCCAGCGACTCTTCTACACAAACAGCAACCCGCTCAAAATAGCGGTCAAGAGATCGTATCATCGCTCGCAAACTAATCATCCAGTAGCAGTTGGGCATGGAAGCCCGCTCCATCTCTCCAAGAGGACATATCTTCATCCAGCAAAGCCACCAATACAAAGTGAGCATCATTTCCTTCTGGATCCTAATGAGTTTCTGTGGTCCCCAATAAATCATCGCACATGGTATTTTTCTTTAAACACCAGTGATGCCCAAACGCCATTCAATCCGTGGAATCCCATGGCTCAGCCGCCGCCCTTGCTCCATGCAGGTAAGAGATCTGGCTGAGGACCGTTTACAACGCCTTCGCCAGAGAGTAGATACGATGTTATAGTTGAATAAAGACAGATGAGAGATATATGAACGATGAAATGAAGGATAAGAAAGTGTTGTGCGTCGAGCATTTTATGAATTTGGCGTGAACACCCGTTCTACTAGACGGGTTTCAGACGTCAAAATTATGTTCATCGGTCGTCCTCCCAGCTATACCGCCTCTCGGCTAGCTGGGGAACATGGACGAAATCTAGACCGGTGTCGATCCGTTCCTGACTCCGCGGGCTGCGGGGAGAGTGCATTTCGATAGTCTCTGGTAGGCTTTGTTGCCTCGTCAACTCCTCTTGTATCCTCGTCTCTTCCTCTACTGTGAAGTTGCTGCCGAGTGTATCGGTTGACCGCCGACGATGCATAACTCGGTCTTGAGCCGGGGTGACGGGGCCAAGGGGGTTGATTGAAGCTTGTGGTACACTTCGCCCATCTGAGCCAGCTATTCTGGGTAGTGAAGGCTGATGATGAGGAAGCTGTACATTCTCCGGCAGTGGACCGAGACATATTATACGTGAGGGATCAATTGGTGTTCTTTGGTATGTCGGTGACGGCGGAATGAGTGAACCAACGGGAGAGGTCGGGGAATTTTGAGATGAGTCGGATCGGCTCATCGAGGATGGGGCGTAGGTCCGCGGCGATACAGGGGACTGTGCGGACTGCGTATTGTATGTGGAATTTGGATTAGATAGAGTTGTTGGGAATGGTGGTGATGGCATAGGTGGCGCGACCGTCATAGGTGATGGGAGATCTAGCTGACGAGTAGTCCAGTCAGGAAGATGTGGTGTCATTGGGGAGGGTAGAGAAGGTATGGAATTGCTGTTATTCCCATACGTAGGCGAAGGAGAAGAGACCGGCGACGGATTCTCTGGAGGCCGATAGTGCGCGACTGGGCTGATGTCCTGGTCTGACTTGTCTCCTGGAGGGGCATAGGTCGGGACTGGGCCTTGTAGTTGCCTTTCCATTTTCCTCCGGGCAATCTCATATGCACTCAGGCCTTGAGAGCTCTCTGTTCCAAGATCCGTTATCTCATCTGTTGACATTGGATCGTTACTGTCCAATTCAACAGGTTCCATAGGCACTGGTAGTTCATAAAGCTCGTGATTCGCATCCGCCGCAACCTCAACTGGCTGTGCACTGTCCCCTGATACCTCATGCGTCACAGCCAAAGCTCTCGTCCTCCTCGTCCGCCTCGATCTCCTAGACCTGCTTGGTCGAATCAGAGATAATATCCGGTCGACCGGGCTGATGGGTGCCTCGGGCTCCGCAAAGGACTCATCATCTTTCACAGCATCTTCGGCATCCGTGGATGGAGACTTCTCCTTCGTAGCCCGCCGGCGGCGTCGGCGGCAGCAACACCAGGCCGTCAATATGGCTATAGTGCCAACAAGGAATGAACCGATGACAACGCCAGCTGTTTGGCCAGCTGTAAGTCCCATGGTGTTATGGTCAGAGCCCGATCCTCCGGGGTAGGGACTGTCGTCGCTCCTGTCAATATCGACAATGGAATAGTTCTTATTTGCATTGTCAGGGAAAAGGGCTTGGTGAATCGAGAATGTTTGCCGATCATAGTCGGTGATCATATAAGCTTCTTGCATGAAGGCCCTCCCAATAACGAGTTGGCCGTTATCTGCCGCCCGTTTCAACGGGAAGTAGGGAACAGCGGGATCTCCAAAGTTGAACTGATTCTCAAAAGGATATCGCAATAATTGAGCAAACGCAGCAGATGTGATTGTGATGTTCAAGACTCCAGGGACGTTTAATGGTTGCCCAAAGTTATCCGTGTTGTCGAAGCTGGAGAAGCTGAACGTAAAAGAGAGCATCTGGTCCTGCAAAAAGCTCGTGTATTGCGCCGAGTCAGAGAAGAGGTACACGCCGTAAGTGTCGCTCCAGGTGAGGTTCAAGGCAGCGGCAAATGCATCACAAACTGCAGTCGGTAACCACATGAAGGGGGTTGATGTGTCAATCACAGCTAAGTTTGCGGCAGTATTAGTGGTGTTCAAAGTCATCAGAGACATTGAGGTTGAGTTCCAATTAGATGGTCTCTGGTCAAAGGATTTGGCGGAAACAGTCACTCCACGTAGGAGGACCTGCGGAATGGTAGCTTTGGCATTCAGGTTGAACGTGACATCGTGAGGTGTGAAACGAAGGGAGTCATATCCGCCCAGCGTCAACGAGGCGGGGATATTGGCTGTACAAGTTAGCATTGGAGAATGCGAAAAATGGAGAGTCTGCTTACCATAAGAGGCGCCAGCTGTGAAACCATAGCTGTGGCCTGGTATGGTGTTATATGACTCGGCGAGTTGTGATATCAGGGGGTTTGCGACCTTGCCATTGAAGCGACCTTGAGTCGCGCCAACACCAACCATTCCCTGGTAGAAGTCTGTCGTATTGATGGCAGCGATGAGAGCACTATTTACCGTGGTGACGGAGCGCTCCAAAGTGTTAGAAACCAGAACAGTCTCAAGCCCATAGTCGCCATTGCCGCCGTAGCCCAAATCCGTGAGGCCTAGTTGCCATGCTCCTATTGAGGTCCAGCTGTCTGAACTATTTGTGTCGAAGAGACCCCCTCTCGCCGTGGCACAAAGTGGACCTTGTATCTTGTAAGCACAATTCCCCAGCCATGATATCGGAAAGCAGCAGAGGCTCCAATTGACCCAGCTCAGCCAATGAATCCCGGGAAAACATACTGGAAGAGCAACCGCCATTTTGAACCACCCATATCTCGGACAGGCCGGTGCTGACTGTGAGGGAAACCGACTGGCCTGGTGTTCCTATTAAGAAGTCGAACGTGGACCAGTTGCCATCAATGCCGAGCCTAGCGAGGCGTTAGAATATTTGTCCTCAACCAACACCCAAACGTGCCCTCCCGGGATCTTGACATGCCATTTTGACGAGGGTTGTAGCCAGACTGCCTGCGGATCTGCGTAGACGAGGCCGGGCGCGAATAGCAGGACATCACCCAGAATTGTCGCTGCCAACAGAGTCAGGCGCATTTTCGCAAACCCCAGCCCTGTTCGGTGGCTCTGACGGGCGGCGTGCGAGGTGGCCAGAGTGGGTTTATCGAGACATTCATGCGGTGGTCGAGGCCGTCCATCAGCTGCTCCGTCTTGTGTAAAACCCTCCTCTTGCAAAAGTCCTTGTGTCTTCCCTGGCGTTCGCCTTCGTTCCCCAGATTCTGATGAGCTCCGATGACGATTCGCAGCCTCCGGAACCGTGAGGAGGACAGTCGGCGTTGCGAGGTGTAGAGGGGGAGAGGAGAAAACGCTCGACGGCCAGCAGTCGGTGGATTACAAGTTTCTAGCGACGGACGGGGGTGCTGGGATTGGGGATGGGATGGGCCCGGCGAGGGCAGCCAAAGCGCGATAGGCACGGCGATCAGCGGGCGATTGGGGGGGAGGGAGGGGGGTGGTGCCCAGGTGGTGTGGGAGGCAGAAGAGGAGACTTACTAGGTAGGTACGTTACTGCATAGTATGCAATGGCTATTATCACCCAGGACCAGCCGTCCGTTCTCTGCTGGTGCTGAGGGTCCAGCCAGGGTACTCTGGCCCATGTACCACACCCACAGGACGATTACTGGATGCAACTTGCCAGCGCTGCAATTGCAGGTACCTCACCTCACTTCACTTTGCTCGCAGGACTACGCCGCCCCGCAGGCAGGGGCCGTGGCAGTGGCTAAAAGGTTCGAAGTCAGGCCCGTTCAGGGATCCATACGTACGCGACTCTTGACTCTGCCCATGCCTGCAGACGTCTGCAGACGCCGCCGGGTCCAGACAAGACCACGCTCACCCCGAAGGCTCCCCCTCATATAGCCAACCACTTTATCACGGCCAGAGGCGACAGTATAGGAGTACTTTGTAGAGGCACTCATCATACAAATGTCACGGTACGGTACCTCCCAAATCAAAAACCCAATTTACACGGCTGGCCGTGGAGAGATAGCGAAACTCGCCAACCCGCTAATGGGGACACGGCCACGGCCACAGGGACGATGCCTCTCCGTGTGGTTGCGCAGGTATAATGCGGATGCTTTGTGTGCACTATAACTTGGCAGACAAACATGGATCAAGCACTCAAATCTCGAAATTGATAAAGCTTGCCAGACTGGGTGCATGGCCTGCCTCCCTCCTACCTGCCCCACATCGAGACGCACTGCTCTCAAACGACTGCCATGCCGAGTCAAGTTCCCTCAGGTGGCAGCTCGAGCCCAGACCCGAATAGCTTCACACGAACGGCGTTGTTGAGCCTCTGTCTGCACTATATTTACGCCCTGCCTCTCGAAACTGACACAGGAGAGCAGATCAGCCCCACCACGGATGGTCGAGCAGGGACCATGTCGGGGCTCGTGGCTTGAGAAACCCGGCAGCCCCAAGTGATGATCATAATTCACCCTGACCCCTGGAAAACAACACGGCAGAAGCCCGGTACTGGCAATGCGAATGCCATCGTATGGTCACATTTAGCAGGGGCTCTCTGGCTGCGCCGCTGTGGAGGATTCAGTGTCCGACATGGGATGACAACATTGAGACGAGACAGACGAGACGACACCCGAGATGAGATGAGATGAGATGACGGCACGCGACGCCTAGGATTCTCGATTCACCACGGCCGTCGGAAATGATAGCGAGAGGTTCAAGGCCATCCCGATACTCAAGGCGTCTTCAAAAGGTAGGACCTCGTTACACCTCGATCTTGACCTGGATCCTCATATATATTACCTGGACCAGATGAAAAGTCACTGCCATTTTGAAATAAGCAGCGCAAGGCCTCTGTCGTTCGTAGTGCAGCGAAGTCGAGCGAAACTTACTGGTCTAACGACGATCCTCAAACAAATAGAGACACGGCACAATTGGCGAGTCTAGCGGTTCCATCCTCCCCCAAAGGCTATTGTTTCTAGACCTGCGATGACATGAGCGGGTTGTGCTCGCTGTTTTCCGAAGACGATAAAAAGACAAGACAGTGCGAGAAGTTGATGCCCCCTTTCTACTTCCCTCACAGGGGTGCTGTCAGTGGCTTTGACGATGATGCGGATATATTGACTTTCATAATCCAATTTCACGGCCAATCATGCTGCAATCCACGGGGCTGGCCACCACAGAGGTACGAATGATCGCTTGTCACTTGGAGTTGTAGTTGTCAAGACCGCACCTTGTCGCAGCTCTCGGAACCACAGTGGCTTCATGTTGGCTGGTTCGTGCAGACACGGCACGCAATCTATTTCACCACTCTGGATAAAGAGGATGGCTCTATTTTGCCGAGAGTCGATATACTCGGCATCTGTTGTCACCGTTTCGAAGACGACTCGCACCGACCATGTGACGGCTTCTCTCTAGATTGTTCTGCATTCTTTGCTTCAGACACTTTATGAGAACTTTAGAGGTTCCCAAACAAGAAGCTGTTGCGTGCCTCTGTTCCGCTAACAACCATGTGTGCTCTCAGGATGTCGAAAGCTATCGAACCACAACTAGTATTTGACGGTTTCCTGTCATATAGTCAATAAAGAGGCGCAACACCCAGAATGAGAATTCCTGAGCCTCCAAAAGTTTGACAGGGCACGCAATTGACTCTGAAGGTCTGGGGTAAGCAGGTGGCATTGCAGACAATGGCACCGGCAATCATTGGGGCGTTCTTGTGCCGTGCTGCCCAGTCGGTCGGGGAAATTATTCCCTAGTCTGTCAAAGCACAGAGCACTTTTTATCCCACTGAATCTCTGGTCTAGGCTGTGCCTGTAGGTATGAAATGCGCTGCGTAGTTGGTAGCGCGGAAACGAGAAGCCGTCGACATCTTAGAGCAATGTATTCGAGACGGAGGAAGACAAGCCTTTGGTCCCTGGTCCGGCCCCTAACCTGAAGTGAGGATTCTGGGCCTCCGGGTCTTTGGGATTGACAAGGTGGCTTGCTTTGCCCCGCAGACCAATCGCAACCACTTGGCTCGCTTGCAAGAGAAGCTGATTGACCAACTTCTCAACGACTTCCCCATGCGGCCAAGCTCGTCAAGACGGAGCTGGACTCCATCCGTGCTGGGGACGGGCGGATGAAGTCTACACTACTTCGGCTGAGCCGTCGTGAGAGAAAGCGACCCGCGTCGTTGTGCGAATTGCCCGCATGACGTTGGGATGATGTGCTTCAATGTTTTCGATCTTGCCAGTTTCATTGCGGCTTATCTTGCACTCATGGTTGTCTAAGTCAAGCCCAAGCAAGATATCATCGCGCTAGTAGGTGCCAAAGGTCGGCAGACGTTGCTTTTGCGAAGACACGACGAGAGATCGAGCCTGGCAGTGGAGATTATCCTAATGCCCGTGAGAACCTGTTAGATGGTACCCCATGTGTGCTTCCAAACTGCCTGCAAAGTCAAGTCCCGTCCATCTTGCGTTCTGAGAGGTAAGCCACACATTTTATCGTGTCTCAAACTGCAAAGCGCCTCAAAGAGGACCGTGAACCAGTGTCTGATAGATAGCATTGGTATAGTGAACTCGCTCGTCTCCTCGGAGCAAGATGCTGGATACAGTTACGGGGTCTTTCGTGACTCTCCAGAAATGCCGGGTGCAGGCGGTCCTGGCAGGGGTGCCCAGCAATCGCAGGACAGAGGGACCCCTCCCAGAAGGCACAATTACAGCACCTGTAACTGGCCCATTCGCTCAAGTCGGGTGTCTTGCAGGCTGCTACTTCCTGGATCCAATCAGTAGAAGGAACCTTTGCCAATACCCCAGGTCGTCTACTACGCTCGCATGCTCCTTCGCTCCTTCCCAAGCGACGGGAAGTCAAGAATGCAACCGAAGAGCGAGCAAATGTTCCATTGCCTTTATGAAATGACATCTGCGAGCATGACCTGTCTGGGCTTGCGCCGCGTGGCTGGAACAGACTGTCACAGCACACTGTTGATAGCTGAAATGACAACTCATTCCGATTGATGGCGTACAGTCGAGTTCACCTTGAAACTACAGCGGCTTTTTCTCGACGAGGTGGCTTTGAAGTGCCTGAGTTCGTACCTACCAATCCAGGTCATACGTGGTGCATTTTACCGTTATCGCGGATAAGGGAAGGAGCCATGGAAGACGCGGTCTCTGGTTCCCTTTCCCGTCCTGTTCCTTCCAACGGTCCGCTCCTTCTCAATCCTGGCTAGGGTTAATCTTCAGATGCTGCCGCCGATCCACAGGCGTGTCTAGTATCTGTTGGAAGAAAAGACGCATCTCATTTCACATATTGTACTCTCTCGCTTTGTGTGAGCACTGATGCCTACATTGGGATCTCTGCGGGGCAAAAGACTTTACTTTTCACATAGCGGTCAACCTCATGAGACTCTGAACTCTTGGCTCTTCACCTTTGGCATTGCGATCCGCGGAATTGACCCCTCGACGCCCCAACAACGCCTTGAAGCGAAGTGCCGTGCCGACTTCAGCCGTAATGAGATCGGCAAGCATTTGGTGATCCACTGCGTGCTCTGATCCCCTGAACCCAAAGTCCAAGGCCGACGTCAAGAATGCCTAGTCCCTGAACCAGTCATCAAATGTGACCATGGACCACCGACTACAACTGCGACTGCGGATGCCGGGTGCAGGCTATTCGCGAGCGGAGTACGTAATCCGTGTTATCTGCCTCTGCGAGAAACGTGCCATCTCTATCAGGGAGCTGGGAAAGGCTGCATGTCCGAAGGGGACCGGCTAGAGCTGTACACTGGCACGACTGGGTCTCGTCAAGTATCTCCTAGCCACCTGCCTGACTGTGTACGCATTTTCACGGAATCGGCTTAGGCTGCAGCTAGGCAGAGCAGGGACGAGGTCACAGGAGGTGGGCTTGATGTGAACCCTGTCAGCGAGCATCCTGGACACCTACACACCGCGTGGTGACCGACCACTGGAGAGACAGTCCTGAATTGTTTTCGGCCCCCAACAAATATGGTGCCCTTCGACTGCGAATGTTTATGAGAGGAGTACAGGTCCGGCGTTGACTTAGATTTTACTGGGTGAAGAGGATTTGTTTCTTGCGAGCAAATCGACTTCAGGTCCCTTTCCTGAGCGGTGGTCACAAGCAACACTTCCGTTCCATTTGCTCGGGTCCATCAGGAAGCATGATGTTGGCATCCGGCGGCAGGCCTGAAAGGTCCCAAGCCTACTCCGTCTTGACGTATTAGGCCAGTCCCCGTCCCCCACCAAGTCCCCCTTGCAACTATTGCATGCAGTAAATCATCTGCACCAATTTCCCCAGCGCACGCCTGCATCTTCTGTCAATGTGCCCGGCTCAGGCTGTCCAGTGCCGTGAAAGACCCTGCCAGCACAAGCCGCCCCATATTCCACGAATCTCGCCACCATATACTCTGTGCCGTCGGAGCTGGGTATCTCCCTTACCTCTTTTCAGCCACAGTCCGTTCCCGAACTGGTTCCTTCTTGAATTGCGACTAGTCTACCACTGATGTCTTCCAGGGTCCGTATCTTTTGTGGGTTGTCTCTTCCCTTTGGAGTATTGTTTCTCTGCATCTCGCCGGAGTGCAGATCAGAGTGAGGCACCGTCCCGCGGGTGGACTGCAAGGGGGAGCTGTCATATCCAAAGCTGTGGAATAACTTGCGTCCAGAGCAACTGAGAAGTCGGCGACTTGTCATACAGCAAGAGAATGAGAGCCCTCCAGTCACGGCCGCGCCTCTGGCCACACCACTGGCCAAGGTACCGGTCCGGGTATCAAGGCTCGCCCCTTTCTGCCCGCCTACCCCTGCCAGCCACGCTCACGCTAGTTCATCTCCCGGATCTTTCGTTCTGCACATCCTTGCATCCTTGGTCGGGATCTCTAATGAATCGGCCCACAGTGTGATTAGCCTGGCAAGCTAGCTGTTGAAATTGTGGGCGAGCGCTGGACCGGCCCCTAAGCCACTGTGGAAAACCTGTGCACGGGGCAGGGAAATTTGGGCGTTGGCCAGGTACGGGCCAGCAATTGAGGTGGTTCAGTGAATATTAACCCCTCTACACCCAGATCCTTCGTGTTAATTCAGCCCGTGTGCCTCCTCTTTAATACTGGGCTCCCGCCATACCCACCTGATTGCCTGTTTTCTCTATGTCGCCCGGTTCTCCCTGACGACTTCCGACTCGAGTTCGATGTTTGTAGGACGTTGCGAATCGCTTCCTCCTGTGGGTTGCTGATCAGAAACGGTTGTCTTACACCGTTGGAATTTTCCTCGGCCGGGACAATGTTAGTGGCAGAGAGGTCACTGCTATGCTTTGCAGCATTTTCGGGATGGTCGATCGGGGCAGCCACCGCAGGTGAGTTCTTATCGCTGCAGGCCAAAAAAAAAACCACACAGCACTCATACCTCGAACTATACAGACTCGAGATTTTTCCACGTCGAACGACAAATTCAGAGCAACGCCACGTCCAGCAGTGCTATACCGACGTCTTCCAGCACAGTCTCCGAAGTGCCCTCGTTCTCGATACAAAATGTTCCAAGTCTTGCATCACAGGGTTCGAGTAGCGCGGCAACCTCAGTTGCTGCTCTTCAACTCACGGTAGCTACTGACACACATACTGCCGCGTCTACAGACACAGATTACATTTACCCCGGGTTCTTCGGTGCCACAGAAAGCCTAACAGTGGTGTCTTCAAATGTGCCCGCGCGAACACAGCAGCCCTCGAGGACTTCTATTGTCCCAGTATCAGGGGCGACAAGGAAACCGCCGCCCGTGGATACATCTCTTGTGCTTGGCCCTGCCGCCCAGGCTTCTTCATCTACGACACCTCAAGCAGCAGCCGCCACGCGTACCCCACCTAAACTACCGAATATCCCTACCTCTTTCAAGGTGACTACTGTTTATGTCGATTATTCAAGCACTTCCCAAACAGTCAAACCATCTACTTTGTCTTCGTCATCATGGAGTGGTTGGGGAACAAATGGGACGATAATCCCAAGTGGTACCGGACGACGATCTACGGACATCGAGACGGAGTCCTGGACGACAATCACGCAGTATCCCTCATCAACTTCAGGTATCAGCACATGTCAAGAATCCGATATGACCACCCCTGTGACAAGCTACTCTGTCGTTTACACGTCAACCATCACATGGTTTGGAGACCCCAACAACTACACAGCTCCTTTCCCTACCATGTCAACCCCAACCTCGTGTATCAGCCCCAAATCCCCTTACCGGCTCACCCTCTCAAAGTGCCTGTCAACCGGAACAGACACGACACATATGACGTGCTTTATGACAGCAACCGATATCACTCCATCGTGGGCGGCGTCAACAGCCGCACCAGACGATCCCGACAGGTCCACGGGCACTTCACAGCCCACTATTGTTCTAATTACGACGGACAAGAACCCGGCTGTAGTCTTCCCGACGGTCTCTCAAACTCTACCAAACTACGGTGATGGACCTACAAAGCAGCAGAATGGACATACGACCGCCGGGCCGGGCGGCAAGGGTGATTTTAGAACACCAGATTACAACCCAAGTTCAACTGCCCAGCCAGTGAACAATGGCGGGGGAGGAGGCAAGAGCTCTGCCACTACTCCAGCAACAGTACAAGTTCTTCCAACTGGCGTTGTCATTGACGGCACAACGATTGCAGATCGTCCAGATATGCGAACACAGATTGTGACCATCAATGGCAACACCTTCACCGTGAATCCTACTCAGGTTGTTGGGGATGGGGTGACCATTGACAGACCCTCCATGATCGGTGGTGTGTTCGCCCCAACGCCTACCAGCACCAACATCGGCGGAATCGGAGTTTCCGTTGGCTCATCCATCGCAGTGGTGGATGGCACTACTTTCACTCTTGGGCAAGAATCGACTACAGCAACGATCAAGGGCCAAACCGTGGTTGTCGGTCCGAGCGGCGTTGTAGTCGCCACGCAGACCGTTTCAGTCACTGCGGTGCCTGCTCCCACCGAGATCATTATCGCTGGCGGCGAGGTAATCACGGCCATTGGCAAGTCAGTGGTGGTTATTGAGGGCACAACGATTACCTATGGGCCGGACACCACAAAAATCACCGTTATTGATGATGACACGATCACCATTGGCCCTGGTGCAGTAACAGTTCATGGCACGACGATTGGTGGCTCCAGCCTGAACCCTACGGATACTCAGTACGCGATTGTAGGCGGTGCCACGATCACCGAGATTGGGGTTTCGATCGTCGTCATTGACGGAACGACATTTACGGCCGGTCCAGGTGCGACGCCCACCAGTAAAGTAATTGGGGGCCAGACCATAACGATCGGCCCAAGTGGCGTGTCTATATCTACACTCAGTTTGCCCTACCCATTCGGGCCAACAACAACTGTTACCCCTGGCGCAACAGCAGTAGGCGCTTCGGCTACGGAGACATCATCCAAAGACGCTGGCCAGTCATTGCGACCAGACTGGATGACTGAATTGTTTATATCATGCATAGCGATCGGCGTCTGGGTTCTCGGGTTTTAAAGCGTCATATATGTGACTTTATCATTTTCTTCATTGTTATCGAGCTGGGCGTAACACGCTCTAGCCAGCGGGCTTAAAAGCACCAGGCGTCAGTTGATTTTTAATTATTATCTCAAGGGCAAAGCGGGACATTGGGCCATCAAAGGACAGAAAGGATTGTGTTACGATACCCTGAGTGGAAGCGGATTTGCGGGAAAGCAATTCACGCTCGGAAAGGGGCTGAGCCAGGGGCAGGAGATCTCACCCCTGGAGATGAACATAACAGGATCGACATAATTGTATAATAAGGATATCGACTGCACAGATATGATATGACCAGGCGACGCACACAAGACGCGCCGCTTATGAAGAATTTAACCGTTGAACATCATGACCTAGCTACTGTTCTACCTCGATCGCTCTCGCAAATGACCAGCCTCTATTCAACTCACTGTGGCCATGATACCCAGACAACTAGCAAGTTGCCCGTCAAAAAGCCACACAATATTCCAAACTGTGTGGCATGGGCAAAAAGAAACTAGTCCGCCAATTTTAATGAATCTTGCTCCAACCCCCACACTCCGAAACTATTGCCATGGCTCAAGTGCCGAGATGGACCATAAGCAGTGATCTCATCTCCAAAAAGCTCGGACAGAGCAAGAAAAAAAACTAGGTCTTCGTGTTCCTAGCCGTTGGAAGTCTAAGTCCCAGCCAATTGCCGTTGCTGAGGCGCAAGACTTTCCCAAGACAGCGGACCCGCTTGTCTTAGACAGGCTTAGCACTTGTAAGCCGCCTCTGCGCCTAACTAAACGTTGAAACGGGCGCCGCTGCCCCTGCGCTGTTCCTCTGTGAGGTAAGGATCTGAAGATGGGGCCGTATAGCAAGTCCGCCAACACGGTGGATCCCATTCCCAGCGTAAGCAAAAGCCAGCGCGCGCTACAGGAACAAACTTTCCCAGGTCTCCATCCCCTAAGGTATCGTATCGTACGGTAATAACGTCAGCTCCCGCTGTCAGCCCTACTTGATTTGCTCAACGGTCGCCAACCCAATCGCGCCGGCGAGTCAGGGCTGCTTCGCTGGATGCCGAGGAGAGTGGCTACCGTGGCCGCCACGACAACTTACTGATTGACTGGTTGGCCGCCTGACTGACCTCGTTTCCAGCTGGAAGAACACGCAGGGAGCAGATTGATCGCGTCTCCTGGTCTAGTCCTCGTTCGCGATCACTCCGCCTCAGGGGGGGAAGCAAACGGCTGCAAATCAAGTGCCGAGACCTGCTCCCCACCTCCTGAGAACGCCCATCGCGAGATTCATGCAAAAAGAACAAGCCCTCCCCTGAGAAGGGCTGACGTCGGACAGCATCCTGTCGGTCGTGCTGTGCTGCTGCGTCCAAGCCCACTGCCTTTCCTGCAGACTGCAACGACGGCCCGGGAACGCGGTCGCCTTTGGCCGACGACTGCATATCGTTCGTGTGGGCGTGCGTTGTGTATGTGTGCGCCAGGCGTACCCTCGTCCCGCCCGATGATCGCCCGGCCGGCCCTGGAGCTACTGCCCCCCTATATCAGCGTAGGCTATATAGCGTGGCTTGTCGTGTGCTGAGCTGACGAGCAAGCCCGTTCGTCATCAGCAATTCGATTGGGCGGATCGGCCAGCGCAAGTGCTGACAGCTCGCACACACGCACACGCACGCTGCATGGGAATGGAAGGGGGGAGAAAAGGCACCGCATACACGCCAGACGCACCAGGGACGCCTCTCCCATGCGTTAGAGCCCCCCGGTGCAGCGGAAGCGAGCGAGCGCCTCTCGTTCGCTGGGTCGGCCCCTGTCTGCTGGGACGTCTTCGCGGTGGTCGCAGTGGGTCATTGGGAGCGGCGGCCCGGGAAATCGCGACGAGGCAGCTCAAGATACTGAGGCCAAGACTATAACCTAGTGTGCTGTCTGTTGCATGATGCTGCGGACGACACGTCTGATGTTGTGAGACAATTTGGAACCTGCTCACGACAATCACATTAGACTGAGAGGTCTGCTATGTAGCCGAGATGGGTACCGGTAGGTGATGAGATGATACTGAGTAAGTATCTGGAGGAGATGGGAACATGGTCGAGTCATAAGCGGCTTGTCTTGCAATTGTCGACGAATGACTTGAGGTCCTGCCTGCCCTAATGTCTATGGTTGGGCGTGTGTCCAAGAAGCCGGTAGATGATGAAGGGTACGAACATGCATGAACTAATCGCCGTGAAGATGTGTTCTTCCGTGTCAGTTCATGTTCTGACCTGCTTGGCTGTGATATGAGAGTTCTTTCATTGAAATCTCCTATAATTATAGGTTTATGTTGAAGAGATGACGAGAACATATCTACATGAGAGGCATATGGCGCTAAAGACCATACGTATGACCGCTTTCATGCCTTGAGTAATGGTATTTCTACAACAATAGTCTAAGCTGCTCTTTGATGACCACAACGCCCCATCTGTGAACATTTTCCCGTGCTCACAATCGTACAAATGCATTAGTGATATGTATGCTCTGCACATGGCTACCATGTCTCCTGCCAGAAAGCCATCTTCGAGAAGCGCGCCTCGGCCGCCTTCAAGTCGTCCGCCAAACCACCGATCACCATAGCGTCAAGCAGCGCTCGTCGCACTGATATAGGCATCCTGCCCGAGTTTCCACACAGAACAATTATGGGATCCTCACGCATGAGGTCGCACACCTTTACCGCGTGCTTTCTGACCAGATGCTGCACGTACATCTTGCCCCTATCGTAGTCATAGGATATCAAGCCTGTCGTCTCCGCATTGGGCGGCTGGAACCCGGTACTGCTCTTAGCACCGGGCACCGTTGCCGCCGAATCGTCCTTGTAGGGATCACAGACTTCAGGCTCAACTGCGTCCGGGTCTCTGGAGAAAGCTGGTATGACGGCGATGACTTCACCTAGGTCCTCCCATTCGTTCTCGTAATAGTAGTCGGCTTTGCGGTTGCGGCAGCCGAAGAAGAGGAGTTGGGGTCCGAGTGCGCGATACATCTGACGCTCCCATATCAAGCTGCGCACTGGGGCTATACCGGTGCCCGTGGCTATGGCAATGAGCGGCCGCCGAGCCTCTACCTCATCACAGGGTGGCCCATTGCCAGGCTTGAATCCGACAGCAAGGTCTGTGTCAGGCGGAAGTCGCTTGAGATATCGCGAGCAGAGTCCCTCTCTTGGTCGCCGAATAATCGTCTTGTATTCCACCAAAGCGACTATCAGTTCAACATTGAGAATATGCTCCTCGGTGTTATTGAGTAGGATACCGCCGTTGGCAATGCTGAACTCCCGACCCCGGATAACAGGGAACAGATCCAGGACATATTCCAGAGGTATCTTGACGGAAGGGAAGTCCTGCAGGACCTCGAGAATGCTGCGACGGGGGCGGGCGGTGTAGTCCCAAAACTCTTGGGTGTTATCAGTGCTGATGAGCTCGTGCAGGCGCTCCTTCTCTCTCTCATCCGCGGCGAAATGGATGAGCTTCTTCAGAAAAGTTCGGTTGGGAATGGCGGTGAAGTCCAGGTTGTGAATGAAAAGTTCGCGCAAGGTAGTCTCGTCGAGTGCGTGTAGATTTCTGGGGCAGGTGCCTTTGCTTCCCAGTGAGAGCCCCTTGTCCGCATCATTCTTGTCGGCCATGTTAGTAGTGGTCACCCAGGAAATTGGTATATCTGCGACATCGTCCCAGTCGTTCAGATCGATTAGCTTCTGGACATCTTCGGGGTAGTTCTTGGGGTAAATGATCAATGTCGATCCTGGGCGAATGTCTGGGAGCTTCTCGCTCAATGTTCTTGCCTTGATGCGTACTGTGAGATTCCGAACATCTTGCCAATGTTCCGGAGGAGTGACCCGGGTATTCTCCATAAGCTTTGCTTGGAAGGTATTCGGGATCGGAAGCACGTCATCAGGGGGCAGTATTGGATTCGACCTGGCTGCTCTCCGAAGTAGATACTTCTTAGGGTGATCTGTAAGGACATTGTCTCGGTCGAGAGTATCAACTGGTCGTCCGTGAAGTGTCGTAGCTGTAGAGCTCTCATCAAGTCGAGCAGAGACAGGAATACCTCTGTTCTCGCCGATCAGTCGAGCTTGATCTTCGTCAAACTGATAATCGCGGGAACGGGGGGTTTCGATGTGGGAAAGCACCGCACTTTTCTCTCGGTTCTCTAGATATATACGTTCCTTTTCGTCTGCTAGATCTGACCCGGTGAGACCATGAAGTCTTTCAGGTGCTGTTGCCATGGCTGAGTCTGACGCAATGCTGATTGGGTATCTCGGGGAGAGCAGAGCCTCGTCTGGGATAGGTTCGATATTCTCGGCCTGAAGGCGAAGTTTAAGATCCTGATACCAAGGTAGATAAATGCTGTCGATGCTGGCTTTCCATTAGCATGGGCGGAAGCCGTGGATGCTTAGAATATCTGAGGCTTGTCTTTGAAAGAGATGGAGGGCGGCTGGTGGGAAGAGAGAAAAAAAATAAGGTGGTTAAAGAAGGTTGAGGGAAAGCTCACCCGTTGTCATGACGTTCATCGCCTTCTCCTGGCGGATAAAATTCGGTCGCACCCAGCTGCAGAAGTCGTTTGTGAAGCTTCCGTGCAGCCCAGTTAAATCTTTGAGGCGGTCTTTAGCCAGGAAAAAATTTCAAGAGGTAGGATGGGGTGAATCATACTTTGGGTAGGAGCTGTCACCAAGGCCGAATATCGAAAACTTCAGACGACTTAGGCAGGTCGGGGGTAGTTTCTTTCGTAGCAACTTCTTCCAGAAGCCAGTTGCATTTCCAGGCATGTCACCTTGACCTGTTGTAGAGGTGACAAAAATAACAAGCTCATATCGAACAAGATCTTTCTATTTGCATTTTGTTATTATTTGTTTGTATGATATGATGATATTGCTGCATCTTTGAGGGCCACTTTGGCCGGGAATTGTTTGAGTCAGCTTGTACACTTACAAGATCAACACCATCCATCTCCTCTAGAGACAATTCAAATCGAAGGCGTAGGGCCATATCTGCTAGCTCCTCTGCGATCTCTTGACTGTGTCCTGTTTCGGTCCCATACAGGATAAGTAGGCTCCTGTTGGCCAGCTCCAGAGGTTGGGCCAGAGCACCGTTTGCTTCAGACATGTTGCAATCTATTAGTACTGTGATTATGACACTTCTGGACCTTATTTAAACTCCCAGAACTGCTGACGTGGAAGCAGCTTTGGACGAGACGGCCCCTGGCAGAAGGCTGGCTGCAGATAGCTGGGCAGGCCACTTGAATGCTCTCTGGGTTTCTCTTTGCGCAATATAGCATGACCGATACGCCCTACACAGTCTTCCTTGGTGTCTCTGTTCCCTTGAAACCCCCGGAAACTCAAGATGGTGAAACTGCCAACGTCTATGGCATTTGGGGTTGATTGACTCTAATGATAGGGTCGTTCGCCTTGTGGTAGGGATACCACAGGCATTGAGTGGATATGAGGCCTGAATGGGGATGGAAAGCCGGCAATCTCGCTGTCGAATTTCTACCGTAATTCCCGATACATGGTTCTCTGGAGTACTAGAGATATGGGCATTACCTAGGTATATAACCAGAAACAGGGCGATTGCGCAGGTCTCTCACCATGTTGGATGAAGGTTGTCAGTCTTAAAGACTATTTTTTTAGGCAAGTACCCCGCCATACGTCACTGAGTGTGCATATACTTTATGGCGCTTTCTACCGACAATGTTAGCCCGTCCCAGCCGAGATCGGCGGAAAGGTCTCTGGTCAGACCTACCTGGCAGAGTGCTCCCGCCTGTAGCCCACATTCGTATCTCCCTGGGTACGCATACAAATGCGGCTCTTATTAGAATATCACCTCTATTCCTAGCATAATGAGCCTCCACAAGTGACGGCCTACTTTACGCCCTAATATGATTATCGTAAGTCAAGTCAATTCTTTTCGAGTCCCGTGGCTGGAGACCCCCGGATCTATTCAAGGAAAATATCTCGACGCATATTCTGTGGTTACCTACCATGTGTTTTTGATGGGTTGTTGCACTCGCATGGAGAAGTTACTATAAGATATCACATACTTGCGATTGCGTGCCTCCTAGAGATCAAGTATATTTGATATGGCGGCTCGCGGTGCATTGCATCAATACCAAGCGATGATGCTCCAGGCCCGCCTCAAGACTCTGATAAGTGAAGTCTTGACCATGGACGTTGCAGCATGGACCGGTTGAGATGCTATGCAGAAGCCTCGGCCTGGTCGCGTGCTGTGCCTACCAGGTAGTAATGACAGCCCCGGTATGACGGCTTAGCACTCCATTTTGGCCCCCCTGGTGGGTGCCGGCCTGGGCCGGAGCTGTCTTGCGCGGGCCGGCAAACTTCGAGCTCGCCAGCTACCCTTAGCTACCACTAGAATCAGAGCTCCTGCATCCCTAGGAAGACCTGACTGACATGTACACGGTAGGCAGACTTATTGACATAGTTTAGACATGTCTGGATGGTGCTCCGCGTCTGGTACAATCTGCTAATAAGACCCCCTTCTGCCTGTTTTCGACGACGCATGAAATATCGAAATTGCGAATTGAAGACTTTTTTGGTCTATCGCAGGACGGAATTTCGAGGAGTGGGAACAAGTGCAGGGGCACCCCGCTGATTCCGCCTGTCAGGGGCTAAAGGCTCTAGCTAACCGCAGTTAGCCTGAATTGCCCATGTGCCTGGTTGATGTGAACTCAAATGCATGTGCTCTGTTAGTCTGTTCGCGAAACCATCTCGCTGGCACCATCAAGGCATGCATGCTTCAACGAATAACCGACGAGGCCGCCATACAAGTTGGCTGTCTGGCTTCTGTCTGTGTTGGTGGGAACAGAGAGCTGAGGCTGCAAGGTCATCTCAGCCGCACCCTGACAAACGTTCATTGGCTTGCAAGTGGATGATGGATGATGACTCAACAGGCGTAGGTATTGACTGTTTGCCTTCGTCTGATCCCTAGGCGTAGACTTGGGTTAAGTGCCTACCTAGAGTGCACACCAGCGCAACAAGCCCATATTGTTTCCCCAAGGCCACCTTAGCCGTGAACGGATACACACTTTTAGGTTCTGTGAGCCCTGCAGTTCCAGAGACAATGTTGTGTATCCTCCTGCGTCGGGGCTACCGGCATAATGCAATTGTATGAGAGTATCGTGCACAATATGAAGCCGGCAAGGCTTATCAATTTTTCTTCTGTCCTTACAGTTGTGGGAAGCCATTGTATCGGTTTTCCCCCTGCTTAGACCTGACAGTAAGCCATGCGTGTAGGACTGTAGTAAAAAGTATCATGTTTATATGGTGGTTTGCTTCCATTTTTTTTTTAGCTTAGACGGTGTCGTCTTAATGACGGTATCCTCCCTATAACGAGTATTATTAACCTCGTTGTAGATAATCAGACCTCATATGGCCAGCCCATCCATACATCTTGACTGCCTGCATCTAATTCTAGAAAGTCTGTTGACCGTAACTCGTCTGTTCTTGGCTGGTGGCCACTTCTTCATTCACTGCAAACAGGAACTCATCGCAAGGCAAGTCCACCTAGGTAACATCGTGTCGCTCTTTCCTCCACAAGACACTCATTGCAGATATTTAAGGGAAGTAATTACAGACCCGCCTTGCCCTTCTAGAAAACCAGACTTTCCTTGGATCCTTCCGCTTTCCATTTCGTAAATCCCTGCAGCGTCATAAAAGGAAGCCTCTATCGAGATTCCCCCCCAGCGCAGTCTACCTCCCTAGCACGGCGCACCTGACAGGGAACCGTGGGAACCACAAGTTCAAGGCAGGTACGTACCGAGCACACAATACTGCACCTGCACCAAGCACCCAGCTCCCAGCTCCCAGCATTCTGCGCCACGCCTTCCCCTTCTCGCTTATTCCCCGAAACCACCAAGCGCCCCCCCAAGAAAAAATATTTGAATTTGACGGTCGCGACACAAAGAAAGCTCCTGTTTCCCCTTCTTCCCATCTTCATCCCCAACTTCAAAGATCGATCACCGCACCGCTCACCACCAGCCAAGTTCCACCCCCCCAACGTTATCTAGGGCACCTAGCTACCCTTTTTCACTCCCCCTCCCATTGTTACAGAGTGCATTCTGAACCGCTGCACTTCCGCAACGTCGACCCCTTTAAACGAGTCAACAAGCCATCCGTCAACCTCTCAATCCACAACTGACCGCCGCCACCAGACCGTCAACTCTTCAACGACAACCACTCAAGATCCATTCAAAATGTCTGCCATCGCGGAGAAAGTTGCCGACGCCGTCAACGACGTTACCAACGCTCTGAGCAATACCTCCATCACTGGCAAGGCCGCCGACGACAAGTCTGCTGCCAACGATGCCGTCCTCGCCAGTGCTGCCGAAGGTCGCCGCCTCTACATCGGCAACCTGGCCTATGCGACAACTGAGGGGGAGCTGAAGGACTTCTTCAAGGGTTACCTTGTGTAAGTCTGGCTTCCGTTCTGATCTGTTCTCGTGCATTTGATGCTTTGTGGGGGAACTTGGATGCCTAGCTGAGGTCTGCCTACCGGTTAACCTCCTATTGTTGCCATCTTTCGATGCCTTACTGTCCACATCAAGTTCTACCAGCAGCTGTGGAGAAGTCCTCGCCTTCCATATATATACCTAACTTATCCTTTCACTGGAGAGGCTATTTATTGCGTACTTGCTCAACTTTAGATAAACTAACACGTGTCTCTAGCGAGTCTGTTTCTATCCCCAAGAACCCTCGTACTGACCGCCCAGTCGGCTATGCCTTTGTCGACCTGTCCACCCCCAGCGAAGCTGAGCGCGCCATCGCTGAGCTTTCCGGCAAGGAGATCCTCGAGCGTAAGGTCTCTGTTCAACTTGCCCGCAAGCCGGAGCCAAATGCCGAGAAGACTGAGGGCACCAACGGTGAGGGTGCCGAGGGCACTCGCCGCCGACAGTCCACCCGTGGCCGTGGTGCCAAGCGTGGCCGCGGTGGTGCTGGCCGTACCCGTGGTGGCCGGGACGAGAAGAAGGAGGAGGGCGCAACGACTGAGGCCGTTGCCGCCCCCGCTGCACCCGCCGAAGTTGCAGCAACCACTGAGGTTCAACCTTTGCAGGATATTACCAACAAGGATGTCGACGCTGACAAGATTGACAAGAAGACCACTCAGGCTCGCCCACCTCGCGAGCGCCGTGAGCGCGGCCCCCCGGCCGACGGCATCCCCTCCAAGAACAAGGTCATGGTCGCTAACCTGCCGTACGACCTGACTGAGGAGAAGGTATGATGGTATTTGGCTGAGTTGAGCTTGACGACTGTGCTAACAGGGCATTCACAGCTGAAGGAGTTGTTCGCCGCCTATGAGCCATCTACTGCTAAGATTGCGCTTCGCCCCATCCCTCGCTTCATGATCAAGAAGCTTCAGGCTCGTGGCGAACCACGCAAGGGACGTGGTTTCGGCTTCGTCACCCTTGCTTCTGAGGAGCTGCAGCAGAAGGCTGTTGAGGAGATGAACGGAAAGGAGATTGAGGGTCGCGAGATCGCTGTCAAGGTCGCCATCGACAGCCCCGACAAGACAGACGAGGAGGCCAACGCCCCCGAGCATATTGAGGGCGAGACCAACGGCACCGAAGAGGCCGCTGCCGCCCCTACCACTGCTTAATTTACCACCGTTGCCAAGGGACAGTAAGAGACCTCTTACCCTGTCTCACAAGGTCATTCGACCACGAAAAGTGATGATCAAAACACAATTCAAGCACCATATCATCACTTTTCTCACCTGTATTACACCTAGCTTTTTGGTGCGTCGCTATCGGGACGGGATCAACAATTTTTCTTGGTGGCCAGAATGGCGGACGTGACGGCAGCGGATGAGAGGCACTTCTGGCGTCTAGGGTATGGGTTTCATACGGATAGACTACTTGAAGAGCCTTCATTCATGGCTTTCACGGGCAAAAAAGAGCACATTGCATCCTTAATCTTACCTCCCTATCTTCAAATACACAGAAACCCCTTCAACCTCTCTGTATCTCGTATACCATCTTCCTTAGTCACATTCTTCGGGCTGTACACTAGTTGCTTTCCGGAGAGGGGTTCAGGGAACTGGGAAAAGTCAATGCAAAGAGCGCATTTCATTTTTAATAATTGTCTTTGAAGTATGATTGTGAATGTCTCCCGTCCAAATCGACGGCTGTGGTTATGTTGAAATTCAATGTCGTAACGTCTAGACATTCTGGCCCGGTCCACTGGGCTGTGGCGCTATTTTAGGCCGTCACAGCACTGGGCCGCCCGGCCCCTAATCATAAACGCTAACGTTGATTGATCTTGCTGGAGACCCATAGCAACCCCCCCTAAGATTCAACCGCCACTGTTGTAGCCGTGTTTCTTCCCTTGTCAACTTGACCCTGAAGTCTCTGAAGCGGAGTGCTTTGGGATATTCGTCGTATACGGGAAGGAATTGAGGACAATCGAGCCAATCGATCCTGTTTTAGAGGGGTGGTATTTGCTATAGGAAGCCAGGGTCTATTTCTACAGGCAAAAAGCCACGCGACACCACTCTCCCTGTCCACACTCGAAATAAGCTCACCTACATCGAATTCACCCTCAGAGTACTGCCCACCATGGCTTCGAAAGCCATGTGGGAGGTCGACCCGGAGACTCGGTCAAAGGTGCGTCGAGCAACCGGAGATTGATATGTCTCTGTGCAAGCGCATCTGTCTTGATCGATGCTAACATCATCTCTGGTTCTAGCTCATCGCAATCCAAAAGGAATCCGGGAACAATATCTGCTGCGACTGCAACGCGCCCTCGCCGCAATGGGCGTCCCCCAAGTTCGGCGTCTTCATCTGTCTATCCTGCGCCGGCGTCCACCGCGGCCTCGGCGTGCACATCTCCTTTGTGCGGTCCATCTCCATGGACGCCTTCAAGGCGAGCGAGATCGAGCGCATGCGCCTCGGCGGCAACGAGGGGTGGAGGAGGTTCTTTGAGGAGCACGAGGACACAAAGATGCGCGGCCTCACATGGGAGGACGCCACGATCGCGGAGCGCTACAGCGGCGAGGCGGGCGAGGAGTGGAAGGAGAGGCTCAGCGCAAAGGTCGAGGGCAAGGACTACGTCCCCGGCGAGAAGAAGGCCGCCCCGGCCCCGGCGCCGACAAACACAGCTGCAAGAAATGTGCAGAGGACCGGGACGCCGCTGAGCGGGTCTGCGAATAGCAGGACGGCGAGCCCTGGGCCGGGCAAGGTCAAGGTGGACGACAAGTACTTTGCGGGCCTGGGCGCGGCCAACGCCTCGCGGTCCGAGGAGTTGCCGCCCAGCCAGGGAGGAAAGTATGCCGGCTTTGGAAACACGCCGATGCCGCAGAAGGGCAACGAGCAGGCCCTGCCTGGCTTGGACGAGTTGCAGAAGGATCCCCTTGCTGCGCTGGGCAAGGGATTCGGGTGGTTCACGAAGACGGTGTCCAAGACTGCGCAGACAGTCAACAACGACTTCATACAGCCTACGGCCAAGCAGGTATGGTTCATTCTTCCAGTCTCTATAGTCAAAGAGTTCTCTAACAGCGCCCCTTTAGATCGCGGAATCCGAGTTTGCAACTCAAGCTAGGACTGTGGGCGGCCAGGTCGCGCGCTCTGCGCAGGCCGGCGCGAAGGGTGCCCAGGACGGCTTCACCCGATTTGTCGAGGGCCAGGATTCGCGATCGAACTATAGACAGGTGCCCATTGACGAGAGCAAGCGAGGCTTCTGGGACGACTTCTCGTCTATTGCCGAGCAGAACAAGGCCGCGGGAAGCTCCATTGGCACCTCGGCGATGGGCAAGGGAAACAAGGGCCCATCCAATGCAAAGGGTAAGGATGAGTGGGATGACTGGTGAGCTCTGGTGTATCAACGCAGCTAGACGACGTAGTATACGACGATGTATCATTAGGATTGTTGGGGATAGAGCCATGATTTACAAGCGAATAACACACATACACACACGAAGCCAAGGAGCCCCTGCTATAGTCACTCATAACCGAACTCACACTTCTGGTCAGGTCAAAAATCTAAATTACATCAAATCATCTCTTGGTAAACGACCATCATCCTGAATTCTAACCGGGGCGCATAGGCTTGGTCACGTGTCGACTAGGACCTCGGCTGGGATTCCGGCTTCGGCCCTAGCGATTCGGCTGGAGTACGGCCATCGTCGGCTAACTAGCTGTTGCTTCCTGCCTCCTCTCTCTGTCATTGACAGCTCCCCAGCAATCGCCATGTCCGCCCTACGAATACTGGTGCCCGTTAAGCGGGTAATTGACTATGCAGTGCGTCAATTGGGAACGTGTCAAGAGCGCACGGATGGCTAATCAGTCTCGTCTACTCTACAGGTCAAGCCCCGCGTGAACAAGGCGCAGACGGGCGTCGAGACGGCCGGCGTCAAGCACTCGATGAACCCCTTCGACGAGCTCTCGGTCGAGGAGTCTGTGCGGATCCGCGAGAAGAAGTCGGCGCCGGGCGGCGTGGAGGACATCTGCGTCATCTCGGCGGGGCCGGCCAAGGCGCAGGACGTGCTGCGGACGGCGATGGCGATGGGTGCGGACCGGGGCATCCACGTGGAGGTCAAGGAGGGGGAGGAGCTGGAGCCGCTGAGCGTGGCCAAGCTGCTCAAGGAGGCGGTGCGGCGGGAGAAGAGCAACGTGGTCATCCTGGGCAAGCAGAGCATCGACGACGACGCCAACCAGACGGGCCAGATGCTCGCGGGCCTGCTGGGCTGGAGCCAGGCGACGCAGGCGAGCAAGGTCGAGTTCGGCGAGGGCGACTCGGTCAGTGTCACGCGCGAGGTCGACGGCGGCGTCGAGACGCTCAAGGCCAAGCTGCCGATGATCATCACGACGGATCTGCGTCTCAATGAGCCGAGATACGCTAGTTTGCCGAACATCATGAAGGCTAAGAAGAAGCCGCTTGAGAAGAAGACGCTGGCAGACTTTGGCATCACGACCGAGAGGAGGCTGAAGGTGCTCAAGGTTACTGGTAAGCTATCTCCTATCAGCTTCACCGCAATAGCACTGCGAGATATGATGGACGGACGCTAATCTTTGTATAGAACCGCCGACACGGCAAGGCGGCGGCAAGGTAGAGGATGTTGGTGGGTTGGTATCCAAGCTCAAGGAGCTCGGTGCATTATAAAAGGGGCATCATGTATAAAGACCAAATGTTCAAGGTGTCCAGTTGGACCGGCACACCTAGAAGCGAAGGGAGCCACGCAAATAAAACAGTGACTGCACGAGGATTGTAAAACTCGCCTTTATAGCAAAATGGAAAGAGAGCGTGGCATTGTTATATTTGAAAAAATACTTATGTCTGCAGCAGTTCGGTCTGGGGATGTTGCCGGGATCAATATCTAGCAAGTATCGGTATCTCCAGGTCAGCCTGAAAGCTTGACCTTGCAGGTGGTTTCTCATCATGCGAAAAGTGTCCCTGAGAAGGGCACGGCACACAATCGACAAGCTCTCGAGCTGCGAGGTCAACATGCATTGTCATGCATGAAGTGATTGTTCCTTCGCAACTAGCACACCACTAAACAAAACTGTTGCTTCGCGGTAGTTTCATACTTGGGCAACTAGATCTTGACTGTGCCTTATCAGTCCTATAACTTTTTAATCTTCTCTTGGAGCTTCCTTGGCCTTATAGAAAACAAGGATCGACTTTCAAGCTCGGAAGGCGATAATGTTTAAGCCTGGTGAATGGGCCTTAGCTAGGTATAGCCTGTATAGGTGGTAGGTGCACCTGAGATAAGGTCATTCGGAGCCCAATGCCGCGTCTGCAAGCTCTGAGATGATCTCATTACCTACTGCGTACAGTAGGTACGTAAGGTACGGATAGGCAAGATAGCTTTGGTAGGCACAAGACAGTGGAACCACAGCATATTTGCCCAGGAATTACAGGGCAGGCATATCCGAGCTACCTAGGTACTTTTTGTCGGCTTTGCGACTTGAATGCGCAGATGCGAGTGCAATCAGCGGGAATAGCCTCCTATCTCGACGTCTAAGATTCAGGTGCGTGCAGCTGTTAGTGGAAAGCGGCGCTGTGAGATGGCCCGCGGAGTCGATATGGGCGGTGGTGCCCGGTGCAGCTGCAGCGAGGACGGAGGAGGAGGAGCTACCTAGACACCTACGCAGTGGCGCGCAGAGCTGCCAAATGACCCACCCAATGGAGAGAAAAAGTTCGTGTCTCCCAATGACAGCATTCAAAATTTTGCTGAGGAGCGCACGCAGGTGGGCAGTCACCAAGGCATGGGACTGCTTATTTTTTCTGCCTTATACCGCATCGAGAAGCACAAAGGCACACAGCAGCACACACGCATTCCCACTCCCAAAGTACCGCAATTCGAATTTTCAACAAACCATCCATCTAGAACCAGACCAACCCCATTGTGACTCCAAACCCCCAATCCTCGCTCTTCACTTTCCAAAAGACTCTTCAGTCTTCATTCTTCCTTGTCTATCCCAGCTGCCTGCGTGGTCTCCGTCAATCTGCCCTTATGCACGGGCGCCCGTCAGTTTTCACTTCTCAGGTACGTCGATGATGTCGCCCTGTTTCTCGCTCCCACCAATTCGCGATGCCCCGCCATCCTCGTCCAACACCCAACATCGTCATCTTCCCCGTGTCCATATACCACAACACCACAACACAGGCCATTGCTCGACTTCATCTGTCGTCAATTGCATAGCTGCTGTTCCTCGCTGTATCATGCTTCCATATCTTGATTGCTGCTAACATGCTGCCACCAACAGGACTATCTCTCAGGTCAGTGCCGCCCGGACGCCGGGGGTTGACTCACCGCCATGTTTACTGACCTTACTATCTTAGACCATCTGTGGAGGTCTCTTTCAGCTTAAAAAGCCCTGTGCTACCAGTCCGCCACTTACCTTGATCGATTTATAAATCAACAGCATGTTCTCTCGCTTTGCCGTCACCGCCGCCAAACCCACGGCCATCGGTGCCGTCCGGGTTACTGCCAGGCTCTCTCCCCTGGCCAGCCAGGTCCGCTTTGTGAGCAGCCATGTCTTGGATGGTAGCAAAGGCAGGAAGATGCCTGTCCAGCGGTCTCGAGCCACGGCTCCTGTCAACAACCTGGATGCTACTTTCACTATCCGAGTATGTTGCCAACACCCCAGCTTGTCTCACACGCTGCGAGTTTGACTGACTCTTCAAACAGGATGGTCCCGTCTTCCACGGAACCGCCTTTGGAGCCAACTCCAACATTTCCGGCGAGGCTGTCTTCACCACCTCTCTCGTCGGCTACCCCGAGTCCATGACCGACCCTTCTTACCGCGGCCAGATTCTGGTGTTCACCCAGCCTCTCATTGGCAACTACGGTGTTCCATCGAACGCTCGCGACGAGTTCAACCTGCTGAAGTACTTCGAGTCCCCCAACATTCAGTGTGCTGGTGTGGTGGTTGCCGATGTGGCCGAGAAATACAGCCACTGGACCGCCGTTGAGAGCCTCGGAGAGTGGTGTGCTCGAGAGGGTGTCCCTGCCATTTCAGGAGTTGATACTCGTGCTATTGTCACGTATCTCCGTGAGCAGGGTTCGTCCTTGGCTAGGATCTCCATCGGTGACGAGTACGATGCCGACGAAGACGAGAGCTTCATCGACCCCAGCCAGATCAACCTTGTCAAGCGTGTGAGCACCAAGGCTCCCTTCATGGTCTCTGCTCCGAATGCCACCTTCCACGTGGCTCTGTTGGACTGTGGCGTCAAGGAGAACATTCTCCGAAGCTTGGTCAGCCGTGGTGCGGCTGTCACCGTCTTCCCCTACAACTTCCCCATCCAGAAGGTTGCCGACGAGTTCGACGGTGTCTTCATCTCCAACGGCCCCGGTGACCCGACCCATTGCCAGGAGACCGTCTACAACCTGAACCGGTTGATGGACACCTCGCCCATTCCCATCATGGGCATTTGCCTTGGCCACCAGCTTCTGGCTCTTGCCATTGGCGCACGGACGATCAAGATGAAGTACGGCAACCGTGCTCACAACATCCCAGCCCTGGATCTCACCACTGGCCAATGCCACATCACCAGCCAGAACCACGGGTACGCCGTCGACGCCGGTACTCTGCCGAGTGACTTCAAGGAGTACTTTGTCAACCTCAACGACGGCAGCAACGAGGGCATGATGCACAAGACCCGCCCCATCTTCTCCACGCAGTTCCACCCCGAGGCCAAGGGCGGCCCGATGGACAGCTCCTTCCTGTTCGACAGGTACCTGCAGAACGTCAAGCTGTACAAGGACAGCCAGAAGATCTACAAGGACAACAGGCCGTCCCAGTACATGCTGGACATCCTCAGCAAGGAGCGTGTCGGCGTCGAGCCCACGCCCCTGGCCACCGCTGCTTAAGCCGCGTGGCTTGTTTTCCTGGGTTCAGGGGTGCTGCGACGGGTTTGTTTGGGATGGGTCAGCATGGTCTGGTTTTTTTTTGACGGTCTTTAGGACTAAAACATGGTATGTATGAGGCTGGCAGTAACAGCCAGTCCACTCTTCCTACACACTGTCTTTGATCAGTTTCTTAGCGAAAATAGCAAAGCAATTTCTCGCACCGTGCCTGTAGAATGTCCATTCTGTTGAGTGCCCGAGCGATGATACCTGAGCACATAATAGCCCTTCTGATCTAATCATCAGCACTGTAAACATGTGTGTTTGTTTGCTTCTCTTCTCGAGCTCCGTAGATCAATGATGCCTTAAGTAACTCGAGTTGCGTAGACCTTTACAATAGGGGGTATCATTACATTTTATTCATCTACAAAATTTGTCCGTCGGACTCCAGCATTGCTCATTAGATACTCTCATCCATCCCTGGCTGTCATAGCACCGCATCTCTCTAGGCAGGAGAAGCACAAGTTGTCGGCTATGCCAAACTAAGCTCATCCTGATCTGGCCCGATTGCCGATTTTGCAAATCAAGTTTTCTTTTCTCGGTCATATATATATATTGCGATGAGCTAGGCTCCTAGTGCTTCTCAGTCAATAGAGACGAAGGGTAGATCAGCGACGGCTTCTGTATGAGTCTCCGTAGTTGCCACGAGCTGATCTCTCTTCGCGAAAGTCCCTGTATCTCGGGCGACGATCATCGTCATTTCGGCCCCAACGATCCTCGTTGAAGCGGGCGGGGGGTGCACGATAGTCGTCACGCACAGGCTCACGAGCTCCAAAGTATCTATCTCCACGCGGAAAGGGGGGTGGGCCATCTCGTCGGCCAGGCCCACCACCTGGGCGGTCGCGGCGCCCTCGTTCTCGGCGCTCACGTTCTCGATGCGGTGGACGGATACCAATGAAGACCTCCTTGCCGCGATCGACGAATGACTCGCTGTTCTCGAATGTATATCGATTCATTTCACCGCCAGGATTTCTGCCCGCGTGTTTAGAAATGAAGGAGTGAATGTTGTCTATACGACGTCTTGCAAGCTCCTCACTGACGGGTTGGTACGAAAGCGGCGGATTCGACTGCGTTCGGAGGGTGTTTGGATCTGATCGGCCGAGTAGACCGGGGCCCGACCGCGGACCACCCAGATTTCTGGGACCTCTGGGCGCAGCTTCGATGCCAGGATATAAACGATCGGGGCCAGACAGTGTAGGAGCTTGCTTCGGGGCGACTGGGATGGCGGGGGCTCTCGGTTTGGCATCAGAACCAACTTCTTCAAGTCTAGCAACAACGCCATCCTCGTCCTGATCATATATCACTTCCCACCTGGCAGAGTTCCCACGTCCACCCGACCTTTCCTCTTCACTCCATTCTCGCACCTTCTCGGGGGGGATGAAGTCTACCCATAGTGCCTTTCTATTGCGCTCATCGGGCCAGATCTGATCATGAAGTGCTGTGCGTACTCGCGCCGCAGAGGCAATGTTCTGGAACTGAACAAAGGCATGAGTTCGGACTTGATCGAGGTAGAAGTCTAATACAACGCTGGGATTTGGAGACTTTCCCGGGGGCGTAGCCAGCTCAATGAGATAGTCCTGGACCATGGGTGCCCGTAATGGTCGCATAAAATTCTTGATGTACAGGGAGGTCGTGGCGGGGTGGATTGATGGTTCGATCATCTTGTCATCCACAGGTTCCGTGTAGGCTGTCTGCTCTGATCGTTCATCGGCGGCTAGATTTGTATAGGCACCACCGAAGTTTTGTGGTCCTAGGTCTCTGGCTTCAGATAGCGCCAACCGTGCTCGATATGCCTCTTCTCCCGTGCTTAAAACAAGGTCTCTGTCTCGACTTGGCGACCGACCAGAGCTTCTCTCCCCCCTGTCCTCTGTAATTGATTGGCTAAGCTCTGGGATGGCAGCCTCGTTGTTTGCGACTATCGGTTCGTTTACCACATCCTGTTTGACACCGTTCTTATGTGTCGGGGAGATATCCCGCGGAAGATTGGGACCAAGAGAGCTCTCTTGCTCGTCGGCTGGCCGCACGCGCTTTGCCGAAGGGGTTGGTGTCGAAGATCTGCGCTTTCGCTTTTGTGCATCTTGGATGATCTCTGATGTGATTGCGCCAGGAGTCTCTTGGCGGCTAGGTGCATCAGCCTCTTCTTGTGCATTGCTCCCAGCTGCTGGCACATTGATGACCTCCTCAACACGTGGGGTCTCTTGCGACAGAATAGTTTTGGGTTCCGGGGGAGGCGTTGGCGCAGACGGTCCTTCTGCGACTTGGACACCTGCCGGGGCTTGGGAAGTGGATATAGTGTCGGTTCGAGCAGTAATCTCTTCAGCAACCGGGGTGGGCTCTGCAGAAGCAGAAGCAGATGGGTCAGCAATGGACTGCTCGTCCGATGTTGGGGTTTCAGTATCAGAAGCGTTCAGGCGGGCGATGAGCTCCTGCTTAAGGCCATTTTGAGGCAGTCCGCGGCGCTTCAACTCGGCCTTGAGGTCGACTACCTTTAGTTTTGTCCAGTCGGTTGCCATGGTGGTTGGCGGTGGCTGCTTCACCCCCTGTTGGGAGTGAAGCGATGGATGTGATGTGCAGGAAGGGCAGCGACGTGGGACGAGGGTGGGATAAAGGAATGTACCTGGGTATACGAATGAATTGCTGAAGAAGAAGGTGTTTGGGTTTAAAAGGTGCGAATAATGATGAATCAGCAGAGAGCAACGCAGAGATGTGCGCTTGAGTGAGGACAGCAAGCTGCCTTGTTTGCGTGTTTATGATGCAGCTGTTGCTGCGAGTGTAGGTAGTTATTCGATGGGTTGAGGTAAGGTATGTGTAAAGGCGAACAAATGATGTATTTGGTCAGGCGCGACGCGACCGGGGATAGCTGGGGCAAGCGCAACCCAACGCTAAGTTGCCTTTCCTTCCCTGGCGACTTCCCTGCAAGGGCGGACCCTTGACCTACGCACGGGCCACAAAGGTCCGTTTGCGTGCAGAGTCAGCCCAGCTAGTCACAAGAGAGTGAATTCCTACCGGCCCAATCTCTGACATTCCATTCACATGTGCAATTATGGACGAGAAGCAGAGCTGCGTGCTGCAGTTCCCAAAAAGGCTTACATCTAATTCATCATTGATAAGATTCCTACTCATAGTCGAGATGGTTATTTTGTGTATCAACTTCTTCATATCTTGGAGCGATCCAACGACCTTGTACAGTTATCCTCCTGGCATTTGGTCTGTATTAAATTGTGCCTGTTCCAAAATAATTGGCTATTCTTCTGATCTCTATGTATCCATGACTACTGGGGTAATATATACGCCAGAACGTCTAAATTTTTGCAGTGTGCATGGAAGAACTAGAGTTGTGTGAACAACTTTCTCATTTCTGGTGTCCTGCTGTGAGAATCTCTGGTGCTGTATTGACAGCGATGGTTCCGCCATATTTATCCTGGCACCGGCAGTACCCACTCACCAACGCCACCAATGCAGGTACTGTAACTCGGGTGGTGGTATTAGGGGACTGTCTCGGCTAGGCTGTTCGGCTGTTCTAATGTTGGTTCCAATGAATCTTGGGTAGGTACTCTATCGACCAGGAGGGCCACCTACACACCTGGTTTTCTTCAGAACACAATGCTTGCACTATCCAGATGTCATTCAAGACTCAACAGATACCCCTTCCAAAGTCTCAACCAAAGAATCAAAAGAAACAAAGGGCCAGCACTCGAGTGTCTCAGAGAAAGGCTGACCATCTGCTAGTTCTTTGGGGCGTAACAAACAAAGCACACAGGTGGTGGGTGGGGTAGAGCTAGCTGCCGTTGCTGCTATAGCTGGCTGTGCGGGGGGCCTGGAGCTGCCTAATACACCTGACCCTTGAACACCACACCGCCGTGCTGGTCCAATGAGCTTCCAGGGCCAGCTTTCCTGGTTTCTTTCAACTTTCCACGAACACCTCATCCACGCCGCTTCCGGGTCCTCGATGCTATCCGACCTGTCGCCTGCCCATTGTGCCCTTGTCTCTAGTCGAGTACTCATGGACAATACAAAGAGGCACCCATCAAAGGTCAAGGCCAGAGTCACCTTCTGACAGTTTCCGCCCACTTATCATCACTCCTGATGGCCACAGTCCGTTGCGCAGCATCAGCCCAGCCTCAGTTCACATACAGTCTGCTGTTCTCTACATAGAAGAGCTCAACCCCGTCACTTCCCACCCCTGGAAACCAACTTTCTTCCTCATCCAGCACTCACATCGCAGCCATGGTCTCATTCTCCCCTTACAAATTATCAGCCGGCCTGGCAAAGGCAACCGGCATCCACAGGGTTTTTGGCAGTCGGGTCTCCAAGCCCGCTCCCATCTCACCTCGGAGTAGTCCCAGCCGGAGGGCTGCAACCTGGCTGCCCACTCCCAGGTCCAACCCGTCTCCAACGGGAGCACTCATTTCCCCAGAGAGCAGCCGCAAAATCAAGGAAGAGGATATCGATGAGCTGTCCAACGACTATGAACCTTTGGACAACGACGTTTTTGAAGAAGACGAGGTCCTCCAGATTATCAGGGGCGATATGGAGGAGAGGGTCATCGGCCAACGTCGAGTTATCGGCCACGGAGCTGAAGCCTCGAACTTATCCCCTGCTGCTGGAGACGAGCTCTCTGGCGATGAACTGAATTACGACTTTGATAATGAATATGATGAAGACGATGACGACAGCATCACTGAGATGGCAAGCGTCGTGCTGGGAGGTGCAGTAGGCATTGACTACGAGGACCAGCTTCTGGACAGTATCGAGGAGGATGACGAAGATGAGACAGAGTCAGAGTTTGATTCTGATGAGGGTGACGATGTCGAAGAGCCCGACTATAGCTGGCCAGTGGATGAGAAGACAGATGAGGGCTACAAGGAGACATTGACGGATGTTCCTGGATACGACAATTGGCCCGTTCAGATGCAACGACTGCACAAGCTCATGTCACTCAAGGGCAAGCACCCCTTGATGCCTTTGAGCTGGGCACGAGACCTTGTTGATAATCCAGTCTGGCCGGATCTATTTGCACCTCAAGATTCCGACAAAGCCGTATTGTTGCACAACAATTCCAGCCAGTTTAGAGGTGAGACAATCTAGCCTATTACTTTCTACAACTATACTAATCTGCCCCCAGCTACGAAAGCGCTCAGAGCCCTGTTTGAGTTGCAAGGCCGTATTCGCGGCTATCGTGCGATCAGACGTCCCGATTTGACAGGCAGGACAATCGAGAGAGAGCTACGCAGGTACATGAAGTGGGCCTGGAAGGATGCTGGGCTGGACCGTCATGACCTTGAGATGAACATTCGCATCTTAAGATACAATGCCAACGCGGCTCCATCAAGCGTAGCTCAGGATGTGAACAGGCGACTCAAGAGCTGGGCGAAAGAATATCGCCGAAACAACAGGGAGAGAGGAATTCGGCACTACCCACGTGTACTATACGCGTTTGCTATCATCCAGCACACGGTGAGCATCTTGACTATCGATGCGAGGGAGCGAAGCCCGAACCCCATTGTCTTTGATGACTACGACTTTTCAGTTGTTCAGGGGTGGCTGGATTCTGGCCTCGGCGTAGCTATTCCGATCAACTACGCTAGGGAGGCTCTCGTGGCATATAGAGATCATTTCGGCGAGGTTCAGGGAGAAGCAAGTGATGATCCGGATGCTTAAGATGTGATTGTGCCGGTTTCCAGTTACAGGTCAAGAGTTTGCGCATTGTTTGTTGCTGGGAGGATTTGAAGGATTGTGCTGTAGCCACACATTTTGATGCTTGTACCGAGGCTTTTTCTTAGATACCCATGTTCACTTCGTCTTGAACGGTAATAACAACAATTTTAGAGGTCACTTTGACTTCGTGCCAAGCAGTGTGCGATCTCCGAGCATACGTCCGAGATCTTGTTCCCCAGACGGGCAACACTAATCCTCAGGCTCTCTCAAGCCTCAATATGCGAGGTCCGAAGAATTCACCGACTACCACGACAGATGGACAAAGCAGCCCAGGCAGAAAAAGACACGCGTCATGGTGACGGGCCAGCGAATTCAGCGATGCCGAGCTCCGAGATGCCTCTTCGCCAAGACTGTGGGGTAGAGCCTCAGCGTGGGCATGCTGGGCTGCATCTTCAGCAAGTAGCCTGTCCAATGCGGAGTTACGCATTATACTCCTCCGCCAGGGTAATAAACGTTGTTTCTTCAAGGGTGAAGATACCCCATGTCGAGGCTTATAGTACTCATCAAGATCTCGGAGATTCTGTTTATTACGATGGGTCTACCAACTTCTACAAGGGTAGTCATCCCTTGTTAAAGAGGTAATACTACCCTTGTGGAACTAACATTTATTACCCTGGCAGAGGTGTACGACCGACTTCAGGCACTTGATGCTACGTCGGTTGTAATCACGCACAAAACAACCGGCGAGTCGGGTCAGGCGCTTTGTTCAGCAGACATCTGGCTCGTAAAAAAGAGAGAGGAGTCTCTGGCTATGTTCAATGCATGAAAAGGGGGAACTCCTCTTGCCAGTCCGCCTACTGGCGTCCCACTCATACTGTACTAGAGAGATAAGAGATGGAGCATAGATAATCTCGGATCCTTTTTGATGGATTTGATAAGAATGCTTGGCGAGACCCCATCTGCCTTGGTCCGCAGCCACAATGCATCAGACCATCCAATTGGGCGATCATGCTAAGCGATTTTTCGATAGTCGGGACGGCCACCCGAGGGCAAGGCGGATTGGACTGTACTGTATGGCATTGAGTAGAGTACGAAGTGTTTCCAAGGTTCTCGCTCCCTTTTCGTCTGTATGGCTGAGCAGTCAGTTGGAGCATGGGCTGGAGAAGAGACGTGCAAGAGACAGGGCAGAACGCCTGGCATAATACGACTAGAAGGGCTTGGCGTGCAGTTCAGGTCCTACCCACGGCCAAATCCTTCTCGCAATGGCTGGCGAGGACGAAGCCCGCCTGGGAAATGCGCGCATGGGGTCAACTGGCGGTGTCTATCTGAGGTACCTCGTCAAAGTCGACGAGGGCCGCGAGTGTTTTGCGGCTTGCATCTCGGAAACGTCAGGCGCATTACGCGGGCGCTGTACTTCCAATCAAGACCAGCGAGGCCAGGTAGGCAGAAAATGAAAGACAGGAATGGACTCGACCCGCGGAAGTTCCGTGGCACATGCCTCCGTATCCCCATGACATGATCTTTGTCGTATCACGTCCATCGCGAACTAGCTTAGCTTACTGGTCTTCCCTATCTTGATGGACTGGCTGGGCTGGCTGGACTGGCTAGGTGGACTGCCATACGCCGGCTGGCTTGCATCCTAAAACACGCCGCCGGGGGGTGCAAGTGCGTTCCCTCCGACGACGGGCTTGCGTGATTTGATAAGTCAAATCAATATATTGTAATTGGAGCGGACAGGCGTCCGTGCAGCCGTATTACAGGTCCAAAAGGGGGAATGCGTCCTCGCGAATGTCTCTTTTTATTGTGCCCTGCAATGCGCTTGTCTTTGTCGAGTGCCGTAGGGAGGTAGGCAAGTACACTGTATACCCACCACCACCAAGTCATGCTTGGGGATGGATACCTGAGGCAAGACGGAGAATGATTCGGGCGAGAGAGAAGAGGAAGGGCCGGCGGTCGGATGAATAGAAGTGTCTGATGGGAGGCGGAGCAACACATTGCGAAGTTTAGAATGCGCAAGCACCATGTTAATACGTAATGATGTGCTCTCCTCTCTGAAGCCAACAATGGCAATCGTGGAGTCCGGCCCCACCGATTTGTGAGAAGAAAGAACAGCATCTTCCCCTTGCAAGGAATAGGAAGGAACACAGGAGAGAGAGAAAGAGAGAGATAGCTTAGTTCGGCCCACATCTGATTAGACTGGTCTGGCATCCATCGCTACTGTAGGTAGTCAAAATGTCGTCTTTTTCTTTAGGGTTACCTGAGGAGCTAAGGCTCCTAATAATGCCTAGGCACGAAGAGTGAATAAAGGAGGAACAAGACAGATCTGGCCTGCGCCGGGCTACTGTGGTAGCGGTCAGTAGCGCCGTCAGCGGTCTGGGAATCCTGGCCCATTTGGTGCGGTTTGGTGCCATTTCGTCACTTGCAGCCCGCCCGACGCCTGAATCGTGGTGTCTGGCTGACATTTCCCTCGCTCCTGATTGGCCAGCCGCCTTTTCGACCTCCTGACCCCGGCGTCGGCCAACGTCCGGTACATCGACTGCCACTGCCACTGCCACTGCCATGCCATGCCATGATGGGATGGGATGCTGATCATCTGCTCGGCCACAGAAAGAAAGAAGTGAGATCCCGTCTGTCAGTATCAGCCAAATAGATCTCCAGGCCCCAATTTCCGACAGATACAGTGTCATATTTGCCAGTGTTCCGGGTTCCAGGCCCTCACCGTCGCTGCTGTTGTGCAATTTGTGTCGTCCCTGAAGGTTGGTTGAGAGGTCTGGCCACAAGTACCCGTCCTGCCCTCTAGCACCTAGACAATCTGTACCCCAGAGTCAAGAGTCAGGCACTGCCTTTTTATTGCCTCCTTTCGGACACCAACTCCGTTCCAGAGCAGAAACGTCTAATATCTGGGCTTTGTTCCAACCCTCACCGTGCTCCACCATTCACTGCACATCCGTTGCTTGACGTTGGTGGTATTCTACGTGGGGGCCAAGCGACAATCCAACTTCTCTTCACCTCTGCGCCTCGTCTCACTTCCTTCCCGACCGCCTCTCTGGAATCCTCCTGGTCTGCGTCACCCATCTGGTAGTCGTGTCCGCGCACGTCAACCTGAACCTCACCCGTGGTCGGACGAATTAATTCTAGGCGGCGACTTTGTGCCACCTATTGCGTCCCCACGACCATCCGAACCCCAGATCGTATTTACGTCGTCTCGCTAGCCCGGTAGATTATCGAGATATAAGCCTGCGACGACCTGTATCTGCGGCAAGCTTTCGGTCGGGGCCACCTGACTGTCTCAAAAGTCGTGTTCGTGGTGTGCTTTTGGGTCCGATTTCCCGTCTTCTCACCGCATAGCCCTCGGCTCCGGTCCCATCTGGCGATTCACCCCACCTAACCTTGTAATCAACGAGATCTCGTGATATTGCGCTCCGATCAAGATCGCAATTGTCAGCCATCTCCAGTCTATCAACGGTCCCCCGGGACGAGCGTATTGCCACCGACGACGACCGGGAACGCTGCGCTACTTGAGGAACTTCCGCGGACTCTGCCAAGGACCTCTCTCAACCATCCTCGACGACAAACGATATTGATATCGGTCTGCCCAGTGGCCGGTTACTCCTCAGCACTGAAGATCCGTTCCGACGGCGACGTTGGACCTCGATAGCAACTTTCTGCCAACAGCCTCATGCACGTAAGCTGACAGCTGTTGACCTGCAACCCGCTCAAAGAGCCTTCGTCAACGCCGTGTTGAGATGGCTTTGAGTGACGTGGCCCATCCTGGATTTACGCCACTGAATCGACCAAACTCCGTATCAATGCGGACCGCTCTCCCTTCGCGGCCTATGTCCACCAAGGACGAGGCCAAAGGCGATCAACAACGGAGACAACGGTCTACTCCATCCCACGATGGCTCAGCAAGCCCGTCTCCTCCGCCCTTTAAGCAGGGGACATCTCGTGGACCTCGCTCGAACATACCATCCATCTCACCTCAACCCTTGAGTCCGGCCTCTCTGCCTAGCGAGGCTATCATGCAGGACATTCCCATTGAGTTGCAGGACAATCTTCCCGCGGGCGCTTCAAGCCAAAGCGGACAAATCTGCAGGTAAGTTGCTGATGATTGCAGATGTTGTACTTTGTCTAATATATGATTAGCAACTGTGGAACCACACGGACACCGCTTTGGCGAAGATCCCCCCAAGGCGCGACCATCTGCAATGCTTGCGGCTTGTATCTCAAGGCGAGGAATGCCTCACGGCCAACTAACCTGAAGCGCCCTCCTAATGTGGTCCCAAGCACCTCGAGGCGCACACCCGAAAGGCTCTCGCCGAAGGCTAACTCTGCCCAGCTGCTTCCAAATGCTCCTGGTGCAACCTATGTCGCAGCGGAACACGTCCCAACGGGGACATGCCCCGGCGGAGGCCGTTGCAATGGCACAGGGGGTGCTGAAGGCTGTAGTGGCTGTCCTGCCTACAACAACCGTGTTTCCAAAAGCGCCAGTCTTAACGTAGTACAAAATCAACAGTCTTGTTCACCGGCAGCGAAGAAGGAAAAGGATGTGGATGACGCGCCGACGCCCATCGACATTGGAGCCTTGCAAATCCAAGCGCAGCAGAACACTACGGTCGTCATTGCTTGCCAAAACTGTGGTACTACTATCACTCCGTTATGGCGAAGGGATGAGCAAGGTCACACAATCTGCAATGCATGTGGTAGGTTTGATGCAGAGTGATGATCAAGTGTCCACAAGTCTAACACCTGTCAGGTCTGTACTATAAGCTCCACGGTGTTCATCGACCCGTCACCATGAAAAAGTCAATCATCAAGAGGAGGAAACGAGTAATTCCAGCAGCAGGAGAAGGCATGGAAGGCAGTGTAGCGGGGGAGTCGATGGAGCCGAGCCCTCCTCCGTCGGATCATCCTAGCGAACGAGGCACTGTGAACGCTGATGGATCAGTCAATCTTGGCCTTCGTCGGCATCAGGAGCAGCCACTCACGCTTGTACCGGAGAGCGTACTCCGCCAAAACCGACAGTCTCCGCCTTTGCCTTCTGGAGACTTGACGCAGTATCACTCTTCGCATGGTCATCAGCACAAAGAGCCGCTACCCTCATTGAGCGACGAGAATCGCCTCGCCCCGTTGCAGTCGATCTCTATCCCTACTGAACGTCAGACCTCACTATCACCGGCTTCATTCCTGTCTCCTTCTAGGAAACGATCGTTTTCTGAGGCTGACTATGGAGGAGCGAGCGATCAGGAGAGCAACAAGCGGCTGTCGTCTATCAAGTCTATTCTTAACCCGGCCACTGGCCCTACGAACCCATCTGGGACGGCGACTAATGCAGAGGAGTATCTTGAGCAACAGCGACGTTTGCTTCGCTCCCCCGGCAGCGTGATGGGCTCTGTGCCGAGCCCGGGGTCGTACTCAAACAGCGGGCGCCTGGGAACCCCGAGCCCGCTGCCAAATCCGCAACGCAATGCGCGAGAGACTCCGGATGAGAGCGATGTGTCGAAACTGGAGAGGAGAGCAGCGCTGCAGAGGGAGGCGGAACGGATGAGGGAGATGCTGGCTGCGAAGGAGCGGGAGCTCGCGGAGCTCGGCAATGAATGAAACGGTTTTCTTTTTTCGCACCTCTCTTGTCTCTCTCAGCATGGCGGGGATGTTCTGTTATGACACGGTCCATGTGGAAAAAAGGCGTCGAAATCCTAGGTTTAGGAACGAAATGGAGTATCTCTAGGTTACATGGGATAGAGCCTACTCTAGTTCAGCATCAAAAAGATTGCTTGAGGGCAATCATTCGTTATAAAATATATCCCGCGAGGGCAATACTGAAGTGTCTTGTACTGCAAGGGCAACGGTGCGTGATATCTGAGTTCACAAGGTGAAGTGTTTGCTGCCGCGTTATTATGCCAATGTTACATTCTCCGAGGAGCGACGAATAAGCCTCGCGCCGCCCGTCTAATGGACATGGAAATTATACATGGGAATCAGCCCTTTCTTTCCTGGCCCCCCGGAAACCTGCCACGCCTGTGTATTTCGCACATATACAATGAAACCCAGTACCGCAGATTTCTCCATCTATCTCCGAACAACATTCCTCTCCTCTCCAGCTAAACACCATCTACGCGCTTCACTTCTACTCCATTAAGAGGTAGATTGCACTTCATCAACCACTGATCTCGGCTCAAGGCTTCTCAGGTGAGTGCCACCGTCGTCCAAGGGCAACTACGGAACCGCAAGCAGAACGCTTGCCCTCCTAAGGCGCCCAAGGTTCTCACCAGGACGGTGGGGGGTCTAATAGATTCACACCTGCTCCGCGCCCCAGCCGGCGTCGGCCTCGCGCATGTTGGCGGGAGGCTCGATGGAGGGGATGAACTCGAGGACGACATAGACGACGCCGACCAGGCCGACGATCGAGCCGGCGATGATGCGCAGGACGCCATCGTGGAGGAGGATGGAGCCGACGAAGATGTAGACTGTTGGCCGGGTTGTTAGCAACCGATTCTTACGAGGAAAGAGAACCCTGGGATGGGGCACGTACAGATACCACGGCCGATGAAGGAGAACAGGAAGGAGGCGTAGCGGGAGACCTGAGGGGGGATCTGGAACTCGAGAAGACCAGTGGCTGGCGACGGACGAGAGGTTAGCAAGATGGCGCGCGAAGGATCTGAAGAGCTTGTTGGGTTGACGAACCAAGACCGAAGATAATGACGTAGCAGCCGATGATGATGGGTTGGCTGCACAACGAACGCGTTAGCAATGCATCGCAGTGTGGACAACTACTGAGATGGAAAGAGAAGCCGTCGTCCAGAGACTGCGACCAAAACGATGGGCGAGTCTCTCCAACGGTCGAGAGGCTGGATCTAGCTCAAGCTGGGGCAGGCGTAGAGAAGGCCAATTCAATAGGGGGTCGTCGGAGACGTACAAGCCGATAGGGAAGAATTGAGAGATTCCTCCCAAGACCATAATCACGGCAACCACCAGGTTGACGATCCGGCTGCGAGGTGGCGACACATGTTAGCGAAGCTCAATTGCGGATTGGTGATGTGGCAGGGCAGCTTGGAAGAGCAAGCTTGGTTTCTGGCCAACATCCCGGGAAGACCAGGTCAGCTACTCACAAAGAGTCGGAGAAATCCATCTTGATGGTGTGCGAGGTGCTGGAGAAGCTGAAAAGAGTTGCGAGATTGTCTCCGGGGAGATTGGCAGATGGTGGCTTCTTATTAAGGTTGATTGCGTGGATGCTCTAGGCAGAGAGATTCGGTGAGGTTTGATGAATTGGTGGTGGTTGCGATTTACGTGGTCGCAGCTTTAGGTAAGGCAAGCAAGGTAAGGTTAGGTCGTTTACCTGGGTAGTTTGCGAAACTTTTGCGCTGAGGTGGTGCTGACGACTGACGCAGTGCTGAAGCTCCGACAGACCACCCTGACGGTGTCTCCTCCTGCCCTGGAACACCCCAGGAGCAGCTTGGCGTCTCGTTGACCCAGCCACAGCCACACCTGGCCCGGGTACCCGTTTGCAGGCAAACCAGCCTTGGATCAGTCCGACCGATAAGCCTGCTCACCGCTTCTTATCAAGCCCGATCAGGCTTGGTGAGGGGCAGAAATTTTAGAATGCGGGCAGCAAAGCTGCACAGGTTGCAAGACACTTAGAAGCACTTATACTTATACTCCCCAATAATTCAACTTATCTCGGATCATCCTACGCGTTTCAAGACACACGACAGGGCCTTTTGTCTTATTGACAAGTCTCAAATATTGCCTCACAAGGCCCAACTTCGCAATGGCCAAGAAACGAGCAAGAGAGGCCGATGGCCAGTCTGCGCCTCAGGACGCCTCAGTTGACAAAATGGACGAGGATAGTTCTGACGACGATGTGAGTTCACGATGCGGCGAACTGCATTCTTCTTACTGACAGCAACAAGGACTTTGATGTTGTCAACGTGGAGTTTGAGTGGTTCAATTTCGACCCCGAAATTGATTTTCACGGTATCAAGACTCTCTTGAGGCAGCTCTTCGATGTCGATGCCCCGCTATTCGATGTATCAGGCCTGGCCGACCTGATCCTCGAGCAACACACCATTGGCTCTACCGTCAAGGTCGACGGGAAGGGAAATGATGCATACGCCTTCCTGACCTGCTTAAACCTCTTCGAGCATCGGGAAAAGGAGCCTGTCGCACATCTCATTCAGTACCTCTCAGAGAAGGCAAAAACGACAAACTCCCTGTCAGTGATTCCTGAGCTGTTGGCTTCCGGAAAGCATGTCGGCCTCATTCTAGCTGAACGTCTGATCAACATGCCTCCTGAGATCTCGCCACCGATGTACTCAATGCTCATTGACGAGATAGAGGCTGCGGTAGAGGATAAGGAGCCCTACGAATTCTCACATTACCTCATTCTCTCAAAAACATACAACGAAGTTCAGTCAAACCTCGACGTCGAGGAGAGGAAGCGAAAGAAGGCCAAGGATGAAGCACCTCTTTTCTATTTCCATCCTGAGGATGAGGTACTCCAAAAGCACGCTACTGCCTCGGGGAGCTTCCCCTTCACTAAGGATGACGAGTCGATAGCGGACAGCAAGAGGGCTTTCCAGGAGATGGGGGTCAAGTCACAGGGATCCATGATATTGATTGAGGCAGGCAAGTTTGAGGGCGCTGTGAAGGCCATTACAGATTATCTAAGTCCACCGTCTTGAGATGGTACTCGAGCACCTTTTGATATACCCTCAAGAACTCATGATAGCTCTAATTGTCAGCCTCGAGTCTTTGCATCAGGTACTCCACCTCAACATCTTTAGTTAGAGGAATGACGAAGTTTTCGTACATAGACACAACCGCATCCACGTTAATTTTGCTTTGGTCTCCTGAATCCACACCGGCAGAGGGATCCGTTCCGTATGTTTGTGCCTTGAGCTTCAATCGCTCCAGTACCTTCTTCTCAACTGCCTTGTTCACGATCGCCTCTCCAATAGCTTCGCGGTCCTCCGCTTTGATGAGCCGTGTGTAGAGCTCCGGATCAGACTGGAATTTTGACTCCGCCACGAACTTTCCGAAGTGAATCCTCCTTGACAGAGCCTGCAAACATGCTATGTCGCAGGTCGCAGCTGAGCCGTAGTTCTCCTGTGAGACACCGCGATCTTCACGGCCAAAGGTCGGGCAGACTGCGGGCAGGAACTGCTCGATGTAGAACTTCTTGATTTTGTCGTTTACATTGACATCGTTCTTGTGTAGGATCTTTGGGTAAGCCAAAGGCTGTAGGATTGATTTGTTGAGAGAGTCTGGGAAGAAGGGGTATTCATCTGGAGACTCGAAGCGCCGGATGAGAGATTGTAGCTTCTCTTGTTCCTGCAGATACCAGTCCATCAAGCTTAGATCGCTATTCGGAATGGGCACTGCGCCGGGGATGTAAATGTTATGGTTCAGAGGGAACTGGACCCGTTCTATCAGATGAAACGTGATAGTGTCCTCCAACCGGCTGTGTCTGTGTCAGCTCGCAGTTCTGTCGTGCACATCATCCCCTATGCAGACTCACATCAATTGGAAGCGGATGCGCGAAAGGTCAAGCGCCTTGGAGGGGTCGGACAAGTCAATTACAGAATCCATCTCGGCGTCAATTGAGCGATTTGCGGCTGAAACTTCCGATACAAGATCTTTCAGAAGGGGCATTACCACTGAGGCTTCTTGCACCTCAGATTTCGTGAGAAAGAGGATTCGTTGGGCGGGGGGAGGTCAGAAATTCGGGCATTCGCTGCGCCGCCGACTTTCGCATCGGAGGGCAATTGGAGTCGGGACTCGGGCGAGGCTAGTCAACGGCCCAGGAGGGACAAGCTCTGACGTACTGTGCCTGGCAACCTTTCCCAGGTGAAGCTGGAGCTCAAAGTTGTGTCCAATAGAGGAAGCTCGGTTATGCTCTACCCCTGCTGTGCCATTGGATCCCCTGTAGCCTTGCACTGGGTCGCGTGGCTTGTGCTCTATTTGCCGCCACATCTATTCTTGCCATCCCCGTAACTTAGCCCGCAACGAAACAAGAACCAAGCTTCCAAGACAGTACTGGCACGAGCTGAAGTATCGTCCACAACAGCCCTTTCTTCTATCTGAACGGGCCTGCGAGAAAGCACCCAGGGCCATATGCGACTCTGCTCATGGCCAGCTCAGACGATCACAATGCCTTCCATGATGACCTCGGGCCAGATGACGACTCGTCGCTCATCTCGGTATGCCCTCTTCGCCCGTCGGGACCGTCGTCGCCGACGTGTTTTCTAGTTCCTCTAAGCTAACACTCTCTTCAAGACCCGAGGGCTCGAGGCGTTCGGCCGGAAAGTCACCACGACTGCAAGCCATCTGATGGGCCCGCTCGGCGACCATTCCTCTCACGGAGGCCACTATCAAAATGCCATGACCGAGGTACACAAGCAACTGCGAAAGCCGGGGATACAACGTAGCATGTTTTCCGTGGCGCGTACGACGCCCACCGATCTTGTGCGGTCGAAGCTGTCCACAAGCGAGATTCAGCATCGTGCCCTCTCTTACCTTCCCGACGAGATGCTCCAGAACATCCCCGAGGATGACAACTCATATTCACTGTTCCAAGGCTTCCAGGCATCATTTCCTGACATGACAGAGGAGGGAAGGAAACACAGGAGACGAGTCTCGAGGGGGCGCAAAATGCTGGAGGACACCCATGTGATGCCGGAAAGCCCGCATGCAGTGCAGAAACTAAGGAAGGAAAAGTCCTCCATGATGCACGAGTTTGAGATGCTGGGGATACGCAAGAATATGGCCAGCAGCGAAATCCGTGAAATTGACATCAAAATCGCCAACTTGGCGGGCATGCGAAAAATCATTCTGGAGCGACTAGCGGGACTCGAGCAAGAGGAGGCATTATTGGAGCATGACAGTGAGCATCCCAATGGACCGCCGATGTACACCTTTGTGATTCTACTGACACACTGCTAGTAATGGATGTCGAGGGAAGATTAGAAGAAGCTCAAGAGTTAGTGGCTGAAGCAGAGTCGATAGCCGCTCACACCCCAACGAAGACCGATGAGGATGCCGATTTGGTGCATGACGATGAAGCAGGCTTCATGTCTCAGTCTATTTACGAAAAACTCCCCTCAGCTTCGAGTACACCATCACGGACTAAGAAGCCTAGGACCATCCGGCGCAAGTCGATGCCAATTCTACACGAGCACTTTGACCCTGGCACCATGATCAGGGAGATTCGGGCGCATCCGGACTCCATTCTTGCATTGGACTTTGATGTGCCGTTCGGGTCGATGGTAACTTCAGCAATGGATGACTCTGTCCGGGTATGGGATCTCAATGCAGGACGCTGTATAGGTGTACTTGAGGGGCACACTGCCTCAGTTCGCACCTTGCAGGTCGAAGACAACATTCTAGCAACAGGATCGGTCGACGCTACTATTCGTCTATGGGACTTAAGTAAGGCTCGCTACGACCCTCATGGCAGCCACTTTGGAAAAGACGATGAGGATGACGACATTGCTTTTGAGAATCCAGACGACGAACCAGTTGATCCTCCAGAGGGCACTATGGACGACACACCTCTTTTCGTGCTACAAGCCCACGTTGACGAGATTACTGCGCTACATTTCAGAGGCGACACTTTGGTATCGGGCTCAGCAGACAAGACTATTCGCCAATGGGATTTAGAAAAGGGGCGTTGCGTTCAGACGCTTGACGTGATGTGGGCAGCGGCGCAGGCATCAGCCAGTTTAGGATCAGGAGATGGCGGATGGAGGCAAACAAGCCGAGCTCCTACGCAAACCGCCGATTTTGTTGGAGCGCTACAGGTATTTGATGCTGCTCTGGCGTGTGGTACGGCAGATGGCATGGTCAGACTTTGGGATCTTCGAAGTGGACAGGTTCACCGGAGCCTTGTAGGACATACCGGTCCTGTGACGTGTCTACAGTTTGACGATGTGCATCTGGTTACGGGCAGTTTGGATAGAAGCATTCGGGTAAGGCATAACCGTTCCACCCGAACCCTTCCTCAACCGGAGAAAATATGCTAACGCCGGCCCCTTAGATATGGGATCTCCGCACGGGATCAATATTCGATGCCTATGCGTATGACAATCCGATTACAAGCATGATGTTTGACAATCGCCGGATTGTCTCCGCAGCAGGGGAGGACGTTGTCAAGGTATACGACAAGCTTGAAGCACGACAGTGGGATTGCGGCGCGGGCATAGAAGCCGCGGAGGAGGGTAGAGCACCAGCCATTGTAGAACATGTACGGATAAAAGACGGGTACATGACCGAGGGTCGCCGTGATGGCATCGTCGGCGTATGGACCTGTTAGAGTGTACCTTATAGCATAACATATGTATCAATCACATACAACAGACAAGGCTGTAGTAGATGGAACCGAGACGGGGTCCTGCTTCATTGAATACGTCCCGGCGGTCTTTGTAGTCGGGCCTACATGGCTGGAAGACGCCAGCAAGCTCTCGGAGACTTGTGGCAGGATTATCTGGAAGGGCTCGCCAGGTCGGGGCTGCGGGCCAAATAAGATCGGGGAGGAGGATCATTTAACGTCCCGAGCTACTACACTGTGGGAGACCCGGCAATCCTCGCGGATCCACTTATTATGCAACTGGCTTATGCCCTCGACCTATGGGGCTGGGAGCCTTGGAGGTATCTCTTTACTGGAGATACGTCAACCCTTTGGTTTCCAGCTGTTCACCAGTTCCGTGTCCCGCCATCGAGGACAGATGGGAAGGGGCACTGACCAGGCGGGAAGGAGTTTGACGGGGATTAGCTTAAGTGCGGCCGTGGACCCGCCTTGGACCAGTGGATCACGCTCCTGCATATCTGCGCGAATGGCTTCACCATGCGGCAAATCGAAGCTAGCTAGCGGCTTGGGGGAGCTTTACTCCGATATTTGTCGGCTTTAGTCGAAAGGGTAGCCAGGGGAATTGACGCAGGTGGCATGTTCAATGGTCAGTGGGCAGCTCTGAAGCTTGCCTCGTGTGGGGTAGATACCTACCTATCCGGGTGGCTCTACCTAGCTAGCTACCTTCTGGAATCATGAAATCATAGGAGTGCCGATGATGAAGCACCCTCAGCAGTGGGACATCTGGTTGTCCTGTACCTAAGGTGTAGGTAAGGACCGAGACCGAGCTACTCCATGCTTGTTCCCCGCCAAGGCATGAGCTGTACCGAATAGCTCAAGTGTGGTGTAGGGGTACCATCTTCCGGGAAAGAGCCACACATTAATAATAATAGACGACGTACCTCCCAAGTCTTGTCTCAAGTCATGCCTACCTTCTTCACTCTCAAGGCACTGGATCTGCGGAAAGTATAAAGATACGAGTCCGCCGCATCGCAAGTGGCTGCTACCCGACTCCCTTCAGTCTCAACTTCCAGACCACAACAATCACCCTCCCTATCTTGCCGTCTAACTTCTCACCATATCGATTATATTATTCACCATCCAACAGTGCCGCACGTATAGACGACACCGACCGGAAAATACTATTCAACATGTCTGCCCTACCCATGGCACCTCCCCCCAAGAGCCCTCTGGGCCGTTATCGACTCTTGTCGCCAACGGCTTCGGTGAGGGTCTCTCCTCTGTGCCTCGGTGCCATGAATTTCGGAAACGCATGGTAGGCATCTCATACCCCCCTAATAAATACCGCCCGTTGACTCAGTTATTTCGCAGGAAGCAGTACATGGGTGCTTGTGATCAAAAGACTACTGAGAGCATTTTGGACTTTTTCTATGACCAAGGCGGTATGTGCCCCTTCACAAAGGGTATGCTGGCTTAACAAAAGACTGAACCTAAGTTGTTAGGAAATTTCATTGACACCGCCAACAATTACCAATTTGAGGAGTCCGAGACGTGAGTTGAACACTTGATATCGTTCACCCGTTTTATCGTACTATTGTTGACAACTTCGTAGCTGGATCGGCGAGTGGATGAAGAAGCGCGGCAACAGAGATGAAATAGGTCAGTGGTCAGAGGTCCTCGCATCAGAACAATAACCGTGTCTAATGCTGCACAGTCCTCGCTACGAAATACACGACGAATTTCCGCTCCGGCAAGGGTGACAAGCAGATCATGGCGAACTTCACGGGGAATGGCAGCAAGAGTCTTCACACTTCAGTCAATGCCAGTCTCAAGAAACTGCAGACCGATTACATTGACCTTGTATGTTGCATGAGACGTCGGTACCGTGTCTATTTCTAACAGTTGTATAGCTCTATGTTCACTGGTGGGACTTCTCTGTCTCCATCCCGGAGTTGATGCAGTCCTTGAATCATCTGGTCGAATCCGGCAAGGTACTCTACCTAGGTATCAGCGACAGCCCTGCCTGGGTCGTGAGCAAGGCGAATCAGTATGCCAGAGATCATGGCCTCCGCCAATTCTGCGTCTACCAGGGTCAGTGGTCTGCAGCACTTCGAGACTTCGAGCGTGAGATCATTCCCATGGTCAGGGACGAAGGCATGGCTCTTGCTCCGTGGGGTTCACTTGGTGGTGGTAACTTCAAGACCGAGGAGCAGCGAAAGGCGCAGGAAGGCCGTGCAGTCCAGCCCAACGAGAAGCAAGTGAAGACCAGTCTGGCCCTTGAGAGTGTTGCCAAGAGAAAGAACACCATCATCACCAGCGTTGCCCTGGCTTATGTCATGCACAAGGCTCCTTACGTCTTCCCCATCATCGGTGGCCGGACTACAGATCACTTGAAGGGGAACATCGAGGCCTTGACTCTGGAACTGACTAAGGAAGATATCGACGAGATCGAGAGCGCCGTTCCCTTTGACATTGGGTTTCCCAACACGTTCTTCTACCGAGGAGAGAAACCAGACCACTACCAGCAGGTGTGGCTACTTGGCATGGGTGGAACCTTTGACTATGTTCCAGGTGACAAGGTAAGATGAATAATGATAAGAGGTCTCGGGAAACACAATGCTAATATGCCCACAGCCTATTGCACCCCACCAGAGCGGAAAATAGGTAGTCTCCTTTCAGGGTAAATGGGGCTGGAGATGGGCAAATGTCCTGAATCGGGGCAGTTTCCGTCGTGTGCACTAGTGATAAGTTGCTAGATAGGAATCAATTAGCTCGGTCTTCAAAGTGACAACCATAACAAATTTGCTTGAGAAGAATAAAACTGTCGACTTACACCGTTTTTTGTGTTCACGTAAGGTTTAACTGTTTGAGGTTACATGCAGCTTACACGGCAGATCAACCCGAAGGATTGGCACGTCAGCACTTTATTCTTGCGTGTGGATCGTACCCACCACCTACCTGTCTGTGTAAGCTGCATCGGTAGATTGCACCCACTTCAACGACGCATGTTAATTATTATCGTAGCAATAGAAATCGGTGTGAGAAATTAGGACCCTCGAATGAAAATAGATTAGCGTCTAGAGACAAGTGATGTAGAAACACTAGCTTGATAGTTGCTCAAGTTGAAATACCCTTATACAATGTTAACAGGCCGCAGCGCTTGTCTCTTCATCTAACTGCAAGCAAAAATACACGACTTGCGACCTAGACATAATATACTGCCTGATGAAGAGTAGCTTGGTAGCTCAAATTAGAGTGAATGACAAGTCGTAAACGCATCTCTCTGACATATCAAGCTTGGAAATCGCCAAACTGTATGCGACGAATGACAACAGGAATGAATCAATTGACGAAACGTACCTCCTCAGCCGAGTACCTACCGTAGGTGATATCTAGGTAGGTTCAAGACCTGGGCAAGTTCGGGTGTCATATGTAGCAGTAGTTCTTGGGGGTTAGCATGGCCCTGCCCTGCTCTTTCCCTTGAGACGACTTGCAAGAACACGGGAAGGAAGGAGCAGTGCAGCGCCGTTTCACTTTCGTGCTGCACACGTTCTGACCTTTTCTCCTGTGCATGTGCGTAATGACTTTGACTGCAATCAGTTCTTTTCAGCAAGATCAGTGTGCATTGCCGCAGGTGAAGTGTCCTAAGTCTTCCCAAATTGGACCTCTCACCTTGTCGAATCTGAAGGTCCCCAATGTCCTAATCATTCGCCATGCCACCCGTCGACGCTCCGCCTCAGGATATTACACAGACCGGGTCTGAAGCATACCAAACTCCCCTACGAACATACTCTCGTCGACGCGGCCAACTCGTCAAGCCCCTATCTTCTCAAAGGGTCACAGACAAGCGTGTTTTCAGACGTATCAAATCATTCCATGATGTAGCAGACGTGCGTGATGAAGCAGCACTTCCGAGGCCAGCAACAGTGAGCCCTCAGCGCACAAAATCTTGGATGGTCTTGGTTCAGTCTGGCAGACGAGATAGTGATCCCGAATGTGAGAAGGAGCTAACTCTACCTTCCCCGTCTTTGCCAAACAACCAAGGAGAAACTCCTGCAGACGAAGAAGATAATGTGGCTGCTGCTTCTCAACAGTGCGAGAGCACGTCCACAGACGAGGATGGTGAGTGGTCACTTAATGAGACAATATACCATGCTGACGGATTTCAAGAGGCATCCGACGACTTCTCAGATACCGAAGGAGATCTGACAGCACTTCTTGACTCTGCAACACGATACCGCCAACTCAACACACCAACCTCCGCACGCGCAAGGGGTAAACCCATGGTCAGCGGCCGATTTCTTGTTTTTGACAAAACCCCACCGATTGGTTACAAAGTGCTCAAGAAGCCAGTGATAGCAGTCGCACAAGTACCGAAGAAACCGTCCTCAAGGGTCGGAGACGGATTCTCATCCGACGAAGCCCAACCAAGTGGTGTTGCCTGGTCTGGAAAGAAGAGAAAGCGTGTGGGCATGATGGATAGTATGGATGCTTTGGAGTTAACCACATCGACTCAGAAGGAGCTCGAGGCCATTCGCCGAATTAAGCCACCCAAGACGAGGTCATTGTTCAAGTCCCCCTTCGATACACCAGGCGCACCGCAAGTCAACAGCCACACGGGAGCGTTAATGAATGTACACTCGGGAGAAGGTGATATTGAATCCACATCGTACAGAGCACCTCTTAGCCACATTTTTGAGGATGTCGAGCCTGGGCGCAACGGACAGACATTGCAAGCACAACCGAATATCAAAGCCAAAGAAAGCTTGCAAGTCGAAGGACCGGTTTCTGTGGGCGCCTCTGGGGACCGTTCCGTCGCAAAGAATGTACATTTTGAGGAGTCGTCTACATCGGTCCAAGATCGAGACAGTCTTGATGGTGAAGAGGAGCAGGGTATTATTCATACAACTGTTATACCGCAAAGTAGCTGGGTTTCCGAGTCTCAAGATCTCAACATATGAACAGGAGTTAATTATGGGGAATATGCACAACTCGCTAAACTCAGTTGCCACCACAAGTTGTTTGATTCGCCATTATCACATCTTTTCGGGATAGCTTCGCTTATATTTTCATTAGCCATAGTCCTCGGAGGTCCGAGATGAGGGCGTACTTGATATACAGTTGTAATTCCGGTTCACGACTAAATATGCCTTGACCAAATAGTGTCCTTTTCTGCTCCCAAGCCGAGAACGCCTTTCAAGCGCCGTACTGCAAACTAGTAGTCACTGCTCGCAGCCTTTTACTTAGAGCCCTTGCCCTTTGCCTCTGTCTCACCAAGCTCTCTAATGAAAACCTTGGTTTGGCCCTCGCCGGTATAGTCCTCCTGACCAGTCTCGAAACCTGGACAGACGCCAATCGCTAGATATTTGCCATTCTTCGAGAAAGCCAAGGATGCAACGCTATTGGAGAACTTTTGGTACTGCTTCATTCTCCGCTTCGCCTCCGCGTCCCACAACGCAACGGTTCCGTCACCGCCCCCTGACGCAAAGGTGCCGTATTTTGGGTGGAACGCCAGTGCGTTGACGGGATAAACAATATCGCCGCCGCCCTCCTCCTCCGGCGCTGCCTGTCGATGGCACTTGAATGCGTACTTGCGCGCCTGCGACTCGGCGCTGTCCTCGAACCACTCCACCGCCACGCGGCCCTCGATGCTGCTCGTCGCATAGCCCGCGTCGTTGGGCATGCATGAGACGGCGCGCGTGAGGAACTTCAGGGACGACTCGCGCTGCTGCCAAGGCTTGATGTCGGCGGCGCCGCTTCCGTTTGCCGACGAGCCGAAATGGCTTGCGACTGTGGGGAGGTCGAAGATGTGGACGAGTCGTGCGGTCATGGCGACGACGACTTTGGAGGGACTTGCTGCCATGGCGTGCGGCTTGCCTGGGAGAGTGACGATGAGAGGGGCGACGGTCGGGTCGGCGGTGTTGTGGAAATGGAGAGTCTGGTCCCAGGATGCGGAGATGAGGATAGCTATATCTATTAGTCTGCGTACAATATCATACGTCGTGGGTGCTTACAATGTTCAGGGCTGTACACGACAGACCGCACGGCTCTCTCGTGTTTGCTGAGTTGTGTCTGTTCACCCGTCTCGAGATCGAGTCTGCGTTGTCCATCAGTACGGTGATATTCAACCAATTGCTCGTTAAGCCATCTCCTACCTCTGCACCTGGAAGTCCAGTCCGGCCGAGAAGGCCTCATTTTCACTTGCGCCAAAGCAGACATCTAATACGGGCGCGCGGTGCTCAAACGTTCGTACTAGAGTCGCCTGGGGTTCCTCTCCGTCTTGTACCTCATAAAGATACACATTTCTGTCCCACGAGGAAACGAGAAGCCTTGATGACTGGCCTGGGCCGAAGACAACTCTGGAAATTGCATCGTTGGGTGGCTGCGCCACTTCGAATTGAGAGGCTATCCAGTCCGTTAGTCTCTGTAAGCTTTAATAAGGGGATGCAATGAGTGTCATACCTGGCGCCATCCTGTGCTTTGCTGTGGTGAATGTTTGCGACGGCTTCACTCCTGCAGGTATATGGACAGGCGGTCGTCTTTCGATGGATGGTCCCCACGTTGAGATAAACAAATAACAGGGCCCTGATAACTTAGCGCGGTGTAGCTCCTTTTCTGCCACTAGTTCCCGCCTAATTGTCCAGAAAGTATGGCGGGGCAGATTCCCTGGAGCTCCGGGGCGAACTTGAGAAGATCAAAGAATTACGGCTTGCAGCTGACCACCTCATACACCGTCGACCTGGTATTAAATTCACTCAGACAGTCTTGGCGAAATACATACAGATATACTGGGCTACAATCAGAAAATGCCATTTGCGCAGCTTGTGCTGGGGAGCCCCGGCGCCGGGAAGAGCACGTATTGCGATGGCAGTAAGCAGCAACTTGTTATCCATTTTACAACTCCGGATATGCTAATATCAGGGCCGCATTCAGTGCATCAGTTTCTCGGCGCTATTGGGAGGCAGTGCTCCGTAGTGAACCTCGATCCCGCGAATGACCATACAAATTATCCCTGCGCCGTAGACATTCGCGACCTAGTTACGCTCGAGGAGATCATGGGAGATGACAACCTGGGACCCAATGGCGGGGTTCTCTTTGCATTAGAAGAGCTGGAGCACAACTTTGAGTGGCTAGAGAAGGGGCTGAAAGAGCTGGGGGAAGACTATGTCCTGTTCGACTGTCCTGGCCAGGTCGAGCTCTATACACACCACAACTCACTCCGGAACATCTTCTTCAAGCTCCAGAAGATCGGGTATAGAGTCAGTCCCTTCTTTGTCCATGGCTAACCATCTTGTGTGTACTGATGCTCGCCACAGCTTGTAGTACTGCACCTATCCGACAGCTTCTGCCTGACCCAGCCCTCCCTCTACGTCTCAAACCTGCTGCTTGCACTCCGAGCGATGCTGCAGATGGACCTCCCACATATTAACGTCCTAACCAAGATCGACAAAGTATCCTCATACGATCCGTTACCGTTCAACCTCGACTTCTATACAGAAGTACAAGACCTCTCGTATCTCCTTCCCTCGTTAGAGGAGGAGTCGCCGGCGCTGCGCAGTCAAAAGTTTAGTCGCCTAAACCAGGCTGTGATGGACTTGGTCGAAAACTTCTCGCTTGTGCATTTTGAGGTGTTAGCGGTCGAGAATAAGAAGAGCATGATGCACCTTTTGAGAGTGATAGATCGGGCCGGCGGTTATGTCTTTGGCAGCGCCGAAGGAGCCAACGATACCGTATGGCAGGTAGCGATGCGCAACGAGTCTTCAATGCTGGAGGTACAGGATATCCAGGAGCGGTGGGTGGATAGCAAAGACGCCTATGATGAGGTAGAGAGGAAAGAGTGGGAGGAGCAAGCCAAGATCAGGGAAGCAGAAGGCGGCGATGCGGTGGACGATCCTACAGAGGATGATGACTTTGGCAGTATGGCAGTGCCGTCGTCAGATAGCGGGATAAAGGTAGTCAGAAAGAAGAAGTGAGATCTTCAATCATTCTCCATGTCCTCGTTGCCCTCAGAATCAGAGTCATGCACATCCACCATGGTGACTTCCCTCATTTGGTCCCTGGGCTTGCCGAAGAGTGCCCCGAGAGCATTGGAGTCTTTGCCTGCCATGTGCTCTTTTGCGATTAAAATCATCTGCCTGGCGCGCCGGATGGCCTCCTCTTCGACCTTGCGAATGGTGCCGCTAACACGGACGACTCTGAACGTGCAAGGCTTCCCGTTCTTGATAGGGACGCGGTTCATAAACGTGAGCGCAGCCCAGACCAAGCGGTAGTGTGCTCTGGAGCATCGCAAGATGACTGTCGATGTGGCATGCGACAGATATTTAACTGTTAAGTTTGTTAGTAATCTCAGTTATGTCGATATTTCTTTTAATCAGAGGAACAAACCCATCAAACTGCGCTCGACAGCTCCGGCTCCATAATCTCCGAACAAGGTAGCTACCTCTGCGCGTATAGCTTTCGCCAGCCCTGAGTGAGAGAGGCTGTCTGTTGTTGGCTGATTGTACACGACAAAATCGGGTATTCTTCCATTTGCCTGGGTATGAGCTCCCTCAGGATAGAGGATGTCCACTAGCAGATAGCGCTCCTTGACTCGAACCATGATGGAGGCTTATAGTCGATGCCTGATGAAGCAATTACTAGGGTTGGTGCATTGTCATGAACGTACTCGTTCAAGTCAGACCGAGATAGCATCGATGAAATGAAGAGCACTGAAGGAGGTACAGATGCTAGTCGAAAGCAGACCTTTCTGCAAATTTAGCGCGCGAGCTGGGGTAGCTCCCCACTGACCCCCAAAGTCCCAAGCTCTAGCGACCTGGAGCGGGACACCTTCTGGAACATCACCAATACAGCACCTCTGACGTGACCAATACTAACTAGGTAGAAGCGTCTCGGCCATTATCAATTGCGGTGGTCTTTTGAATTAAGCCTCGAGATCTTTCGCCCAAAGCTCTAGACAGGGTTCGTATTGCACCTAATCGGGTTTGCGGTTATACTCTTCCTAGTAGCATTGTACTCTGCGTCATATCAAGAGCTTGTGTGTTATCTGGGAGTGATAGAGATGGCCAGGCCGACTTTGAGAGCTGCCATCCTTGTCATCTCGACAACAGCAGCCAGGGATCCCTCCAGCGACGCATCTGATGCAACCTTGCGCGATGTATTCGAGCAAGAGGGAGGCGGTCAGTGGGATGTGGTAGACACCAAGATTGTTCCCGACTCGGTCCCCCAGATTCAACGGCAGATCTTGCTGTGGGCGGATATTGCTGAGAGTGTGAATTTGATCATCACAACAGGCGGGACAGGCTTCGCAATCGGAGATCACACGCCCGAGGTATGCAGGTCCTACATGCTCGAGTCTTATGCTTTCAAATCCACTAATAATGGTCAGGCCGTCTCTGCTGTGCTTCATAAACACGCATCTGGCTTGGTACACGGCATGCTTGCAGCTTCTCTTAGTGTTACCCCTTGTAAGTACGCCGCTTATATTTCCAAGTGCTTTCGTTGACTTCTCAAGTTGCTATGATGTCAAGACCGGTGGCTGGCGTAAGGAATAAGACAGTCGTCATCACCCTTCCGGGCTCGCCAAAGGGTGCAAAGGAGAACTTACAAGCAGTCTTGAAGACCTTGCCTCATGCATGCCTCCAAGCTGCTGGTGTTGATTCGCGGAGCTTGCATTCTGGTGGCGTGAAGAAGTTGGAGAGAGAAGCCGGCATTGCTTCCGAGGGCACTCAACCACATTCACACGCTCACCATCATGATCACGGACATAGTCATGGCCATGGCCATGGGCACGGGCATGCCGGGCTTGTACGACACACGAGGCCGAGTGACAATCCTATGTCGAATGATCCCAGCTTAGGTCCAACCAGGCGACACAGATCATCTCCTTATCCCATGCTGTCAGTGGAAGATGCTCTAGCGTTGATTCAGCAAAATACTCCCGCACCAGAAATTGTGACCACCAAAGTCGATACACATCTAGTTGGGTCAGTGCTTGCGGAAGATGTGAAAGCCAGAGAGAATGTCCCAGCGTTTCGCGCAAGTATCGTAGACGGATATGCCGTCGTGGTGCCGGAAGGTGGCAACATGAAGGGTGTGTTTCCTGTGACTGCCATTTCTCATGCTGCTCCAGGAGAAGTGAAGCCTTTGAAGGAGGGTGAGATTGCGAGAATTACTACCGGTGCTCCTTTACCACCAGGAGCTACCTCCGTCATCATGGTCGAGGATACTGTCCTCAAGAGCAAAACTGAGGACGAGAAGGAGGAAAAGGAGGTCGAAATCCTTGCCGACAATGTCAAGGAAGGCGAAAACATCCGCGAGATAGGAAGCGATATCAAGCAGGGTACTACCATTCTTCATAAAGGAGAGCAGGTATCTGCGGTAGGGGGCGAGATTGGTGTTCTGGCAGCTGTAGGTGTCGCTGAAGTCAAGACATACCGACGCCCCATAATCGGTATTTTGTCGACAGGTGATGAAATCGTGGAACATAATCGACCCGAAGACCTACGTCTTGGTGAGGTCCGCGACACAAATCGTCCAACCCTGATCTCTGCTGCGAAAGAATCAGGTTACGAAGTTATTGACCTCGGCATCGCTAGCGACAAGCCAGGGACACTGGAGGAGACCTTGAGGGATGGCATGAGGCGCGCGGATCTGCTTATCACCACTGGAGGTGTTTCCATGGGCGAGCTGGATCTCCTTAAACCCACGATCGAGCGGTCTTTGGGTGGAAGCATACATTTTGGCCGAGTGAATATGAAACCTGGCAAGCCGACAACCTTTGCAACGGTGCCAGCCAAGAATAACGCTGGCGAGAGGGTATCCAAGGTCATCTTTTCACTACCTGGTAATCCGGCCTCGGCGTTGGTGACATTCCACCTCTTCGTTCTTCCGTCATTACACCAAATGTCCGGAGTATCGCCTACAGGACTGCCTAAGATTCCAGTATCTCTCGGTCATGACTTCAAGTTGGATCCTGGAAGACCTGAGTACCACCGAGCCATTGTGACTGTTGGTAGAGACGGTTCTTTGACGGCTACCAGCACTGGTGTTCAACGAAGTTCAAGAGTTGGAAGCTTAAAGGGGTCAAACGCCCTACTTTGTATGCCAAAGGGCTCGGAACCACTAAGGAAGGGTGCAAAGGTGGATGCTCTGCTAATGGGTAATGTAAGAAGTGAATTTTTGTAGTTTCCACGTTGAATGATGATAATGAATTTCTAAGAGAACTCACACTATGACAAACTTATATTGACTACCTTCCTTCATGTAAAGCTTTCATGGCCTAACCACAGTCGCAACTTCGTCAAAACTATCGAGAGCTCATAGCAAGATACGTCTTTGTGTTTACACTCATCCAAAATTTATCTACATGCTCTCCGATGAAATTTCCATCACTTCCCAAACCTCAACATCCTTCTAACAGCAGTAACCATGTGCCAATATAGCTATCTCTACTACGAGGCTTGCAAACATTTTGGCCTTGAGGTCCAAGACTACTGCACGTCGGCTCGCTGGAAAGCAGGCATGACAGGGTCCTTACACCTCTGCTGGTGAGATCAGATCCTTGTGAAAGAAGTCTGAAAACTGACAAAAGCAGCCCCCTTCTCTTGGATCCCAAGAGTTTCGATATCACAGGTCAAGCACCGTGGGTCAGTCCACCGCCATTGCGGTGGGAAGGCATCTGGGGGTCCTGCCGTCAGTGTGTTGAGGAATACAAGGCAAGTCTTTTTCGGTCTCTTATGCTGGAGCCTGGGCGAGATACTCCGAACCAAAACTCCTGTTGACACTTGTGATATTCACATAGCTTCCTGAGACTATATACAAACGAAGCTACACAGATCACTACCTACCTGAGTCCAGGGATATCGAGCTGCACAACGATAAGAATCTCGCTCCTTATGTTTATTCTCCATACTTGGCAGAGACGATACCAGATCTCCTTGGAAACAGCGCATGGTTTAAGGACGGCAAGCGTGACAAAGGGCCCCTGATCGTCTTTCCCCGGAGGCTCGAACAGACAAACTGGGCCAACCTCAGAGCCTCGGCCCCGTTCGCTAGTCGGGGAATGTGGGAGAATGAAACACTGGAGGCGATGACGCTGAAGCTCGCCCATGAGACATTGGACATTGAGATGGGCATGACGAAAGAGGAATTGGAAGCCGTGTCCCAGTTTCTCGTCCCTGGCGTAACAACGCAGACCATCTTGGATCTCTGGGAGTAAGTGTTGGGCCTGTTCAGGATTATAGCAATGGCTAACACACTATTCAGAGCAAACTTTGAGGAAAGAGGAATGCCTTACCCAGTGTTTAGTGATGCCTGTCGCGCTATGCGGCTGAAGAAAGAAGTGTCTCATATCTTGGATGCCAGCGCTTATCGTCTTAACGTGGATGAGACCCCGTAAGACATCGCTTCTCTGATGATCCCTTTCGATGCCAGACGGACGATCACGGACACACGCTCTCCTTAAAGTTTACTATGATAGCTTGGCTTTGTTGATATTTTTGTACATACGTATTACAGATCTAAATTCACGCCCCAATTCTGCCACAAGTCCTCCCTGAACGCCGCTAATGGGTTGATGCCGTACTTAGGTATGGGTAATATTTCGTCAGGCTTGGGAGCCTAGTCATTCTGTTCAAGCTTGTTTATTAGGCTCCGAAATCAAAGGCTTTGCTGGAGACCAGGAGGCCAATGATCAGGCCGAAAAGGCCGAGGACAGAGCTGAAAATCTCGATGATCAGGATCTTCACAAACCTGGGAAGCTAATTAGTCTACAGCAAATGAGATTTCACGTTCATGAGACATACAGAGTTGAGTCGGCAGCATCTGCAAGGGCAGCACCGCTACCGTTGATGCCAACAGCCACGCCACAAATGAGGTTGCACATGCCCACCGTTAAGCCTGCCCAGAAGAGAGCATAGCCAGTGTAATAAGTGCTGTCATCGTACAACTGGGCCCCTTCTAGGCCGTTCATTTTCGCGGAAAAGATGATGGACATAATGATGCCGTAAATGGCGACGACCTCGCAAAAGATAATGGAAATCAAGTTCTTCGTCCTGATACGCGGCGCCCTTACACCTCCACCGAGAATCGAGGATCCGGTGATAAAGATACCCCTACTCAAAATTAGACTGTTGCCCATGATATCATCTGGTTCTTGATGCATACCATGCTGCTCCTACAGCTGAGAGGCCGATGCACAGTGATATACCCAAGTCCGCCCAAGCATACGGCGACACCGATTCTAGGAATGCTCCGACCTGTATGCAGCTACATTAACATTATGTTTCTCGATAAACGGTCGAGGCTGGGATGGTATCGTACGTTGAAGGCTTCGCCGCTGCCGGTGAAGAGCATATCTGTGGTGGTGAAGGTCAGCATTGAATGGGGGCAGCTTGATTGATTGAGATGGACTTACAAGCACCGACGACGGTGAGCGCGCTTGTAGCGCCTCCCAGTCCATATGTCAAGCTCATCCTGAATATGTTGGCGAGCTTGGTGATGATTGTGAGGGGGTTAACACGGTTCCTGGCCGATGGCAAGCTTCGTCAGAAAAGCACAGCTTCATTCGCGGTGGTGGTGACAGGCAGCACTAGGTAATCTGGGAAATAGCGCAGCGCGCAGGCAGTGGCTTCTGTCGGTACGTAAGGGAGGTACCCCACAGGCTTCTTGCGGCTCACCCATAGCATATGTGGCTCCGCTTTGCCTTCCCCTGCCTAGCTGACTCATCCAAGTCTGTCCGAGATATACCTACGGTATCGGCATCGAGGCAACTTCAGCACCTTACAACATCAACCTCCACAATCGCACTTCGGCATCGCGAGACGAGATGGCGGCAGGCACACAGAATTTCTACGAGCTTTACCGCCGTAGCAGGTACTGCGCCTATTTTTTTGCGCGCGCACCGTGCGAGTCGAGTTGCTACGAGGGCTAACTTTGTATTGCTAATCTAGCATCGGCGTCACGCTGACGGATACGCTCGATGATCTGATCACCGAGCACCGTATCGATCCGCAGCTGGCCATGAAGATCCTCGCCAACTTCGATCGTGCCATCGCTGAGACGCTGCAGGATAAGGTCAAGGCACGCCTGACGTTCAAGGTGAGCGGAGGCTAATCATAGGCTGAAGTCCAACTGCAGGAGTGGCGATATTGACCACAGAATCACAGGGCTCTCTCGATACGTACCGCTTCTGCGATGAAGTGTGGACCTTCCTTATCAAGAACGTGCAATTCAAGATGGAGGGTGGTGGACAGACGGTGGTCGCGGACAAAGTCAAGATTGTCAGCTGCAACGCAAAGAAGCCTGGTGAAGGCCAGTAGCCTGACCAGGAGTCCATGGCGAGCACCAAGTCCTCGGTGGAGATTTTTCCGAATTTGGTTGCTCGACTTTCTTCGAGAGACTTTGAGATGAACGAACCTCCGAGTTACTTTTGTAAAATTTGGTTTATGGATCGGGATGCCACGGGCAACGGCGTTGGGGGATATGCATTTCATAAGTCTCGGCTGGCGTTAGGTCAGATACATCAAGACAGAAACTATGATGAAGGGATTCTTTGATAGAATGGCAGTTCGCATGGGGATGTCTCGCTGCAAAGCGCGAGATGCAACCTGATATTCTTCGCACACATTGCTTCACATAGCTAGATTTCAAGGCTATATTGCCTCTTTACTTCGGAACACAATATTAGAATGTCCCATGCGAACAAAATGCAGTGCTTTGCTTGTGATATACAAAGTTTTGGTGATGTGCTTCCTACTACTTGGATGAAGCGTCTGTTACAGGGTGTGATGGAGTGAGAGTGGGGGAAGGTGTGGTTGAGTAGGAGCCACCTCGCCCTAATTACACGCCTGGAGAGTGCATAGTGCTACATTATTACCGTTTAATTATCACAACGAAAGAACTGATTTGAGCAAAGATCAAAACGCCTATTTAGAAGCCACGTCTCGTTGAGTATAACTCGGCATACTTCTATTCGACTAAGGTCCCTAGATTTCGATTGAGGCTGGTCATCAATCGTCAAAGATGGTCCGCCAACGCCGCCAGAAGCCTGATACGGGGCCATCCGTCTCTTCCGTGCCAGGCAAGACGGCTCCCGCACATAAAGACACAGCCCCAGCACCATCTCGCTCAGGGACGACCGTCTCCACTACAGACCACCATTCAGTGCTTGACGGCACTTCGGACAACATCGATATCGACGACGACGGCATGGCCGCCGGCACTTGGGTACGCCGGAACCAATGGATTGTCTTTGCTCTTGCCAGCGGCGCCTGCGCTGCTTTCAACGGCGTCTTTGCAAAACTGTGAGTGCTCTCTCGGCTCTCATTACGCGTTCTCCCTACACTTCGTAGGGTTCAGCTACGCCGGTCCTTGAACACTCTGCACAGGACAGGTGTGCCTGAACAGCTTCGCAGATGATTTTCTACGTGTTTGATCGGTTTATTTCTGTTTTGTATCCGTGTGTCTCTTCATCTTATCCTGTAGCGGCACAGCGGCTTCCAAGCAAGCAATCAGAGCCACCTCTATGATATCTTTTCTCTATATCCCCAGGTCACACTTTCCAGGATGCTGACAAAACAATAGAACGACGACCGAGCTCACTACCAGCTTTGCTAAAGGCGTTGCTGGCTTCTTGCATCTCTCAGATGCTGAGAACGTTATAGAATTCATTGTTCGAGCTGTAAGTCTCATCACCATGGCTTGAAGCTGAGCGACCCAAAGGATATCAGACCATCCATCATTCGTTTATGAAGTACAGTTCTTCTCAATCCATGACGAGATTTACTAATGCATGCTTCTTATAGATATTCTTTGGCTTAAATCTTGTGTTCAATGGAGTAGTGAGTGCTGAGTTTCGCTTCCCATCATTGTTTCCCTGTCATGCGACTGGTGACGCCCTCCCATCAACATTGGTCGATTTATTCTTCATAAACCCAATTACTTACAATGGCTTTAGATGTGGTCTCTATTCACCACGGCGCTGACAAGAGGACACTCTACCACGCAAGTGTCCATCATCAACACGTCTTCCAATTTCGTGATTACCGCCATTCTAGGCCTTGCTATCTTCTCCGAGTCCCTTCCACCACTGTGGTGGGTCGGGGCTGCACTGCTAGTCGCCGGCAATGTTATCATCGGAGCCAAGGATGAGGCCCCAAAAGACGCTGAGCACGAAGAAGGTACCATCATTGGTAGCGGCGGAGCTGGAAGCTACCAGCCTGTTCCACAGGCAGATCCTGAGGATGATAAGGACGATGAGGATGTGGTAGACCTTGGGGACTTAGACGGTGTTGAAGAGTCGAGAACTACCTCATGATTGAGCAGCGTGTACTTTCACGTCCTTGTTTAACTGTATTATCGTATTGTACAATATAACCTAAGGCTCAGAAACATTTAGTGGCTTCCTATTAAAATTGACTGTTGTAATCAAGGCCTCTCCTTCATATTACTAGCTGAGCGAATATGTGACAGTCTGCTGTAGATTGATCTAACTGAAAGACATGTGTAAGAAGCAGCAAAATGGAAAGTACTCTCATGAAGAAATTGATGTTATTCTGGAGGCCGATCGATGGCCATATCTAAGGACAATTAATGACAGAAGGGTGCTGTTTAGAGGAGTGCTGTGTAGGGCCCCCACAGCTGTACGTCACAGGCCTTCGGCAGTACGCATCCTACTTACCCCGGCACCTTACTTTATCACTCTCATCATTGGCTAATTTATCAACATCTGGAAGAGTCGCCACAACGAAATCCAATGGATGGAAGGAACAAATGTGAAGAGACAGTATCTTGAACGCCATCTCGCTCTTCAGCATGAGAACATTCCTTCAAGATGCAGGCGTTACGCGGAGTTCTCAGAAGGAGAGCGGCTAATATCTCGGCTGCACGGATCGTACCGATAAGACGGCGCTCTCTTCATCTTGCGCCTCCTTTTCTGCTCGATGATTATATGCCGCGATACATGACTCTCTCATCAATAGATGCTTCGAAGAAACGCTCGAAAGCCTACGCACATCTGCGTAACTGCAATCTATGTCCTCGCCTTTGTGGGGTGAACCGGTATGAAACGACTGGAGTGTGTCTGATCGGGACAGAAGCCAAGGTCAACGTTATCGCTCCACATTTTGGTGAAGGTGAGAGTGTTTTGCTTCAGTTCGATGGTATTTCCTCTATACTAACGTATGTTAGAACCTTGTATTCAGGGACACAATGGAAGCGGCGCTGTTTTCTTCAGGTAAGACTTCGATCGTAACTCCTCAGGAGAAAAGGATGACTAACACAGCCTCCAAAGCATGTGCAATCTCAGGTAGATCATCGATGTCACATCTAATGGCTACAAGGCTGACTTGACAGGTGCTCATTTTGTCAAAACTATGACATTAGTCACTCCCGCAAAGGGTTTGACTTGAATCCCGAGGAACTAGGCGACTGGTTTCTTAAGTTGCAAGAGGTTGGTAACGTACATAACATCAACTTAATCACTCCTGAACACGTTGTTCCTCAAGTCGCACTGGCCATACTTCATGCTCGAGATGCTGGGCTGAAAGTGCCAATCATATACAATACTTCGGCATATGACTCTCTTGCCTCTTTGGAGCTGCTAGATGGCCTCATCGACATCTATCTTCCCGACTTCAAAGTCTGGGAGCCAGCAACGTCGAAGCGTCTCTTAAAAGCCGATGACTACGCAGCAGCAGCACGGGAGAGCATCAAGGCCATGCATGAACAAGTTGGCGACCTTTGCTTCACAATGGATGGCATCGCTAAGAAGGGACTGCTGGTGAGACACCTGGTCATGCCCGGGTTGGAGGCTGAATCAGAAAAGATCATGCAGTTTTTGGCGAAAGAGGTGTCAAGCGATTGCTTTGTCAATATTATGGAGCAGTATCACCCCGATGCACATGTGGGCAAGCCGAAGAGGCGGGGAAAAGGGGATTCGACCGAGGAAGCAGGAGATGTTCGATATGCAGATATCAACAGAGCTGTCACAAGAGAGGAGATTTCAACGGTCAGAAGTTCAGCTGAGGCAGCCGGTCTCTGGCGATTCTGCGATCCGCCAGGACATGATGGGTTCAACCTCTAAAATGAGTCCGCAAATTATTTAGTATTTCGGATGGCACGCTGCACGGACTTGGAAGTCCATGGACACTGGGAGTGCGGCCAGTGTTGATAGCTTTTCCGCGCAAGCCAAGACATGGCTGTTACAGATCCAGCTTTATCTCAAAGTATCAGACACACCGAACTTCTTTTTGTGAGCAGAAAGTTCTAGGTGTAGCCTGGAACATTTCGGCAAGGTCCCGAATCAGCTATCATAATTCACTGTTGGTGGCGGTTTGATATCTGCCTAGATATTGTTGGCTTTGTCCGCTTCCAGACCAGATCGTAGTTGGTCCAACGAATTTGCGTGTTCTGAGTCGCATCTCGGTTTCTGACAGGCCCTGGTCTTTGTCCACGTACCAACCCTACAGCAGAACCACATTTCGGTTACGTTTGTCTAGGACCCTAGAATTACCTTGGCTCCGTCGTCTTTGTTACGACAGAGGGTTGAAGTCGCCCTTGGATCTCGCTAGGCCATTTGCTTAAACGGGCGCCTTGAAGAAATATATTTATAAGTTCAGTAACGGCAACGATTCGAATGGGAATGATTGTCAGTATCAACGACGACCAGTGTCCGAAAGTTTCCCGAGAGGCGATGGATCGTCAACGGTCAGCAAAGATTATGCGGAGATTGAATATTGATTCTGGGAATCGCTTGCCTTTGGCTTCCCGGCAGTCTCCCAATACAAGCGACACACCACATCGCAATGAACGCACCAAGACCAAACCTTCAGAAAGGTACAATCGCCGTTCACCTACTGTGAGCCTTGAGCCTCGTCCCATAGAGGAACTACATAATGAACGCTCATACCTTACGGTCGACCTTCAGAGACAGGATGAGCGGACCAGGAATCTCATGGCGGGACTGTTGCAGATCGAGGAAGAATGCTCTTCTGCTCAGACCCCTGGCGAGGCTCGAGCATTCCGCAAGCAGGCAGGACGAATGAGGAGCGGTCTAGCTGAGGCGGAAAGACAGGAGAAGTTGATTCTTCTGAGGTTAAGCGAGCTTTACATCGAGATTCGAAGTCGTGAGCGCTGGAGCCAAGTACAGCAACGAAGAGAGCCATCGCAGACGATGTTCTGGCAAGTTGACCATCCACACCTCTGGATGCCACAACAACTTCTGTCGCCAATTTCCCCGGTCACACCTCTCCCGCCCGTTTGGTACTGTCCAGATCCCGTCTCGATGACCTGGTCAAGTCCACTGAGTCCTATGTCCCCCGAGTTCGTACCGGGTGCGTTCTCCTTCCGAGACCTGCACTGGGACGCAAATCGCAGCGGACCGGAGAGTTCAAACCACTCTCCCTGTTGGGTTCGGGAGAAGGATTGTGAAACTCCACAGAATCAGCATGAATTGAATGGTTGGGATGCAAACTCTGGGACCAACAGCCGAAGTCTGTCTACACCGACCCCTAGCTCATCCCGCACCCCGGAAAGGCGCATGAGCTTGCCTACACCTGACTCTACATGGCCGCTGGAGTAAAGAATTTAGGAACATAGCATCTGGCGTTACGGGTCGATCGCATATTTTATGAGTCTTTTTCACGGGTAGAGATCTTTGCAATGAAATAATAATTATCTGCTACGACGAAGTATATGAGCATCATTCTATGTTTGTAACCGGTTCATTAGGTTGTTGCCCCTTCCTCCGGCAGTCGGGCGGATGCGATATAATCTAAGCAAATTCACCAAACTGGCCATCATCGAAACCCATGTCCTTCACAGATTTCCGCTTTTCTTGGGCACTGGGCGGAGGTGGTAGTGAGAAGCCGCCCCTTGAGCTTGATGCTGAAGGGGGCGGGGGCAATGAAAAGGAGGAGAGACTGGCCGGCTCTGCCGTAGAGGACGACTCCTGAGGCCGGTTCCGCCGGCCAAACTTGCTGCCCAAGTTGACCGTGATAGTCTCTCCCTCTTTCAAGCTGTAATCCTTCTTCTCCTCAGGCTTCTCCTTCTTGGCTGCGGGACCGGACGCGGCAGCGCCACCGACTGGGGCGCTTCCCTCCCAGCCAAGCGCCTTCCGGGTCTCCTGCAGAGCAACGCTGAAGTCAAACGCCTCGCTTCGTTCCTCGAAGCCAATGCCTAGTGTGGCTTTTCTACCAGAGGGGTCTTGGACTCTGAGAGCGAAGAACCGTGAGCTGTCCAGAGTTGGTTCTACCACGGCCTGTGTCGTATATGGAGCAGCAGCAAAGAGCTGTCCGCTAGAGGGATCCTCAAGAACGATATCTGCCTTGACCTTATCCTCGCCGCTCTGCTGCGGAATGGCTGTCTCAATGACACGCAGGCGTACAGTGAAGATGTGCCGCTTGGGGTCCTCCGTCCACGTCCCGGCATTGTACCCCTTTGTCGAGGCCAGCGGCGGGATGTTATAGACGTGGACGGAAGTTGCGATGAAGAGAATGCGTTGGATCGCGTCGGACGGCAGCTGCCGCCCGGTGGCGGGATCAATCGACTCCATCTTGAATGACTGTGTAGCGTCCAGCTGGATTGGAAGCGGTGATGGCGTCGCGACGCTGACGCTCCATCTTGAATCGATCGAGGTGCAAAAGTAGGCGAGCTCTCTTGAAACTTATCCCATCTGCCGCCCCCAGGGTTCGTGTTGCAGCAGCTAATGAGCTGGGAGCTACAGGGAGCTACCCCGCTGAGCTGCCGCCATTAGTGCCCAGGTACCCCTCCATCAGTCCACCAGGCGGTCGGCCCTGGCAATTTTTTTGGCGATCGAGTCATCGCGCTTCTGGCATTTCACGTCGACCTCGTTCGAGAACAGCACGAACTCAATCAGCGAGCGTCAGAGTCGCATAGAAATCTGTGGATACACGTCCAACATTCACACATGAGTGTATGCTTCGACGACAATCATTGCCTTCATTCATATCGGTCAAGAGCTTTATCGCCACAATGACGGGGGAAGAGTTGGCGGGTAGGCTTTGAGATGCTCTTCATTTGTCTACTTCAAATTTGGATATTCAGGCTGACCTGACTATTTCTATTTGATAGGAAGCCTCCAGCGCTCTCAAACCTCATCGCAAATTGTATCAGCCTCGAGAAATATACCCATAAGAACGAATCCAGGTGCAGTCAGCAAAGTAACGACTGGAGATGGCTCCGAATTTGAGTATGTCGAGCACTCAAAGCTTGCGCATTTGGGGAGGACCGAGTTAGCTGAACATGTTCTCTTTTCAATAGTATCGTCGAAACATATCACCGCTTACTAGCAGAGGATGAGGACCTCACAATGGCCGTCGCGGCCATCGAGGCGCTGATCGCGCTGCTCGGACACACCACGTCCTCGACAGTCATGGAGACGCTCGACATCGTCAAGGCGCAGGCCGACCGCCTCAAGCGCTCATCCACAAACCCGATCCCCCTGACAGCCGGCACCGATCTGTTCCAGCAGTACCTACTCCGATCTCTTAAGCAGTCGACCGGACCACGCAGCGGGAAGGAGCCTGCCACCGGCAGTGGCCTCGACAGTTTCGACGAGACGAGACAGCATCTGCTGAGGAATGGTAGGCTGTTCGCTGCACGAGCGAAGGCGGCCAGAGACGCCATCGCCGTAAGGGGAAGCAGGTATGTTGGTCTCGGCAGCGTCGTGCTCACCGCGGGCGGATCACGCACGGTCAAGAAGCTTCTGCTGAAGGCAGCCGAGCGCCACATTGAGACAAACGGATCACCAGATTTCAAGGTTATCTATGTCCTGGACGGCAGCCGAGACAGCGAGCCGGCGGTGAAGGAACTGCGGGAGCGCGGCGTGCCCGTGGCGCCTGTTGACCCGGCTGCTGTTGCGCATGTTCTGCAGGCGGGCAGGGTTGACATGGTCTTTGTCGGCGCCGAGGTCGTTGTGCAGAACGGCGGCGCCATCTCTCGAATGGGCACGTATCAACTGGCGCAGCTCACCAAGGCCGTCAACAAGCCGCTCTATGTAGTGGCCGAGACGCACAAGTTCGTGCGCCTGTACCCACTGGGCCAGAACGATCTCGGCAGATGCGGTATCAAGCAAAATATTCTAGACTTCAGCACCTCGGCAGACAGTGGCGCGAAGGAGAAGCCCGCTGAGGTGTCTGAGTCGCAAATTCCTGTCGACTATACGGTGAGACTTCACAGCCCCTAACATTGTAGCGTTCAATCTAGCTAATATGTTCTCAGCCGGCGGATCTGATTACTTCAATTATTACTGAACATGGCGTTAAGATGCCTAGCGCCGTATATGAGATGCTGCTTGACATATATACATGATGGAGTAGTAATCTCTGAACGGAACCATGTCTTGTCAATGCTGGTATAGATATCTCCGGCAGTGCGTGTGGTACTACCTTACGCAGCCTCGGGGGCCGGACTGAAGGGAAATAGGCCAACATCTATTACAGCAGTCCGAAAGCACCTACCAGCTCACGGATATGCTGGGTGTTTTTGTATCAAACAGGAGGGAGGAGTGTGAATATAGAAGATACCCCCACGTATCGGGCCACGGGTTGTGGCCTTGGGGGCATAGACGATAGAGAACGAACCCCCATGCCAGGTCATGTTACATTGAGGCGGCTTCATGCAGACCTTGAACGTGGCACCTACTTTCTTGGAACGTCCGACTATTGGTTCTTCTGACCCAAACTGAACCAGAAGTTGGTTGTAATAAAGCACATGAGCTGTCATATCAAGCATGGTGATCAGCAGGCACAATGCGTTCATTATTGGTTCAAATAGACTCATTACTTCGTACTGATGTATAGTCGATTATTCCCGACCACCTAGCGTGCGCAAAGAGTGGGAGATAGGTGATGCTAACCAAACCGTGAATGCTTAAAAGCAGAGAGGCCTCTCCCATCCTTTTGATCCCCGGAGAGCCAAAACGCCATATTTGCCGAAGAGGTAAAATGAACGGGACCTTCGTGTCTAGCTGTATATGCGCCCGTTGGTCCTGTATGCAATGGCCCTTGAAGCAATCCGGCCAAGTTGAGTGGCTTCTGAAGAGCAAAGTTGCCAGTGTTGCGATCTGGCCCAAGAATACTAACAATAGGGGCAACAGCATCCAATATGTGCCAACATTTGCCCACATTAGTTGACGTCACGCACCAGTCTCGCACCACACCATGCATAGGGGTAGTTGCGCTGGTACCAGTTGACACTATTATATGTGAGTCAGAGCATTAGATGTGATTGTCATCAACAGCAATTTTGACTTACAAAGACTTTCGGCCGGCAATACGAGGATGAGTAGCCCAAGACCCTCCAAGAACAATGTTATGCTTGCCATCGAAGAAATCGGCTGAGGGAAAAGTTAGTTTCATCAGGGCCGCGAGTTACGGTCGGAATGAGGAAATTTCATACCCGTATATGCAGGGTACAATGACATCGGCTCGAATCCTTCGTACTTTGTCAATGGGGAACTTGTCCATTCCCATATCCCTCCGAGCTCTGCTTGGCCAGCTAGCTCTCCGCCCTGGCCTGTCACAGGGACGGGATGCCAATGGTGCAGACCAACATTGGCTCCATCTAGGTCAACAAACAATTCATCCGAGTTAGAGGAGTTGCCATTCGTTGACGCAAGGGCTTGCGACGGTGGAGTCTCCTGTACGCCATTGTTGCTGAGATGGCTAAGCACTGTCAGTTGCTGCTGAGTAATAGATAACCAAACGTAGCTTACCCGTTAACGGCAGGGACTGTCTTTCCAAGCTTCTTCTCGGCTTGCAACTTTTTCTGTTCATGAACGTAGGAGTAAATGCTGCGGGCCTCCTCGAAGGTGGGAATTCGGCCACCCATCCACGAAGCACAACCGGCAAGTTCATCGTAGGAAGCGAAAACTGGCCAGTCAAGAGCGTACTTCAGAGGTACAAGACCGTAAAATGTGCGAACCGCTTTGTTCTCGAGGAATGATTTGAAAAGTTTGACAGAGCCATTAGCGTATCCATTGCCATGGCCATTGGTATGACCGTTGGCATAACCATTCGTATGGCCATTGGTATATCCATTAGTGTGAACGCCATTCGTATTGCCATTAGTGTAACCGTTAGTTGTACGGAGGGGTTCAAGTTCTGCCCAAGAAGCCGGGAGCTTGGTGATATGTTGGTCGTTCATGTATTGGGCATACTATCAGTTGTTAGTATCGTGTGGCCTCCTGGGCATGGCATTTCATCTACCTCTTCGTTGGTGATGGGCCGTGCTTGAGCCTGGAATTGGTGGACCTTGACGTGTCTCACCGGCTTTTCATTGTCCCTATACCAGAATTAACGAACTTCAAGAAATCTCTTATGAGACTTTGCTCACCAGCCAAAGTGTGTTTCTGGATCGGTTCCATCTTCTGGATCTTCCAAGCCGATAGCAATGTCTTGTGTCGGGATGTTGAACCATTGATTTGGAACTCTCGCGGTCCGTGCCTTCTCAGCCAACTTCTGGAAGTTGGGCCGCTCTGTATCTGGCGGCGGCAGAGTCTTGTCGCTTTGAAGCATCATGTAGAGCAGTGTCTCGAGGTGCATGATTTCATGCTCGAAGCCGACCCAGATTGCGCGACCAACCGCGCGGGGGATAACGTCTATTCCCTTATCGTAGAGACTCTTCAACCTCTCACGGACACGATCTTGGTACGTCAAGATCTCATTAACCGGGGGCCATTCGTCTGGAATTTCGGAATGAGCATGACATAGCTCTGGATTGTCAACATCCGGGTCGATTCCTCTCTCGAAGATTTGGTAGTACATAGCCGGATCAGTCGGACTTTGTTTGGTTGTCTTGGTCAACTGGATATCCAAGAAGGTAGGTATGTGCCCGAGGTAGAATATACAAGCGTTGCGTAGCTTGATAGGCTTTTCCAGAAGCTCCTCATGAGGAAGCATCTTGGTGGTCACGGCATCCCAAGCAGCCCACAGCCCTTCCCAGTCATCGAGGCTGGGTATCGGCGACCTGGCGTACACGGAGGGAAGAAGGCTGTATGGCATGGTCGATTTGGCTAACATATGAAGACCTGCAAACCATTAGGACAGATCCGTTGTCTTGCACGGTAATGTTTCGGAATATGTATAAGATCAGGCACCACACCCGGGGCAGCATCAGCCGACTGCTGACAGGGATGGAAGGAAAAGGTGCGGAAACAGGATGGGTCTCCTGGATCCATGAGAAACATACGACTGGTCAAAAAAAGCTGGGAAAACGTGGGGGAGGCTTGTCAATGTGTTTCCGGGTTGCTGAAAAAGGTAGTTGCCCCCCGTTCTGGGGTTGGACAAAAGAATATAAGGTCGTCTCACCATATTCGTTCCCCAGCATCCATTTACCAATCTCTGACATTCCCGCTTGGTTCCACAGCCTCGTCGTTTCTGCCTGAGAGTACTTCAGGCTCTGCTCGACTTCGATGCGCTCATGAGCCTTGATTAGTTCTCCCATGACAACTGTGTCTTTGACAGGAGAGTAGAAAGCCTGATGACGCCCCCCTTCGTGATCATAAACGTATTCACCAATGACCTTCCAGTCTTCTAACCGGAAGATCTCCTCCCCAAGGATCTCATTCGCGTGCGTAAGCCCATTGAGGACGAATCTATACACTAGTCAGACTATCCATTCTCTGCTCTAGGTTGAGGGCTCGCTGCTTACTGATGTGTGAGACCCTCCTTATCTGTATTTTTGAGGTTAGTTTCGATAAACGAAGTGCTCAAGGGCTTAACACTAACCATTATATGCGTGACTAAACACACATCAGTATGTAGATTAAAATAAAATAAAGACAGACCGTCAACTTACTATACTTTAGCTGGGTCGTTGCAGGCATCTAGACCGACAATCATGCGGTCAACTGGGCTTAAAACATCTGAAAAGCCCCTGAGAAATCTCGAGGCGTCATCTCGAGGAAAGTTGCCTATTCAAACATCAGCGTCAACGGTAAGGTAGAAGTTCAAGTGTTTCTACTTACCAATGCTCGATCCAAGAGTCAAAATACACTTTTGGCGAGTGAGGATAGATGGCTGCTTCAGCCATTCTCTGCCATCGTCATAAGTGCCCAGCAAACCATGAGCATGGACATGCTTATATGACGGCAATTGAGCTAGGGTGCGCTCAAGCTCCGTCCGAGATAAATCCAGGGCATAATAATCAACAGACTTGCCCGTGTCCTCGATGGCTTGGAGGAGCAAGTTGACCTTCCGGAGGTTGCTATGATATGTCAGTCTTGGGAAGTGGGTTTTGTGTGCTATCAGGGCGTAGTGGTAAGACATACCCACTCCCAAGCTCGATGAGCATACAGCCGTTAGGAAGCTCGTTGGCTATTTGCGCCGATGATTTTCTCAAAACTTCAATCTCATCATTGGTGAGGTAGTACTCCTCCAAATAGGTAATCTGGAGCCTGTTAGCGTGAAGCACGCAAGCCGTGGCGCAAATGGGATCAAACATGCTTCTTCAAATAGCTGGAGTCCTCGCTCGTTATAAAGGAGCAGGGTTGGCAACTGCCTTGGACCCTCCTTGGGATGGAACAGGGATATGATCTCTTCTTTGAGGTTTGTTTCGACAGCCGCGCGGCGGATGTCGATTATGTCAAGGGAAGACTTGGAAGCGGCCTGTGGTGACTTCACCTTGGCCGCTGGCCTGAGGTGAGGTGCAAGACCATTGGACACGACAACGGGATCAGTTGTTACGGCCATGATTCTAATTGAACTTGAGACCGGCACAATGGACTGAGAAAGAGAATAGCAGACAATAGTTTTGTCGATCGGACTGGAAATAAGGTTTATTATATTGTAAGCCGGGGGCTACTGGAGCAGGGACAAGTATATGGGGAGCTTATTCCGGAAACAAACAACGAGCGAACGGCCAGACAGACAGCGGGAGAGGTACATGGCGGCGGCAGCAGCAGGCTTAGCAAGCGAGGCTCCTTAAGCCACCGGGACGGACTCGCTTGGTGCCATCCGAAGAAACCTAAGGACCAGGTATGATGGGGCAGATGACCTCGACAAGATGTAGCTTCCTAGCTCTCCCGCTGGCGGCCATGCCAGTCCAGTCGAGCCAGTCCAAGCCGGTTGAAACGCTTGGAAGCATTCCTGGGCCTGGGGCGATGGCAGGCCCCGTGGCGTTGAGGCCGCCATCTCCGAGGGCGCGGGTCCTGTCTGTACATACCTACGTAGGTAGTAGAGTAGAGCAAAGGAAATGGGAGATGTAGTGTCAGTCACAAGCACCAGGTACCTCGAGCGTCATGGATACCCGTCGTCCGGCACTGTTAGGTAGCGTTCGTTTGGGGCCCTATAGCGTACATGTAGGTGGTTTTGTGGTAATCAGAACACATCCATTGCCGGACGGCGTCAGGGTGTCAGCAGAGCAGCCAAAATCTTTTTGTCATAACCTGCAGACAGAGAAGCTTCACGCTGGAGACAGAGTGGGAGGTTGGAGTTGCTGGGAGCAAATCACGCGCCAGAAGAGCAAGCCTTAGCCTTGGAGCCCCACGCTGTGGCTGCAGGCGAAGGACTCTAGCGCCAATCGCCTGTACTACCAGGGGCTACCGAAGCAGGCCAAGGCAAGAACAGGTAGACTCACTCTAAACATGGGAGGAAACAGCGACCCAGGTGTTCCTGACGAACTCCGCTGGAACCACAGCAGGTACCACTGTACTGTCCTGTACCTAAGGTACCCTAGGTAGGTGTTACTTCGCCGTTCCTCACTGGCGGGCAGGGCAAGGAGGCAAGGAGGCGGGGCTGCCGGGTCTCCGCTGGTCACTCACTCACTCCTGGGCCCTCCTCCTCCTCAGCCCTCTCCACCCCCATCGACTGAGATAAAATATTCCCCATTAGATGCGCCGCAGGAGACGATACGACGATAGCTTAGACAGCCTGGGAATAGCAGATCCCTACCTGATGATCCCTGCGCGGGCTGCGTCAGTCAAGATGCAGCCATCTGTCCGCCCTGACGCATTGGGAACATCACTGTCTGACCGACCCAGCAGCAATCCACTGAGCCACTCATTGCATCTCGCTGCTTGGGAACCTCCTCCACTCTCGACGACGACCAGGTCTCTGTCGCCGCGCTCCGCCGCTATAACACTCCATCCGTCCTCTCAAGTCGCCCCAGCGAGCCAGCATCGGACTGACCCCCAACTTTTCCACCCCTACCGACCCTTCATGTGAACGAACATCCATGACCAACAAGAAGGCCCGATGTAGCCCGTTCGTACCGCCTACCAGCAAGCTACCTGCCCCTTTCGTTGCCCAAGGGCCGTCCTGTCCGAGTGCCTGACGACGACGGCGGCGACAGCGACAGCGACAGCGACAGCGACAGCGTCCTGCCTCGACGATGACACTCGGGAATCCCATGGCGATGCGTGTGACTGCCCCTCATCTATCAACCACTCTATCTCAGCCTACGCCATTTAGTGCCCCTCTTATTGCCCCTCCATCTGTCTTCCTCGTCCTCGCCCTCACTTGCCTCACAGACGCAGTGATCAAGCCGGAAGTCGCCCAAGGCGGGGTACATATACGGATCGGACAAGGACCAGGCACTGCAAGATATCAAAAGCGCAAAAGTTGCATGCACCAGACGATATTGAGGACCAAGCGAGTGTTCGGAAATACATCTGGGCTAAGTCACCATTACGTATGGCCACAGGCACTTACAACAACCTTCCACCACTAGATGATATGGGGACCAGGTCTGGGGTCTTTCAAAATCTCACCAGTCACCCAAAAGGCGCAAAAAGTTGCTGCTTGCAGCTAAGTTGGCCTAGTTTGAAGAGGTAAAAACGGCGTCATGATTCAGCTCCAGAGTCTAAACCGTGCTTCCCGATTACTGATGACAGCCCGTGGAGAATAGAGCCTCATATGGGGCTTACAAATCCCCTCGCTCGCTTGGACTGTCTATTTCTCCCAAGTCTCGTCGTTCACCAGCTTACACCGTTTGGAGTTTGAGGTGCTATATCTGAGCCCCTTTTAATATCTGGTCGGGGATTTCAGGGATCCTGTTGCCAAAGAGGGGAATTCTAACGACAATCTCCTCAAGTCTCGAGCTCGCATCATAAAATGCAGCCCTTCCAGGTCGTTCTGACTCGTCCCCACACGCCAAGTCAGCCAGCTTCCTCAAACAGAGAACTCATGTCGTCATTAACGATCCATGCCCGGCAACCCTGAATGAGTAGCATCTAATCAAGTGTGCGGGCGCGCTCTCAGGCATCCATCTTATACTACGCCGTGATGTGTGGTCAGCCTGACCGCATCGAGCAAACTGCGATTGGGCAGCGTAGGCGCATCGTAAACTGCAAAACCATGCTTCGTGACTTTCCATCATTTATCCAAATCGACCATCGCATTAAGGTTGGTCGGGAAAGAGATCACGTTGCTGTTTCCTACATGTCACCGGCCGTCTCTGGAGATTGCCGCCCAAAGCACCCTCCATTGTCGCCCTGTGTCGTGGCTGATTTTCAGGATGGCTGCAGGAAGATTACATCGAATGTGCATATCAGCAGCACATCATTGCGGGGAAAAACGCAGGCCACCCTCCACAATCTTCCGAAGAGATCTAGAAGCCAGACATCTTCCGTCCCTCTATGCAACGGACTTCCCATCCGCATCGGCGTCGCCCGATGCGAGAGTACAAGTTGTAGAACGCCTTGGAGAAGCAATTCTTGGTTGAAGCTGGAATGTCGGTCCGCCAGCATCCCTCAGCATACCCTGATTGGCCTGCATTCTCGAAATGACTCTGTTATCATGGCCTGTTGACCTCGCGGCATTGCTCGCCTAGAGGGGTCAGATCGAGCCCTCCTTCTCCAGCATGCTGGGAAAAAGCAAAGTTGATGGCGGGGTACTCTGGACGAGCTGGTGGCTCGTGTTCCTTACATAAGCCCTATCACTGTTTCTGTTTCTTCGGCTTTGAGAGCCGACTTGGGATCTCACGATACGTGGGGGCAAGACGTAAAGGAAACTAGAAACCTGGTCTAGATCCTGAAGACTAGCCAGGGATCTATTATGGAGACGCGTGGGATGTCTTTCTTGTCTGCACCTGCCTTGTACCGATAAAGGTCGCCTTGGGTCGGTAAACTATGCACGCGGGGCCGAGTGCCGGTGTGGTAATTGCGGGGTTCCCGGCTCATACTCTTGCATGGCTCCGGATCCGGCCCCGGAGCAGTCACCCTTTGCCCGGGCCATCTTTGATATCATTCTGGATGCAATTATATCGTGATCATGACAAGTCCAACTCATCTAGAGGCCTGTTTCCTATGACTAAATGGTAGTTCTGCATTGACAACCATATTCTGCCTAATTCACTGGGTTTGTACCGCAGGATCAGTCCGCAGTTTCACAGCGGGCACTGGGGTTATATCAGAAACCCGACAACCGGATGAGCAAAGCCAACGGGCGCCCTCTGCATTCAACAGTTGAGGACAGCTGAAAAATGAGGAAGCTCTCAACGAAACCGACCTCAGCTAAGCCACGAAAAAAGAAATGGCATCTCAAAATGAGTCACCTGATAGCGTGTTTGCATGGCGTTCCGTGCGGGGTTTCTTATCGCGTCTCGTAGCTCGTGTGCCTACAGCACTTCCCCCCTAGACTAATTAGATTTATTAGATGCAAGATAGTGAATGTTTCAGCCAAACAAAAGAAAGATGCGGTGCGACACTTAAGCCTCGTCGCACCTAAAGTTGTCCCGGCTGACTTTTTGCTCCATGAGCAAGCCGGCTAGCCCCTGTGATGCATTGGCAGGAGGACGGGTCGCTGCGACAACGTAGCCTTTCCTTTGGAACTGAAGAAACCGGTGAGGTAGGGGGCGCGAGCTGAGGCCAGCTATTAGTTGCTAGTCGCTTCATACTTAAAGCGAGTCCAGTCCTCCTGTTTCTTCCACATCCTCCAGGCAGCGACTCCTCGCAACACAAATTGAAATAGAGTGATTCGACTTTGATTTGGAAACATGGCTGAAGAGTCTCCCAAGACCTACCACGGCAATTGCCACTGCGGTGCCTTTATCTTTGAGCTGACGTCGCCCGAGATCAAGACCGTCTTTGAGTGCAATTGCAGCATCTGCTCTAAGAAGGGTTATGCCTGGTTGTTCCCTGGTGCCGACAATTTCAAGCCTGTGAAGGGCGATGTCAAGGACTTGACCGAGTACACTTTCAATGACGGCAACTACATCCACAGGGTGAGAGACTATGATAATATGCCATGCCATGCCGGTGACGAAAAGCTGACGAAGGATACAGTTCTGCGCTACCTGTGGGACCCCCGTCATGGCATTTAGCAAGATCTTTCCTCCTGAGAAGAACACCGCTGTTAATGTGTGTTGACTCAACATCTGCACTGAACCAACTGTATCTCAGTTCTGACTCCGTGAGATAGGCGCGTGCTATTCAGGATTTGGATCTATGGTCCTTGGGATCTCATGGGTAGGTGATACGACTTCGTACTACCTAGGTAGTTCTTTGATGTACTGACGCGAATCAGATTTGATGGAGCAGCGCTGGACCCGAAATACAAGCCTCCAGCATATACGGGCCCAGAACCAAGCGCAGAAATTGACGGTGCGAAAACCTATCACGGAAGTTGCCACTGTGGTGATGTCAAGGTTGCTGTTAAAGTCAAACCTCTGGATACCTGGCGCCGAGAAGTTGAGGAGGAGAGAGTCATTGATTGCAATTGCAGCATCTGCCAGAGGGTATGTCAAATTCTACATCACAACTTCTTTTTGATACTGATCTGAAATTCCTCCAGGGTGCGTATGTCTGGATTTATCCTTCGAAGGAACAGGTTGCTATCGAAGGAGAGGAGAACATGACAAACTACTCCTTCGCCAATAAGATTGGCCGAAAGGGGTTCTGCAAGAAATGCGGCGTGCACATTGTGAACGACGTGAACATGCCGCCCGATGGACAGGAGATTGAGCCGTGGCGCGAACGCTTCATGAAAGTCCGGCCAATCACCTTGAGAATTCTCAACGACTTTGACTACAAAGTCCTCCAGGATCGGACACGCAAGGAGGACGGCTGGAAGGATCTCGAGCCGCAATATGTCAATCCTTGAGGAGCTTGATCTAACATGTCAAGCGGGAAAAGCTTATATGTAGGATTGTGGCAGTCATATACGTGAGATGAGAATTGCCAAGTCTTACAACAACGCCAATTATATACGATCAATATCTAACAAGTTTGTGCACGACATATCTCCGTAAGTTTGTGTGAGGTGACTGCTTTTGGATACTTTAAGCCGAATTCTATCTACTGTAACTCATCCCTCCACGGAATCGAGTCTTGTGCTCCCTTTCTCTCCACCGTCTTCGCCGCAGCATGATTCGCCTTCTGGACAGCAGCCACGATGTCAAACTTCTTTCCAGCTGAAGCAACAACCTCCAAAGCATACTGGCCGACGAACGTATCGCCAGCTGCTGTTGTGTCCACGACTGTGGCCTTTTCCGCCTGCAATAGCCCCTTGTCGCCCCCCTTATTCATGTAGTACACACCACGGCCTCCAAGAGTGATAATGACCGTCTCGACCCCCCTTTCGATGAAGACAGCTGCCACTCGCTCCATTCCCTCGAGGGTATCTAGCTCACTCACGTCCTTGCCCGACAAGATTGCCGCCTCCGTCTCGTTGACCACCAGGTGCGCCAGCCCGCTAAACGCCTCGGCCGGCAGGGGCTGCGCCGGCGCCGGGTTCAGCAGCACGGGCACGCCGTCGCTCTTGGCCGCGCGCAGCGCCTGCATGACGGTCTCAAAGGGGATCTCGAGCTGCATGACGAGCAGGTCGGGGCGCGGGCCGAGCTTCGCCAGCGAGGGGCGGAAGTCCGCGGGCGTCAGGGCGTGGTTGGCCTCGGGCGACAGCACGATGCGGTTCTGCCCCGTCGGCTGGTCCACGATGATGATGGCGATGCCCGTCTTGAGGCCCGCGCGCGCCTCGACCGCCGACACGTCCACGCCGTGCGACGACATGTTCGTCAGCAGGATCTCGCCGTAGCTGTCCGTCCCGACCGCGCCGACCATGCTGACGTGTGCGCTGGCGCCCTCGTCGCTGCCAGTGCCGGCGGAGCTGTGCGATCGCGACAGCTTGGCGCATGCTACCGCTTGGTTGGCGCCCTTGCCGCCGGGCGACACAGCGAAAGACGACGAGGTGAGCGTCTCGCCGGGCTCTGGGTGGTGGGGAACATAGGACACTAGGTCAATATTCAGGGAGCCCAAAACCGTGATCCGAGGTAGCGAAGATGAAGCCATCGTGTCGACTGATCAACCAAGTCGAACGACAAGCTCGTGGTTCTGATCAGTCGCAAATGGACGTAGTAGCCAATGCCTGGCTAGGAGTGTATATATCAAAGGCTTTGCACAAATTCGATTGCTGAGAATCAATGCCTTCACCTGACTGCCAAACCAGAGTTCTACTCGATTCTGTAATGTAGTCGGTCTCTTCTCTGCACTAGATTTAGAATACGAATGATGTGACGAACTCAGACGCTGTAGATTTGCGGCATGTCTCAAGCTTTTGATCGGGACTCCATCGGGAGACGACTAGGTGATGCTCCTTCCGACGACGGTGTAAGTCCCCACAAAATCCGTCCTACAGCAAATTCTGTCCCGATAGCTCCAAGCTAGAAGATAGGAAACATGAAACTCACGATTTGAAAGGTGATAATACAATAGCGAATAAATATTGGCTTTAGTGCGGAATAGCGAATGCGTGATAAATAATGTTAAGAGCCTTGCTGGTTGTCTTTGGAACGTAAATTTGGTTGACGGTCATACTCTTGGATTACTTGAATCGTAGGGCGTGTCATGAAGTCGAGGCCCCGCGATTCCCCGTAGCCAAGCGACGAAGCTCCACTTGGCGCCGTCGTCTCGACGAAAGTACTAAATAGAAAGTAGGTAGTTGCTACTGGCTAACATATGGTTGATTTGTTTGTATTTCTTGCTTGTTAGCATTATGTAGGGCCTAAGGGCTTCCTGCCATAGAGTCCCTTCCAAAATCCATGGTATGTATGCTCATGGGTCTCAAACCCGACCTTCTCTGAACGCCTTGACCTGTCCTGTCCAAGACCCGTGGTATCTCATTACAGTATCTATACAGCCGTAAATCCCAATCCGTAATAACCAGACCCTGATTTTCATATACACAATATTATTAGTGAAGTCGCAGTAGCGCCCGCCATGTATGCGCTTATTCGATCTTCTTCCTCTTGCTCGGTCGTCGTACCGTCTCGTCCCCAGAGACGAAGTGGTCCTTCTCAATCTGATGCTGCCGTAAGTTGTCCGGGCGATTCCTGTACTGGCTGTTGCACCCTGGGAAGGGACACTTGTAGATCTTTGGCGGATCCGTCGAGTGTTGCAGCTTCTTGTGCTTCGCCATGGAACCCTTGAACCACTGCGGGGCGCCCTTTGGTCGATATCCGCAGATCTCGCAGCACGAGTTCGCCTCAACTTTCTGTGCCTGTCCGTTTGATGGACTTGATTCAGTCGAGCTCGATGTCGCAGGTGTGGTGTCTGCGGTTGACTGGACTGAGGATCCAGTGCTGGATGGACCGCTCATTGTCTTTAGTAAAGAATCGTCCACTCGCGTTGCCAGAAGCGGTTCCTCAGATAGGAAATCCTCGTCCAGTTCATCAGTAAATGAAGTTAAAAATTCGTCCAGGCAAAGATCATTTGTCAGGTCCATGGGTTCAATTGGGGTGGCACTGAGCTCGGAGACAAGAGATTCAACGAGTGCGATGCCACATCCGTAGTAATCGTTCCGCCTGGATACTCCAGCGCTATCATGGTGCTGGTAGATAGGATCACACAGGCTCCTGACTTGTGGCACGTAATCATCGAAGAATGCTGCTGGAGGCATATAATTCTGTAGGATCAGTTAGCAATCTGCGTAGATCACTTCGAAACTAGTGTTCTGGTTGTGTAATGGAGGACTATCATACCTTTCCAGCTTGGAGTATTTCTAGCTCAACCCTGCGAACACTTCCGATTGATCGCTTCATAACCCGATGATTGACTTCCTTCAATTGCGGATTGAGGCCTGGGAAATCAGAATATTGCTGGGCTAAGACATTCATGACATAGCCCACGGTGATGGCAAATGGACTGTTTGGTGAAGATTCGATGCCGGAGAGCTGATGGTGTTTGGTCCACAATTCGGTTGTCAAAAGCTCATGGGAAGAACTCTCACTGAGTATCACGGAAGCCTCGAGCTCTAAATATATGTTAGTATTAGGATTTGGTCTCGGTAAACCTAATTTGGAGACTCACCATCCAAAAAATTTCGAGCCGCGGAGACAAGCGCATCATCTTTGGCGGATGCCATAGTCTGTCCACTTATCTCACGCTCCTTGCCCTTGACGCTCGGCGTTCTCTCGAGAGCTGCGGACTGGTTCATAATGGTGGCGAGGTGTTCTCTGGTTATGCCATCAGGTCGCCAAATGGCAATTGCGACATCTTTGTAGAGGCTCTGATCAGCGGGAGCGAAGTATCTTGCGTAGGCTAGTGATTGTGCAAAGAACTTGTCGGATCGGGTCAGGGCGTCATCTTCATAGACCACCAAAGAAAAACTATAAACGACATGGACAAAGCACAGTGTATCAATTGCTGATCTTGGGCGTTGGCCATCAAGGAGATTCCGGAGCACTCTCAATCCGTTCGTTGCGATCGTCTTCGCGGAGAGTGTCTTTAGTTGCTCGGCTAAGGGGTTGTGTTGGATATGCTCGATGTTGACTAGTGAATTGACAATGTGCTCCTGTAGCATGTCCCAAGACGAAGACACGAGGTCTTGTGTCTCGGAGCAGCATATGGCTTGTTCTAAACTCTCATCCAAGGGGTCTGGTAGAGATTCAGACTTCTCCTCAGTCAGCACGATGTTCGCAGCATATCCGAGGTCGGTTGTCGGGTTGGCGTCCATTGATGGGAAGAGTAGATCATCGCCGGAGAAATCATCTGAAGGGAGGATTGCAGGTATGTCAGCCGGCAACTCAGAGAACATTTCATGCAAGAAGTCTGTTGGACACGTGTCATTGAAGTTATTCATGTCTTCAGCACAGGTGTCATTAGGCAGGAATCCTCCAGGGCTGACAAGCTCGCTGGCAGGTGAAGTCAAGCATGTACCTGACCAAGCGTTCGACGTTGAGCTCCAGGCAGAGATTGGTGAGATGATTGAGCTGATATTACTCATCGTGCTCGTAGTGGAGCGGACGGAGGAACTTGGTGAGAGGTTCTTGCTTCGAGGTGCACTAGGAGCGGGCCGGGGAGCAGGTCTGACATGACGATACTGTTCAAGACCATGGGTGTTGACTTGGAGGCTCGGCTTGAGACCTGATAACCGGGATTGAAACTGATCTGGTACAAGCATAGACGTATCTGGTAGAGGCTCGGTGATGCTTGGGGGTGGGGGCGTAGGTTGCCAATTCATCGACGACTGGAAAGGGATCATGGTTGAATCAAGCTCGGGGACAGAAAGAAGAAGCGCCTGAGGGTCGATAACCGGATCTGTTGGTTGAGGAGGCCTACGGGTAGGACTGGTTTCTTGTGGGACTGGGGCATCGACCACAATTGAAGAGATTTCGACGGAATCGATCTCGACGATCTCGTTCGATTGCAACTCTGCCTCGATTGGAGATTGTATCTCTAGAGAATCGTAGCTTGGAGGAGGTAGGGAGATATCTTCGCCGTCATAGTCCAGAGTTTGGCCTTTTCTTGGCTTATGGCCTAAGTGTGAGAAGAAGCTCTTGGCCATGGACAGCATCTTCCGTCGCTTTGATGGGTGACCCAAACATCTCTTACACCTGCTGTCATTGAATCTCTCAACCTTCATACACTCGTAGCACCAATACTCGCATGAGGGGAGGTGCTCGCAGTCGGCAAGATGCCTCAGCATCAACTCATGGTTGGTGAACCGCTTTCTACATCGGAGCAACGGACACTCCAGTCTTTCGCTATCACTCATGCGCTGACATGAGTTGCGCTTAACGGCGGCCCAGACAATGAATCTGTGCGTGGCACATTCGTCACGAGATGTTTCGCGGGTTCTGCAAACGTCGTGAGCTCTTATGTTTCTAGCCAGGGACAAATATGATGGGCCGATCGGCTCAACCGCGGACGAGCTTGGGGACTAACACGCATGAGATGGAAGACACAGTTTCGGCTATGGAAGATGAGCCGGAATGAAGATGATCTCGTAGTAGAGAGCGGCTATTGCAAGTATCGGAGGACCGGCGACTGTTGGACGAGTCCAGGGCCGTCAGGTCGGCCTCAGTCAGAGAGGCGAGCATTTTCTTTGAGCTCATGATGAGTGAGGGTGAGCAGGTGGATTCCAAGCCCTTCAAACTCTCCTTGAAAGCCGGTTCAAGGACGAATCGAAGCGAGGACTGTTTGCCATCAATCGATCAATCAATCAAGGAGAGATCCGCCACCCCATCTTTTGTTTTATTTCAACGATCTGCTGTTCCTGGCGCCGGGGAAGGAAACGTCACCAAACAGAGGTCCTACCGAAAAGCAGGACGAGGCAGCGAGGTTTAGGACTTTGGTGTAGGACTTCTGGGGCTGGGGCTCACCAATTGGTTGCCTCTGCCCGCTTGCCGGCAGATGCGAGACGCTGGGCTGCGGGAGCAGCCAAAGCCACTGCCACTACCTACCGTTGCATAGGTAGCTATGGATACTTACTGGCTGTACCTTGGCAAAGCCCGCATTCGCTGAAGGATTCTGCCTGCATCAGCAAGTAATCCTCGACCTCAAGGACTTTCCTACACGAATCTGGCCAATTGGACACCGTTGGGGGCCAAGGCCGCAAGGCAGACTTTCCTTGCGCCAGTATGGACCAGCTGAAGTCGTCCTCGCTGGGATTGGGGATGGATCGGGTGTTTTAGGTCGGTGCTCACTCAACCACCACCACCACCACCACCTCTCGGGATGGCCCACTCTGTGTACTGGAGCAGTAAGATAAGGTGCCTTGTATACAAGGACAGGACTTTTGCTCGTCAAGATAGTGAAATCTCCCATCTCAGTGCGTTCCCACCTCGATGAATCAATCTAAGTCATAAGGCTGACAAGGTACAGCTGAGGCGCCTCTAGAAAATCCCAGGTCTGTCCTGCATGAACGATATCCAGCTGCCTTGAGCTCGAATCTCAAGAAGCAGGACTATGCCATGCTTGAGCGCGAAGAACCTGACTCCGTCCTGACAGAGACACAGCGTAAGCAACGCAAAGAGAGAACCCCGACTTGATTAGGTGAGTGCCTCAGGCCCGTCTGCAGCTCATACTACGATGCGCTCCGGGGTTTCCGAGGTCGCTCGCGACGGACCAAACGATAAGAAGGATACAAGTAGGTGACATCAACAGTGTCTCAGGATTATGGCATACGGCAGCACCATGGAAAGTCCCGTTGCCCACGATGGAGGGTTTCGGGTGGCTTAGGTACGAGCTGCAGTAGGCGTGGGCTCGGCCTTTATCTGTTGTGTTGTAGGCCAAATTCTGTGAATGGTAGCCATTTCATTCAATTGGTGAAATGAAGCCTGGACTACCTTGCACCCACGCCTACATTTTGAACTAGACTAGAACAACCTGGGGTAGCTTTGGGTAGGGCAGCGAGCGGAAACACTGCACCCATGAAGCGCGGCTCACGGGATAAAGTCGACGGGGGAATCATAGATGTAAACGCTAGCAGGGTCTAGACGTGGTTTTGGGAACGGCATAACACCGCAAACAACACCTCACACCTCCTTAGATCGCTTGGTGGGCGTCGACGACGAAGTTCCTTTGGTAGCATATCAGCCGAATACGCCCGGCACGCACAGGCGGCTATCAACCGTATCAGGCGGGAACATAGAGAAAGCTCCGTTTGTCGGTCTCGCACCAGCATATGCCAACCAAAGTCAAGTGCGGGCTGGAGAAGATCGATCTCATCGGGATTTTTGAAAGACTAGCCATGCAAGTCCGTCGTTGACCTCGGGCATCCCAACAGAACTTTACTACGGTAGCGGGCTTTTCAGTCCTTTCCAGACTGTGTAAGCTCAAGGCGTACGGTGTGGAGTGAAGAAAAAGAGGAGAGAGGAGGAGTTGCCGTCGATCTCAGGTTCCATGTTTTGATGTTACGCCTCTGGTCTACATGGCATCCCGTATGCAAGCAATATCACCGTTGATAATCTCGCTCACCACAAGTTATCATTTGATTGCTCACTGGACCATGGAATCGGGCCGGGGTAGCAGCAAGCAGGAGCATTTGCTGCCGGTCAACGATGCCGGTGAACTGGATTGAGTTCGATTGACAGTAACTCAGAAGACGGGGTGACAACTCTTACGTTTGCTTGTGGAGATGGGAGCTGCACGACGTGTTTCGAAAGTTCTGAATCCTCCACTGCCATGCTTGCCTCCTGCACCCCCTACAAAGCTCAAAACGTGTTGGCTTCTTGGGAGTTTGCCTAGTCTGGTAGCTAGCCCGGTCTGCGAGCATCTTCTGATACGCAAGGGGACCTCCATTCAGCGAGGGTAGTAGAACTCCGTAACGTCATTTTTGCGCATTCTTGCGCGGCGATGGTGAACATCTAAACTGCATTCAGCGCCCAGCATTCAAGATCAAACGAGGGCTATGCGAGCGGAGTTTTAGCCGAACGCTTTGTGACAGGCTTTTCTGTCTTTTCTATCGTCTGTCTGCCCGGCAGGACCCTATCACAGGCCACGGATCGAGATCTTCACATGGATGATGTTGGTTGTTGGCGGCGGTCTAGAGTTCAGCCCAGAGGCCAGACTCTCTCCCTTGGGTGCGCTTGGTGCCCTCTGGTGTGTCGCGATGTGAAGCCAGTGAAGCCAGACGGCTGTCGTCGGGGCCTGTCGACCTCCCAAGCCCAATGAACAGGCGACGATTCGACAATCTAATCTCAAACAAGATAGAAGCAGCCCGGGGGTCCACCCGCACAAGTCAATCCTGTGATCACAGAACTGGAGGAGGCTTGACCATCCAGTCGCTCCCAAACAGGAACCGTGGCGCCCTTGGATCGTAGGCGATTGGTCTGGGATGCACATCTTATCGTCTTATCAACCTTTTCCTCGCACACTCCGTGGGACGACGGGCAAGCTCTCGCATGGGATGGTGGATCGCCCCGGGCAATATCGACGTGCTGCTTAAATAAATCAAGCAGACATCCCGTCCGTTCTCGTTGGCCCGAATTTCCCAAGAGCCCGGATATCTTGAATTGTCGTCATTTTCGTATCTCTGCCTTATCTGAGCAGGATCCTCACCCTGTTGTTGGCTGGCTGGGCACGGTTCTGACCGACCGACATACAGACTATCAGACAGACTATCTGTTTGTCCATCCGGGGGCTGGATGGGGGACCCTGACTTTTTTTCTGGACTATATCTGTTTCGACTGACATATGAGAACCCTCCCACTCGTCCATTTATTCCATCTATCTTATTTTAATGACATTTCCCAAGCCTGCGGGACGCTACCCAACTCGCAGAAGGACCCTTGAGGCTGGCTGGCACGACTGCACGAACACACAGCTTTCTCCTTCCTCTTCGACTCTCGCGGCAACGCAATTGCTGCGACCCTTCTTACTTACGGCGCTACACTAGCCTGGCTCGCTAGGGAGAAAAGGCTTGAATTGCGGCACTCGACTCGTGGCTTCCTGAGCTACGAGGACCCCGCGCTGGACGCTCGCTGCCCGCCGGAAGGACTAACACACCCAATGAAATGGACGCCTCTCACCACATGGCCGCTATACGGGAGCTTGACCTCAGTGCCTACCACTCGCACTCAATAGCGGACAGGATCAATGATGCCGTTCCTGGCCTCAAGACCAGCACCGGTAAGAGCTAGATGATTTTTTTCCTCCGATTTCTTTCTTGCTCTTCACGAGACTTAAGTAAGGCCGCGTGTCCGTTTCATCATCTTCCTTTGCATAACTGGAAAACCAACGCCTGTGTCAATTGAGCGACCTGTGTTGGTCGACCGAGTGCTGAGCTGTGGCGGCCACGTTCGGTCACGGAAACGGCATATCCACGAAGTTACGGCCAGAAAGCCCGAAACAGCACAGAAGACATAGTCGCGTGCTCAGATCAAGTTGACACGTGTGGACTTTTGCTCTACAATTCAGTTATAGCACCTGCACAATAAGGCTTTTCACCGTTGTTGAGTTTGTGAGGCTCGACTTACAGCGAACCCTTGCGATTCGACCTTTTCAATAGACTTTTGCACTTTGGGCACGGCTACTACAACTTTCTGAAAAGACCATTCGTTCTAACCGCAACTCTCTACTTCTTCAGCCTTCTTCACATTCCTCCGCGCGAACCTGGTGCTTCCGCCCTCGGCCATGGCCTCCAACGTGAGCACGCCGCTCTTGGAGCCGAGTGTCTCGCAGACACTACCGCCGCCCTCGCCCTCTCCTCTCGCCCAGCCGCCCCAGACCGACCTCGACGGAATACCGCCTCTGTCACTCGACGTGTTGGCCAGCCGAGACGACAAGGTAGACGCTTTCAAGCTGGTCGCGGACAGCATAGCGCAGCAGCGGCAGAAGGCCTCCCTCAACCTCGTCTTCCACCCTCTCCTCCTCGCCGCGCTGATCGGCGCACTCTCCTGGGCCGGCCACTACGGCTGGGTGACGCGGTACAAAGACCTCGGCACCACGCTGCTCCTGGTCTCCGGGATCATCATGACGTACCTCATGGGCATCCGCTACCTCAGCAGCCCCTACATCCGCGTGGCCGAGGCCCTGAGGTGGGACTGGCTGGTGGCCGACGACGGCGAGGAGGACACGATCATCGGCAGCCGGTTCGGCGACGAGATGATCGGGGCGCTCGTGTTGCGGCTCGAGCCGAACCCCAGCCTGGCGGGCAAGAAGAAGAACCGCGCGCTCAGCCTCAAGGGCGGCAAGGGAGTGATTCGCGCGTGGACGACCAAGCTGCGCTACAGGAAAAGGGGCGTGGGCAACGACCTGCTGCACGAGGCCGTGCGGGTCACGCGCGAGAAGTGCGGCAAGGACGCCGAGGTCGGGTTTGCGCAGGAGCACGCCAACAGCACGATGGTGTTGCCGAATTTCTTCAATGGGCCTTTTAGAAAGCAGGAGATGCAGGCTGCCAGGACCCTCGAGAAGGTTCTTGGAGAGTGGGAGGGAAATAGGAGGAAGAGGTGAATTATATCAGTTCTAATGGTTAGAAAGCATTCTCGTTTGGGCGAGTGGGTGTACGGCGGTAATACGGGTTATTATAGAGGTTTTTGGGATACTTGATACCTACTTGATACCACGATAGACTTTCGCTAATAAAGCTCGCATGTCACGTTAACCAAAATGATGGGTATGCAATGAAAACAGTCCTTTGACCAGAGGGTCGGTCTTATGTGCGGTAATGTACACTCCCTAAGCATGTTCCGCCATGCCCTTTAGCCAGCCAAACCATTTTCTGGTTAGAATATACAGCAAAAATTGAGAAACACAGTCATACCAAACCCTTAAAAGCCGCAAAACCATGATACAAAGAAAAGAATCGTTAATCGTAATGCGTTCCGTTTGCTCGTCGAAGAGAGCGTAGCAAATCCATGTAGACAGATCAAGGCGAGGCAGCAGCTGCCGGGATACCATGACCCTTGCGTGGCTCATTGTACGTCTCGGGATCAAACCCGTAGATCGGACGGCCAATACGCTTCAGCGCGAAGAGGACCTTTGTGATATTAGCCCGAAGCTGTCAGAGGAAAACTCGAGTACTTACATCATGGATGGTGATGGTCTTTGCATTTCGGTACTCGGTGAAAGTGACACAGTCCTTCAGAATCTATTCTTCTATGATTAGAAGCATGCCTTCATGTTAAAGGCGACAGGGCAAGCTCACCAACTCCAGTCTGGCCTTCAGCGCCGCGCGGATATCGTCGTAGATGGAGCCTGAAATGCGCTTGACACCGCCTCGTCGAGCCAATCGTCTATGACAAGACGGTCAAATGTGAGAACTAAACTCGAAATGAAACAAATTGAAGATCTTCATATGAGACAAGTGAGAGCAGAAATCTCAGATGCCAAACCGAGCAAAACAAACAAGCAGACAAAGTGTAATTTATAGGAACAAGCATGAAAATGACCAAAGAAGGGCAAGCAATGAAACAGAATCCTCAGACAACACTCAAATTGACAAATGACAAGCACAGACTAGCTTCCGTATTCTGACGACGGCTTCTTGCATGAAGGCTGCATTTACTTACCGAATAGCGGGCTTGGCTATTAGACAGATGGTCAGCGTGAGTAAACAGGAGGTGATACGGTATTGATTCCACTCACTAATGCCACGGATGGTATCTCGGGGGACTTTTCTAAATCCCATGACTCAGTGGTTAGCTATCACGTTGTCTCATCTCTGATTTTTCGTGGACGAGACGGAAGTCTACCTGTGGCGTTTACCACCCAAGATGGTCTTTCCACCTACGGCTCCGGGGCGCTTCTTCAAGGCGCTTGGCCCACCGCGCTGTGGGATTGTCGGAGGCATATTTGCCTGATCTGGAAAGTTCCTGTGTGATAGACGACAGTTTTCGGTGTTGGCTGTCGTGAACGAAAATAAGGATGGACCGGAATTTGAGGCGAGGAACCAAGCTGTCGTGCGGAGGGGAGTTTGAGGTTGTGAGATGGAAGGTGTGTGGCTGGCTAGAACCGCACAAGGCAGGCACCCGCAGTAAACATCTCCAAATTAAGGTTTGGAGGGGTGCTGGACGATAAGACTGATTGATACTGTAACAAAAGGCAGTGACGCGGGGGTAGTCTAGAGCAGCAGGTAGGTGGTCACGCAGCACCCACTTGCCCAGACTGGCGCCTAGTTCACCTACCAGAAGAAGGTATCGCAAGAAAATATCGTAATCTCGCAAGGGAAGGAAGTACCCGACAGATTTCGAAATCGGTAAGGAGCAGATAGCAGTGATAGTAGATACCGTGATCATTTATTATTAGGTTAGGTAGTATCTGACTCTGGACCTGTGTCGGGAGTATTATGACAGGGGACAGAGTATGTTAAAGTGAGGATTTCATGCTGTACCAACGAGTGACCAATTCTAGGATTCTCAACGCCAGAACCCTTCATACCCAATGTGATTACAATGCTATACTTTATGCCTGGACATCATTACTCAGAAATGAAAGTGGCTTCGCTGAAAAGTCTGCCCTCTTCTACGATTTCAGGATCGTCGCCAATCTTGATCTTTAAGGAGAGCTTCTTCGACGGCATGTACTAGACACGAGTTAGCAGGAGCTAAAAAGGCATCCAAGCCAAAAGCTTTGACTGCTCACCTGATATATGTATGGCTTGGTACCAACCGCCCCAGCGACAATCTGCTTGACGAAGCCAGGGACCTCCGCCATAACATCTATTCTATCAGCACGGTCTTCAACATCACCCTCAAGGATGGCTTCGACAGTCTTGCCATCCTTGGTCGTTCCACTCCAAGTGAACTGGACGGTCTCAGGCTCCGGCCAGTCATTAACGTTGTCCGTCTTAGCTTTCAGGTGCACAGCCTTGTTGGCAGAACCGGCAATGAGAATCTCGCCGTCCTTTGCAATGCCGCCCACATTTACCACGGTGGATCCATATGAAGGTGGTGTGGTGAAGTCCATCATGATCGCAGAGAAGGTCGGACCCTGGAAATCGCAAAAATTCCACCTCGCCGCAGCATGGTGGGGCTTCATGCCCTGCATAGCATGGGACAAGAAAGCTGGACCCGTGAAGTCGATAGGGCCATCGGGGGTAGTGATGGTGCCTTCGGCGCGGCATCTGGGCCAGAAAGCATGTCGCATATAGCCCCAAGGGTTGGATAGGTCTGTTCCGTATAGCGTCTTGCCGTCCTTGCCAGCAACGAATCCGGGCGCCTCTTGCTTCAACGTGAGGTTCACGATCGATCTTTCGTCCGTCATCGACTTTATGGTATACGTCTTCCCATCCTCAGACAGCTCTACTGCGCAGTCCGTGCCATAGAAATTGGCCTTGTCCTCGCTGAACTCGTGGTCCCGCAGCTGGGTGGAGCAGAATAGCGGCTCCCTCTCCTTGTTGGGATAGAAAACCTTGGAGACAAACTGGACTGTTATATGAATGCCGCTTCACAAAAGGTCAGCGGGCTATCCAAGAGGGGGTATGCCTGGACGACAATCATACGCCACGTTGCTATAGAGGACCTGGACAAACGCAGTATGCCCTGTCGGTGCCATCAAGTAGAAGGTCTTGGTTTCCACGTTGGTCGAGTCCAAGACGATCCAGTTCATGTCATCTCGGGTCAACTCCGTGTACGGAGTCTCTTTGGCTTCCTCGGCGACCGACTTGATGGCGGATGGGCCGTAGATGGGCTCCTTGGTGCCGGCCACGTTGGCCAACCTAGAGCACCCAGCAATTAGACTCTGTTCGTCAACACTTCAAGTCTCAACCCCGCCCAGACCTACTGTTGTTGCGCCCATTTGAACATCTTCGTGGGCAGTCGCTGACACAAATGCGAAAGGAGCGAAATCGAAGGTCGAGGATTGAAGAGATATTTTGCGCGCTTGTAGAGATTGAGAGTCGTAGGAAGAATGGAGAGAGGAAAAGTTCACCGCTTTGGGCGCCCTGGTCCAGCCTGTGTAAGTTTAGGTGCACGAGGACAGTACTAGAGGGGTTGGCTTGTGGCGCTGGGATGACAGCACGTCACTGGGGGCACCAGTGCCTGTTCTCCCATTGAGCGCGGCCGTCTCGGGAGACATCAAACTCGGCTCCACTGAGGAAGTCCCTTGGCGCTGAAGACTTGCTGTACCTTGCGTGCCTTATTAACGTTAAAAGGAACGTGGCTGATGTAAGGTGACCTACCAACCTAACCAAAGGCAGGCTGAGGTATGGGCGGCAGGTCGTACGGTTGCAGTGGATGCAAGCGTGGTAGTGGGACCAGTCACAGGCCACCGCTGCGTGTAGCTTGAACTCCAAAAATTCAACCACCAAGAGCCAACTGCCTGGATTGCCTGCACGCATTCATCATCAGCGACTGCGCGGCCAACCCGCACACAGCCCAGCGACAAAGGCATACGCGTCCCCCGTGTATGTAGGATTTCATCAAGTCGAAATGTCGAGGGCACGCGCAGCAGGTGGGGTGGACCAGATTGTGAAGCTCATCGTGGGAGCCGGACAGGCCAGCCCGAGTCCTCCAGTCGGTCCAGCCCTCGGTAGCAAGGGTATCAAATCTATGGACTTCTGCAAGGTAGGCGCAAACACATTTGGCAGTCACTTGCAGTTTGCATCAATTTCTCCGAGTGTCTGTTGTGTTTTGGGCTGACATGTGAGAAATAGGAGTTCAATGCCAGGACAGCACATATCAACCCAGGCACTCCAATGCCCGTCCGAGTCACAGTACGACCCGACAGAACTTTCCACTTCGATGTTCGGACACCTCATACGTCTTGGCTACTCCTCAACGCGGCCGATGCTCCAGCAGGCAAGAAGGGCAAGAGGAAAGGCTCCAGCAATCCCGGCAAGGAGATCGTTGGCACCCTGAGCCTGAAGCACGTCTACGAGATCGCGAAGATCAAGCAGACCGAGTTGAGATTATCGGGACTATCATTGGAGGGGCTTTGCAGGTCAATAATCTACCAGGCGAAGTCTATCGGACTTGACGTTGTTGCGTAGACTCTGCTCGGAGGTAGGAAGAAAAGGAGGACCTTCGAAAGGAAAAAGGATCAACGGGGCTATCGAACACCCCTAAAGACGAGTTGTACGACTATGATCTCTGTATATATAGCTGTACTTCACACATACACCGTACATGCTGCGGGATTTGGCGCATTGGACAAGAGCTAATAAGATATCCAATTCTACTTCAGGGCCGCTACCACTCACAGCTACGCCGTCCATGGCGAGTTTGCGACTAAAAATATTCGAGTTGACCCCGTTTGGAAATGATTTATCGGATCAAAAGAGTAGTGATCTATAATCTCTCATCGTGACACTGTTTTCGGTGTTTTGGCGGACTGTACGACGTTCCTTGCTTAGTCGTGATACAAGCCAAGAGGCCAAGATACATGTGCCTGAGGTGGTGTCGATCACTTCCAAGTTGCAGTGCAGGGCGAGGCTCAAATTCTTCATATTAAATTCAGCCTCAAAATTTGGAGAAAAGGCACATCACAGCCTGACTTGTCTGATTCAGGGTAGAGATAACAAAAACTCAGCACTTGCTTCCTACAATCCATCGGAAAGCACTTTTGTGTTTCATGGGTCTGTAGGGCAACTAACTTCTACCAGTTCGATCAAGGAGCTACGTAAGCAAGTATCAAGGCGCAAAATCATCAAACAGATCTTGTGAGATATAGACACCAGTGGTTCTGTTACGTTATGCCTTGCCAGCAAAGAGTCACAAACAAATTCTTTTCGCAGCCACTAGGTCCACAGCAGCAGACCCTCGGCCAATCCAGGAACAAACTCTGTGACGATGTGCCTGGACTTGGTTCGGCTTGCTGTGAAAAAGTCCTCAAAGCTCTTGAGCTATGGTGCCGGGCCGAAAGATCATAGGGCTATTTTTGCCCCAGGCGATGCCGAACAGGCCTCTTCAAGTTGATTGCAGTGAATAGAGCGTGGGGCTAGAGGTGCTGGGCCTTGTAACAGAGATGACAAGCCCACAACGTGCTTGCCAAGCTCCTTCATGTGCTAGCCCTCCCGATGCCAGCCAGGCCGGGGCTAGTCAAAATACGTGGAAAGCTGATTGATCATCGCGACGGTCCCCGATCATATGCAAAAAGGCACGGCGGCGAGAACAGCTCTCCTTGCCTCATTGAAGTTAGCGAATGAAACTGGCTTCTCCCCTGATCTCGATGTGTCGTGGCTGAGACACATCATCATGATCTAATGGGGATTTGCAACGTGTGCCGCATTGGGGAGGTGTGTCTGAATCAGGAGCAGTGCGAGATGACGAGGTCCGCCGCCCAGAGTTCCGTTCCAGAAGCCGAGAAAAATTCCGTGAGTCTTTCGGCCTGGGCTAAGGTAAGCGTTAGTGACTGGCATGTGTGTGCGTGGGTGGGATGGGTGAGTAAGTGAGATCCATTGTATGGTACCTAGGCTCGCTAGGTAGGGTAGGGGTGGGTAGGTGGCTGTTTGCGCTTGCGTTTGGGGCAGAAGAACCTGAACGGGGCGACGGCCAGAGTGGATGGGAAACGAAAGAGCAAGCCCGTCCCGCTGACTCCGAAAAAGGTTGGACTAGAAAGATACCTTGCATCCCCGCGGGCAGCCGGGTGCAGCGAAGGTACCGCGACGTACCCCCGGACTAGCTGCCCCACCACGAGCTTTCTCATCCGTCACCAGGCGCCTGCATTTGGGCGTCTCTTCCGTCTCTACACTTTGCTTCGCCTTTTCTGACTCCCAAAAAGTCTTCGTGACACTCTCTTCGCTCGTCGTCGAGCCCCTCTGTCTTTCTCTTCTTCTCAGTATCTGTATTCACTAGCAAACAATGACGAGCGCGCCGCAGGAGACGAAGCAGGACCTATCGGGCCAACACGATCAAGGTGAGCGAAGCCGCTGCTGCCCCTCTATCTCTGCCCTTTCGACCGCATCCGGCCCCACCTCATGAACTCTCGATGCTTGCTGCTTGCTTGCTTGCTTGACCAAAATGGGAGATCCTCTTGTCTGACATCAGCGTCCTCAATCCTCTAGATATATCTCATAAAGCGCCCGATCCGCCTCCTAGCGATGACAATGGCAACGCCAACTCCGGCCCCGCGGTTCGATTCAAGTCGACGGTGCAGGAGATTGCTGCACCAGAGAACGTATCTTCAAGCTTGCCTCCGATCAAAGATAGCCCACTCAGCGAGCCAGCCGATGTCACTCCCGCTCAACTAAGAGAGCTTTCAAAGTCACTTCAGGGCACTCATCTACAGGAGCGCCGAATGAATATATTTTCCTTCGAGCCATTCTCTCTACCTGCATCCAGAGTACGTCCTTGTAAAACGGCAGTGTTCAATTCAATTCCATCCGTTCTCATGTCTCCACGGCCATTGGCCTCAATTGCCCTTTCATGAGCATGCCAAGAGGCCTGCAGTCCATTTTGTTGAATTAAGCGAATATTACTTTTGTGACTTTGATGAAGCTGACACATGTCTCTCTTTAGACGGCGTCTCATGAAGATGACTCCCGAGATCCGAGTAGACAACACACACGAAGTTCAGGAAGCCACCACTCACCCCTTTTGAGCCCTAGGGGTCCGGAAATGCACTCCCCACCACTCACGCCCGCTGGGACCGATGGAGTTGAGGGAGAGTCCAAGCAGCTAGAACATGGCAAGGAGCCGGACAAGCCGGCGATCCGTCGTGAACTCATCACCCCACAGGAGTCTACACAAGAGACATCACCTCCGTCATCCGTGCGAAAGCTAGTTCATAGGCCGTCTTCTTCCGATGATGTACCGAAGCGTCCGGGCTCAGAGGAAGGGAACATCCCGCAAATGACCGAGCACAGAAGAGGGCTTTTCTCTGTCGGACCCTCGGCGGGTGGATCACTCCCTGTTTCGCGCGAGAATAGTCCTTCCCGCGCTTCTGCCTTCTACTCGCGGCCATTCACTCCGGCCGGTGAGAGAGATGATCCATACGCAGCGAGCAAACGTCAGCCTCAAAGTAGCAATATCGAGCCACGATTTGTATTTTCTCGAAAGAAGGGCAAAGTATCGCCCAGCTCATCAACCATGAGTCTTCCACGATCATCAGTCGACAAGCGCTCTTCCGCCCTTGTCAGCGCTTTGGGGAAGAACAACGCCGATCTTCACCCAGACGATGCTTCCAGCTCAATGCACAGTAGACAGGGATCTATGGCTGATTTGAAGCGGTTCTTCAAGATGGGCAACCACAACAAGATGAAACGAGCCGCATCACCTGCATCATCTATCAAGTCAGGCATGAGAACTCCTCCCAGTTCAAGATCGGCCGTGCAAATACCGTTCGGTGATGACCATGGGCTATCATCAAAATACGGAAAGCTCGGCAGGGTTCTTGGATCAGGAGCGGGAGGCTCAGTGAGGCTTATGAAGAGAAGTGAGGACAGCACGGTTTTTGCTGTGAAAGAATTTAGGCCGAGACACTCCTACGAGACCGAGAGAGAATACGTCAAGAAATTGACTGCTGAATATTGCATCGGCTCATCACTACATCACGGAAATATCATCGAGACGCTTGACATTGTTCAGGAGAAGGGAAAGTGGTATGAGGTTATGGAGTACGCTCCTTTCGACCTCTTCGCCATTGTCATGACGGGTAAAATGTCAAGAGAGGAAGTCTCTTGTTGCTTTCTTCAGATCTTGAGTGGAGTTACCTATCTCCACAGCATGGGACTTGCTCACCGGGATCTCAAACTCGACAATGTCGTTGTCAACGATCGTGGTATTATGAAGATCATCGATTTCGGTAGTGCTCATGTCTTCAAGTATCCTTTCGAAAACAACGTCGTTTTGGCTTCGGGTGAGTCTTGGAAATAATTATCCGTATTCTATGTCAAGGATTTCGCTAACAAATCAATCAGGCATTGTGGGTTCTGATCCCTATCTTGCTCCAGAGGTCTACGATGAGCGCAAATACGAACCGCAAGCTGTCGACATTTGGTCGCTAGCAATCATATTCTGCTGCATGACTCTCCGGAGGTTTCCTTGGAAGGTGCCCAGAATGACCGACAATTCATTCAAATTGTTTGCTGCGGACCCCACTCCCGGGCATGACCCCAAGAAATTAAACCTTCCCCTGCCCCCGAACAAGTCCACGAGCGCTTTGAGCGAGATTCCACAACGGGACATGTTCCCAGGTGATCCCGAAAAGGCTCACCACGCTCCGAAGCACGAGGGCGACAAGCCCCGGGCTTCCCATGACGGTGGCAGTGGCGAGAAGAAAGAGGTCATAAGAGGACCGTGGAGAATATTGAGACTTCTTCCTAGAGAGAGTCGTCACATAATCGGACGGATGCTCGAGATTGATCCGAAGAAGCGAGCCAAGATGACCGAGATTCTTGAGGATAGCTGGGTGTCCAATGCGGTCATTTGTAGGCAGATTGCGCCTGGTCAGGTCATCAACGCGGATGACCATACTCACATCCTGGAACCTCCTTCGACACCGGCCAAATAGAGTCGGCAGCTCTCTCCTTAGATGTGATTTTTTTTTTTCTCTCTCAGGATCCGGCGTACTGGGTGTTTAGATTAGGGTAGATTCGAGACTGAGCGGTTTGACATTTTCCGCAAGCGATGGTTGGGCATAGATGCTAGGTTTGGGTCAGTTGACACCACGCTTCTCTTGTGTTTTGTCACTCGATGGGTTGGAGAGGAGTATGGCAGCGGGTCAGTTTGTGTTTCAATCCAACTATGTAGAGCTGAGTACATGCTTTAAAGCATCTCCTGAATCAACTATATATCTTAGTCATAAATACAATGAATGTCTCTACTTGCCATGGAGTGCGCTGTGCCGTCGAATAGTAGACCTCGGTATTATAATATCCTAGACCGGGAGCCCCAGCTCTCGGGCCAGTGGGGCGGGCTCTGGCAGCTTTCTAGTCGCTTCAGCGGGCGGCATCGGAAATACAGGCTTCCGGCCCCTGCGAAAAATTGCTGATCTTCTAGATGTTCTTAGAAGCTCTGCATCGCTAGCATCAATTTCCCCCGACCAGCTTGCGATTACCAGTCTTCTTCCCAATTGCGACCAATTTGCCCTCAGCATTACACCGCATCACACATACACAATGGTCAGTCATCTCATGCTTTGGCTTGTCAACTAGTCACCTTCAGAAGCTTGTATACACTTTGCGCGAGTTCGCATTGTGCCGGCTCCTGCTTCCGGACAACCGCATCCCGGATACTCTTCAGACAGACGCTGACCAGTAGCTCTAGGCCACCTCTCTCCGATCAATCAAGGCTCTTGTCCCTCTCCTGGACAGAGTGCTCGTCCAGCGTGTCAAGGCCGAGGCCAAGACCGCCAGCGGCATCTTCCTGCCCGAGTCCAGCGTGAAGGAGCTCAACGAGGCCAAGGTCCTAGCCGTCGGCCCCGGCGGCCTGGACAAGGAGGGCAAGCGCACGCCCATGGGCGTCGCTCCCGGCGACAAGGTCCTCATCCCCCAGGTATGGAACTATCGCCCATCATTCAGATAGAGAGCAGGACAGTTGTGCTAACAAGACGTGCAGTACGGCGGTTCCCCCGTCAAGGTCGGCGAGGACGAGTACCACCTGTTCCGGGACAGCGAGTGAGTTTCCCTTGCCTCTCTCTTGCCAAGATACCAAGTTACTGATGCTCTCTACCTACAGGATCCTGGCCAAGATCAACGAGTAAACACAAGATACCCACGAATTCATAATGAGCGCACTTGTATTGTACCATAACCTGTACCAAAAAAAAGAATGGATAAAATCGGGGCATTCGAGAGCGGCGGGATTCACACGTTTGCATAGAGAATGGTGTATGTAGGCGTATCTAGTAAGGTACTACTAGCTTTCATCGGCGGGTCTATCTAGAGTCGTGGAAGTCAAATACATATTTCTCCACTCTCCTCACAGCAACTTCATCCGGCGTAAACATAATCCTTTCTTCTGTGCTTTCTTGGTCGAATAGTCACTGTTTCGTCTTGTCTGTTTAGACCAATTGCTTCAGATCAGGTGCTCTGAGCTTGGTATGATCCATGGCTAGGCAACAGACCATCTATTCCTTTGCCAGGGTATTGAACGTAAATAAATCAATTGTAAAGACACTCAACATTGAGATTTATAATACTTGTCAAGATGTCGAAGATTCTGGTAATCTCGTAGAGGAGGCAATACTACTACTCTTGTGGAACTAATGTTTACTATCCTGGTGGAACAGTACTTTGAAGCAGGATAGTCAATAGTTTTACAAGTTGATATCATACACACTTATTACCATTAATAACAAAGCTAGTCCCTCCCTAGCCAGGGGTATCTTCTAATGAGCCCAGTATCTTATATTAGCAAAACAAATGTCCATAATCGCCTTACACACATGACTTCACATCTCAAAACCTTAATATCAATGCATAGGACTGCCGAGCTCATGCGCCACAGACGCACAACCTGGAGTGAAACACCGTTGAGCCAAAGCAGATAATAGACTACCGAAACCCGTTCGGAGTGCAAAGTGAGTTCTCAGGATAGCAGTCTCGAAATGTCTGCCATCCTCGTCTCCTTAGACTTTTTGTCCTTGCCCTGCTCCTGGAAGGCCTTGCTGACGAGCTTTCGTTTCTCGGCTTGGATGTCAAGAACTCGCTCCTCAACCGTGTCCTCCATGATCAATCTCCACACCGTGGTCGGCCGGGTCTGGCCGAGACGGTGGACACGGTCAACGGCCTGGTCTTCAATAGCCGGTGCCCACCAGCTGTCGGAAAGAATGACAGTGTCCGCGGCGACAAGGTTCAAGCCTACACTGCAAACAGCCAGACTGGCAAGCATGATGCGCGTGTTGTCATCGTGGTCTAAAGCCCGTATGGCAGCGTCCCGCGAGGCAGTCGTCATACTTCCGTCAATACGAGTATATGTATAACCAGCGTCTTTGATCTGGCGCTCGATGATCGTCAAGAACGATGTCCACTGGCTGAAAATAATGATCTTTGAGCCTGGGTTTCTGACTGTGGCCTGAACGATTTTCAACAACGCCTCCGTCTTCGAGCTCTGTGTCTCCGTATCCAGCTCTTCATCTTGACCAGACGATTCTAGCGGTGGCTCAACAAGTTTGGTTTCGTCTAATGGAGTGCGACACATTGGGCATTTGCTTTGCGTCTCGATAACCTTGCGGATACAACCACCGCAGAAGGTATGCTTGCAGTGAGTAATCACAGGTGCCGTCAAATCGTCAATGCACACAGGGCACTCTTCCTGACTCTCTATGACGAGTTGCAGTGCCTGTTGCAGAATTTCTCGGTTCTTGTCGTTGAGTACCACTACGTCCTGGTCCGCCAAGAGATTCAACAAGTCAGCGATCCTCTGCCGGCAGAGAGTCCAGTGGTTGCAAGTCTGACGCAGACGCAAGAGTCTCTCGAGAACGTTCTGGAATCTCCCCTTTTGGCCTTTGTTGGACCGCCTCTGGTACTCTTCAAGCACGCCTTTCGCCTCTTTCAAAAGTGCGTCATATTTCTTCTTCTCATCCGCTCGGAAGGTGATGCGATGTACATACTCTGTCTTGGGTGGGAGCTTCAGGTCGACGAACTTCATGTCTTTCTTACGTCGGAGACAGAGGTTCTGCATCAGAGACTGAAGGATGGCTTCCGCTCTACGGCTACCCAATCCCAGAGGTCTTGTGATGACGGTGGTGAAGATCTCAGTCTGCTCAATTCCACCGGTAATCCGCAGAAATTTGACAATGGAGTATAGATCCTTCACGCTGTTGACGATTGGTGTTCCCGTCAAAACCCAGCGTGCCTCAGCCTCCAAATGACATGCAGCCTGCGCGACTTTGGTTCCTGCATTGCGAATAATATGACCCTCGTCCAAAACTACGCGGCGCCATTTCGTAGAGAAGAGCGGGCCCTTATTGGTCTTGTCGCTCGTCAAGGTACCGTAACTCGTTATGACAATGTCGTACTGTTGCAAGTCTTTTTCAGATGACTTCTTTCCTGAGCCATGATAGGTGAGAATATTGGGTGCGTGAGACTCTTGAACATGCCTCTGAGCTTGCTGCTCCCAGTTGCTCATGACAGTGAGTGGAGCAACTATCAGAGTCGGTCCACCACCGCCTGTCAAGATTAGGGCGATTGTTTGCAGAGTCTTACCCAGGCCCATGTCGTCGGCAAGAATACCGCCGCGCAGGAGACCTGGGGCATTCCGTACGGCAAAATTTGTCGCCGTATTGACATAGAGGCCATTTTCCTTTCGCTTCCAGAGCTGTACTGTCTCGTCAGAACCTGGAGCAGGGAATTGAGGGTCTTCTTTCGCTCTCATCCAAGCAAGGCCCTGAAAAGAGATTTAGATATAAGTCCATCCTTAGATAGAACGCGGCTGTGCTACTCACCTGGAGTTGATATGGTAAGAGCTGTGCTCTCAATATATCAGGTTGATCGGCTTTAGGCAGCTTGACAAGTTGTTCCTCGTTCATAGCGAGGGTCTTGATGGCGTCTTCACCATCACGGAACGTCATTGCCTGACTCGCCTGCATCAATTGCTGCATTGAAACTCCAGGGCCGGGAGAAGCAGAGCCGGGCGAAGGGGCAGAAGGAGAAGCTTTCGGTCCAAGTCCAACACCAGAGCCGCCGCTCTTGAGACCCAAGGGTTTTCTTCGCTGCTCATTTTCCTTTCTCGTCTGCTTCATCTGGTTTGCCTTCAGGAGCCTGTCGTTCTTGAGGCGCTGCTCCAATGCTGCTCTGGCTAACACGTCGCTCGTCCCATAGAGCTCTAAACGAACGGGGCAGTCGAAATAACCCTTCTCTCCAATGATTATTGCCTCCACTATGATCTCGTTACGATCCTAGGTACCGTTAGTATGAGAAGAAGGGAAGATAAAATTATAACGCAACTCCAGGGAAGGACCTTCCATGAGAGTGTAGACTTGTTGACTTACAAGGTAAGGGGCCAGCTTCTCAACTACGGTGCGAGGCAGGTGGCCGACCTGCGCACCAAGAACATTGTCAACACGGATAGCATTGCTATCGTACTAATTACATGAAGATCAGTGGTCGCCATTAACTTAGCGAGAGTCCTATGGGAAATTACCTGGTTGCTAGGCTCTCGTCGTGCGATGACAACCTCGCCTGGACTGACGATGCCACTGTAATACCTACAGCCGACGATCTTATTATCTGATGAGGATTAGTCCGTTGCCTTCGGATGAAAGAGGACTATCCACGTACCTAGGTTGCCATAAAGTTCGAGCGGAGGACCATCCTCGCTTTGAGTGAGGTCTATGAGATCAGGCTCTTCATCTTGAGAGGCCAGAAGTCGTCGATCCGATGAGCTGGCAGTCGTGTAGCTGGAAGTAGGCTGCGAAGCGCGAGAGAAAGACTGGCTAGGGCGGCCGGGCAAGGAACTCTGTGACGATCCCACGTTGGCACTCGAGGCGGATAATGGATAGCGGCGGGTCGTGTCGGCCGTCACTCGTGGAGCCTTGGCAGTCGTGTTCGGCTCTTCATCATCACCCGTCAGATCAATAACCTCACGGGCCCGTTTGCCACTGCCGCGTGGGGCCATGGCGCTAGGACTGTATGTCTCTCGGGTGGAGGTTGCTTGCAGGAATGGAAGAATGGCTGGCAATGACACCAGGTGTTGCAGGGAATAAAGCAGTTGGCCGCTAGAAAAGGAGGATTCGACCAAATTGCACCCAGGTGCTGCTTAAGATATTGCCTACCTACCTAGCCATGCTAGCTAGGGTCCAGTATTAATTTTGTCAGAAGATGGTTCTGTCTTTCTCTAATTATCTAGGAGCGTCACAAGCCGGCATGTCGCGTTCACAAGGGTAACCGCGTTTGACAAGTATCTGGGTTTCCAATAAAACGCCACTTCATGTGACCAGGCAGGTGATTGAATGTCTATTACCCACAAGCCTGTTTCCGTCTATTCTCCTTCAACTTCTTCTGTCTCCTTGACGGCATTCGAAATGTTCAATATCTCATGGAACGACATCTCAGGAACGCGCCCGATGGTTTGGAACCGAACACTGTTGCTCCTCGCTTCCAGTACCAACGACTTGGGTGCGGGATGGTCGAGACAGACAAGACAACTGATTCGCTAACAATTTGCTGCGGTTGCCAGAGTTTCACGCCTCGGTGTGAACCCAGAAAATTGCGTGATTGACCAAGTCGAAGCTGATTCGCTGGAGCAGGCTAGGGCTCGTCTGCTTAAAGGTCGAAACCTCCCTCTTATTGCGGCTCATCGACTTTACAACGTCTTCTCTTCATTTTCAGGCATGGGCTGGTCGCTAGAGGCTTGTGTTTCATTCAAACTATTCATTCTAATCTCCACTAAGTGGTGGTGTGTTGAAGTGCCTCTCGGTTTGTCACTGAGGGCATTACCGCTACTAGTGTAGCATACACTGTTGAAGAGGAGTTCCCGCTCCTTGCAAATCTCAAATCCCAGACCTATTGCACAAAAGAGAACATCCCCTCTTCCTCATACGACCCTGAATCCTTATGTCATTACGTCGTGAATCATCTCTCCTCTTGCGAGGTCAACTCCCGCCGCCTACTCTTTCAGCAACCGTCCATATGCGGAGTAGTAGCCACACTTGGTAATGTGGCTCTTCTTGCCCGTCTTCTGATCGAAGATGTTGCAACCACCCTTGGCTACATTGGGCGGCGTGTACACTATGCTCGTGTTAGCAACTCGGACGGCGGGGATGATCATCAGAGCCGAACACCTACGGTGAAGGGAGACAGCGAAGTTGCTCCCCTTGTTCCAGATTCTGTGGACACCAAGCTCGTCGGCCATATAGGCCACCTCATTCTCCTTATGTGTTCTCTCAGAGATAACCTCCATTGGTCCCTGGCCCTCCGTCTCAGGAAAGGCGTACCGGGTTTCAGTTAGGTCACCACGGAGGATCTTCATCATACAATGGGCATTGCCGTGGTCGTGGATGGGGCTTCCCTTTCCAGGAGACCATACGAGGACGAGCTACAGGTGGCCCTGTGTCAGCTAACATGCTGTTGGGTATAGAAGACAATGACGACCTACGAGATTGCTTTTACCATTGCCTTCGTCGACCAGGTTTCGAGTATATCCTCGAGTTGAGTCTCCCATGGCGTACGACTCCCAGCCACCGTCAGTGGAAGGATAGTCTCGCATGAGTTGTGTCAGATAATCAACGTCGACATCATCCGAGGTCAGCCCTGACGATGGGCCCAAGGCTTCTTTCAGTGCGAGAACGAGCGTCTCGAAGACACTGGGCTCTCCTTTCAGCCCAGCCGGACCGACTACAGATGTCATATGCGCGATGCCGACGGCCATGTTGCTCTCGTTTTGATGATCTTGCAAACGCTGGTGTTGGTGTTGGTGCTGGCGGTCTTGTGCTGATGGTCCTGATGATATCTGTCTTTCTGGATGCTACGGCTATGGGTGGAGTAGCGGTGTTGTACGCTTTTTGCTCACCTCGCCTATCATCGGGGACGTCGGACTACGAAGGCCCTTCTCCCCGCTCCTCTCTGCGCTGATGTGAGCCGATTTTCGGTGCGCTTTTTGGAGTGTGGACCCTTGGCGGGTGACGACTTTTTAGCGCCAACTCGCCCGATTCTCTACGCCAGCACCAAGGACAATTCTCTACGCCAGCACCAAGGACAAAGGAAGCACAGAATCCTGATTGCTAATGCGCGGGAAGGATATGTCATAAAATAATTGGATTTCAACATATTGGCAACTATTATCTTCCATGCAACTCATATCACCATGAGGTGTGGTATGCACGGAGTGCGCGATTGATTTGATGTGTAGGTTTCACCGGCGTCTGAGCAAATTACTCGCGGGCCATTCCGACGCAGCTTTTCACCACGCTGTAAGAAGCTGAGTATCGGCCTGAACCCGATCAAGCTCATCAGTTCATCGTGTCGCTTTCTTCCGGTGCCAGTTTGGAGGACCAATTGCTTGTGTGCGTCATCGGGTTACATTTTAGATAATGCGGACAGGAGGTTCAAATGGCATGTTGTATGTAGAAGCTATCTGATTAAGACTCAATTAAGTTGATGGTGTCGATATGTCTTCGCCTCTAACCCCGGGTTTGCACGGCCGGTTCTCGGTTTGCTTGCCGTGCGGAGCCGCCGATGTGTCAGCAGCAATTCATCCATTGAGATACTTGTCAAATATTAAAAATTAAAAAATTGTTTGCTATCCTAATGACTCTTATTGGGTTCCTTCTCATACAGCTCTCGGCCTCTTTTTTTGGTGGTTTGCGAAAACATCGATGGTCCAAAGTTGCTCGCTTGGCTAGTCGGATATACGAGTCAGTAATCTAGCCACCTCAAACAGGATCGTCACTAAGAGTCAACACAAAAGCTTTATTCGTGACAAAAACTACCAAAGAATTACATTCTTTAGTGCACAGCCGGCTGGCCGAACCGGGGAGATCGCAATGGCAACCATGACGACAGCCAAAACAGCACCGCTTGCCAATCCTATATCAGATGGCCACGCCAAGCCCGAGGCGCAAAAGGAAACGGCAAGCCGTGGATCAGCAACACCATGTAAAGAGAATGTCGGTTGGAGGAGGGTAGTCAGGAACTTCACCCCTTCGTGAGTACTTCAATCATGACTTCAACTATTATGAAGCCGTGTGCTAACTTTGTTAACTGTCAGTTGGTTTGCTGTGAACATGGGAACTGGGATTGTCTCCATACTTATTCATAACCTTCCCTACAATGCAGCCTGGTTACAATACGCTTCATATGTGTTTTTTGCTCTCAATGTTGCGTTGTTTGTCACGTTCACCGCCATGACAATCGTGCGGTATACTCTTTACCCTGAGATCTGGGTTGCCATGATCAACCATCCGGGCCAATCTCTGTTCCTAGGAACATTTCCAATGGGTTTCGCAAGTATGACAACTCCGGATTCCTCTTCACAACCCTCTTGCTAATACCGGTCTAGCAATCATCAACATGACTGTCATGTGTTGCGCATCCTGGGGAGACTGGGCGATCTACATGGCTTGGGGGTTTTGGTGGTTCGATGTGGTGATCTCGCTGGCTTGTGCCATCTCCCTTCCCTTCATCGTGTAAGTAAAGAGACTGTAGCCCTCACCAGTCGGATTTCACCTGCTAAAAATTTCAAGAATGCATCGTCACCGACCCCAACTCAACGAAACCACCGCTGCACTCCTTCTGCCCGTGGTACCGGCCGTGGTGGCGTCCGCATCTGGAGGTATTTTGGCCGAAGCCCTTCCAAACACCGACCACGCCGTCACGACTCTTGTGACCTCATATATTCTCTGGGGTATTGGCGAGTCGTTCTCCATGTTCATTTTGGCCATGTACTTCCACCGCCTGACCGTCCACCACCTTCCACCCCGCGAGATCATCGTGTCTGTTTTCCTGCCCGTTGGTCCACTAGGCCAAGGCGGATTCGGCATACAGCAACTAGGCAAAGTTGCCCTGAAGCTTCTCCCTCAGACCGCTTCCTTCGGGAAAGTTGGTACTGATGCCATCCATGGAGGCGAGGTGCTCTATATGGTGGGCATCTTCATGGCTTTTATCATGTGGGGAGCCGGCCTCGGCTGGCTCATGCTAGCTGGTGCCAGTATCCTAACAACAGCGAACTTCCCCTTCAACATGGGTTGGTGGGGGTTTACTTTCCCTCTGGGTGTCTTCACGACATGCACTGGCATGCTAGCACAGGAGCTGTCAAGCCCTTTTTTCAAGGTCTTAACAATGGTACGTGAAACTCGCAAGAGATAAGTTATAAGGATCTTCAGAACTGACAAGAAGCCTAGATCTTTTCCATCTCGGTCTTCCTCTTATGGTTGGTGGTCGCCGTACGGACTTTGCTCCAGGCTGTCTCTGGAGACATGTTCTTTGCGCCTTGCCTGAAAGATTTAAGACCAAAGACCGGACAAGCCGACGGTGATAGAACCGTTTAAGATAAAATCAACAAACAAGTTCGTAATGTATATGCCTCTTTACGAAAGAGGCTTGGTAATGTAGTTCAACATGAATAGGGTGGTCCATAAAAGCCGGTAACACGGGGGAGGGGATTGTTTTACCTCAAGCATTGGGTAACGGAGTTCAACACAAAGCGAAGTTGGGTGTATAAAATCCTCCGCCAGGGTAGTAAATCTTACATAGGTACTTCCACAATGGTAGCATTACCTCCTCAACAAGGGATTACTACCTTTGGAGAAGTTGATCAGCCCATAGTAATAAACATGATCTTCATAATCTTGATGAGTATTAAGACTCTTGATATTGAGTATCATTATCATTTAAAAAACATTGTTTATTACCCTGGTAGAGGAGTAAGTACTCAGCTTAATCAAACGAAGTAGAACAAGAAAACATTTAATGGGCAGTCCACCAATCTATTGCAAGTATAAATTCTCCCAGACGGTCAAACTGTTAGCAAAGCTGGGTTACCACGGTCAACTTATGACTACTGACTTGCGTGCTATTAGCCAGTTATTGGCCTTAATGACCCCGTCGTTACAGCTTATTCTAGCCCTCACGTTAGTGGCTATTCAAGTTGTAGGTAAGCTACCTAAGCATGGTAGTGGGGTTCTGACGACCGCAAAATTTAGGAGGGGTACTCTCCAACTTTCAAACGCGATTGATCTCTTAACTGCCGTTCAATTCATATGGTGTTCAATCATGGCTAAAGAACTCGGATTCGGAAGCTCATGGCTTGATAGGCTTACGCAGCGTAAGTTTTGGATCTCCCTAGATATGATTCTATCCTAACTCAATCGCAGCCGCCGTCGAGATATGGCACGTCTACAGAATACCAATTCTGCTGGCTACCTTTGCGATCCTGGTTTCAGTTCGAGTTTACCTACACTTTCACGACGAGGGCGAGAAACTACCATTCCTCCAGAAGACATTTGCACATGAAACCAAGGAGACCGTGGACGTTCCGGTCCCGAATTTGTCCAGTGTCCCTCGGGTAGACGAGAAGCGGACGAAGCCAAGCGGACCTCGCAGAATCAAGGGTGAATTGCAAAAGCAGAAAAATGATGATACAGGAGCTGTGGAGCTCAGCAAGAGGCAGATCAAAATAGTCGTGTTCTTCTCGTCTCTGACCGGAAGCACGAAGACGTTCGCGGACAAGTACACCGAGAGCCTTGCGAAAGCGGTTTCAACCATCACTTGCGACTCTGCGTCAACATTTGCTGAACCACAGCTGATTGACCTGTCCGAGGTCGATTTCGATGACTACTTTATAACTCCACCGAAGTCAGACGGCTCATCAGACTTGGCCACGGCCTATTTCTACCTCTTTCTCATCCCAAGCTACAACATCGACACCATCAACGACACGTTCCTCGAGCATCTACAAGAGACACACCACGACTTCAGGATAGACACAGCGCCTCTGTCTGGGCTCCTGGGGTATTCAGTGTTTGGCTTGGGCGACAGGGAAGGCTGGCCAACGGAGGAAGAAGGGTTCGGCTTCCAAGCCAAGGAGGTCGACAGATGGATGGCGAAACTGAGCAGTCGGAAGAGGGCATACCCTTTAGGCCTCGGCGACACGAAGAAAGATCTCTCGGTCAGATTACAGGAATGGTCCGAGGGTGTGGTGGACGTTCTTGGTCTGATAGCCCGCACCGGCTCCTTGGGGGAGGGCGTCCCTGGTTCCGGCGACCCCCTCGAAAGCGATGGAGAAGACGTGGCGGACGAGGATGACGGGGAAGTCATGATGGAGACTTCTTCAAACGGTAAGCGGGCCAAGACTGGCGATTCAGGGGATCTAGGAGATGTTGAAGATCTCGGCCGTCTGCTTCGCGACTCCCCAAAGGATGGACGCAATAAGGCTGCCGGAGCGCCATTAGCCGTGGATTTCACTGCATACGGGACTTCCCAGAAAAGAAGGAAGCAGCCGGTACAACAAATCAAGGAAATGGTCCCTAAGGGCTCGCCTACGTACACGGCCTTGACTAAGCAAGGCTACTCAATTGTCGGATCCCATTCAGGGGTAAAGATCTGCCGTTGGACTAAGTCAGCCCTTCGTGGGCGCGGTTCTTGCTACAAGTTCTCCTTCTATGGAATCAACTCGCATCAATGCATGGAGACGACACCGTCGCTGTCATGCTCAAACAAGTGCGTCTTCTGCTGGAGACATGGCACCAACCCCGTGGGCACAAACTGGCGGTGGGTGGTGGACCCCCCACAGCTCATCTTCGACGGCGTGAGGGAAAATCACTACAAGAAGATCAAGATGATGCGTGGCGTGCCGGGTGTTCGCGCTGCGCGCTTCGCAGAGGCGATGCGCATTCGGCATTGCGCATTGTCGCTTGTAGGCGAACCCATTTTCTATCCCCATATCAATGAGTTTCTTGGTATGCTGCATAAGGAGAGGATATCATCATTCCTCGTCTGCAATGCTCAGCACCCGGACCAGTTGGCTGCTTTGAACCACGTCACGCAGCTTTATGTCTCGATTGATGCTTCAAATAAGGAGTCATTGCGCAAGGTCGACAGACCCCTGCACAGAGATTTCTGGGAGCGCTTCCAGAGATGTCTCGATATTCTGCGGGAGAAACGGTTCAAGCAACGAACTGTTTTCAGGCTCACTCTTGTCAAGGGCTTCAACATTGAGGACGAAGTCGAAGGTTACGCAGACCTCATAGAGCGCTCGCTTCCCTGTTTCGTCGAGATCAAGGGTGTGACATACTGTGGCACATCTACGTCCTCAAGCGCTGGACTGTCCATGGCAAATGTCCCCTTCTATTCCGAGGTCTGCGATTTCGTTACGTCCCTGGACAAGGAGCTCAATCGAAGAGGACTCAACTATGGAATAGCAGCAGAGCATGCTCATAGCTGCTGCGTATTACTTGCAAGTGATAGGTTCAAGGTCAATGGCAAGTGGAGAACGCTGATCGACTACGACAAGTTCTTCCAGCTTCTGGAAGAGAAGGGTCAGGATGGAGATTTCAGTCCTGAAGATTACATGGGTCAGGAGACACCAGAATGGGCCACTTGGGGGAATGGAGGGTTTGATCCCAGAGATCAGCGAGTCGATAGAAAAGGTAGACCAATCGAGATCTAACTAGGGGTCCTAGAAGGACCGTCACAGTCAAACAAAGAGCGGACCAGATTATAAACGGCATTTGTGAACATTAGTAATGCTGCATTGCCGATTGTTTCATCAGAGTTCATCAATGTACAGGTGATGCTACAGGTAGCCTCCCAGCAGGCGCTCCAAGCGACGCCGGGTAAGATAATATACACTGAAATCGGCGGTAGTTGGCAGAAGTTTCCCAATCGAGCTATCCCAAGAGGCCTGTTGCTCGAAACAGATCGTCGGTCGATGTCAAGAGTGGAGGAGATATCGTGAAGAAGGGCCAGGGGTTTTGGTTCCACGCCGCTTATTCATCATCTAGTCGAGGCCGACCGTCGGCATGCCAGGCATTCCTCCCATCTCAGGCATCTGAGCGGCCCCAGAGAACGCCTCAATCTTCAGGCTCGGATCGTAGGCAATCATCTCTGCGAGAATGTCGAGGATAGGCTGGGATCTTCGGGTTAGCTGACGTGAAGCACAGAGCTATATGGGTGTGGGTATACCTTAGAAACAGTCTTGTCGTAGATTCCAATGAGGTCTCCAGGGGTCGGATAAACCTTGAGGGCCTTGTAGAATGCCAGTGCTGCTTCCAAACCCCGTGTAGCTAAGAAATTCTCAGTTAGCTATGAATTCCGAACAATGATGTCAGGCATCACTTACGATCAGCGCCCAGGGTCTCTCCTAGGGAGACCTGGTCTAGGAAATATGCCTCCTTGTCCTCAACATTGGTAGGGAATCCCTCCTCCTTGGCCTCATCCACAGCATGCTTGATGGATAACCTCTGCTGCTGAGCATCTGCCTCGGCCTCCTCCTTCTCTTGTTTGGCTTGCCGACGCTCGTTTCGTCTTAGGTTTCTCCTAAACTCGGGATTCTTGCGTCTTTGGTGGTCGAAGTACACAGCATATGCTGGAAGTCATTGTCAGGAAAGGGGGCTCGTGGTATAAAAGGCTTGAACAGAAAATAATTGTTTGCCTTGGGGCAAACCTTTGCTTGGGCGGGAGCTTTACTTACCAGCCAGGCCGGTTGCCAGTGCAGCAACTGTGGCTGTAGCAATGACGGCGGTTTGCGACGATGATGCCATTGTCGCGCGATCGGTGCTGTGCTAGAATAAACGGCTGGGGGCCGACACAGGTTGCCTTTGGGCAGACAAGATGAAAGGAGGCAATAGGTGTTGCTAGGTAATGCAGCTGGCGATGTGATGACCCGATGGTAGTGGTGGTGGTGGTTGGTAGGTAGCTGATCCAATGCTTGAATCTGGTCGCGCTGGGAAAGCTTTCAAGGTTGGACCGGGTGCTACAGCTCTCCAATGAATTTTTTCATCACTGATCGAACGACGTACCGCTGAAAGAGATAAGGTATGGGGACAAGCACCGCCTCATGAGGCTAGTAGCTCTCGGGAAAAGGCGCCGCCGACAACCGACCGCTGTGGCTCCCGCCTTGACACCCCTGCCCACTGCTAGGTAGTTACCTAAAGGCAAGCTCCAGCACCCCCAACCTGGCCAGGCGTGTTTGAAACACCATTGCCATCCATGACTTAGCATTCACGACAACGACCTTTTTCACTGCACAAACGCCACTCCCACCTTTGATCCCGGCTCTTTGAAGATCTTGGTCGAGTCGCTGACTCGGGTGAACCAGGCACAATGTCAGAGGAAAGGAGCAAGATCTCGCTGCGTAGCGGGGGCAAGAGGAAGGGTCGGCCTACAATCAGCGCTCCTCGACAGATCTCAGAACCAATTCCTAATAATGGCATCGAAGTGCCTCGAGGAGGACGGTCGATAGCTGAGGCTGCGCCAGTACCGCGGCCACGGCTGGCTCCTCAAGCCGGTGGGAAGGTAAGCTGAGCCATCACATCTGGACTGCATATTAGACTTGGTACTGATTCCCCTAGACCTCTGATCTTGTCAAACGGCGATATTCTACAAGATTCAACAACCTCCCAGACAATTTCGATGCCTCTGCACCGCCTATTCCCTCTATGCCAGCATTGACCAAGTATGAGCCGCGAGAACGAAGACCACCGCCTTCTCGCGGAGGAGGAGTAGCCCCAACACCAGACATCAAGGCCCTGAGAGACCCTAGACTTGTGGCCGACCAATGTAAGATGTTTGCGGCTGAACAATATGAATACATAGATGCTGATCTTGAAACCAGATGTTGCCAATATCCTAAGCGACGCGACCGAGGATGAGATCCGCGACTATGAGGCCGCCCTGCGTAACCTGAAGAACCGGGCTACTACCGACCTACAACAGAATGTCTACCAGAACAGAACTCAGTTTATAAAAATAAGCAAGGAAGCTGAGAAACTGAAGGGAGAGATGCGGGCGCTGAAGAACCTAATGTCAGAGCTGAAAATCAACACGACTGCATTGAGATCTGCATCATCAAAGGAGAACGCCGATTCTCCAAGTCTGAATGGCGATTTCTCGACGAACCTTAGCAAGAGAGACAAGCGAAGCTCAGTCGCGGATCGGACGCAGCTTTGGAACTCTCAGATGCAGGTATGTATTCGAAAATCTCTGCACCATTGTATGACTGACATCTTCTAGGCGCTCTACAAGAACGTTGAGGGATCACAGAAGTTCTTGCCGACTTCTATTGGCCGCCACGTCGTGCAAGATGCCGGTTCTTGGATCGAGCTAGATAATGCGACCTACAAGTCTCGTCGCTCCATGCAAATATTTCTTTTGAACGATCATCTTCTTATTGCTTCTAGAAAGAAAAGAAAGACAGAAGGTTCTGGAGCTGATTCGCGTGGCCCGCCTGTCAAGCTTGTAGCAGATCGCTGCTGGCCACTCCTTGACATTGAGGTTGTGGACATGGCGGGAACAAGTGACACATCAACTGGCAGAAACAAGCTTGCAGATGCCGTGATGGTTAGGGGCGTAGGCCAAGAGTCGGTGATATACCGTACCGAAAAGCCAGAAGACACAGCCAAGGCATCGCTTATGCTTAATATACGAAGAACTGTCGAAGAGCTGCGCAGAGGCCTACAGTCTGAGGTTGAAGCGAATAACAAAGCCAAGGAGACAATCAACTACTTTGCTTCGAGGGACCCTGGGCTCCTGCAGAAGACAGCCCTCCTCGAGACTTTGTCCGATATCAAGGATATGCTGATTGAAGTGGATGGGAAGCAGCAAAATCTACGATGGGTAGAAAGCCAGATGGATGAGCTGGACATTGACATTGCCCTCCAGAGACTTGAGCCTGCCGTTGTGCGAGTCGAGAAGATGAAAGCGCTGGCACGTGGGCTGAAAAATAATGCCGTCGCCCAAGACTTTATTGAGTTCAAAGTTGAGGAGAGATGCTCCAGGCTGGCTACCGTAATCACGCGTGAGCTGGTCGACACTCATAATGAACAAAGGAAAACGAAGCGCAATGTTGTCTGGCTGACACGACTCGGCTTTGAAGATCGTGCGAGAGAAGCTTACCTGGAGGCCAGGAGCAACATAATCCAGAAGCGATCTCGGTAAGCACAACTGCCTCTCCGGTACTGGAGAGCCTTTACTGACACGGTACAACAGTCAATGCATCTTCCAGGGTGACCTTCAGCTCTACATCTGGGAAGTATCTTTTGTCTATTTCTCCATCATCAAGAATACTGTAAGCTGCTTCCAAGGCTGCTTCCCCCCTCCGATGATGAGTGCCTGTGTCAAATGGGCAAAGGAAGAAGTAGAGGCGTTCAATGCCATTCTAGCTCGCCAACTCAGCAGCACTGATCGTGGCGGCGAAGTGTGGACCAAATGTATGAATCAGGCGAAGGACCACGCCAAGATGCTCTCTGAAGTTGGCCTTGATTTTCGCAATCTGGTTGGACAGGACATGAATGTATCGCCTGAGACCAATGGAGGTCCGGTAGGGCTGGGACTATCTTAAGATGCGTCCTCGGGTTTGACCAACTGTACTTTTGCGCGATCAGCGAGCGTAACACTTTCTAGATAATCTTGACATGAAGTAAGACTGAATTGAAATGTATGTTTAGCAGAGTTTCGTTGTGATGCGAGGTAAGAATGTATCGGTATTTGGTAGCATAGCAGCAGTAGCGCGTAGTCATACCTAGGTACCTATCAAAAGGACCTTGATTGAGAGCTGTGGCCAAAAGGAGCTGTAATAAAGGTGGAGGCAAAGCTCGGTCTGTTAGATACGGTCTGGCTAAGGCCAGAGGCTAGGTCACTTGGTAGGTACCTCGCTCTGGTCATCCATCCCTTTCGCCCCTCCTCTGAGGCGACGACGGGCGGCGGGCAGTAGCAAGGCGCAAAACCAGACTGCGGCAGCAGAGATTAAGCGAGCGCCTCACACGGCCCTCTCCCCATTTCACCGTCTGTCTCCCAGGCTAAGGATACAGCACCGAAAAACAACAACCACCACCACCACCACTACCGCCATCATCACTCACACAACCTCGATACCCCTCCGCTCGCCATATTCTCTACCCATCCCAGCGGGGCTCACGACGAAGTAGAATTTTCATTACCTGCGACGATAGATACGATAACGAGACCCGCCATTTGACTTCTCCAGACCTTGCGACGACACAAGATTACCCACAACGTCATTGCCCCCTCCTCTCACGATTGACATTTGACAACCCCAATCACAACCGTCGAGCCTGCTCGTGATACATCGAAATCTACCATCTCGCCCGCACTTCAGATTCCTCCGTAATGGATACAAATATGGAGGATGTCGGACGAGTCCCCGAAGGCCTGCCCTCCGCCCCTTCTCTAGAACCCACCACCATCCCTACCCTCGATGGCTGGATTGAAAGCTTGATGAGCTGCAAGCAGTTGGCCGAATCAGATGTCCAGAGACTTTGCGAGAAGGTCAGTTTTGTCCACGGGCGACATGCTTCGTCCTGTCGCGTTGAATCATTCCCCGTTGGGGCTACACTGTCGCATTATGAGGCCGGGCCCAGAGCTCGCGTGCTTGCTATGCCCTTTTGTTTTCGTCTGCTAATTCATCACCTTTTACAGGCACGAGAGGTTCTCCAAGACGAATCCAATGTTCAACCTGTTGTACGTATTGAAAGAAGCAAACGAACGGTATCGTAACATGCCCGCTTACACTTCGACTCTAGAAATGCCCAGTGACTGTGTGCGGTGATATTCATGGTCAGTTCCATGACTTGATGGAGCTCTTCAAAATTGGTGGCCCGAACCCAGACACAAACTACCTTTTCATGGGTATGAAATTACTACCTTTTTTCCATCATCTGATACAGACAGCTAATATATAGTTTAGGCGATTATGTTGACCGTGGCTATTACTCCGTGGAGACAGTCACCTTGCTGGTTGCTCTGAAGATTCGTTATCCGCAGCGGATCACGATTCTTCGTGGTAACCACGAATCGCGCCAGATCACTCAGGTGTACGGCTTCTACGATGAGTGCCTACGGAAATACGGGAACGCGAACGTATGGAAGTATTTCACAGACTTGTTCGACTATCTACCCCTCACCGCCCTCATCGACAACCAGATCTTCTGCCTGCACGGCGGTCTATCCCCGAGTATCGATACTCTTGACAACATTCGAGCCCTTGACAGAATCCAGGAGGTGCCGCATGAGGGCCCCATGTGCGATTTGTTGTGGTCTGATCCCGATGACCGATGCGGATGGGGTATTTCCCCACGTGGTGCTGGTTACACCTTCGGGCAGGATATTTCAGAGGCATTCAACCATAATAATGGTCTGACCTTGATTGCTCGAGCACATCAGCTTGTTATGGAGGGTTACAACTGGTCTCAAGACAGGAACGTCGTCACAATCTTCTCTGGTATGCTCCTCACTTGTCTAGAATGAGAGCCCGTTCTAACCCTTCCTAGCACCGAATTACTGTTACAGATGTGGCAACCAAGCAGCGATTATGGAGATCGACGAGCACTTGAAATACACTTTGTGAGTAGCACTTGATGAGCAAGCTAAAACCGTGATGCTAACAAAAGTGCAGCCTGCAATTCGACCCTTGCCCGCGTGCTGGCGAGCCCATGGTTTCAAGACGAACTCCAGATTACTTCCTGTGATTGATGCAGTGTTCTCTCTTGTGGTGTACACTGCCAGCAGGGTTAGTAAAGGAGGATTCTGCGGGAGCCTCTCATGAAGCATTCATCATGGATGTCCACCTTTGCCGAATTCTTGTAAGAATAAATCGAACACCGTCGACGTTGCAATTTGGTCTCGGCTGGAATAAAACCATGGATGATATGAGCACATGGAGCAATTAGACGCGCCTGTGCAGATTTTATAGATCATTCGAGACAAGGCTCCCGCATACTAATACAACACGGTGTTCGTCCTAGCAAAACATGCTTCCATCCAATGTGCCGAGATATAGTGATTGATAATGGCTCCGCTATTCGTGGCACTTGCTCGCTGATCTCACTTGATTTAACGTGCTGACACAGACTCGCATCCTTTGTATAGCTTTTTATATCACGTTGTACATCTATAGACGAAAAGCCAAAACTCGCCATCCATGCCAATGCTGAACCGACTGATTAAGAGAAGGGGGTATCCGCCATCCCACACCATCCAAGTCTATCTATTGAGGCTCCCTATAACGCCATGGTTGCTTGTTTTCTCAACACATCCCATTCGCTCAAATACATGATATGTTACAGACTCACTCATGCGGACTGGCTCCCGGGTCGCTCCTTTTCCAGCTCATCTCGCGCCTGGGCCTCCCAGGCCTGCTCTCTCTGCCCCTCGGTATCAGCGAAGTTGTTGGCGGTGGCCGTGTCGGTGTCGTCGCCGAACACGTCCGCCTCGCGGTTGATGCGGTCCTCCCACGTCCTCGTTCTCTGCATGCCGCCGGCGTAGTCGCCCGGTCCGCTGCTGCCGTTGGGGACATGGAAGCGGCGGTCGAATCGTGCGAGGGCATATGTATACACTACGATGATTTCTGTAATATTGAGTTAGCATACCGCAACTTTTCTGTTAGGGGAGATAACTAGTGTTGCTGCTTACCGATGACATAGTTGAAGCAGTAGTAGCACGCCTTGTGGTGGTACCAAGCCGGGTGGCTGATGGGCCGGATGTCAAAGTTGACACCGATGCGGAAGCCCGCGCCAAGAGCGACTATAAATCAGGTCTCAGCATATTTTCTTATTCTGCATTTCCCAACTTTCTGGGATCACATCAATCCTTGGGTCACTTACGCAGGGTGGCAGTGAAGAGCAGCAATCTGAGCTTCGTACGGAAGCGGCCCTGGCCGAACTTCTCGACACGGCCCTTTCGAGGGATGAGAGCCGCCAACGAGACGATTGGGATGGGCAGGAATGCCAATGCCGCCAGATACGTGCCCGCGAATAGCTGGATGTCGCGGCAGATGCGGCGCCTGTCGGTGTCGAGTGTGAAGAAGGTCAGGACCGTGGCGGTGATGACCATGATGAGCAGCGCCACGACGCTGAAGTAGAAGAACTTGAACAGGAGGCTGACGGCGCGCAGCCAGCCAAAGTGCGGGTGGTAGGCGCGGACCATGCGGTGCGCAAAGACGAGATTGATGACGAAGAGAAGCAGCACGCCGGCCTGTGTGAAAATGTTGGCGGCAATGGCGATGTTGATGTTTGTCGGGCGCGAGGCCCAGACGATACGCATGGTCAACGCCGTTATCCGGGCCATGCAGAAACCGAAGGTCATCGCACTAAAGACAAACTTGTGGTCCCGCTTCCGGTTCACCTGGAAGATCGTCATGTTGATGACGGCGCCCGTGATGAAGAACACCAGCAGCACCGCGGATATCGGGTCATCGACTTTGGGCGTCGGCTGGCCGCCGAGCTGGGCGATCTGGGGCAAGTACGGAGGCCCTGAGGGCTGCTGCAGGACGTTAGTTCTCAGAACGCTGCTGTATATGGGCGGAGGCAATGATATTGCACTGGCGTCTCATCACTATGAGAGAACAATTGCCTCCCATCATGAAAGGTTTGATTTAGGGGGTTTCCAAATAAACAACACGTACCGTCTGTTGACCACCACCTTGTTGTGACATTATGAATTATTTGACTTAATCGCTGATAAATTGAGAATCGAAATACACAAGAAACTGGATTTGATGGCTCGACAATTCAACGATGTCGGGGTATCATGGAGGGTTGCAGCCTCGAAAATTACGTCGTGGAGGTGAGCTGATATGGTCGTGTAAGTGTTATTGACGGTAAAGGAGAAATTGCTGGTAACCAGTCTCGATTGAGGGTCTTGTTTCTGGCTCGAGAACGTTCTCAATATTGTCTCTGATACAGCCACATGGGAAAAGAGCCAAGAATCTCGGATCTAGCCAGAGTTTATATCGTACTGCGATCTATGCATAGAAGCAAAATCTCCTCCTCGGCGCGACATTCCTCGATCTCCGCCGTTACCAGGTTATCGGACCACATGTGCAGCGCCCAATGAAGGTGACCGTCACCACCGCATTCGTCTCGCCTTGGGGTGGCTAGTGCGTGTAATGACGGCATGGGCAGAGCTTCAAAGCCCGACGAACTGGGCGCGAGTCGGGCGCCCGGGGACCCGCTAGTCGGTCTCGATCGGCGTTTTTTTAGCGCGAGCCTCCGATGGCCCCGACTCTGCTTCACTCACCAGGACAAATGGACTCACTATTAGGCCGACTTATACCTTCGGCCTTGCGCCGCACGGGAGACCGATCACAACGGCTTAATTTTTTTTTGCGAAAACCTTCGCGTTGCAAGCTTATTTTTGCTATTTTAGCAATTGGGAACGGTAGACTCCGGTGTTGATGCCTGGACTATGAGCCTGGATGGCTCTCCAGCAAGTGTTTACTAATTCCAAGAGCGAGGTCACGGGCTGAATCCTCCACGACTCAGCTCGCATGTGCCCATACGATCGGTCCTTGTATGAACGCAGCCCTCAATCGCGTGGCCCATCCAGTCTTTGATGAGTGGACGCGTCTCGAAAACATGAACCATGCTACAAGAACCCGCAGAGTGCGTCTCCGTGATGCAACCATGCCTCGTATATCCGAGGATTTACGGTGGCTAGGTGATGGGCTAGCCTGATCGACTCTGTGCTCCTCACCAACGTGGAGCGCGACAGGAGATAGGAGATAACTGGCAACTATGCAGAAGCGATGGAGGTATTTTGCATCCGACAAACCTACCTTCCTATCCCGATACCAATTGAGCGATTCTTTAAGCCTTAATACTTGCACGGTTAAGGGATGGAAAACAAGATCACAAACTAACCCAAGCTTCGACTTATTTTCTGTTAAAACCCCCGTATGCAGATCTGAGCAGGCACAGATCCGTGGGTTGACGATGACGGCAAGGGGAGCGCAGACCATCAACCTCTCACCTCAGTACTACGGTTACCTAATCCAGGTATCCGAAAGCGATCATCCAGCGACAGATTAATCCGGGTTGGCTGTTATGTACGATCACTGTAATTTCCCGCCTCCATGCTCAGGACCACATCAGGCGCGGCTGAATGGCGAAGACATCCAGATCGGTGCAAATCATTCAACACCATCGTGACAAGAGACTGTAGGTCTTGGCCATCGCATTGTCGTCGTCCTGTGACACTCCCACACCCCTCGCTGCCGGCTGAGATCTACCTCGATGCTTTACGGCGGGGTTTGTAATGCGTAAATTCAAATCAAAAGGGTGCCCTCTCGTCAATGCTTCAGAATTGCAATGCGATTCTGGGCACTCGATGCGGTTATATATGACGGTAGTGAAGGGTGCGACGGCTTGAGATCTGCAAGGCTGAGCAGGCCATCTCTGTAAGAGGTTACCCTATCTCAACTGCCTGTGCCGTTTGCACAGATCTTGACATGTTATGCTTAATTTGTACGTCTATGCCTGGAACACGCACACTGACAGATGCAGTCGAGGCATGAGGAGAGTTGCACTTGCTCTCCGGTGACAAATGCCCGCAACGATTCCCAGATGTAACGCTTGTACTTGTGGGACGACATGTCGTCGTTTTGCTTGCGTGCAATGTGACCACAGACCTCGCTGTCAAGTTCAGAACGTAACGTGGCAGGCGAGATCGGGTTGGACACTGTTTCATGCGCTGGAATTCTGGGGTGCTCGTCACGACTGACTCGCAGCAAGACATTCCCCACGAAACGCATGTGCAGTACATCAAAGATGCTGTACTGGCGGCGGAGCGGGTCGAGCCCGTCGTCGCTGGTGTGCCCCTCTGCGGCGAACTCGGGTGGGTGCACTGGCTCGCACTTGACGTCGCAGAGTGTGGGGTAGGCATGGCATGGATTTGACATGGCTCTGACAGATTCGCTGCCCCTGTCCGACCTCTCTGCCGCGTTTCTCTTCTCACGAAGAGCCGCCTGGTTGGCCAGTCTTTGCAAATCAAAGCTCTTTAAACTCGAAACCTCGTGGGAACATAAGCGTGTCTCTAGTGTTAGACGACTGACAGAACTCTCCGATCAGGCACTTTGTCATTGGACGGCATGACGACGACTCTCGGAGGGAGTCCAAAAGAGGCGTCGTGTGCAACTTCAACCCGTACAGATTGTATTGCTCGTTTCGCACTTGTTCGCCAATCGCGACAAAGGAATAAAATAGTAATTGAAGAGATGAACCATTCCACGATCGTGTAGGACTGTGGCGAACATGCATAGCAACACTGTTGTAGCTGCTCTGGGCACCCATCTGTAAGTACAGGAGGTTGTGTAAACTCCTAAAAAAGAAACACCACTACGGCAATGAGCAAAGACCGCGTTGCATCAGTTTACACATGTTAGTGACATCCGCAGGAACCTGGAACAGCATCGCATTCGTCTTATGCATGTAGGAACAAGACATGCGAGCACGAGTGTGAGTTCGTAGGGCGCTCACCGTTGATTGGGTCCTTCTGCGCAGAAGCTGCATTGGCTGCAGTACAGTGCAGTGGTTTTCCTGCAAAGATGTCCGAGCAAAAAAGACGTATGTGGTGCAAAGACGGCTCGGCCAACAACATCGTTCGGCAATCTGAGGAATCAAGAGTGCAGTTCATCTCGTGCCGTGTCTGATATGCTGCGAGTCGGCTTTCGTCCACAAACCCTCGGCGGCTGTTGGAGCTCCAAATATAGTCATGGTCCGCGCTACTACAAAGACACACGGCAGACAACCGGACCTCATCATCGTTCCGAGCGCTTATTAGATTGGGGCTGTTTCTTTTTTGGGCTGCTTGACGCTGTAGTCGCACAAGCAGAACTCGACGCGCATGCTCTACCGGAAGTAAAAGAGCCAGTCGTTGTCGACGGGATGGAGCATGTACGCCGCGATATTGGACCACGCGACGCAAACACGGTAGTTAATAGTGCTCGAGCTTCTCACCGCGGTGAAGAAGCCGACTTACCTGTGAGCCGGAGCAGGGTTTCCTGTCTCGCTTCGAGACGTTTAGTTTCCACATGCTCAATACACTCTCAGGAGGCTAATAATATCGTGCGGTGTGTAATTTCAAGTGGTCCAATAGCGCCGAATTCTCCGACCAAAACAAGGAGTCTGTCGACGAGGGCCCGCCAGGAGTGCAGGTCAATTTCGAATTCGGCCACGGGCGAGGCAACAAATAGGATCAAGTTGCGAGACCTGAGACAGATAGGTATTGCCTTAATAGTATTAGACCATTGCCGGGCCATCCTTGCCAGAAATGGTCGTGATTCTCATAGCCCTCATGCAGCAGGCAGGACGATTATTTCTCAAAACACGAGAGATATGGTGCAGCTCGTCTGCGTCTTGCAGACGACATGCACGCGTATGCAGGTCGAGATTTCGCCTTCGTAGCCTCGTAGGCCAACTGCTGAGGGATTTGTTATGTATGATGGTCATGCAAAAGAACGCGTGTAGACACTGCAGAGCGCAGTAGTACCGGCCGCTATGACATCTTCCAAATCGTGCTACAAACGCGCCGTTCTGTTCGTCTTTCTGTAGCAGAAGGGATCACCAGCAACGTGGGGCCTTGCGAGTCTGGCTCGGTACCGATCCCCGTTGCTACGGTTCAAATTCCCAGCACCACGGCAGGGTGAATTGACAAATTTTGACATCTACACCAGTACTACACGTACCCGTCTCGTCACGACATGTTTGTTTGGGAGCGATATGGCATCACGTTGAAGGCCGGCGGGAATACAAAAGCCACTTGCGTATGGACCAGCTATAGCGCTGCGAAGCGATCAGTCTCGTGTAAGCCACGCGCTCTCAGAGTTGCCCCGTAGCGCACGCTATTGCAGTGTATCCGAGACATGTTTATCCTTAGGCGTCAGACTTCTTGTTTCTTGGTCTAGCCAGTCCAAACGAACAAGCAGGCCGTGACGAAGCTGTATTTACGACTCATGTTCTTGGATCTCCGCTGAATGCGAGAGGAAGTTGTCATGGCTATCGCGAGGGTGATGAATTGTGGCATCTCCCCAGCTTCGAGGGATGTTGATACAAACAGCTAGTTATAGGCCCGGGTCATGGCCGTTTCAACGTTAAACACACAAGGATGGCCTGGATATTGTAAGACACGAGCGGGGCCGTCCTCCGTCCTCATCTGTGTATCCACCACTCCACTCACTGTCTTCTGGAGTTGGGAGAGTTCGGACGACGCCAATCGCATCCTGAGGAGGACGAGGCCCTTGCTTGGTTGCGTCTTTGCTTTTTTCCTCTCTCTCTTGACGCTTCCTTCTCTTGCACGCTTTCGAGGCCCGAATCAAGGAAGCACGAGTCGTCTCTGGTGTCGTTCTGACTCATGAAAGCAGCTCTGATCGTCCAGAGGCGACAACGCATTGGCATTGAGATTTGAGTATGCTTAGAAAGTGCCCGAGCTCAGTGTATGTGGATTTGATATAGCGACCGGCAGGAATTAAGGTAATGCAGCTGCCCACCAGAGGGCCGCCAGCCGGATAAAACACAGGCGAGCAACGAAGAAGCTTAGACAAAAGAGGCAGTGCATCCAGCAGACACAGAGGACAAGAGACGAGAGAGAGGTGAGAGGGTGTACTGCATAGTACAAGGACGCAGGTCCCTTGTCTCACGCTTTCCGCCTTGGAGGTACATTAGCCTGCTTGGGTAGCCTGGGTTCCCTGCACGCCGCCTGCAAAACGACCCTGCCTCATAATCAACAACCCCTGCGCCGTAATTACCGCTTTGCCTGTTGCAGCTTGGCCCCGACGCAGCTTCTCAGGTACAGAGATACAAATCTTCCTGTAATCTCAATTGGCCGTGGGCCCCCCATGTCGGTTCGGGGGTTGAAGTCACTGAAGTGGTGGAGCGCAGGACCGGACTGGCTTAGGCTGAGAGCCGAGTTGAATTGAATTGGCGACCGGGGCCGGGGGCTGGGAAGACCCAAGCAGCAGAGGCAGAAGAAGAAAGGAAGAAGGAGGAAAAGCGAGAGAGAGAGAGAGAGACAAAGAGAGCGCGAGGAAGGGGATCTCCTACTC